TTGTTACAAAGATTTATAAAAAAAAAAAAATTGTAATCTTGATGCAACATTTTTAATAAGGTTTCTGCTTGACTCTTAGATTTGTAGGGACTATCTACCATAATTAAAACTTTTTTTTTAAATACTTGATGTTTTTTTTAATTTTTTAGATTCAATGTCAGAGTGGTTTTAAGCTGCAATTCATATGGACAACGGGCATGCTAATTCAAATTCCAATATCATATCCCCCCCCCCCCCCCCCCCCCCCCCCGAGTATAATTAGTTTTAATTAATTAGTTTATGATAGATATCAAATGAGTTTATTATACAATATCAAATTAGTTTTAATTACTTTTCACTAAATTCATTTTAAAAGTTAGGCTAGCCCACAAAAACTATTTAATCCAACATGGCTGATTCCTCTGCCCAATTCCCAAGAGATATAGATAACACCTGCTTGATCAGAGATGCTCTACCAGTTAGCTCCTCACACTAAACTCATTAATTTCTCTCTAATTTGACATGCAATTTTCTGTTATCAAAATTCTCCTTGACCAGTGCTTGATAATTACACCCATGGGAGAGGTGGAATTTCTCTTCTAACATTATATTTGTTATAGATTGCTGTGAAGTATATAATGAAAAAAATAAGTATTTCTTGATTTTAACATTTTTTTAATAAGGATACTGCAACACTTTTACATTTTTTGGGATTGTGTAATTTAATAGTAAAAAGACAGTTTTTTTTTTTAAATTTCACTTAAATTAAAGGTCACAGTGACCTTGAAATAGGTCGCGACACACCTTCTACCTAAGATGCATAAACTGGCCAAGTTTGATGATTCTAAGTCTGATAGTTTTCTAGTTATGAGCCGGACAGGATTTTTCCATATTAGGTCATAGCATCTTAATTAAAGGTCAGAACGACCTACTTTTAGTGCGCGACACACCTTCTACCCAAGAAGTATCAGCTGACAAAGTTTGATAATCCTAGGCCTAATAGTATTAAAGTTATGAGCCGGACACGAGAAAAGCTAACAGACAGACAGACGGACGGACATGAACGCCATAACATAATACGTCCCGTCTAAAGACGGGCGTATAAAAACTATAATTTCTTTTGATCATTATGTATTTTAGAAAGTCTTTTAGGATGTACCACGGTGTTGATATTTTCTTTTTTCAAATAAATTTTTACTAATAATAATTCTGAAACTTTTTTATCCAATTGTCTATTCTATTGCACCTTCAGGAATTTTAACTAGAATGTATGTACAATATGATGATAAAAGTGAAAAAAATGTTATGGGTAGTTGAATTTTTTCAAAAAAAATTAAATTTTGTGGTCATTTTTTTTTAAATCACCAATGAAATACCTTACCAAACGAAAGAGCCATCACAAATTTCATTCAATGAACAGGAAGCTATGGCTGTTAATGAAAAGATTAATGAGTTGATTAGAAAAGGTGCAATTGAAGAAATAAATGAAAATGATGCTTTAATTTATTTCAAATATATTCATGTGTTCTTCCTAAGAAGAATGGGAAGCTCAGACATGTTATAAACTTGCGAAGTTTAAACTAATTTGGTTTCATAAGAAAAATTTAAGCAAGAAAATGTGAATAAAATTTTGGGTATTATGCAGAAAGAAGATTATTTCTGTAGTGTTGAACTTAAAGATGCTGATTTTAACATTCAAACTGCAAAGGAACTTCAGAGATATTTGAGTTTTCAATGGAATGTAAGGGTTTACTGTTTTGTGGTTTTTCCCATTTGAAGATCCCAAACTTGGTTTCCTCTTTTACTATCAATGCTTGTTTCTACTTCAGTTAGATTGCAAAGACATGCAGATCTACTGAAAGAAGGAGAAAGAAACCATCTACTGAAAATCGTCCTAGTCGCCAGTTTTCTCTGGAAAATCATGGATGAAGGATTTCAAAAGACATTAAGCTTGTCATTTTGTCCTCATTGAAAGGATCAACCCAAAAACAATATGATTTTGCATGGTGAATATTCTTCTTTTTTCTTTTCTTTTCTTTTTTTTTTTTTTTTTTTTTGGTGTGATAAATGAAAAAAAAAAGTGTTTATGAAATTTGTGATTTGATTTGATTTCATTTTTGTTTTCATTATTGAAAGATTGAAAGTCTTATTCATGTGTAAATACTTTTAAGGTAGCTGTAACTCAAACTTTATCAATTTTAGATCAAAAATAGAGTAAGAATCCATCATTACTTTCTAAATTCATGCATGGTTTGTTAAATTTAAGACCAAACTTGCCACTTTGGATGTGACTAAAATTCTTACATATTTAAAATCTTTTTTTTTCTTTGTATTCACTAGACATGAAGCAACTAACATGGAAGTTATGTACACTTTAAGCTTTAACAACAGCAGCTAGGGCACAAACTCTTGTAAACTTGAATATTTAGAATATAAGATAAGTTCAGAGAGATTTTTTTTTATTTTATTGTCTTTTCTAAAAGACCTCCAGACCAGGGAGGTCTTTTTCCTTTACTCCCAATAGATACAAAGATGAAAAACTTTGTTATGTATACTTTACAGGAATATATTAAAAGATCAAATAAATATCCCAAGTGTGACCAACTCCTTGTCTTGTTTAAAACATTTAATAAAGTCTCCACAAGCACTGTAGCTAGATGGATTAAGTATGTTATGGAAAGTGCAGGAATAGACATTAGTACTTTCAAAGCACATTTGATTCGTGCAGCTTCCCCATCTTCTGTGCTGAAAGTGGTGTTTCTTTAGTGTACATTTTGAAAACCTGAGACTGGTCTTCATAGAAGGATTTTGGAAAATTTAATTTCAGAGACATTCAAGATAATGATTCAAATAATACTTATAATATGAATGCTGTATTAAACTGTGATTGATATGATGGGGTTTTTTTTTCAAATCAATCTCAATTTATTGTCAATCCTTTAAACATGCTATTGATACTGTGAATACCAAAGGCTATATGAAAAGAATGGGCCCCTCATCCAGGCATACCCTGGATGTGATGGATGAGGGACAATCTTGGAGTATTAACTTTCCCACCCATGTGAGAATGCTTGGATAAATGCATCACTTAATTATACCCACCTCTTTTGTATTTTATGCATTGACAATAATTTGCTTTAGATTACGTGTGATTTAAGAATGCAATTTGTTATTAATATACTTGATGTCACATGGGTTTTTAATTCTTTGGATAGAGAGCCTGCATGTCATAAGTCAAGAAATATGCTATTGATACACATCAGCCTCTGACTGTACTCCAAGAATGTCCCTCATCCATCACATCCAGGGTATATACTTCGATGAGGGGCTCAATTGCTTGGCCTGTCTGTCACACTTGCATCAGATTTGATACCATACTTGTGATCCTTCTTATTGGTATACTCTTATCAACAGAAATGTTTGTGCTATATCTTTATTACCCCATCATGTCTCTGTTTTCCAGTGCTGCAGTTATTTTTGTCCTTCCCCTTTCCTTTTACTTATCTTCCCATTAAACTGATACTACATCATCTGCAAGCATGTATACCCTACCCAACACTTCAATTTTTGGCAAGCCTATTCTTGCATCTTCGCCAAAGAAAGAACAATTCAAAAAGCCAACAGAAAATCACAAAGTTTGAATATCATCTATAAATTTCAGAGTTTTAACCCTAAGTACGAAGCTTTCTGGTACATGCTGGAGAATACAGACCCTGTCATCATCTTGGACACATGGCTCAAATCAACAATCTTTAAGAGGGAGGTCCTACAAGATAATTGTTTTTTTTCTGCTAAGAACCAACCAAATAGTCTTAGGAAGGAGTGGCCAACATTACCAGGCTAGTATAGATGCCTCAGAGGTCATATTGTACAGTTGGTCTCTTTAGGAGGTGTAAAATTTGGTGTTTTGCTTCCTCAAAGGCAAGCACTGATTTGAATAAAATTGAATCTACACTACCAGAGGTTGCTTCAGAAGTTATATGATTGATCATGGCTTCGCTGTCCTTGAGTAGATTTAAAAATATTTTTCCATATTTTATATACTGTAGATCACAAATTTTCGAGAGATAGTCATTTACTCTTTATGAGCAAGACAAAAATATTCACAAATTGTGGTTATTTCTCTCTATGATCTAATATGCAAGATTGAAATTTTTGCAAGCACACTGGCTCACATAATAACTTGAAAATAAAGTTCTCCCAAATAAAAAGTGATTTACAGTAAATTTTGGATTTCCTATTCTGACCCCATCCTACCCCCAGGGGCCATGATTTGAACAATTTGCAATCTGCACTAGATCAGGAAACTTTCACATTTATCTTAAACTTTTCTGGCACAATCGTTCTTGAGAAGAAGATTTTTTAATTTTTTTCCCCTATATATTTAAATGTAATTAAAACTTTGATTCTCTATTCTGGCCCCACCCTACCCCAGGAGCCTTCGTTTAAATAATTTACAACAATCTACACTTCTTTAGAAAGCTATTTTTTTTAATCCAGTTGTTCTTGAGAAAAATTGTAAAGATTTTTTTCCTAAGTATTTCATAGACTCCTATTGTGGCCCCAACCTACCCTCAAGGGCCATGATTTGATCAATTTGAAATCTACACTCCATCAGGAAGCTTAAATTCTTATTGTTTCATCTTTTCTGGCCGAATGGTTCTTGAGAGGAAGATTTCTAAAGATTTTTCCTATATTTTAATGTAAAAAATTTTTGACCCCTGTTGTGGCACCACTATTCCCCCAACTAGCCATGACTCAAACATATTACTACACCTCAGAATGCTTCTACAATCTAAGTTTTATCTTTTCTAGTCTAGTAAAACTATTTGGTCTTGAGAAGATTTTTAAAGATTTTTGTGCCTAGAGATGTTCTATACCAAATTTTGCAAAAATCGTTTTTAGTAATTTGAAAAGTGGAAAATATTCAAAAGTTATGCATGATGGATAAAATCAGATAGCAACAGGTCATGTGAATGACTCAAGTAAACTAAAAAAAATGAGAGTGGACTATTGCTTACCTTGCATCCAAGGAACTCTTGTACGTTTTTGCTCATTGACCACAGCATAGATATATGCTATCAGTATTATGATTAACAATACAGCAAAAATTAAAGGGAAGAGAATCTTCATCCATGTGCTAAATGAGAAAAAAATAAACAAGTACATGTATAGTGTTTATAATAAACATGAATATAAATATTGCATAGAATTCTGAAATACATATTGTACATACATTTCAATGCTACACAAAAATTAATATTCATTTATTCTGTAAAATGTGGAAAATATAAGGATTTACTCATCACTCTTCTCTTTTCTGTCATCTGTTACTTCAGCAGGTTTACGGAGGTCTTTGGTGGCAGTTGTAGGAGAAACAGTAGCAGGAGTTACAGTAGATGTAACTATGAACACTTCAGAAGTTGTTACAGTAGTTGTAGTTGAAATGCTTGTACCTTCATAACAAGCTGAATCTGAAAATATTAGCACTGCCATACACAGAATGATTTCAGAGGACAAATCATATTGATTCCTTGGTCCTTATGTACAACACTGTACAACTTCCAGTCAAAAGTTTGTATGAAATAAATCTCCAACAGATTGTCACATATGTTTTTAAAAGATTCCAAGATTTTCATATTCTGTACAGTCATGATCTACAAATATCCTTCTTTCAGCATGTCATCGCCAACAGTGTGACATCATCAATTTATGCATCATCGTTCATAGTTTTGCAGGGATTATCTCAAAGTTGTGTTAAAAACGAAAATCATATGAGATAAATAGAACATCTGTAATTGTGTGATTTGATATTTGCTTTATCCAGCTCGTTGAAATGGTGTATATTTGCTCTGCAAGCCTCATGAATATACACCATTCAACTTGTTGGATATAGCAAATATCAAATCACACAATATACTATAGATATCTTCTATTTCTCTGTCAAATTTTGACCCACTAGATATGCTGATTTTGTGTGCATTAATTTAATTATAAATAATGTTTCTTTTGGAAAATCACTGGGGTTAAAGATAAATTTTATATTGGGTGAACAGAGGGATTATGATGAACCTTAATTATTCCTTTACCAGACCAGAATGGGGGACTTAAATACTTTTGTAATAATCATAATTCCTGAAATTCTGATGGCATGAACAACAAAGAAAGCCAAACTTAGACAACCAGATAATTACACAATCAATTTGTTGTATATAAAGAGCAAAAGGTTTAAAATGCTACTTACAGTTATAAGCATCTTTAGAACTATAAAATGGAGGACATGTGTTATTTTTGCTGCAGTCCCTCTTATAATCATTCCTCACATATGGAGTATCACTATAAAAATGAGGACAGTACCCTAAAAAAGAAAATTATCTATTTTAAAATCATTCTAGTAGATTGACAGTTTAATTTTCTAACTTTTCTAATTTTATCTGAGTACCATGAGTAACAAACATGTGGAAGCAAATTATGACAACCCCATATTTAAACCAAATTAATTTGGATTAATTAACCTTTCAAAAGCACATTTATATCCCAGTTTTAAGGTCTTAATAATTTAATTTATAGACTAATTTTTAAAAGCAATTTTACATTGAAGACATTAAAATATTCATTAATAATTTTCAAAGTTTCAAATGTTTTCTCAAATTGGGGGGGGGGGGGGGGGGGGGGGTGTTAATGTGGAATTTTTCAAAAAAAATAAAATCTTTTATCAAAATTGTAATTATAACAATCAGTACAAGGGCTAGAGCTAGGAATGATAATACATCGAGGGGATATGGGAAAGGAGAAAGGCAAAAACAAGGACGACAAAGGTAGAACAAATAATCCATCTTAAGAAAAACTATTAATTGGACTAATATCCACAGTGGAGCAAATGAAAATTTTGATATAGCTGGAGAGAAAAAAAGCTCTGTCTTCTTGCAAAAAAATACAACATAAATTCCTGTGGCCTAATGAAATGTTATTGGTTTAGAATTGTGACACCTCTGGTCATGAGTAACATTTGTCTCAATTTCAGTGTAAAAGTGTGACTTTTACAGTCCTAGCATTTAAAAGTTTTGGCCAAAAGAACATTTTAATTATTTCCTAACCCATGTGACTGCATGTGACTATAAAAACAAACTTGGCTATGAATCATCGGTGTATTCCCATTTTGCCTTAACTGTGAAATACAGACCCTGTGTTTGTGAAACACCAATGCCCTCATATGGTAGCTTATGGTGAAGGTTAATGTTTCTCAAATGCAAGTCAAACTCTGACAAAGGTCGAGAGATAAAAAAAATGTTGCCCAAAGAAAGGTCTTGTCTCAGGGAATATAACTAAGAAATTTGAAAGCCCAAACATTGATCATTAAAAAGTTATGGCAAAGGTTAAAGTTTTTTTTAAAGAAAGTCAAACGTCAAGGTCAAATTAATGCTGCCCAAGGAAAGGTGTTGTCAACAAAAACTACATGTGAGAAATAAGAACACTCTAGCATCAACCATTCAAAAAGTATAAACTAGTTTAAAGTCTATCAAAAGTAGGTCAAACTCCAATGTCAAGGTCAATGGGTCATAATTGTTTGTACCCAAGGGAAGGTCTTGTTACAAGGAATACACACAAGATATATGAAAGCCCTGGCACCAACTGTTCAAATTTATGACCAAAGTTAAAGTTTTTTAAAAGTAGGTCAAACCAAGGTCAAGGTCAAAGGGTAAAAATTGGAATTTAATGGAATGTCTTGTCACAAGGAATACACCCATGAAATTTGAAAGCGCTAGTACTAACTTTTCAAAAGTTATTGCCAAGGTTAGAGTTTGGTAAAATTCTGCAAATGTAGGTCAAATACCAAGGTTAAGGTCAAAGGTCAAAGAAAGGTCTTGTCACATGGAAAATCGAGCAAAATATGAAAGCTATAGTTCCAACCAATCAAAAGTTAAAAACAGGGTTAAAGTTTCTGCAGACAAACAGTAAAACAGACAGACGGACAGTTAAAAAACTATATGACCCAAATCTTCAATTACTGGGGTATAAAAAGGTGAAAAAGTACTACATCAAGGTGGGGTTTTAAAAAATTTCCTTTGTAAAAACAATGTAATCTTAGTCTTTTTTCTCTCCAATTTTCAATTAATTTGAATTATTTTTTCCAATATTTTCACAAAAATTACTCATCTTAACCGTAACTATTAAAAAACAGTTTGAAATATTTTGTAAAAATGCATTTCAAACAATACTTATACTTAATTATATGTTTACACAAATTCCCATTTCGCCTTAATACACTCCATAAGGTACAACAGAGAAATGGGACAGCAAATTTTACTGTTGAGGCGAAATGGGAACAAATCTGACAGATGTATTGTAAAAAGTGGAATACATTGTGGTGTTTTCATTTATAATCACTTCGAAAATTAAGCAATTGTTAATATTGTGGGCGTATCAATGAAATATTTAATTATATCTATACACTTTCTATTTTGTAACAGTAAAATTATAGTAAATCGTTGAAAACAACACGGGGGGGGGGGGGGGGGGGGGGGGGGGGTAAACTTCATAGCTCCTTAAATAATTTACCATAACTTAATTTTTTTTTTAATTAAAGAATATTTTCTAAAATTTCAAATATACATATTAGTAAAAAGAAATTCATTGACCATGAAATTAAAACCAAGGATCATGAAATGAATCAACATAGGAAATTATGAAATGTTAAACACATGATCTTCAAAATATTTACAGTATTTGTGAAAAAAAAATTTTATGCCAACATTTCTTCTAATGTTTCTCCACTTGTGAAACCTCAGACCTAAATGATTGTGTTGTGGTAAATGTGGTCATGACACTGTACTTTCAAACTGTATACACAGTTACCACAAAAATAAATGGGAATTGGTTTACCAATTTAGGGTCATACTTATCTAATTTGGTAAAGTTGTCCGCTGACAACTGCAATAAAAATGAAGTTTAGCATTCAAGTTTCAAAGCTGTGAGATTTCTTAACGTAGAACCTACGTCGTATGACATCATATCAAGCAAATGAGTTTAGTCCGTCTTTTTGGTGCTTGATCCATTGGGCCAAAATAAAAAATACCTTTGTTTCCCCTAACGTGACCGACCCAATTAAATCTCGCCGACTGAAAAGTTTTTTAAAGAAGATTATTCAAATATTTTTTTAATGATTATCAACTTTTATAAAATACAATTTCATCAAAACCCATACTTATCAGAAATTCAGAATGTATTTTCAAAGCAGCTGTCAGAAAAAAAATAAAAATTTACCTACCTACCTACCCAACTTCAGATTCTAGGGTCGGGTAGGGGAAACAAAGATATTTTTAATGATGGCCTTATGACATCATAATTAATTTAATGCTACTTTTTCCTGTACTTTACGGTTTTAATCCAAGACTGTCTCATGTAATGAAGTTGCACAACTGTGAATGGCATACAACTATTTTGAAGGAATGCAAAAATCCTAAGAAATCTAAGTAATACAATACTAGTATCTTGATGAAATGTGTCTGAGTCAAAGATCTGTTAAAGGTTGTGTGTAAATTTTGTAATGTCTATCATGAAATGACAAGCATTCCTTTTCATAATTATTTGTTAACAATTTATAATGGTTGGTGTATAATAATAATGTTTCCCTTAAATATTATCTTTTAAAATAAAAAATTAAATTTTTTGATAAATATTCACATTGTAAATCTGAACGTAAGCCCAAAACAGTTATTTAATAATTAAATCCTGTGCAAGTGCAAATAGTTCAACAAAAGAAGTAATGATAAATAGTGTGCCTCTCATTAGTTCGCAGGGAAAGGTGTTTATTTTAATCACTTTTTTTAATTATTTGGGTATGTTCTTCATCATATTAAAGATTGAAAACATTCTGACAAAGACTTTTGAAAAATATTTACAAATTTAGGTTGTAAATTGACTCAAAAAATATTGAGCATATGCCTATATTCGTTGAAATGAGGACTTAATCTTTTATGTCAATTGAATAAAAAAAGAATTTATTCTTTAATAATATTGCTTAATAAGGTTCAGTTAATTAAATAAAGTCTATAAACGATTTTTTATATTCTCTTTCTGACCAGAACCCCTAAAAATGGCTGAAAATATGTTGTCGCAGTGTAAAATTATCATTCCAAGTTGCACAGGCTGCACTACATTTAATAACAAGGAAACATTTCATATATTTTTAACTGATTGATAAGCGAGTGCTAATTTATCATTTTGAAAAGTTTGAGAATCTTGTGACAAAGAATTTTTCGACATAGGTTCTACCTTAATCAAAATAATATACATGAATAATCTAATTTCTGTTTCAATTAACACACCATATCATTGGCTGAAAATTATATAAAATCCCTGAACTGTTTGACATGTATGCAGATGGTGGACATACTTGGTATCATTTTTTGCAGGAGGTTTATAATCTCCAGAAACAGATTCTATAATCAGGGATCGACATAAACGGTTGTCCGATTGCCTGGGACAAGTCAATTCTCAGTTCGGGCAAGTGAAACTGTAGACGTACTTGTCCAATTGGGCAAGTGAATTTTTCTTATAGAAATGTACAATTATTTAGTTTACATTAATTTATAAATAAAACAATGATTTGAACACTTGATTTCTGCCAGGTACCTTAATGGCATTGATTAGCATTCTGAAGTCCTAGAAAGCATTTCTAGATTATACCGTCCATTTAAAATTGGGTTCATTATTCTGTATTCTTTCATGGTAAATAGGCTCTAGGTCTAACAACTTTGTTAACTTCTTACAAGGAAATTAGATTATTTATTCACTAACAGAATATAAGTAACACAATGTATCCCAATCAAGATATGTTTCAAAGCAACTATCTTCCTTTAGCGTTGCTTCAAAGTTATCTCTGAAATTCATGACTCGCAAAAGGATCCTACAGAAAATAATTTTAAATATGGTAATATGAAATTTATTAAAAGGAAACGGAGGGTTACTGCTGCATGGCAGTGTGTGTTAACAAGTTAAATTGACAAGGACAGTGGTACACATTTATGTACAAACGCAGCATCAAATTTTTTTCATGTAGCTCAACTTGCGGAGTTGACAGTAGTGTATTTGGTCATATTTTTTTCTTATAATATTTACAGTGATAAATGATATTCTTCTTTCCTAATTTTGGGCAACTAAGTTTTGCATTTGGACAAGTCAACGTTTGAGATCACTTGCCCGAAGGGCAAGTGAATCTGAAAGTTAATGTCTATCCCTGATAATGACCTAAATTGGAATCTCATACACACATGCACTACCCTAAGTTGTATAAATACTTTATACTCAGTCATTGAAGTCAATTTTACTTTTGTTAGTCTATTATTCATAACTGATTTTGTATGATGAAGTTGGATCATATTTAATTGTCTGTTTGGTTGCCCAAATTAGAGTTCATGCTGAAATGTTAAATGAAATACACCTGAGTATATGATTTAAGCAACATTTTAATTTTTTCCCAATTCCCCAAAAATGGCATTTCCAAAAATTGGCTGATAAATCCCTGATTAACAATTCATCAAATGCAAACAACAGACTGTGTTGGAAAATAGTGTCACAAAAAAAAAAAAAAAAATGTCGCATAACATGACAGTTATATAAAAATGAAACTTCACAAAATTATGTATCAATAACTGTGAATTTTGTCTTCTTTTTTTTCGTCCTCCGACTTGACCTTTCTTGAAAAAAATCTGTAAAAGCCAGACACCAAAAAAGCTAACAGACGGACGGACATGAACGCCGTAACACAATATGTCCCGTCTAAAGACAGGCATAAAAAAATACTAAAGTAAGTGGCACAAGTGGCGCATTCCTTGATATACCAAAATTTTAATTTTTTGTTCAAATTCTTGAAAATTTGGGTAGGTCGGTCTTGAAAAACAAGTGGTAAAAAACTAATTCATTCAATCTAAAATGCTGGAAAATGCACTATTTGGAGCCATATTTTAAGAAAATTTCTCAGGAGAGGCCCCCCGAACCCCCATCTATGGGAGGGGACACTACGGGCCTCAACCCCCCCCCCCCCCCCCCCCCCCCCAAGAACTTCTGGATCTGCCACTGCACAAAGATAACCCCTTTAAGAACCTTCTCTACACTGCACATTAAAATACAAGTATTCTTAACATTTTAAAAGGCCAAGACAAATTAATTGAACACGTTATTTACATGTATTTTCTTTGGAAGTAAACAACTTTGATTTCTGTTCACTGATACTGTGTTGTGTTTGAACATTTTTCCCGGGGGTAAATGCCATGTACAATATATTAAAAATTAAATAGATAAGCTCAATATTTACACCTTTATTCCATACAATTTTTTTCAATGTCCAAAAAACATTTTACACTGGTGTACAGTCAGGGTCCTTAATGAGTCATTTTGAGACTTTTTCTGTGTAAACTTACCAAACCCAGAGTGGTCCCCTTTCATGCCATATTCTTTCACGATTTATAACATTAATATACTCAACTCCTATTTAAGCCAATTTCATAACTTTTTGAAAACATAAAATTTTCAGGGCACAAATAAGCACAAACAGTACCTTCTTCTTCATACACTGTAAACCAACTACTATTCGCTACAATTTTTTTCACCATTTCAGTTTGAAATCAATTCGTAACAAAATATTTTTACATCTGGGGAAGAATTTTACATAAATACACTATAACTCATGGTTTCAAGGGGAGAAATATCTGCGAATACAAGAAGGCTGCAAAAGTGGTGGATGCCCCAGCACGCAAATAAAAGTTGGTTTACAGTACATTATTATACTGTATACAGGCAAACATTCATAAATAGCGATCACAAGTAAATGCCATTCCATATTCATCTCACCACTCAAATTTTTTGGTACCGTGCACACTTCCACCATTGTTTTATTAACAGCGGGTAAGCAATGGTATACAGCATGTTCACAGTTTCTTGTCATCTTAATCTTACTGCAGTTCATTCTTTTTGATGCAGCCTCCCATTCTTCTTTATCAATTGGACAAGAAGAAACATTTCTCACTGTTTCCAATGTCCTCAGACAGAATTCACCCAAAGTAAGCTATAAAGTGTATATTTTAAGAAGACTTTATACATACATATAAATACAATATACATAATACAAATTACAAAAATATTGCAACAGGAAAGGAGAAAAATACAACGGACCAGACCAGGAATCAAACCGGGGCCCCCTGAATCTCTAGTTAGGTGCTCTCCCAATTGAGCTGTCTGGCCATTGGCAATTGACCGCCACATTCCTACCTCCCTAAAGGTCTTTGCCCCCAAAACCAACACACACTCTTCCCTGGCAGGTTTTTCACTAATCCGAGATTCCTCGGACTCTAACCCCTGCTTTTATATTTTGACATGTGCAGGGGAGACCTCCCCTGCACATGTCAAAATATAAAAGCAGGGGTTAGAGTCAGAGGAATCTCGGATTATCTGGCCACCGATGATCGAACCCGTCTGACCACCACAATATTTTGCACTCTAACTGGTAAAATCTAGAAACAACTTCACTGGCCCATGCATTTTCATGATCAAGCACCTACTGTAAGATCTCAAAAGAATTAATTCGATCTGACATGACTACCATACACATACAGACTCAGGGAATATATAACGTAACATTTACAATTCCAAATATTTATCCTCCTAGATTCTTTGCAAATTAGAATACTGTTCATTTATATGTGATATGTTATATCACTTTCACCATTGCTCCTTCACACAGAAAAGTGAAAACATTTTTTGGTTTATAAATTTGATTAAAAAAAACTGTGTTAATTTAGACAAGAAATTCACAAATTGAATGAAATATGAGTCATCCCATCAACTTATATTGCCTAAATGTGGTATCACTGGTATATTTCATCGACAAATGTCTAAGTCTTAATTCGTCTATTCACAAAGCTCAATAGCAATGGCTTCCTTTACTTAGATAAATTTCCGAGTCTTGATCATGTTGATCAGTGCAGACCATGCTAACTAGTATATAACAGTATAACCTACATGTATCATATATTGTAAAAACATGACGTTCTTCCGCTTTCATTCAAACATCTAATTTACAGACATTTCTGTACAATATGGTTATATCTACCTTAAAAATGAGGACGATCAAAAATATAATATTAACGCAACCCATTTGATTTCACAGCACCATCAGTATTTCCAGTCTTCTTTGCAGAGTTGTCGTTCGTTCCTCTCTTAGCATGAACAGATGAAGCTGATCGAACAACAAAAAGAAGTTAATTGTAACATAGATCGATGGACTCTTTTTTCACATTTGACTGTCCCCTCACTTTCCCCTCAAAAGATTTGATGAAAATATAACTGACACATATCATATAGTACTTATTCGTGTCTCTACTTTCATTTCATCATTTGAGGTCGGTTTTTCCGGTATGCGGAGAGTTGTCGTTCTTAACAGTAAACCTCGTTCAATCCGCTGCCTACGTAAACTCTGACGAGTATGTGAGAATCTGTACGAGACAATCATCACATAGCCTATCGTTGTGTGGGGTGGGCGGGGACTTTTACAAGATTTCGGTTTCTTTTTGTTTTAATATGCCCCCGCAATCGAAGATTCGGGGGACATCATTATAGTTTTTGCCCTGTCCGTTTGTCTGTTTTGTTATTGTTATTGGTCCGAGAAAACTTTAACCTTGGTCATAACTTTTGATTGGTTGGAACTATGACTTCATATACATGTATTTCACACGTGATATGTATACCTTTCTTTGGGTAGCAACATATTTAACCCCTTGACCCTGACCTTAGAGTTTGACCTAATTTTGCAAAATTTTACTACACTTTAACCTTAATTGGGCATAGCTTTTTAATGGTTGTTACCAGGGCTATCATACTTTGCATGTGTACTCTTTGTCATAAGACCTATTTTTGACCTCACAACCCTAACCTTGGAGTTTGATCCACTATACACAAACTTTAACCTTGGCCATAAGTTTTAAATGGTTGGAGCATGGGCTTTCATATTTCACATGTATATCCTTATCTCGGTGGAGATTCGGCTGGGCTAGATATTTGGTCTGACGTCCACCGAATTCGAATTCGAACTGATCAGTCAGCCCTAAAAAATTCATTTCCCCGCGCTTGCGCGGGGTCATCTAGTTATCTTCAAACGATATAGGGCTCCAAAGGCGAAAGTGCGAAGGTGCGAGTGTCCTTAACGGAATGCTTTACATACACCTCTAAATCAAGTTTGAGGAAATATCAGTTTAAATTTTTATTTATTGAAATAAAAAACGGGGATTTTCAGCATTTTATATCTGTTCAAAACACCTGGTAATGTATGCTGATTTCTTTTCAAAGAATATATGATGCTACTACGATATGGAATTCCATATACGACAGCCAACTGCTTACTGCCAACTGCTCACTGCTTACTGCCAATATCTCACTGCTTACTGCCAACTGCTCACTGCTTACTGCCAACTGCCACACATATCTGAATAAATTTTCATATATATTTTTAGCTCACCTGAGCTGAAAGCTCAAGTGAGCTTTTCTGATCACATTTTGTCTGTAGTCCGTCTGTCCGTCTGTCTGTAAACTTTCCACATTTTCGACTTCTTCTCCAGAACCACTGGGCCAATTTCAACCAAACTTGCCACAAAGCATCCTTGGGTAAAGGGGATTCAAGTTTGTTCAAATGAAGGGCCACACCCTCTTTCAAGGGGAGATACTAAAGAATTAGTGAAAAATTAATAGCATCTTTTAAAAATCTTCTTCTCAAGAACCACAGGGCAAGGAAAGATGAAACTCATGTGGAAGCATCCTCAGGTAGTGTACATTCAATTTTGTTCAAATCATGACCCCCGGGGGTAGGGCGGGGCCACAATGGAGGATCAAAGTTTTACATAGAAATATATAGGAAAAACCTTTAAAAATCTTCTTCTCAAGAACAGCAAAGCCATGATGAGTCATATTTATATGGAAGCATCCTCAGGTAGTGTACATTCAATTTTTTTCAAATCATGACCCCCGGGGGTAGGGCGGGGCCACAATGGAGGATCAAAGTTTTACATAGAAATATATAGGAAAAACCTTTAAAAGTCTTCTTCTCAAGAACAGCAAAGTCATGATGAGTCATATTTATATGGAAGCATCCTCAGGTAGTGTAGATTCAAGTTTGTTCCAATCATGACCCCTGGGGGTAGGATGGAGCCACAATGGGCGATCCAAGTTTTAAATAAGAATACACAGGAAAAATCTGTAAAAATCTTTTTCACAAGAACAACAAAGCCATGATTGGTCATATTTACATGGAAGCATCCTCAAGTAGTGCAGGTTCAAGTTTGTTCCAATCATGACCCCCGGGGGTAAGGTGGAGCCACAATGGGTGATCAAAGTTTTACATAAAATACATAGGAAAAATTTGTAAAAATCTTTTTCTCAAGAACAGCAAAGCCATAATTGTTTTTTTTTATGGGTGCATCCCCAGGAAGTGTAGATTCAAGTTTGTTTAAATCATGACCCCCAGGGGTAGGGTGGGGCCACAATGGGCGATCAAAGTTTTACATAGGAATACATAGGAAAAAGCAAGCCTTTTAAAATCTTCTTCTGAAGAACAGCAAAGCAATAATTAGTCATATTTAAATGCAAGCATCCTCAGGTAATGTAGATTCAAATTTTGTTCAAATCATGACCCACCCCCCCCCCCCCCCCCAGGAGAATAGAGGGGCCATAACAGGGGATCATAGTTATACAAAGGAATACAAATGATATATCAATAAAAAATTGTCTTCCTAAGAACAGCATAGCCATTATTTGTCATATTAATTCAGAAGCATCCCTTTGAAGTATAGATTCAAGTTCAAATTACCCCCCCCCCCCCCGAACCACTTTGATATCAAAACTTTTCAAGACTCAACTGATTTCTGCTTTTTCCTAGCCAGAGTGCTCAGGTGAGCGATGTGGCCCCTGGGCCTCTTGTTTTATTCCTTGTCAAGGGAATTATGTTGGATTGCCCCCCCCCCCCCCCCAAAGCACTGAAATTGCTTTTCCTTGCCTGAGATCAACTGTTTTTACATAGAGTAAAAGGCCTTTATGATTTTTTTATTAGTATTTCTGATATAAATGCACATACTAACAAATGTAACCCAAGATCCTACTAAAAGTCCTCCCCCCATTTTTTCTGCGCCTTTTATAAAAGCCTTTAATACCCCCCCCCCCCCCCCCCCGGGTCAAAAAATCTATTGAATTATTTGTCTGCAAGGAAATGTGGGGATTTGATGTAGTGTATTAAAGAGGGAATACTCTTTCCCCCCATTTATTCCTTCCTTGCCTTCACTGTTTAAAAATTCCTGAATCCGCCAATTTTTGTCATTATTGTAATCTACCATAGGGTTTATTCAATTAAGCATGCGTATTAAAGATTTTAAAGATAACAAAACAGGCAATATTATCTATGATCAGTGACAGTTGGCAGTGAGCAGTTGGCAGTAAGCAGTGGGCAGTTGGCAGTAAGCAGTTGGCTGTCGTATATGGAACTCCTACAGAGAGTTCCTCGGTTTAAGCTTATTTCCGAGATAACACTTGTCTGCTAAATCGGAGCGCTGTGAGTATTGAGGATCTGTCGCCGAGGAAGCAGTTGATGGGTGTGTATTTCTATTCAGCAGGAGGATCCCTTAGTTTAGAGTTTCCTCTTTTTCTCTTTGTTGTCCGGGCAAGATAAAAAAAAAACAAGGAAATCCTCCACTTTTTGAGGCATCTGGTGAATCTGTAACTGCAATTAAATAACATGACCCTCTACATTTTTTTTTGGGGGGGGGGGGCTACATCTCCTTAGGACCTCCGTACTCTGTAATGGTGCAGTCCGGGAGTGATTCACTCCGATAAAAATTTTGGCCCAAATCAGAAAATATATTTTTAATATTTTTATTAGGAAACTCATTGTATACTACTAGCACATCCCAAATTATATATGATTATTATCCATCTTTTAGCTGCCCGACCAATACACTCAGCATCTTATAGTCATGACTAGTGAAACATGTAGCAGCATAGACATACCGTAAAAATATTCAAAACGGAACTCCTCCAATACCAGCATATTCAAATCAAAATTTAGAACAGCACAGACTGACCAGCATGTCATTGTTACTACAGATTTTCAATTCTTTTACATGTTGTTCTAAATATACATATTTTATGTCGTTTACATTCTTCTGTGAGTTGAGAGTTAAAAATAACATGTATTTTTACTATTTTGGATATCCCTGTTAAGAATTTCTGAAGTCCATTTTCCTCTATTTAATTATATAGTAAGTAAATATAACTAACGCAAAGAAAAAAGAAAAAAAATACATTGGAGGATCCAGGAATCTTGAAAAGGGGGGGGGGGACCAGGGACCGATACAATACCAGCTGGGTTGGGCCACACAAATAAATTAATTGAAATCTTATGTATATTTTGGACATAAAAAGGGCGGCCCGGGCACCCTGCCCCCTTCTAAATCCGCCAGTGAGATAGATTCTTTAGTAAAGGACTTTCCACTTGGTTTCTTGGTTTCCAAGAATGTATGCACCACAGAAGTACCGCTGTAAATATCTATATTGTATTCACTCTTATTTTCCTATAAATACTTAATCTTCTTCCGGGAAGACTGATATAAAAATTACCGATGATGATTTGAATATATTTCAAAATGCGGAAGAATAGGCTGCTAGCTAATATATTCTAGGGATGAATTACAGAAAGAAAAAGTATTCACTTTTATTTTTACTATTATTTTTGTTACAAATGTGTCGTCTTCGTGCCAGGTGTCCGAGGTAAGTGTTACTTTTTGGATCTGCAGAATGATATTAATTAAATCATTATTAAGAATCGACATTTATAATTTACGTAAATAATTAACATAACATACATCAACATAATTTATATTAATTAATATCTCACAATTTCAAAATGCAGAATACTTATTTTCCGGATCAGCAATAATGGTACTTAATATATTTCATTCATTTGTTTGTGATTTTATCATGATGTGAATGATCTTTAAATGTCGTTTAAAATGGGCTGAATTCTTAAAAATTACTATAATCAACGGAATAATTTATTATAGAATTTGTTAAAGGATGACGAATCGAGAATTGTCCGAATGGAATTCCAGTTATTCAGAGGGTGTACATGCATTCAATACAGATTTCCTTTTTTCACCATACATATTTTTTTTTTCAAATTAGAAATGGGAGACACCTTTATAATGTAACTGACTATCTACTGATCTCTCATTTTTGCAGTCCAAGACTTTTCGATCCGCTTGTCGGGAGAGTACTGGGCCGAAAAGCATACACTTGCAAAAGCATGGACTTTCGAAGATGTCAAATTCATGTCTTTTTGATCAACTCAAAATATTTTGAATGATAACACACATTTACATAAAAAGAATGTGTTTTGGGGGGACGGGAGGGGGGTGTTAGGTCAAAAACAGAATACATTTTGAAGATTTTTTTTACTTCGTATTACATGGATCCACATCTATTGATTTGATTTGAACATATTTTATTGTGAAACACAAAAGACTCGGAAACAAATTCTCACAACTTACAAGTTTCTCTCCCGGAAAGTTTCAGTTGCCATCCTTTGATCATATGCTTCTAAATTAAGTAAGATGACTGAAATAGATTTTAAAAAAATATTTTTTGTTCTGTTAAATGTTAACGAGGGGTACTTGAAAAATAATTGTTAAGCACTTCAATTAATTAAAGAGGAAACAATTCAAGATAATGTTATATGATTTATCATATAAAACCTAGATGGAATTATGAAATACTAGTATATTATAAAACCAAGTCTGTCGTACCATGTCAGTATGTTAGCAATTGTTCTTGTTGATAGATCTACAGTAACAATGTAAGTGCTGTGTTATATAGAGACGAGAATATGATAATCAGGGTAGGGTAGTGCTTTAACTTCAACCACTTAGTTAAAGCTGTATATTGCGTATCTGGGCTAAAAATAATAATACATTACGAGACTGAGTGTAGATATACATGATATATGTTATTTACGTTCAAATTAAAACTTTCAACGATTTTGAACTTGAATACAGTGTAACCTCACGTTTCTATAGTTAAATGAGTTTCAGTAAACTTTGTTATTTAAATGTGGAGTCGTTAAATAATTCGGTAATTGTTTTAAAATTCTAGTATCTTTGAAACGTGATTGATTTAAATTGTGTAATTTATAGGAAAGTCATATCTTTATATAAAGTAATAAAACAAATAGAAAGATCTTTTTGATTTTGGTTTTTGAACTTAACAAAAACAAAAAACAAAAAAAAAACCGCCATATTTGACTTTAATTAATTTCGACCAATTACGAATATTCTTTGAAATGTTTTGTTTATAATCTACACTTGAAATACTGAAATCTGTACAATTTTTTAATAAATATTTTTAGTTTTTACAAATTAAAATACAGATCAGCTGATCAGAAATAGGTCGAAGTTAATTAAGGAATGTTTTTAAGTTTTGTGTGAGTTATTGGTGTGTAAATCACACAGACTTGTCACGTAGGCATATTTCATGAAGCGCGCTAGCGCTTCGTGAAAAATATGCCTACGTGCAAGTCTGTGTGATTTACACACCAATAATTCACACAAAACTTAAAAAACATTCCTTATATTTACATTTTACATGCTTCAATGCACCAAAAATATACTCAGTTTTTGAATTTCTCGCTGCCCTATATCGTCATATTTTTATTAACGTCTTTGTAGCTCATTGTGACGTCACTTTAGCGCGAGTTTCGTCCTGTATATTTCTACGCGTGAGTATACACAAAAATGACTTTCAAATCAATTTCACAGTTGGCTTAGTAGAAAAACACAGCAAATGTAAATATTCCTGCATGAATACAGCGCCAGTGGATAACTTAATGACGCAATATAAAGATGCGACGAAGAATTCATGACCGTATAAAGCCATTCAATTTTTTTTCCACCCATCTCTTAAAAACCTACCTACCTATTCGCAAAAAACACACAATTAAGCCAAAAACAAATTGAAGAAGTTAAGCTTGATAGAATTGACTACTCACAGGTCTCAATTGTTAAACTCTGGTAAAATAGACTATATGAGTAATATTTGGATTTTTTACTTGGAAAGTCATCTCTCTTAAATCAGAGGGTCGTTCCCCCTTAAATCTAACCTTCGAATGTCAATTGGATCTCTTTGATAAAATAGTTTTACCAGTATTGTTTTATGGTTGTGAAATATGGGGTTATTAAATTATTTATATTATTGAACGAGTACATTTACGTTTTCTGAAACATTGAATTTTAAAAAAAGCACTACTCCAATTATATGGTTTATGGAGAAACTGGACGATTTCCGCTATACATAAATATTTACTCAAGAATTATAAAATATTGGGCAAAACTTGTGTATGGAAAAGAAAACAAATTATGTACAATTGTATACATGTATTTACGCAAACAATATGATGAAGGAGAAATGATCAACTCCTGGATTTCCTTTGTACAAAACATTTCTGACAGATATGGTTTATCAAATATATGGCACGAGCAATATTTCTTTAATAAAAATGGATAGCTGCTGCAGTCAAACAAAAATTAAAAGATCAATACGTTCAAAAATGGAATAGTGAAGTTCAAGAACCTTCAAAAAATTTGAATTATAGAATTTTTAAAACCAATTTTGAGTGCGAAAAATATTTGACGCTGTTACATGTATCATGTAAATTTCGAAAAACTTTTGTTAAATTTAGAACCACAAAGCATCACCTTCCAATTGAAACAGGTAGATGGAATGGTATTCAAATAAATGAAAGATTGTGTAGCTTATATATGCGATAGTAAACAGATAGATGAATATCACTATATTTTAGAATGTAGTGGTTTAAACCAATTGAGGAAAAAAAAACTGAACCAAAATTTTTGTTCTAACCCAAATACGATGAAGTTTTGTAAAGTCAAGTGCCAAAAAGATGTTGAATCTTTGGGAAAAAAATATGTACATTTATTACTAAAATTCATAGTATGGTCTGTTCTCATTAGCTAGCTTAAATAATCTCACCTTTTGCCCGACCCACTGTATTATATGTATGTATGTTTTTATATGTTATGTACATGTACCTTGTGTACCATTTACATGGTTTTGAGAGATTACATTGAATTGAATGAATTGAAAAGAAGAATTTAATTTAAAAAAGTGGAGTTTGCTTTTAAACAGTTTTTTTATACTTTGAATATTCACAATAAATATAGGTATCCTATTATTAACGTACCAATTCCACAAAAATGCGTGAAACAGGGTTTGTGAAAAGTATTATAAATGACCATTCTTAGTAATGCAAATACAGCTATAGTTTGGACACTTCCGATACAATACCAGCTGTTATATAGTTCGTAAACAAGTATTTGGGAATCATACATTTTATAAGGCTTAAGGTTAGCTACATGTATCATCATTTACGCTCCAAACTATGTAAACATAGTTTTTCAAACGCAAAACTATATTTCGCTCAGACTTTGGTGTGTTACTTATATCATTGGCAAATTGTCCCTTCATATTTTCATCGAACAAAAAAATTAACTAACATACAATGAGTAGACAGTGGAATTTTTTAAAAAGTACTATATATTTAAGAATTATTTCTTTCAGCGACCCAAACTTGGTGTGTTGTCCAGACAAGGTTTGGGACAACGAAAGAGGAAAATGCATCAGTGAGTTGATTCCATTACAAAATCTACAGATAAAATTTTATCCTTATTAAAAATTATACTCCTATATATACATATTATCTAAACTTGCTTGTTTGAAGCAACACATAGATTACTCCTTAATTAACTCATAATCAAAATTGTCTTTTCCAGGTTGCATAATCGGGTATTCGGGAATTAACTGCTCCACACCGTGTCGTTATCCGAGTTATGGAAAGGACTGTCAGTCACACTGTTCCTGTAGGACAACAGAATTTTGTAGTCCGTCATACGGCTGTATACCAATATCAACAGAAGGTATTATTTTAGTCAGGGAAGGGGAAGCAATTAAAAGTATGCTTTATGTAGCTTTACAATTCAGAATTAAGCACCCTAAATATTCTCTATAGAGATGTTATGCACAGGTATTACTGGAATCATGTTTCAAAATTATTCTTTAATCTATTATGTGCTTTGATCTTTGTTCAGTGGACACAACAGAAACTAGTATGGCAACAACTCCAAAAGAACCAGAAACAAGTTCAACAGCAACCACCGTACATTCCACCACAAGTACCAAATCTAGCCCGGAAGTGGTAGCAACGTCTGCTCTCATCTCTGGAAAAACTAGAAGTACGCGTGCGCATGAAGTCATAGCAAACTCCCAAAGTGGCCAGACTAGGACTTCATCAAATGATCCCATGTTGGCAAATAGCCCCCTCCTGTTGGGGATTTTCATATTTTGTGGGTTGTTCTTACTCCTCTTTGCCGTGTTGGTGATAACACAAATGCGATATAAATGTTCCAAAAATAATGACACTCTACACAACCAGGACATTTATCCAAAAGGGAATACACAACTAAAATCATATGACGTTATCCAAGGCAAAGAATCAAAAGGTTTGAACCGTGGATCCAGAGCTGAAACCCCGCCTGATCAAAGAGATCCACCGTATGCAGACATTGAAAATTACATTGAAAATGAGCAAAAGATGCCCAACAGTGGCGACCCGAAACCGTGTCAGTCAAATGGCAACGTTCTTTCACAAAAAGACGGGCCAACACTGGATAAGACCATACCAAAGTACATCGAAATTGTAGGCTCCCCTGAACACGAGTCAATTGTTAAAGCATTTTCGAACGATTTGGGGGTCATAAGCAATACCTACACAAGTGACTGCACAAACCCCAAACAACTGTATTTGTCTGTGGTTTAGAATTACATGTGGTGATTGTTTTCAATGTAAATGTACTGATTTCTTCCTATATTCAAATTTTACTCGCCTATGGCAAAGGCAGTTCAGTACAAAAATGTATATAATTTAGTTAGCATTAGATTTGATTAAAAAAAAATCTCGGAAAAGACTGGAATTTAAACAAGAGGCCCATGGGCCACATCGCTCACCTGAGTAACTTTGGCCATGCTGTTCTTTACCAGATTTCCCCCCTTCTAATACTTATTGTGGCCCCGCCCTACCCCTTGGGGTCATGATTTTAACAATTAAAAATCTACACTATCCTAGGATGCTTCCACATAATTTTCAGTTTTTCTGGCCCAGTTGTTCTTGAGAAGAAGATTTTTCTTACATATTTCAATGTAAAATTGGATTCCCTATTGTGGCCCCGCCCTACCCCCAGGGGTCATGATTTTTACAATTTAGTATCTACACTACCCCAGGATGCTTCCACATAAGTTTCAGTTTTTTTGGCCCAGTTGTGCTTGAGAAGAAGATTTTTCTTACATATTTCAATGTAAAACTTGGATTCCCTATTGTGGCCCCGCCCTACCCCCGGGGGTCATGATTTTTACAATTTAGCATCTACACTACCCCAGGATGCTTCCACATTAGCTTCAGCTTTTCTGGCCCAATTGTTCTTGAAAAGAAGATTTTAAAAGATTTTTTCCTATTTATTTCAATGTAAAACTTGGATTCCCTATTGTGGCCCCGCCCTATCCCCGGGGGTCATGATTTGAATAATTTAGAATCTACACTACCCCAGGATACTTCCACATAAGTTTCAGCTTTTCTTGCCTAATAGTTCTTGAGAAGAAGATTTTTCAAGATTTTTCTTCCATATTTCAATGTAAAACTTGGATTCCCTATTGTTGCCCCGCCCTACCCCCGGGGGTCATGATTTTTACAATTTAGCACCTACACTATCCCAGCATGCTTCCAGATAAGTTTCAGCTTTTCTGGCCCAGTTGTTCTTTAGAAGAATATCTTAAAAGAAATTTCCTATTTATTTCAATGTAAAACTTGGATTCCCTATTGTGGCCCCGCCCTATCCCCTGGGGTCATGATTTGAATAATTTAAATTCTACACTATCCCAGGATGCTTCCACATAAGTTTCAGGTTTTTTGGCCCAGTGGTTCTTGAGAAGAAGATTTTTAAAGATTTTTCCTATATATTTCAATGTAAAACATGGATTCCCTATTGTGGCCCCTCCCTACCCCCGGGGGTCATGATTTTAACAATTTAAAATCTACACTATCCCAGGATGCTTCCACATAAGTTTCAGCTTTTTTGGCCCAGTGGTTCTTGAGAAGAAGATTTTTAAAGATTTTTCTTACATATTTCAATGTAAAACATGGATTCCCTATTGTGGCCCCGCCCTACCCCCGGGGATCATGATTTTAACAATTTAAAATCTACACTATCCCAGGATGCTTCCACATAAATTTCAGCTTTTTTGGCCCAGTGGTTCTTGAGAAGAAGATTTTTAAAGACTTTCCTATATATTTCTATGTAAAACATTGATTCCACATTGTGGCCCCGCCCTACCCCCGGGGGTCATGATTTGAACAATTTAGAATCTACACTACCCCAGGATGCTTCCATATAAGTTTCAGCTTTACTGGCCCTGTGGTTCTTGAGAAGAAGATTTTTTAATGACCCCACCCTATTTTTGTCTTCTCTTGATTATCTCCCCTTGTGAGGGGACTTGGCCCTTCGTTTTAACAATTTAAATTCCCCTTCACCCAAGGATGCTTTGTACCAAGTTTGGTCAAAATTGGCCCAGTGGTTCTTGAGAAGAAGTCAAAAATGTGAAAAGTTTACAGACGGACGGACAGACAGACGGACAGACGGACGGACGGACGACGGACAAAATGTGATCAGAAAAGCTCACTTGAGCCTTCGGCTCAGGTGAGCTAAAAAAGTTCCTTCAACAGTTCAAAACAAAGCGAATGGAAATTTTTATAGCATTGTCAGCAATATTCAGTAAGGCCATTCTCTGCATGAACTGAACTTGTTGCCTTTATGATGGAAAAAGCTAACATCTCAATAAGCCTATATACCGCCTAAACCTTTCTGTATGAAAATCAATTTCCTTTTCATATGTTTAGTCGTCAATACACCGATTTCGCACTGTGCGATACGGGTGACGTCGCAATATCCCATATCAACAACCGGCCCGAAAACCCAATTATGTATCGAACCCATATCAAACCGGAAGTAACGTTTTTAAAAAGGTCAGACATTATATTAAATTGATTTTATTGAAATATACATATAATATGAAATATACATTAATACATTGAGAATATTACATACTAAAATCCATATCATAATTATTTCATATCAGCCCACGGGCCAATCTTGCTCATCGTAACCATGCACTTAGTTTGTAGTATTTTCAATACCCAGGAGCAATAAAGAAGATTTTCCAATAATATTTATTTTTCACTATATGATCAATAGAGCCCTGCTTTAGTGCCAATACCTGACCCAGGCGCCACTAATTTCACAATTTTGGAAAAGGCACTCTTGCTCACCATCACAGTGCACTTTGATTGTTTAGTATAAAGTGGGAAAGGATAGAAGATTTTTGAAGAATTTATGCATTTTTACTACATGATCAATAGAACTCCACCCTAACATCAGAACCCCTGACCCAAAGGCTTTAGGTAAAGAGCTTAATTCTTATTACTATCAAGCCAACAGTTTGACTGTTTGATGTCCAGGAGTAAAGAAGAAGATTTATTTTTAAAGATTGCATTAATTTTGATGGTTTTAGTCTCACCCCTCACACCCCAGGGGGCAGGGACAATAAACTTTACAATCGGTCGTTGATATGGGATACTGTAACATCACCTGTATCGCACACTACGGAATAGGTGTATTTACTACTAAATATATGAGAAAATTTATGAACTAAAATTTGTTAACTTCACATGTTTAAAAATGACCTAAAATTGGCTCTTAGATTTTAAAGAAAAAGATCAAATGCATGCACAAAACATTCTTAAATATCATGTGAACACACATTTAAAATATTTTAAGTGCACTTGTATATGATAAATAGAATACTACATAATAAAACCCATATCATATGTCACATCAACCCTTGGGCTGATATGGGGTCACTCAGGCTGATATACGATTTGGATTTTTTTCTATGTATTAACTATTGTATAGTTACAATTACTAAGATAAGAAGTGCAAATAAAATCTGATGAAAAATTTCCAGAACTCCAATTTATCACTTCTATATGCATAACAATGCCAATTTTGATGTATTTATGAACATACATCTAATTTTTTAATCCCCAAGTCTCTTGTGAAGTGTTTTGCAACCTCAACACTCTAAATTCCTCTCCAAGTTCTATAAATGAAATTAATTATTGGTGATTCTACATGCAGCTTTTAAGCTTCAATTTCCTATTTCCTTTCCCGTCTATTTCCTGAAATTAACAACACCCCATATTCAAAATTTCACTAGCTCTAATGAGAATATGTACTTTCCAGAATTATATTATTAAGGAGTTCTTTCCTGCTAAATTATGAAGATGAACATTTTAAAGTTTTCATTTACATGTATACCGATACTTCATTGCAATTTACTTAATTGTTTACATCATATATATACAAACATGCATAAAATTCCACATAATTGTATTCAAAATAAGAAATTCCAATGAACTCTTCATTTATTTTGTATATCAATCATTTTGATGTTCATCTCGGATTTATAGTGTGTCACAGAAAAATCCAGGAAATAAATTCATCACTTTTCTACTGACACCCATTGAGGAAAGTTTAACTGTACATTGTTTTTCACACAAGACACAAATTTCAGAAAAAATTCTCAGAAATATTTTTATGACCTTAATTCAAAGATACTGAAAAATGATATTTCAAGTGTCTGAATTAAAGGAAATAAAGAAGATGGGCCCAACCTTGAGTGAAATGCCTATAGTGCAACAAACATGAAGGTGAAAAATTAAATCTCAATTATAACAAAATTTTCTTCGATATTTCATCTAACATTAAAGTATACTTTATGTAAAATCTCCACAATATACAAAAATCTCATATTAAAAGATTGAAATTATTTGCCTATGAAATAGCATACACACACTAAACAGTGCAAAAAGGATCATTTTCTCATACTATAACACAATTTTTTGATATGAGTGGGTTTTCGCTCCATTTTTTGGAAAGTTTATCCTCAAAGTTTGCATTAAAATGAACATTTTTTGGTTTACAAAAACATGGAGCTATATTTTTATATATCTGAAGCTATAGGCATTCTGCACGCCTTGTTCACCCATCTCCTTACACAATGGGAAAAATACACTTGGTGAGCCTACTTGAGCACCAAGGATTAAAATATTTTACCTAAATGATTTTGAGAAAACGTGTCCAAACTATACATTACACTTTACAGCACAGGATGTTTTAATATACTTTTTTTATTGCTTGATCTTACCAATAACATTTCATAATAACACAAGAAGACTGTAACCATAGTGAACATAGAATATACAGTATGTAATTAACCAAAAATCCTCTTTATAAAATTTGTACATCTTCTACAAAATGAAGCTTATAAAAAGTTACTAAATGATTTCCCTGTGTTGCAATGAATTTCAACCCTAAATCAGTCAATTCTGATAAGCTGTACAATTTCTTTTTCCCAGGTTAAAGATGATATACTCATCTTAAAACCATTACTTGTTCTTCTTTTTCTTCTTCGTTGGCACCTCTTCCTCCACCTCTTCCTCTTCAGCTTCCACCTTGGGCTTCTTCTTTTTCTTCTTGGGTGGCTCTTCCTCTTGGGTGGTGTCCATCTCTTGTGTGGTATCCATGCCCTCACCCTCTGACTTCCTCTTGTTCTTCTTCTTCTTCTTTTTGGGCTCCTCCTGTGAAATGTCCATTTCCTGTGTAGTATCTGCTTCCTGTGTTGCATCTAAGGTATCATCAGCTGATGATTTTCTCTTCTCCTTCTTCTTTTTCTTCTTTTCTTTCTTCGCCACTTTTGCCTGAACAACTGCTGCCTGTAACATTAATTTCATGATTCAGTACAAGTACATTGCTGCTGAAAATTTATCATTAGTACTGCATTTGTACACTCTGAATGAAACATGTAAATCCTCATTTATCAAATCTGGAGAAATACCGGTACTGTGAAATCACTTATTTTTGTGGGGTCAAATTTTTTGAGGTTTTAAAGAAGAATATTGATTTGTGGGGATTTGATTTTTTGGCTGGAGAAGTGTTGAGTAGTTATGTAAATGAAATTTTACATTTCATGGTGGACATGAATTTGTGGATCTCTTCATACCTCGAAAACAACTAAAATTAAACTGCCATGATAATTAGTGATTTCACAGTACATAGATACACATCAATAAGACACCTCTCCTTTCCAGTCTTAATTCAATAAACATTTCCAGAGCTCACCTCTTGCACAGCTTCATGCATGACATCAATGTTCTTCTGTGGTGCCTCCCCCGTATCCAAAAACTTAAGGCGGTCCTCCACTTGCTGTCTCAGATGGTCCCCAAATACCTGAGTAGGGATCTCTGCAGTACAAAAAATGTCATTAATTAAATGGCTTATAAAATAAATGTTTATAAAAATAGCATTTTATTTTTTGTACATTACAAAATTCTATAAACTACTGGTAAATAATAGCTCTCAATGGGGTACACCCACTTAGCTGTGTGGTTCCTATTTTCCTTGCTACTATATACTGTCAAACCTTGTTATCTCAAGCTTAAACAGACGTAGAGAAAACTTTCAAATTGAGATATTAGAAGATTTGAGATATCAAGGATAAAATACATATAGAAAATGTTGTCAGGACTTTAAACTCACTTTAACGTATCAATATCAAAGTTTGACATACCAAAGCTGAACTGTACATGTACATTTTTGTAATTATGAACTCACATACATATACGATGTATGCAACTGAAATTAATATTGCTAATTTTAAAAGTCAGTTCCCATTCCCAAATCAAAAATATCTGGGCCTGTTCATTTCATTATTTTTTTTATTATTTGTTGTTGGGTTCTAACTTCAGTTGAAATAATCAAGATGACTGACTCAGAGAAACAAAGTGCAGGTCTGCCCACATTTTGGATCCGAAATGGGGGAGACTCAAAGAACAATGTACCAGATGCTAATAAGCCTGCAAAATCACCAATTCAAATAAGAGTCCCTCATTTTACATGATAACAATTTAAAGCATCACAAATATAAAGTTTCGGTAATCAGCTGTCAAGAAATCCAAGAATATATTCATGAAGGAAAGTTCCAGTGCAAGGAAAAAGGAGGGATGACAATAATGTGCATGATATAGCCGATAAAATGACTACAGTGTGTATGATTTCAAAGGAAGAGCTGCCCTTGACATATTAAAGTCACTGAAATACATACAGAAAAGACATACAGTGTGCATTGTAATGGTGTTTCCATTAGAAATTATTATCTGAAAAAAAAACCTTGTGGTTTTTAAAAGCATTTTCTATCAAACAAGTCTGCAAATATCTAAGGGTGACTTACAATTTTACTCTTCACAACCTAAGCCTGACATTGGCGTGTTAAATTTAAATTGCCATTTATGGACTGTAAAAAAAGTCTAATTTGAGCCCTGTACATGTATATGCCATTTAAAAGATTTCAAGTATTCAAATGATTTTGAAAATCAGAGGCCCATGAACAACAGTACTCACCTGAATCACTATGGCACTGCTGTTTTTCCTCAGCATATTTTTTTCTAAATTTGAGTATACATGTATATTCCTACGTAAAACTGTGGACCACACTTTTTCCAATATATTTTTATGTAAATCTTTGATACCCTACTGTGGTTCAGGGATTTATCAGTACCTTCTCAGGGGCCGAAATTCGGCCCCATTCCCAATTGAAAATGACTTCAATTTTTCCCAATTTGGCAGTATTTTTTCCCAATTGGTGAACAATGCTTTTGTATTTAATTATCTTGGAAAAAACTCAGTAAAATTGTCAGATTGTCTGTAATTTTCCTCTATTTATCTCATTTAGCAAAGCTACAGTCATAACATGTTGAAAAACATTGTAAGCAAACATCGCCGACTTTTAATCCGAATTTCCTCCGTTTTTCTGAAAATGATGATATTGTGTAATAATATAGATTTATTAAGCTATTTACACCAAGTCAATTGATCTACGAGTGAATGGTAAGAACTGTAGGCATATATTTCAGATGGAAAAATATATTTTCAATGCAATGGGGACTTTGAGAAAATGTGTACTTACATGTAGTATAATTTTTTGCAGGAGGTTTATAATCTGATTAATCTCCAGAAACAGATTCTAATCACCTAAATTGGAATCTCATACACACATGTACTACCCTAAGTTGTAAAAATACTTTATACCCATTGAAATCAAATTTAGGTTATTAGTCTATTATTCATTATCATAATTGATCTTGTATGATGAAGTTGGATCATCTTTAATTGTCTGTTTGGTTGCATGCTCAAATTAGAGTTCATGCTAAAATGTTAAATGAATTACACCTGAATACATAATGTTAGCAAGGTTTTTATTTTTCCCAATTTCATCATAAAGTCGATAATTTTTTCCCAATTCCCTAAAAATGGCGTTTCCCAAAATAAGCTGATAAATCCCTGTGGTTCCACCCTACCCCCAGTGGCTATTAATTTGAACAACTTAAATCTACACTATGTAATGAAGCTTTCAAATAAGTTTCATCTTTTTTAGTCCAGTGGTTCTTAAAAAGAAGAATTCAAAAGATGCTATTCAATTTTCACTAATCTTGAAAGCAGGTGTGGCCCTTCATTTGAACAAATTTGAATACCCTTCACCCTAGGATGCTTTGTGGTAGTTTTGGTTTAAAATGGTCCACTGGTTCTTGAGAAGTCGAACATGTGAAAAAGGACATGAGAGACAGAGGCATGGCACTTTTTGTTCAAAAAAGCTCATCTGAGCCTTTGGCTAAGGTGATCTAAAAACATCAACAGACACGTTTCGATAAGAAAAGCTCAACTGAACTTCCGCTCAGGTGAACTGAACATTGTTGAATATAGTTAAGTAAAAATTGTATGTTTAAATTTTCATCTGATGTTAACCAACCTGAGAAACAATCAATTCGTGAAGCAATGGAACACTTGTTGGCTAGGTATCTGGATATTCTCCCCTTGTTTTTGGCTGCAGCTCGACCAATGAATGTGGAGTGGAAGATAAGCCCATATTTGGGAGTATTTCCCTTGGTTTTAATGGCCCTTTGAAAGCAATAAATCAACTATTAAGAAACTTTTACACTTATTACATGTTTTTGCTAGGTATGTTCTGTGGTAGAAGTGCAAAGATACAATGCCAGTTTTAAAATTTATTCCGGTACCATTCATTTATAGGAAAGGAACAGAATACTTCTTTTGGTTTTGAGACAATACAATCTAAATAATGAGCTTAATCTCAATATAAAACAAATGCAGTCAGATGCAGCATACAAAGCTTGTACCATAATGAGTATCCATTATATTGATAATTCCCATCCCTACAATTTCCGAAGGGGGGAAGGTTTAGAAATCATTATCCTGTTCTAACCACTATTGAAAATTACTGTAAATAGCATGAACATAGATTCAAGTATCCTAAATAAATGCAAATTAAAATTTAAAGAGGGAAGCCATTCTTAAAAGAAATTCTTAGTCTGCTCATTTTAAATCTTGTGGGATTAAATCTTGTCCTTGTACTAATAGTACCTAAACAGTGCCTTTTCAGCACCCAAAATCTGCACTGTAGAAGCTGGATATTTGGCCAGATTTGTTAAACTGCCTGCATGAGCAATCAAACGAGCCCCAACCTGCAGTAAAGAAAACATAATCATACATATGTTAATCCAATATCAAAACAAAAAAAAAGCTTAAGCATTTTTAATATTTCTTTATAAAGATGACTAGTTAATAAATTTCATTTTTTTAAAATATCCAAAGTCCTGTCATTTTAACAAGAAAATAACTAAGGGTTGACAATTCCAGAAAATATTTTGCCACTGTATAAAAAATAATACGTTTTTACAAAATTTCTAATGTCTACTCTCATTGAATCCATGTCTCTCTGACCTGATCCCCAATAAGAGTGCCCAGATTAGGAGCCACGGCTGTCATTTTGCTTCTGAGATAGTCAGCCAGCCCTTTTCTGTACTCTGTTAATGAAATCACTTTAGCAGTGAAGGCCTCAATGTTCATCAGATCAATTGGGGAAATGTCCATTCCTGTGAATTGAAAATGATCATTGTTAATTTTAGCTACAAAGAAAGTAAAATGAAAATTCATACCAAAATGAGTGTGTGTAAAAAAAATATAAAGGACTTTGAAATTAATTTACTTTGCACCAGCAATTTCTAACAAGTGGGGAAAAAAATCTACAGACAAAAACTAAAATTCCACAGCTATTTGGATTAAAAGAAAAACACATACAAAGCATTCTGAAAATAATTATGAAGTTAATATCACAACAGGACTTTAAATCTTAATCTATAGAAAAAGTCCCTCCTCACCCATGGATGACCGGCTGGCATCCAGGATGGCCTGAGCCTTGCCACTGTCCATCACAAGTTCCTCCAGCTGTTCCAGGGAGTCATCGGTAAACTCTTTCCTGTTGCCAATTAACCTGACCACCTTTGCATACAAATAATTGTCAGAGATGATTTTTACAAGTTCTGGGAAATGATATGAGTACCACTCTCTGAAACAGAAACAAACAACATAAGAAATTTTGTTTCGGAATGCATATATCACATGTACTATTTCTTAGACGTCTCTTATAATAAGATCATACACTAAAGAATTTGACATTTAATTAAATACCATATTCACTTATTTTCAACCCCTCTAAAGATCTCCCTTCAAAAACAAGGTTAAACTCAAGTTTGTTTCCTGTTTATTCTTTCTTCCAAGATAATTTAAATTAAATTTTTACCACTGGTTATCGAACCTAAAAGAGAAAACTTCACTTTTAACAAAAAATACTTGCACAAGTACACACAAAACCCAAACATCTTACTTGAACCTCTTGTCCATGGAGAGAAACACAATTTACTTGCCTCATCCTCATAGAAAATGTGTTAATATTCTTGTCAAGTTGGTCCATTAAGCTGATGCTTTGGATGATCATGTTATCTGCCCTGTTGACATTGAACTTGACCTTTGCCCTTGAGTAGCTATGACCCAGGCCGAGTTGAGCTTTGGCTGAGGACACCTCTGTTAAGCCCTTTACCATGTTTGGGAAGTGAAGTCTGATTCCTATAGGAGACAGAACCACAATTTCAATTTCTAGAATTAATAATTTTTTTAACATATACATGTAATATAATCAGAAACAAGTTCTTTTAACTCATAAACCAATCCCTTTAAATCAGCTCGTATTTTTTTTTTTAAATCTAAGCTTTGGCCTCTTATTTATAAAACAAATACCTCTGATCACTTCTGGGACCACCCCAATATGACTGCATTTAATCCCAAGTTCTTCTGTGATGGCAGCTCCAATTTTAGGATCTGAAACTCCCAAAACCACTTTGTCTTTCTTTCCTCCCTTGGGAACATTGGACTCCAAGAAAACATGCAGATCCTCATGAAGAACTCCTGTAATATTTAACATGCTAGTACACATACAGTAATCTTTGATACTGTCAAAGTGACTATGCTTTGATTTTTAGAGCCAATCACAGGTTTGAGACCAATTCCCAAAATGGGATATAATAACCTATTTGGAATATAATATTATATATTATAGCTATTCCATATTCCATAAGGATGATGATTGGACCCAGCCTGATAAAAGATTGATTCTTGCTTATCATTATATAAATGTTGCATATTCTTGAGGGTAACAGTTGAAATTGACACCCCAAGGAAAGCCATAATTGTCAACCTAGGCTTCAGCAGAGGTTGACAATGGTTTTTCAAGGGGTGTCAATTTCAACTGTTACCCTCAAAAACATAAACTATTTATTTTATTATACTGAATGTCTTATTGATTTAGGATGTCAGCTAAAAAAATTGGGAGATCGTAGTTAAGTTTATGTTTAGAAAGCCTTCAAACTCACGGCTTCTGTTTTTCTCAATAAGAAAGCTTCAAAAAAGATTTACCAACCTCTTTATTGTTTATTTGATACTCAGAGAGTCCTTTATCACCTAAAGTTTTGTTATTTCTGCACTTGCAAGCTACATCGGACCCAAGCTTTGATTGACATTAAGTTTATTCGGCTTCTTTCAAATACACAACTGATGTTTTGAGAATTCTACGGCGAACCATACACGCATAATTTACACGCATGTGACATCATCATTTTGTTACCTGTTGTCAAGTGTGTTGCTAATGCTGAGAGTAACATTATAGAAATGGTGCCTGATTTGGAGGGTAACAGTTGAAATTGACACCCAGAGGAAAACCATTGTCAACTGACACGTCAGCGGAGGTTGACAATGATTTTCCAAGGGGTGTCAATTTCTACTGTTACCCTCAAAAACAGGCACCATTTATTTTATTATACTGAATGTCTATTTAATAAAGGATTTCAGCATAAAATTTGTTGATCGTCATTAAGTTCACTTAAAAAAAAGAATTCAAACTCCTCGCCTCTGTTTTTCTAAATAAGAAAGCTTTGAAAAAGATTTACCAACCTCTTTCTTGTTTGTTTGATATTCAAAAAGTCCTTTATCATCAAAAGTTTCGTTATATCTGCACTCAAAAGCATTTTTCGTCTGTCATTTGTTGTTTTCAATTAGACCAAATGGGACACAAGTTTGATTGAATTAAGTCAAGTTTATTCGGCTTCTTTCAAACTCACAACCGATGTTTTGAGAATTCTACGGCGAACCGTACAAGCATGATTTACACGCATGTGACACTTTGTTGTGTTACCCGTTGTCAAGTATGTTGCTAATGCTGAGGATAACATAATGGATTGTTAATTGTATCTTATTAACCACGCAATCACATTTTTGTATTTAACATGAAAGTATAATAATACAAATTGTTAAATGCATCTAAACCAATCAGATTTTAGTATTTAACATGAAAGTATAATAAAAATATTGTATGTAGTTGAAAGTAACATTGAAAATTTTCACCCCAAGAAAGCCATTGTCAACCGAGGCACATTGAAAATTAATTCTCACCCATTGAATACCCTTGTTAACCGAGGAACTGCCCCTCCATTCACAATGGTTTTCTTGGGGTGAAATTTTTCAATGTTATCCTCAACTTCATGCAATATTTGTAATATTATACCGAATGTTCTATATAATGCCAAAAAAAATAATAGTCTTGTTTCTTGCTACCAGCCTGAAAAAATAGGGTAGGTAGGTAGGAAAATTATTTTATTTTATATTTTTATTTTATTTTTTTCCGACAGCATTTTTTGGATATGAACTAATAAGATCAAATTAAACATGTCACAGGTCAATATTGTCTTTTAAAAATTAAATTTCATGTCTATTTATGCACAACTCAAGTGGTATTTTATGAAAGTCCATATTCATGAAATGCTTGTTTTGTGTAAACACGGAAACCAATTACGGTGACAGAACGATGAAATTCCGTAAATTCCTGATTTTTTTTCTTCCAAAACTTAAAAAAAACTTTAGGGTCGGGTGCAAAAAAATAGTATAGGTCGGGTAGCAGGAAACAAGACTATTATTTTTTTTTTTGGCCTAAATACATAAAACAGTGAACTGTGTGCACAAAAAAATTCTGCACAGTCAACATTTTTTTGAATATCACCTGTCATCAAGCAATGTTGACTGATGCTATGCTGGAGGACGTGTTTTCATAATTCTGAGGGTTATGTTTTTATTTTAAACAAATAATGCTTCTCCACAAATCAAATTCAACTAATTTACATGAAAAAATAATATAACACAATATTATTATTTCAGAAATAAAAACATTGTTCAGTGCCTGGGAAGGTCAAGCAACAGGTGGGGCCAATGGCCCCAATGTTCATAAAATGATGGGGCCATTTTGAAATTTAAGGGGCCAAGGGGGAATATATTGGGGCCATTCTAAAATATATCAAAGTATGATGCTATATGATAATGCATATATCTCTGACAACAAAATTTAGGAAAATTATGCAAAATGCACAAAATGCACAATCAACCAATTCTGCAATTTTTTTATGAATTATTTTTATCTTATTTCTAAAACTTGATGAAATACATCCTTTTTTTTATGCCAGTGCTTAATATTGCGAAATGACCCTGAGATGCCAAATCACGAAAACAATAATTCACATGTGGACGGTTGATTTTGATAGCATACTTGATTCTGACCATCCAGCGCGCCCGGGTAAACCGGCGATGACCGGCGACACACTTGATTCTGAGCCGGTATTGTGCACGCATCAAGCCGGGTGAGCCGGAAAATTTTGATAGGCTCGGGCGGCTTCAACATGGCGTCCTTGGGGATAGTAGTGTAGAAAGTTGTTTCTTTTAAGACATGAAGCTTTTGATCAAGGTACGCTTGTGAAATGAACATATTTGCAAAAGGTGTAGTCCTTTTCTATGCTAGATAATGTTTTACGATAGAAATATAATATTTCTATTACTTTACATGAGCCTGTTCGCTTGATTCTAAGAGCGTACCGGGGTTTACCCGGCTTGGTTCGGCTTGGCCGAATTCTATCACAATCAAGTATGCTAAGAGCTTTATCATGGATTTCAACACTGTTAAAAATAAAAGTGAGTAATTTAATTTAGCAGGTGTTGCTTCTGGCAAAATTATGTGATAATTAATTCCTCCCGCATAATCAGGAATCTACAGAAAATTTGTTACCTTCTGAGATACTGTTCATGTTATCAAGGGCATTGGTTCCACTTTTAAATGGTGCAAAAGCAACCAGCTTGACAATGGACTGGAATTTGCTAACATCAACTGTACTTTTCTCCACCACAGGAATAAATGTGGCCACCTCCTCAAACTCCTTAACTCGGAATAGGCCATACCCGGAGGCATGCTCAAACAAAACAAACAATGACTGTGGCTACAAATAAAAGAAAATCGAAAATTCATTAATGTTTTAGCCCATGCTTAGGGCTTTACAACCGATAATAATGTGGGAAAATTGCTCCCATGGCAACATACATAGGAAATGACACTAGGAATATGTTATTATGTATAAACTTAACTTGAACCCCCCACCCCCCTTTCTTCAGTTTTCCTTCATGCCATACAAACAACATAAATATTGATGGCACAGCGGTAATCTGATGTGATTTAAGAACTTTTCTAAACATCAATAAATCTTTGGATTCGTACTGTTCAAGAAATTTAGCTTAATTTGAAGAAAATCTGTATTTTTTTCATTCCCACGTGCTTTCTTACCATTTTCACAACATTTTGTAACTAAACTGTTAAGTTGCACCTGATTGGACAAAATTCTGAACTTCCGTCGTATTGTCCAATTGAATTTTATCTTATGGTCATGTTCGGTTAAACCTTCAAAATGGCTGCCACTGTAAGTGTTGAATGTTTAGAAGTTTTCAGCACAATTGAGTTTGGGAAGTTTCTAGTATGCCGGTCCCCAGAATCACGCGATTGCGCATGAGCAGTTATTTCCCTTGCCGTTGCTATGCAGAATGTAAACACACCGCCATTTTCCCCTCGCTTCAACAAAACGCATTCGATCGAGTGATTAGGGTTAGGGTATATTGTTTTAAGATTGGAACTGTTTTATAAATCCACTCTTAAATCTTCCTGACTTCGGGCTAATTCATGTAATTTTTGCTTACAAAAGGCACTGCCAAGTGCCTTTTGTGACCAAAAACTTGCATGAATCAGCCTAATGTCGAACCGTGCCTATATACCATCTTATAGGAGTAAAGCATGAAACATGCAAAACTTAAACAAACCGTTAATTAAATATGGCACTGTATGCGACCTACGGATTAGGGTTAGAATATAAATAGCTCGGATATTGTAACTGTTTTACATTCACCCATGCTCGCATCTATATCACTTTGGGCTTATTGAAGTTATTCATGCAATTTTTGCTTACAAAGAACCGGAAGAACAGGAAAGTTTTGCGAAACTTGGATGAATTAGACTTGGTCTAATGTTGAAACGTGCCCGATATTGTGCGCTAAGTTTTGGCAAGTAATTGGTAAAAGCGACTTACCGTTTACTTAGCTCGATATCCTAACCTTCTAATGTCCATATTCAGAATATTTTTTCTTTCAAATCAATGGTGATGCACAATTCAATCAACCAATTACTAGTAATTAGTTATCACTTGTTAAATCCCTGCATTTCTCACAAAAAGCTTGCAATTTTAGTAGCATTTCACTTTGAGTCCTATCAACTACTTCTTCATAAGTCTTCATTACGTCAAAACACAAGTGACGCACGTCATGAATATTTATGAGATTACGTCAAAAGCTGATCATGTGACCACATTCCTAAACAACGCAAAATGGAGTTTTATCTACTAAACAAGTACGTTATTTTACAAATCTTTTAATTCTCATTTAAAAAACTGTGTTTAAAAACCAGTTTTTAAACCCAATTTTTCACAAGGAACACGATTTTTGGCTCAATTTTGCGATTTGTGGCCTTTTTTATCGATTTTGTCGATCGCTCACGCGATCGTATTATATTGTACACCGCCTTCGGCGGCACCTATTTTAGCGCCATATTTATAGGGACCGGTATACTAGAAGTGTTCCTTGAGTTTTGCATAAATTTACGTCCTAGATTCATTTTAGTTATAAAAAGATCAATTATTTTTATATAAATCTTTCAAATATTTATACAAACAAGCGGTATTTGCAATAGGCCACGGGCACTGGAAGTTAATGTAAATGTACATACTATAATAGTATGTATACATGCACATGTATACTGTATATTTACATTAACTTTCAGTGCCCGTGCAATAGGCAGAGGAACTGAAACGTCAAGGATCAGTAAAGATAAAAGAGATTTATATCGTGGTGTTGATAATGAAGTGGTTTTATTTACATAGTTATTGCATGTACCAGTGCTAACACTTGTAATGAATTTTTTTTTTCTAGTTTCTAACAAAGTACAATAAAAGTAAATTTTATTCATGTTGAAAATGTAATAATTTAAATTATTTTTATCAGTTAAGATCAGAGACATAAATAATAGCTTATATCTCTAGATTAGATAGAATATTAATGATTTTCATATCTTGGTTGAAAAAAAGTTGCTTTTATGAAAAATTTAAATCAGGAAGTTGATGAGCTGTCCAGTGAAACAGAAAAGATAAATCTGTCTTCTGACCATGCTGGAAATGTATCTAAACCAGAGACGCCATCTGAACCAACATCCTTATTGGAACAGGTACTTTATATCCTGGATGAGGCAGGGGCTTAAATGAGCTTTTCTTATTATAAGTTTATCATGTATGCATCTTCAAATTTTGTCTATAACCATATTGCCAGACATTTTTGAGAATTTTTTAAGCATTTCTTCTTTGAATGTATGTGTAGTATATAATTCATCAAGTCACTCAAACTGATCTGGCCACAGGCCTATAGATTAAAGCTTTAATCTGACTGACAAATTGGGGGCATAAAAAAAAACTTTTTTATACTACTAACTTGTCAGTGGATATTAAAGCGATCTGAATGCCAGTTCCTGTTCTAGCTATAAATATTTTCTTGTAGCTTAAGCTACTTCCAGAAGCCCCAAGTCTGAGCAAAGAGCCTATTGTTCTACAGCTGAGGGAGTTGAACCCCTACATCACCTGTGCATTATGTGGAGGTTACCTGTATGAAGCATCCACCATTACAGAGTGCATGCACACTTGTAAATATACAATAATGGTTTATATCTTTACACACTTCATTTGAACTTTAAAAAATACCCACACCCACAACTCAAAATTTGTGTTAACTACTGACAGTATATTTTAATATTTGTTCACATTTTCTTGCAGGGTTGGCAGAAAACCGAGAAATACTCGTATTTCCCAGGACAGTGGGAAATACTGGTAATTCCTGGGATTTACTGGTATTTCCAGGGAAATACTGGGAAATAAGAAATAGCCTATGTATTTCATAATTTTAACCACATTTGTCAGGGTATAGACACCTTATTGGCTAAAGTATCTACCCGGTATCTCTGTTCCTGATTCCAAGTAATTCATTTTATATAATTATATGCATATGACACTATTTTCATATTCCAGTCATGAGTGTTATGTGTTTAATGCTTGAGTCTGATGTCGTCTTTAAATGTCCCAAAGATCCCAGTTGTGGTTTTTATGTAACTAATGAAGGATCTAAGAGAACTAAAAAAAATTGCTGAATGTAGAGTATGGTGTAAATATCATATATAAGAAGAAGCCTTTCAGTTCTACTCAAAGTAATTATCTCTCAAAACAGGAGCACAAAACTGTCCAGAGCAATTTGTTAAAACAACATGATTGATTGTAATAACTAAGGTGCTTATAGAAGGATTGAAATAAGTTTATTTTGTTCTTGTATTTATAATTAATAAACTTAATAATTTTACAAAACTGAAAAGAAACTTGAATTAAGGTCAAGATCTAGTGAATGAAAGGTGCCCACAGATTTCTTAAATTTGAGATACACATTCTTTTAATGATCCCTTACGAAAATAGCTTGGTAAAATAGGGTGTATCCGGACATAATTTTGGGGTAAACTCATCGGAAAAACATGTTATAAACCGTCCATTTTCAATGAAAAATGAAGAAAGTCTGGTATGAATATGGGAGTTTTTTTCCATCACAGACAAAGGAAATGTATCAGTATTGCCTACAGTCTCTCAGAAAACGGTTTTTCATATCTTCTTGGTCTCTACTTTAGAATGATATTAAACGGAATAAGGGTATCGGGGTTACATTTGACATGATTTCAAATTGAATTCCATGAAAGTGCTTTATTTTCTACACAATTCTATTGAAGCCGTAAAGTACGGGAAAAATTAAGTTTAAATCAATTATGACGTCATAATGAATCTAGCACCAAAAATAATGTCTAAACTCATTTACTAGATCTTGACCTTAAAACAACTTCAGTTCTGTTCTTGATATACTGCCAGGGAAACATGTACTGCTACAGAATGCTTATGGGTAGGGGACCTGGAGTAGTGATACACTCTGAATATGTAAAATTGCAGTTTGAGACACATTCAATATTATTCATCTGTTTTTACATTTATTTTATTTCTGAATTTTGCATAAGATTGAATGAATTAAAGAAATAAAAAAACTTCAATTTTGTATTTCCCAGTATTTCCCACTTTAGAGAAAATCTGTAGTATTTCCCGGGACGGGAAATACCGGTATTTACCACTGGTAATTCCCACCACTGGTATTTCCCAGCCAACCCTGTTTTCTTGTATTCAGATATTAATATAGAAATGAAGCAATGTTTTATGTTAATATTTATGGAAACATTTTCTGTTTAACTTTTAGTTTGCAAGACCTGCATTGTCCGTTACACAGAGAGGAACTTAACATGTCCAACTTGTGATGCACCTATTCATCCCACTGACCCTTTTGTACACATCAGGTAAATCAAAGACAAAAGTGACAACCTAATTCAATGTACTTTGTGAACATGGATTGTAGCAAACAAATCCAACTATCATCTTATTATAGTATACCCTATGTATTTGGTGGTGTTGATTTTCATTTAATTTCTACAATATTTCAGACATGACAGTACCTTACAAGACATAGTTTACAGACTTTTACCAAAAGTAGCTGAAGGTGAGGTCAAAAGTAAAATTGAAATTTACAATGTAATGATAATCTTGACACTAGTTTCTCATATTTTTTTGTGTTACCTTTATATATTTAAAACATTTAAATGATCGAGAGAATTAAATTTACATGTGGAATATATTCTACTCTGGTAATGTAATGCTGTGTTAAAAAAATATGTTCGGTTCCATTTAAAATTGATAATTGCAAATGTCATATCAATTATGAAAATTACTTATTTTGATATTTCTTTTGCAGTGGAACAAAAAAGAGAGATAGAATTTTATGAAAAACATGAACAAGAGACTGGAGGTAAAATAAAGACACTAAATACAGTGTCTTAATAGAGCAAAGTCACTAAATACAGTATCTTAATAGAGCAGAATCACTTAATACAGTATCTAAATAGAGCAGAATCACTAAATACAGTATCCAAATAGAGCAGAATCACTAAATACAGTATCTAAATAGAGCAAAGTCACTAAATACAGTATCTTAATAGAGCAGAATCACTTAATACAGTATTTAAATAGAGCAATGTAACTAAATACAGTATCTTAATAGAGCAAAGTCACTAAATACAGTATCTTAATAATACAGAGTCACTAAATACAGTATCTAAATAGAGCAATGTCACTAAATACAGTATCTAAATAGAGCAATGTCACTAAATACAGTATCTTAATAGAGCAGAATCACTAAATACAGTATTTAAATAGAGCAGAATCACTTAATACAGTATCTAAATAGAGCAAAGTCATTAAATACAGTATCTAAATAGAGCAAAGTCACTAAATACAGTATCTAAATAGAGCAAAGTCACTAAATACAGTATCTTAATAGAGCAAAGTCACTAAATACAGTATCTTAATAGAGCAAAGTCACTAAATACAGTATCTAAATAGAGCAAAGTCGCTAAATACAGTATCTAAATAGAGCAAAAGTCACTAAATACAGTATCTTAATAGAGCAAAGTCACTAAATACATTATCTAAATAGAGCAAAGTCACTAAATACAGTATCTAAATAGAGCAAAGTCACTAAATACAGTATCTAAATAGAGCAAAGTCACTAAATACAGTATCTTAATAGAGCAAAAGTCACTAAATACAGTATCTAAATAGAGCAAAGTCACTAAATACAGTATCTAAATAGAGCAAAGTCACTAAATACATTATCTGAATAGAGCAAAGTCACTAAATACAGTATCTAAATAGAGCAAAGTCATTAAATACAGTATCTAATAGAGCAAAGTTACTAAATACAGTATCTAAATAGAGCAAAGTCACTAAATACATTATCTAAATAGAGCAAAAGTCACTAAATACAGTATCTTAATAGAGCAAAGTCACTAAATACAGTATCTAAATAGAGCAAAGTCACTAAATACAGTATCTTAATAAAGTCACTAAATACAGTATCTAAATAGAGCAAAGTCAGTAAATACAGTATCTTAATAGAGCAAAGTCACTAAATACATTATCTAAATAGAGCAAAGTCAGTAAATACAGTATCTAAATAGAGCAAAGTCAGTAAATACAGTATCTAAATAGAGCAAAGTCACTAAATACAGTATCTTAATAGAGCAAAGTCACTTAATACAGTATCTATTTAGAGCAAAGTCACTAAATACAGTATCTTAATAAAGTCAGTAAATACAGTATCTAAATAGAGCAAAGTCACTAAATACAGTATCTTAATAGAGGAAAGTCACTAAATACAGTATCTTAATAGAGCAAAGTCACTAAATACAGTATCTAAATAGAGCAAAAGTCACTAAATACAGTATCTTAATAAAGCAAAGTCACTAAATACAGTATCTTAATAAAGCAAAGTCACTAAATACAGTATCTAAATAGAGCAAAGTCACTAAATACAGTATCTAAATAGAGCAAAATCACTAAATACAGTATCTAAATAGAGCAGAATCACTAAATACAGTATCTAAATAGAGCAAAGTCACTAAATACACTATCTAAAAAGAGCTGTAGATTGAAAAATTGTTTCTGTATGGATCATTTCTTATGAAGATTGCATTTTGTATGAAGTTTTGGCTCCAGAAAGGGGAATATGAAAGTGTTACAATATTGTAAGCTATAGTCTTTCCAAATTACACAATTTCTGTTTTGTGCGATTGTTGGCATTTGGTTATGATCAATAATACGGCTGATTTACTATCAATTATGCCTGATTGTAAGTGTCTGTGTGTAACAGATGCCATTCCTTCGACCACTATTTGTTTGCTTTCTGCAAACTTTCTGAGATTCAAAGTACTTTGAGTTGCAGTCAGGTTGTGTCTTGGTTGCATGTTTGTTGGCATGACTGAAGTTTTAAGAAGAATAGCAAAATCATGATATCGTGATAAAAACATAAATGTACATTTATTTTATCACAATAACATTCATTTCAAAACTTTAAACTTTTTTCTGATCTAAATTTGTAATTTTAATAGTACATGTATTTAAATTTGTTTCAGAGGTGATCCTTCCAAAACTTCAGTTGCCTCCCTCCCCTCCAAGAACCCCACCCCCTAGAACAGACCAGCCCCCTCTCCCTAGTGAGTACGTACGTAAAAAGAAGAAAGACCCACTGCTGGGAAACTTCAAGCCCTTATTTGTCTCCCTAGTTCTAACTCAGATCAGGTGAGCATAATTATTTGGAAAGACGAAAGTTAGATCTATTTAGTGAAATGGTTTATAAATATAAAACTCACATTAGATTTATAGTGTAAAGAATTAGATACAAAATAAAAATACTGCATTACATAATCATAAAAGAACCAAATAAATGTGAAAAAGTAATAATATTAATACATGTATTCTAGTACAAATATACATGTAACAAATTCTTTTTTGTATGTATATGTATTACATATATCTTATTAGCATTTATTATAGATAATTCCCATCTGCTATAATCTTCTGTATTTAGTTTCTTTTTCTTTTTTTTATGCCGATATGTTGCTGCTATCAATTTTGACTTTCTTCTTTTGTGTGTTACTCTTTACTTGTATACCCTTAAGGGCCCCAAATTGGACCCAATAAATCTAATCTTATCTATCTATACAAATCAGGAGAGAGTAATCAATAGTCAAAAAAAGTCCTATCTGGTTTGTGTAAATGTATATTAATGTAAAAATCAGATCTGGTTTATAGTTTAATCAACTGTAAATGTAAAACTCAGATCAGGTTAGTGTAGTATACATAATAGTGTAATCATTTGTAAAATCTCAGATCAAATTTGTGTAATTATTTTTAAAAACTCAGATCAGGTTTATGTAATGGTTTGTAAACCAGAAACTCAGATAAGAAAAATTTAGTTAATTGTAAATTGAAACTCAGATCAGATTAAGGTAATTGTTTGAAAGCTTTAAACAAAGATCAGGTTAATGTATTTGTATGCAAGTATAAAACTTGCATCAGGTTTAGTGTAACCATGTGTAATCCCGTCGTCTCAAGCCAAGGTCCGGAGTCCACCTATAGCTCTCTCCAGAATGGGAGAGGATCATACATTTTGGCCGTGGTTTGTGTTGATGTTGTAATTCAAAACTTCAGATCAAGTTAATGTAATTGTAAATGTAATTCAGATCAATGTCATCATTAACAAATGTAAAATTCAGACCAGGCTTTTTAATATAAAACTTGAGGTTTAGTTCAATCAAATTTGTAAATTCAAAACTCAGATAAGGTTTGTGAAAAACATATAAGATTTTATGCTTCATTTCTTGATGTAAATTTTTTTTCTATTCAGTGAGCATGAAGATTTGGATGATGAGGTATTTCTTCTTTTTTTTTAAATCCCGAAATTAATTATTTATTAAATATCTGTATATACATGTAAATGCAGTGTCTTGAAAAAATGAAAAATCTATTAACTTTCAATGTATTTTACTCTTTGATTTTTATTATTTTCAAAAATCTACAGTCCAAATAAACTTTAGTATATTGCCTTAAAAAATAATTTCAATATTTCCTTGAAAAACTATAAACTCTCAATATATTTACTTCTTTTAGTTTGAACTTGAGAAGCAATTTGTCAGGGTCACCAAAAGGGCCACATTAGGGAACGTCATAAGCTTCATACAAAAGAAACTACATCTAGGGAAAGTTTATGATGTAAGTTCACCATTTTTGAACTATTATTATTTAATTATCAAAATGTAATTACAGTGAAACTTATCTATTTAAGATGTTTTCAATGGTATTCCAAAATCTTGTTTAATACTGTGTAAACTTTAAGTTCCTTTCAGTAAATTCTGTTGTTTAAAATGTTGCCTAATCTGGAATGTTGTCAAATATGACCAACTTATATGGAACCAGTGGTGTCCGGATTAGACAAGTTTTACTGTAATAAACATTTTTATGCAGAGAAACTAAATATTGTACAGTACATATGTATATGTATACAGAAAAATTTTACCTGTTTTATTTTTGCCCTCATCATCAATGGGCAAATTCAAAATGGGTGAATTTAATGAAAACAGATTAATCTCATTTGTAACACAAATGTGTCTGGATGAATGTAAACCAGCAAAAGTGTTTGCAAGTATGATACAGCATATATAACATGGGGCAAAGTGACCCTGTATACAGTATTACACAGTATAGCAAAGCAGTTTAATATGTCTGACATGTTTTTTGAAAATGTTTTACTTATATTTTTTTTTTAAACAAAATGGAAATTTGTACAGGTTGATATTTTTCATCCTGAGGAAATTGGTTGTTTGGAGTCCATTGATACAGAAACCACCCTGGAGAGTATTAGAGACACTTATTATGAAGGTCAGGTAAGGCATTGCAGAGGAATTTCTTTAAAAAATCCAAATTTGATTTCAGTGTTTCCTTCTGTATGGCAAAATTAACCTGCCTCCTGTTATATAGCACATTTTCATTGATTTAATTTGTACTGGGTATTTCAATTGAGTCTTGGTTTTTTGTGTTATAGGACTGTTTAATAGAATTACACTACAGGGTGTGTCCAAAAGAAGAAGAGATGCTTGAACAAGAAGACATAACATAGAACTACTTGCAGATTACCATTTTGTTGTTGTTGTTTTTGTTAGATTGTACCAAATAAAGAAATGATATACTGATATAATTGAGTTCATTATACATGTATATTATTCATAAGTTCCTCAAGTGACCTATTGCTATCTATTTTTGTCCTATGGGGGCTGTGCATTGTCCCTCTGTCATGCATTAACATTTGAACATTTTCAGCTTTCTGGAACATCAGAGCCAATTTCAATCAATTTTCGTAAAAAGCATCTACTGTGGGCAAAAAATTGTGAATTTTATGGTTTATGCCCTGCTGGGGCCTGAGGGGTGATGAAATCTTTAAAAATCTTCTTTACTCCTGAACATCAAACAGTCAAACTGTTTGCATGATTATACATGTAGGAGAATTCTCTTTTCTGCTTGAACTTTCAGTAAGGCACGACATTCTCTTCGATACATAATTATCGTCTTTCAAATAGTGGCCTAGATTCTCATTGGTTGCCAGATTAGCTCATCAGTACTGAAAATTACACAGCTTTTCATTCAGTGGTGAAATACAAATGGGATAAAAATGGGTCAGACGTCAACAAGTGACGCAAGGAATCAATTGCATTCGTTTCTTACAGTAAAGAGGTGTGGTTTATGTTATCGTTTGTCAACAGCACTCTAAAGTTGCTAGTGTAATTAATTTCTTAACCAATGAGAATCTAGGTCACTATTTGAGAGACGCTTATTATGTATAGCCGAGAAGGACACGCTTAATGAAAGTTCAAGCAGAAAAGAGAATTGTACTATGAACCCTCTACCAAATTTATGAAATTCACACCCCCAGCGTCAGGGGTTCTGGTGTTAAGGCGGGACTCTATTGATCATATGATACAGTGAAAATGTATTAATTCTTTGAAAATCCTCTCTGCTACTGGGTATTTAGCAGAGAAATAAGTGCATGTTTATGATGAACAAAAGGTGTCTCTGCCAAAATTATGAAATTCATGACCCCTGGGTCAGGTGTAATCGTGGGGGATCTATTGAAGAATTTTTAACTCACCTGAGATAAGAAAAACAAGGTTTGTAATTTTCCCGAAAGACGTAGCTGCAGTCAGACCGCAAGATATCGAATGGAATTTGTCAGGGGTCCAACGGCAACGTGTTGACTCGGGGTCCCTGACTTTCTTCTCAAGAACAGCAAAGCCACGATTAGTCATATTGATATGGAAACATCCTCAGGTAGTGTAGATTCGAGTTTGGTCAAATCATGACCCCCGGGGGTAGGGTGGGGCCACAATGATCGATCAAAGTTTTACATAGGAATGTATAGAAGAAATCATAAAATGTCAAGAACAGCAAAGCCATGATTAGTCATATTGGCATGGAAGCATCCTCAGGTAGTTTAGATTCTTATTTGTACTAATCGTGATATCTGGTGGTGACACGACAATATGAAATCTTAATTTAACATAGAAATATTGGGGAAAATCTGTTGATAAAGAACAGGAGGGCCAGTTACTCAGGTGAGCGTTGTGGTCCATCGGCCTCATGTTTATGTAAAATGCAAAAAGTTCTTTTTACAGTTTTTAATGGTCATTCTTCAGATTGAAACAAAATACTTTTCAACAGTTAAAATCGGGAGTTTTTTTCCGTCTTTTAAGGATAGCTGATCCAAAAAAAAATGGATGCCTGGATTTGTATATATATATGTATTTTTGAATCTATTTTGTTGTAAATGATTAAAATAATAAATTTCTAAAATGTTAAGAAATTCTAAAATTTCTACGATGTTCAAAATTCCACCTTTCTGTAACCATCTTTATTTATATATGCAAATTTTTGTCAACTTAAATCCCATTATTGTGAAACTTTGAATGTAAAATTGAAATATATGCGGTTAAACTTATTCATTTTACGCATATAAACATGGCTTACGTAGATATTTTCAAGATTTTTGATAAAAGTTTGTATCATCTGTCCTTAAATCAGGAATCGCATTGAGAAATGTACCGTGGGAATCGAAGCTCATTTTTTCTTTCTAATGCATCATCATACAAGTTATACCAAAATCCAGCTCATCTCTTGAAGGGAAGGGGGGGGGGATTTAAAGAAATATTTTCGGGATAAGTAGAAAAATCATTATAAACTCGTACTCGATCAGAAACTCGACTACAGTGATGTAGAGACAAAAACATACAAATGTGGGAAATTTTAGGGAAAAAAAATAACTTGCACAACCTGAATATTTTTCTTTTTATTCTTAACATCGACCAACTTAATCAAATATTTTTTTGTTACAGAAATATGAGTATATTATAAACATTATGTTTTTGTGGTCGATGTTAATAACACTTTTACAGTAAATCATTTTTGGCAATATGTCACATTTTCTTACCTGTAAATCATACAACACAGAGAATATTTTCTTTAAAAAAGTAAAATAAAACACACAACCTGCACATACACATGTAAATATATATTCCCTGCCATCTTTATTACAAGAATAAAACTAATAACCCTTGAATAAAAGCTTATATCTTAAGAAAATACTAATAGTCCTCAAAGTATATTGATGACTGCATACACATCACAAAGGGAAAAAAAAAACAAGAAAACTTTCCCAAATTCTTCAAATTTGTCCTTTCCCAACAGAAAAAAAAAGCCTTCATCATGCAGCTCTCTCTGGCCCACGGAGAGGACTTTCATCGGACTCCAGCTCTTTAATATTTTAATATTTCTACAGAGAAAACCTTCATCAGACTTTCTCTGGCGCCTTAAAAATTTCCTTTTCCTCTTCGGCTTGATTCATTTCTTCCACTTCTAGAGTATTTTCTTCTATAGCCCACTTTTGTGGCTCTCCCTTGCCAAATACCAGGTAAAAGAGAGCACAGAAAAGGTATATAGCTGCCGCTATAAAGAAAACTTTTTGCCACTCCGATCGACTCTGATTCTATATAAAAAGAAAAAAATAATAATAAACCTTGATCGCTAATAATTTATGTATATGCAGTGTTTCACCTATGTTCTTTGGCGCATGTTTGCAATGAATCTTCTTTGAAGTTGGACAGAACGGAACAAAGAAAAGAGTCGGGCAAAATTGTTATTCATGTAGTATTTGTAGCATTATTGTTTTAATTCTCAATGTATTCAAACGAAATCACATGAAAATATCACATTTAAAAAAAAAAAGTCTCAAGTCAATTCAGCAATGCAGTTGTTTGACATGACCTTTTATCATTCCAATATCATATGCATATTTCTGGATTGACCTCAACATCGACTACATATACGGTGTGTGTGGATAAAGCTGCACTGTGACACATTGGTGCCAAATAAAAAAAAAACGGGTGTGTTGCATTACCGAAAATTTAAAAAACATGTCGGTTATAATTATCGAAAATTATCTTCTTTCATTTCCGAAAGAATTTCAGATATCATTTTCGAAAATTAAAAATGAAATAGCGAGCAAGACCTACAGTTGTGGCAGAAAAAGTTCGCATTAGCATCCAGAAATATTGACTATGTATCGAGGTCGATATACCACTATGGGCTACATTTACCATGCATATGTGAATTCTCATGTTGAAGACAATAATATATCTGTTTTATTCCAGTTTTAAAGTCACTGTAAATATGTATTTTTCATATATTGCTGATTATGAATTAACTTCATTATAAAATAATCCTACTAAAAATCCTCTTTCACCTTCTCATACAACGGAAGTGGTATCAAAGATGGAGATTAATCTCGGAAATGCTACTCACTGTCTCGGAAATTGACTAATAGAGTTTTCGGTAATGATATATAAATATTTTCTTTTGGGGCCACTTGACTCCCTCCACCAGTATGAAAAACTTAGTTATTTAAGTAGAACTTTAATATGATCATTGCTTAAAAAAGTAAAATTAAATATATGCTATTTTTGACAGATTTCTCAAATGTATTCCAAATTTTTGCATGAAAACGTATTTAATGATAACAGACATGCGCGGATCTAGGGGGGGGTGTCGGGACCCCCTGGAAATTACAGATTTATTAAAAGTATATACGAAAGCAAATAAAAATGACTTTGGACCCCCCCACCCCCCTAGAAAGCGTGGAACCCATCATCACCACCACGAAATAATAGTTTTTCACGTTTTGGAAATGGAGTTTATTTTTTTTCGTCAAGAAATTTTCTGGGTTTTATACGTTTGGGAAGGGATTCTACGTTTTTGGGCTAAAATTTTTGCCTGAACAGATAAAGATACGAAAATGCTATCTATTGGTAAAAGTCTATTAACTTACCTTCTCTGTAATAAGTCCTACAACAGCAGGTGATACAAAGCCGGAGATGGCACCACACGAATTAGAAATTCCAAACAGGATCCCTGCATATGCCGGGGCAATGTCCATATGATTAATAAGAAAACCACTGTATTGAAGGGCAGAAAAACTGACCCCAAGGGTAAGTAGAGCAATGGCAAAACCCTTCATTGTACAGTCTAAGTACCCAAGGCCTATTAGCAGCAAAGCTGGTATTACTTTACCTAAAATGATGGATATACTTTATTGCATGTTACCTCAAAACACGGGTCTTTAGATCGCTTAAATCCGACTTTAAAAATTGGGGTGTATAAAAAAGATTTTTAACACCTTAATTTTTAAAGCGATCTAAGGGCTTGTGCTTCATACTTTCAAATCAACTACAAACAATTTTTGCAAACAGCAGTAATTTTGCAAAGACGTACGTACATACAAAATACCTGAAACTTCAAAGATTTTTCTAGTCATCGTGGTTGATAGACATTTTTGGGTGAAGTCGGCAAACACCCCAGCGACATTTACCACAAACCAAAACCCAATATAGGGTAATGCAGAATAAAGTCCATTCTGTAAAACGCAATAGCAATATGGAAATTGTTATGTACATACAGTGTGTATATATTTACTAGATACAAACATTGTATGGGCTACTGGAGACATTCAGGAAGCATTGAATACTGAGGTGAGTCCGACTATTACACTTTTATTTTTGCGATACTTGAAAGGTATGAAGCAATATTTCAATGATACAGTAATTTTTATATATTTTCCCCATTTCCAGTGACCAAGCCAACACTTTACTAATTTAAGTACAGATCCACCTAAGAATAAGGGAAAATTGAAATTTCGTGATAAGTCGATGTTTGAGAATCGACTTGAAACTTCACATAGTTATGCATCGGGACATATGTATAACATATGTTCAAAGATTTAGAAATATTCAGGCTTGTTTTAATTTTATAGGCAATTTGTTGAAAAAATATGATGAACATGAGTAGTACAAATCTACACAGTGGTATGGATATTGAAACCTTAAAAAAAATTTCTTACAGAGGAGAAGTGAAGCGTTTACGGTTGTTGTTCTAATAATAAACATATACTTTCATTATATTTGCGAATATGTTTCTCATACAATCTTGCAATACTTTATTTCACCACTTACTGATGTAATGTCTAGTTTGAGAACCTCTTTCATGTAACTAGGAATGTTGGTGAGAAATGTATAACCTCCCCAGTCACTGGCAACGTTAGATAAAACGATGGCGTACACAGGAGGTGATGTAAATATACTTCTCCAAGGAACTTTCAAGTCCTAGGCAAGGAAATAATTTGTACATATTTTTTTCCCTGGTGTAAATGGATTTAACGTCATTTATATGTCAAAGTATAACGATGAAATTTTTCTTAAGGTTGAAGTTTATGCCTGTCTTCTATCCGATTGTAACACTTAATATTTATTATATATACACTATAGTTAAAGTATGTCATTGATGAAGTAAGTAAGATTCCCCAAGGCCAGGACTATTTCTCGAGGAAAAGCCCAGGGAAATAGTTCTAGTCTAGGGGAACTGAAATCTTGCTAACTCCCTCTATGATATACTTTTAACTGCTTACTATACCGATACAAATACGCTTTCGAAGCAGGGATTAGTTCACTTGACTAACGCTCGGCAAAACAGGAATTAGTCCATGTACATCTATTTCTATGGAACTATTCTTACCTAACGATCAATTTTATATAGGAAAAAATCAGTAGAGATATAATAATATTATTTTTGTGATTAAAAACTCAATTATTTTCTTCTTATTTTTTTTTCCAAAATGAAGTGATCAAATAAGATTATAATGCCAATCACCTTACTATCTTCTTGACGGGTAGTCTTTCGCAATGACTGTTTGATGTACTGTTTTTCTATGGTAGAAATACGTTTGTGTTGTTCTGGTGAATCACTGGTTAGAAACATCCACAATATGACCCATATCATACTTAGGGGACCTACAAAACCACTGAAATAAATATCATTCTAACAGAATCTTGAAATAGAAACAAAAACGCTGTTACGCAGTTACTTCCAACTGTTAATGCAGTTACTTACTATTAATGCAGTTACATACTGTTAATGCAGTTACTAACTGTTTATACAGTTACTGATTGTATTGACATATAATCCATACATGTAAAAAATAGTATATTTACCCCCACCCCACTCCCATGTTATAATCGTGCCCTTTTAAAAAAAAAATGTTCTTGAAGAGAGCATTACATGGTTTATATAATAATAATAGCAAATAAAAGAAACAAAAAATTCTGTTCTTTGTACCTAGTACGTAGAAAATTGAGGGCCATCCTCCAGCAAACCCATATTTACACAACAAAGATGATATTGGAAAAGTTATTACAATCCCAGCTTGTGATCCTAAAAACATTGCATGAAAATATTTCAAATTAATTTCAAATAATACGAATAGCTGATAAATGTATTGTCATAAACTCAATGCGATATACATGTAGATAAATTTATATACATGTTTAGATATTACAACTTTCTCCATACCTGCATAAGTAAACGCAGTTAGCTTGCTCCGTTCCAAAGGAGGGGCCCATTTGCCCCAAATTGTATGCATGGAAGGAAAAACTGTGCCCTGGAATAAATGACAGATGCAGTTTCACACACAATTACTCTGAAGTTGATATTAAAAAGACATTGGAATTCTTCCTTGAAAATATCTACGTGCAAGTGGTCATCTTCGCTAGTCAAGGATTTCTAATCCACCACTCTTGTTTCATGTCAATTGTTAGGCCATTATTTTAAAACTAATTTTGACTTTGAATTACTCCTATAGCCTAATCAATACAGACGACTCACGGCAGGCCTGACCGGTCGACAAAGGATGCTTACTCCTCTCAGGCACCTGATCCCACTCTGGTGTTTCCAGGAGTCCTGTTCACTATTGGTATTGTTTACAGGATGTATGAGATTGTTCACAGTTCTTTATCTTCACCTTTATCGTGCAGTACTCAGTGGTATTATGTTCTGTGGAATGCCGTTAAATTAATTTTTGAGTGGTATTTGCAATATAAGATTCTAAAAATACATGATTCCCGACTTCAGGATTCTTCCAAATGTTTTATATTCAACGATAGAGGGAATATAACAAAGACGGTGTCCAATTAACAATAAAATTGGCTTCCTTTTTTGTTTGTTACATGCCAGGGGATGAATGGTTGCAATATAGCAGAAAAGATACGCAAGTAAGTACATAAATATATATTATTATAACAGTAACTTGATCCGAAGAGCCGTATCACGTCAAGTTGACAGGCGCGGATCATCAGATCAAACGAGACGCGAAGCGACGCGACGCTATACAATAAAACACAAAAAAAAACATAATTCAAGAACTAAGAATAGATCAATTACATGTAATTTAACATATGTGTATTAGAAATTATAACATTAAAATTATAAAGTTACATACACACAATTACGTCTTTAAAAAAACTGTGAATATTGGAAAATCTTTTGAGATTTGTTGCTAAAATGTGTGCTCCAAGTATTATAAAGCTACTCTATAAAAATATATCTTTAAATGTCTTTTAAAAATGTCCAGGGACTGGGCCTGTTTTATGTCATTTGGAAGGTCGTTCCACAAAAACGCTGCTGCCCAACTGAGCCGGTGATAATTGTCTGACGTCATGGCGTCAGACAGTACTAGATTTAGTCCAGACTTGTTGGTCAATTCTTTCAATAGAATTCTTGTGATAACTCGATCTTGGAAACTTCATACTATCTTAACTATCAATTGGAGAGCATGGGGAGTAATGCGAACATGCTAAACACCCAAATAACAAGCCAGTGCATTATTATCACATCATACATTACAGGTTACATAACATTTGGCCATTCTTGAATGCATCATTCATGTCCAGCAAATCAGCAGGAATGAAGCTGGTCAGGTCAAGACTTGTCGAATATTTTTATCAGATTAACCAATGGATGTTTATTTTCAATGCATACTCAGTCTCTTTACCTTTAGGAAATTTATAAAATCTACACATATTTATAACTTGCAGACGTTTGATTTATTCATAGTCAAAGAAAGATAAACATATAGATGTTGAATATTTATAACACTTTTATTTTTTCATAATTATCAAAACTGTTCACAAATTGATGTTTAGATTTTTATGTGTTGTAACTTTTTTCTTTCAAAAGCACTGGTTTTATCTATGTATCCATAAACAGGTCCGTTGGAAAAAAAAATTCAAGGGGAGGGGGTGCACAACCAAAAATTTTCAGTTTAGGATGAGCATTATCAAGGAAAAATTTCTTCCATAAAAAAGTTTTCAGTCGTTATTATTTGCATGTTTTACATGATTTAGGGGACACAAGCACAAAGTAGCTATGTATAAATCGGCAAAATTATTGGGGCGGGGAACCCCTCCCCCCCCCCCCTAAAAGGAGATTGCAAATAATGTAGTGTATATATAATAAATTCATGTCCAAGTTTTATTTTATGTTGATGCCACTGAATTAAACTTTTCTTGTTTCTTAGCAAAAGAATTCATTTCTGGACTTAGAGTCATGTTGATTACACTGAATTTAACTTTTCTTGATTCATCACGTAACAATAAATTTGCTTACGTCAGACAAGCTTTTTAGGAAAGCTAATACTTGTTAAGGTATTATATTATGGATGCGTATTTACGTTGATTGGAGGGCCTGGAACGGTTGATATTTGTCATTAAAAAAAATAATAAATAAATAAAACACCTACATACGGCTATATTTAAGAACCGAAACTCAGTTAAAAGTGATTGTGTTTATTGATTGATCGACAGCTATAGGTTTTCATAAGAAATAAAGATAAAAAAAATTCAGTGGATATAAATATTAAGATAATATTATAATATATTATTATTATATAATATATCATACAAGTATTCTCGTATATTAAAATTATTATGGCCTGCAACTGAAATCTCTCCATTTTTTTCTATATTAGGACATTATTGTTTGTTAAACCTTATAATAAAATATCTAGAGGAGAAAGAGAAGGGTTTATCTATGCGTGTCATTTCTTAAAGCCGAACACCAAGCAAAAAATGAACATAAAACACCCAGAATGTGCTGTATCAGTGCTTTCAGTGTGGAAAATATTCATGAGAAGTGAGATCTAAAACAATCAAGTAGAAGATGAATTCCCTCACCTTAGAAATTATGTAAAAAATTGGAATGTATAACGTGGGAACCTCTAAATGACAGTACTAATAACCTATAAAACATTTTTGCAGCCTTAGATAACATCATTAGACGATTGTTCTACTGTGTGAAATTTACTTTCATTTCATCTACTCTTTTATCCCTCAAAGACATTTTTATGATAATTTTGAAAAAAAAAAATGTTTATCGTTTTCCACTAGACGATACGTTATACGTTATAACAATGCCCCTCTGTTTAAAGTTTGATAAAGTTTCGAATTATTTTCACAGAATGTGTGTTTGTCTTCATTTATCATCCACTGGACAATTTTCTTGTTTGAATTGTTGATTGAATAATTCATATCATCTTCAAAGAAGCATTTTTCCCTTTCTTTTTTTGTGTCCTCCTTTACATTTCATAAGATAGTATTCCTTATTTATCGTTGATTATTTAAATAATTCATATCATCTTCAAAGAAGCATTTTCCCTTTCTTTTTTTTTTTCAAAATTGCCTGTGTCCTCCTTTACATTTCATAAGATAGTATTCCTTATTTATCGTTGATTATTTAAATAATTCATATCATCTTCAAAGAAGCATTTTTCCCTCTTTTTTTTTTCTTTTTTTTTTCAAAATTGCCTGTGTCCTCCTTTACATTTCATAAGATAGTATTCCTTATTTATCGTTGATTATTTAAATAATTCATATCATTTTCAAAGAAGCATTTTTTCCTTTCTTTTTTAAAAAAAATTAATGTGTTATTTAGCATACATTTCCTTTGTAGTCATTTAGAAGTTGCATAAAAGAATTATTATATTGATGATATATTCAGGAAAGGATTTAGTATGATACAAGTAATAGCTTTTCAAAAAGCTTGCCTGACTAATCAATCAATATCTATGGAACGTATAAGCAAGAGAGGTGCTATAAACGTTTCCGTCATCAAGGAGCGACATAGTTGCGATACTTCATTACACAAGATGTACAATTGACTTTCTCAAATCTCATAACCAAATACTGCAGATAAACGAATATATAAGACATGCCACTATTCAATCATTTATTAGTTAGCCCACGGGCTGACAAGTTTCGTTGGGATGAAACTCTAACTTTAAGTGCGATAGCGTAGATTATAATTTTGGGGAAAATAGTTAGATGATTTTTAAAGAAATTCATATTACATGTACTCTTTTACTAGAAGGCGCACTTCTCTGGTCAGTGATAGATTGCTGAGGCGGCCTCTTTTTATAGACTGGTCTGTTTTCCGTCGTTCTCGACGTCGAAGTAAATTATGAACAGTTTTAACTGCCTTTTCTTGAAGTGTTTGAGACAAAAATGCTCCAATGCTGCTCTAGAACTCAAAGTAAATGGACTGTACACTTTATAGCAAGAGCAAAACAAGATACTAATAACACCCCCCCCCCCGGACGAAACTCATATACATGTACATGTATTATAAATGAGTTTAAAAATATATCTTTATGTGCAGTTTTAAAATTGTTTAGTTTTTCTTTTTAATCGATTTCAGGACCTTTTTCATAATTATAATAACGTGCTTTTATATGAAATGAAAACTAGTACAGATCATGATGTCTTCTTCATTTTGCCGATTCTTTGCTTAGAACCTTACGGGAGTTAAGCCCATTCCTTTATGGGTACTGACCTACTATTGTCACTATCCTTGTTCATCACAAAGCATGAAATGATATTCTACTGGCTGACTTTCTAAGCTTTTTTAAAAACCTAACCTTGTAACGTACATTATTAATAAATGTAATTTTGAAAGTAAAGGTGGGAAACAGACTGAATCAAAAAGGGATGTCCCATTTACTAGGTGGAGGGAGTTTGTTTATGATTGGACTAGTTCACTTATGGGATAAATAGTAAGAATAATCAGCAAATCCATTGCTTTAGTGTTGCCTGCCCATATACAACGTGTTCTTTTAAAAATGAGATAAAATTTACAGTTAATAAAAAATCTGAAGCTTTAGAATCAGGTTAAAAGAATAAACGTTATTTTATCACAACCATTCAATAGAACAATCCAAGAAAAAGGCGCGAAGATAATTTACGTGACATTTGGCGCGAAATGACTGTGTCACCCCTTTTGTATAAGGCAAATGGACTGATCCAGTAGTTTAGAAACACAGAAAAAATGTTACACGGACATGCCCGTACAAAGAATCGCAAAGAATAAACATGTGCATGCCAAAAAACTGAAGGAATTGAACATATCATTATTTTGCATCAGTAATACGATTATTTCTTCAGCAAACTGTATTTGTTTAAATGCAGATAACAAATTCCAGTGTAAATCAGCTTCCAGAAAATCTAGTTCATTAAGAATGATCGCTTAGTTTCGGATCTTGAAAATATTAATCCTTATACTGCCTGACGCACGTGGCGTCAGGCAACAATTTTATGATGTATAATTTCACGATGTACATCAAATGTTTTGGCAACTTTTTTCCCGAACTGCAACATGAAAGACAGTTTATGACTAATAATACATCGTCGGATACCCACGGGTGATCTCGTTTTTAGTTTATCTCGTCTCTAGCTAGTAGCTATAATGAGCAAAAGACGATATTACCCGTTGGTATGGAACGCCATAGCTGCCTGAAGGTCATTTTCATTTTATATGAGGTGGTATAACCTTTATGTGAAGTGGTTAAGTCATTATATATAGTGGTAAAATCATTATATTCAATGAAAACTTTATTATATGCAGTGGTTTTATCTTTATATACAGTGATAAAATCATTATATACAGTGATAAAATCATTATATTCATTGATGACTTTATTATATGCAGTGGTTTTATCATTATATTCAGTGGCAATGTCATTATATGTAGTGGTTAAATAATGTAATGAAGTGATAGTACCGTTACATTATGCTGTAAAATCATTATATGCAGTGATTTTTCCATTATATACATTACTGATATCTTTCTGTGATGTGATAAATTCAATATATACAGTACAAACATAATTTGTGTGATAAAGCAATCATTACATTGTATGAAACCCGCTGCATGTGGAGTGCCAAGTTAATTTCATTCAGTGCGACACCTTTACATGAAGTGAAAAATCTATTATGTGCAGTACTAACATCATTATATAATATAGTAAAATTATTATATATATTCCTAAAATCATGCTTTGCAGCGGTAACATCTTTATATGAGGTGGTTAATTAATTATATGATGTTGTTAATTTGTTATATGATGTGGTCAATTCTTTTTATGCATTAGTCGTTTCATGTTATGCAGTGGTAACTTCTTTATCATCATCTAAACTGATCCTCTTGCAAAAACATTTTTAATAAATGCGAGGAGTTCAAGTTTAAAAAGTGTTTGAAAATAGGAAACCCGGGCCGTGGCAAATTAAAAGCCGAGACTATTCGAGATTTTTCAAATTTCTGATTTAAAATTTTCAGACTCTTTTTTTAGGCTAATGTGTTTTCGCTGTAAAAAATTGTATTTAAATACTTGATATTTTAGATTTTCTTTACGATTTTTGGTTTCAAGTAAAATTGGTAGGCAGTTTCAATTTTCTGATTTAATATTTTATCCATTGTGCTATAAGTACTTAGTATTTTAGATTTTTTTTTTTTGACGATTGTTGATTTCCATGTTGGTAAAATGGGTAGAGTAGACTGGGTTGGCGATATTTTATGTGTGTGTGTTTTTTTTTTTTTTTGACATATTTGATAAAAATCTAATAAACTTAAAAATTATTCCGATGTTAAACACTGTATTTTAGCTAAAAAAAACTTTTTCTTTTTGATAGTTATTTCTTTATTTGAAAATGCTATTTTTATGCAAAATACACATTTTCATTAAAAAAGGGATTATTAAACCAGATTCGATCATCCGGGAAGAACCTGGTGCAAAACACCATAAATCATTTCTAATTTCATAATATGCAAATGTGCACTGGTACATGTATCTATTTGTTAGTAGATGGAAAGAAACTGGATTACGTTAAATATGTAATTTGTTTAATACTTTTTTCGGGGGGTGGGGGGTGTTAAATTACTAATATCAACTATTTATAAGACTGTTTCTAAGACTTCAGAAAACCTTAAATCACATTGAAATGCTTAAAATAAAAATTGCTGCATGAAAACATTTCATTTTCAAGTTTCATCTTTGCCGTCGCCAACGTGGCACGGTGATTAGAGTGTCTGCTCTAAGAGACGCGGAATAAGGAGTCAATCCTTACGTCACGGGTTCGAATCCGACAGTGGGACGTTGAGACCGGTCCTTCGTATGAGACCGCATAAAGCCATAAACCGAGGTCCCGTTCCACAGTAGGTGTTGGCACGAAAAAAATCCCTCACTGCTCAATGGCCGTAAGTGTCGAGTATAGGACAAAATTTGCAGCTCTCCACTGGCAAATTGTGGCGTCTCCATATGAGTGAAAAATTCTCGAGAGGGACGTTAAACAGCAAACCAACAACCAAATTAAAATCATTTTAGCCTTTTTGAATAAAATGATAAAATTAAGAGTTATCCTTCAAGGCTGAGGATCGGATATCCTTAAACCAAGCAACTTACGCGTGATTAAAGTTTGACACAAGGCTTTGCATTAATAGTCCTATAATTACATGTATATGTGATAATTCTTTAATTAATTTATATTTTATCAAATGGCATGTAGATAATGAATGAGTATTTCGGATTTTTTATATTTGACTTCCGGGAGCTTCTTTCACTACAATGAATCGTGCCTGTAGAAAGTGGGGAGGGGGGAGGCTAGACCTACGCCCGAATTTTCAATGCCTATATTATGTCTACCTTTGTAAAAAAAAAAAAAAAAAGGGGGGGGGGCAATAACCCCCCCCCCCAGTTCCGACGCCTACGTGAACCGGTTTTTCTTAAACATGTCATTTCACTCAAAAAATGCCTTTCAAAGAATGAATGATTTTTAACATCAGAATAATTTAAAAGTTTATAAGCTTTCTGTCAAATATGGCAAAAAAAAAAAAAAAACAACAAACAAACAAAAAACAACAAACAAACAAACAAAACACGTAAAATGTCTACTTGATTGCCTACCCGATTTACCAACCTCATGGGCGGATTCAGAGAGGGCCAATGTGGCCCCCCCCCCCTTGTGTCCAAAATATACATAAGATTTAATAAATCAATTGTTTTTTGGTTTGGCTGTGGGCTACCTACCCCGACCAAAAACTTGTCGGGCCTCCCTTTTCAAGATTCCTGGATCCACCACTGAACTTGGAAATCAACAATCGCCAAGAAAATCTAAATTACTAAGTATTTTAAAATTAAATGCAATTTTTACAGCGAATACACATTAACCTATAAAAATGAGTCTTAAAATTTCAGCACAGTTGATAAAATCAGGAAACTGTATAATAGAATCAGAAATTAGAAAAATCTCGAATAGTCCCGGCTTTTAATTTGCCACGGCCCGGGTTTCCTATTTTCAAACACTCTTTAAACTGGAACTCCGCGCATTTTTTTTTAAATAAAAGGACCAGTTTAGATGATGATAAAGAAGTTACCACTGCATAACATGAAACGTCTAATGCATATAAAGATTTGAGCACATCATATAACAAATTAACAACATCATATAATTAATTAACCACCTCGTATAAAGATGTTACTACTGCAAAGCATGATTTAAGGAATATATATAATAATTTTACTATATAATATAATGATGCTAGTACTGCACATAATAGATTTTTCACTTCATGTAAAGGTGTCGCACTGAATGAAATTAACTTGGCACTCCACATGCAGCGGGTTTCATACAATGTAATGATTGCTTTATCACACAAATTATGTTTGTACTGTATATATTGAATTCATCACATCACAGAAAGATATCAGTGATGTATAAAATGGAAAAACCACTGCATATAATGATTTTACAACATAATGTATCGATATTATCACTTCATTACATTATTTAACCACTACATATAATGACATTGCCACTGTATATAATGATAAAACCACTGCATATAATAAAGTTTTCAATGAATATAATGATTTTATCACTGTATATAATGATAAAACCACTGCATATAATAAAGTTTTCATTGAATATAATGATTTTACCACTATATATAATGACTTCACCACTTCACATAAAGGTTATTCCACCTCATATAATATGAAAATGACCTTCAGGCAGCTATGGCGTTCCATACGTTGGTATCCGACGATGCTAATAATCTAAAAAAAATATTTTAAACTATCTGACAGTAACTGCCTGAAACAGTTAGCTAGTCGCGAATATGGTAAATATAAAGAGAATACTTACCGAGGCAATGCCCATGATAATTCTTATGATCATGAGGAAAACGAAGCCGGTCTGAGCAGCAATGGGGGTCAGGAAAGTGCAAAAAGAACAGATGGTCATTCCAAGGCCTAAAATCCTCTTCCCTCCAAATTTTGCGGCGACCCATCCACCTAAAATTTGTGTTGTAAGATATCCCCAGAAAAATGACCCCAGTATAAGGCCCTGCGTTGTCTTGTCCCAAACTATTTCACCATCCTTAAGTAAAAAATAAAATGCATTCACTGGGTTAAATTCATATGTGTTAAATAGAACGCATTTACATTTGGATATTAAATGCCGAATCTATTTATCTGTCGATTATTCAATTTAAAACAAAAAGTCAATTTTCTTTTTGTAATCATATTTTGACATTCGAATTCGTTCTCAATATTTATTACGTATAGTATTTGAAATGAATAAATATATATAATAAATAGAACAGTTATATGGTCCGTAATTTTTGCAACATTTTTACCATGTGATTGAAGTCAAAATATTGTTTATTCACATGTATTTTAAAACATGAAAAGATAGATATTCTTACAGTCACCACGTACATCAAAATATCATTCATTACATGTGTATGTGTGTAAACAAACAACAACAACAAACAAACAAACAAAAAAGAGAAAAAGAAAATCTATTATCTGGAGATTTGAAGACCAAACTTGGTAAATCTTGGTGAACACAGATATTTTGTTTTAAATAAATTCTGTTTAGAATTTTATTCATTACCCAATTTTTTATTCGTAAACCATATTCTGCTCATCTTTGATCAATGTTTTGGTCTTCGTATAACCTTTTACTGTCAAAGAGGTTGTCAGCCTGTATATTTTCTAGGGATGTCAATTTTATTCGGACAGCTTAGTCGAATAATCGGAGGCTTTAGTCGAACGATCGTCGAATATTCGCTGAAATTTAAATTAATTTTTCATGTCATTTTACTATTTGTCTTTTATAGACTAGTTGTACAATATTTATACTATGCTATCAACATTATACAGCGAATCTCTGAATCGTAAACATTTACGTTGTACAATAAATACATCTACATGTACATGTATCCACTGTATTTGATTTCAAATATAATATTTACTTCACATTTTATCTAAATGCAGAATATCAAACACTAGCATTTAAATGTCCTTTCTTTTCATAAGGCTGGTACATGTACCCGTTACTTGAAGTCATTTGTACGTGTTTTGTTAGTTATCTATAGCTATGACTGGTAAACAATTAAAGCGTGCCTCTTATAAAAACAGAGAGAGAGCTTGTGATAACTTTTAATTATGAGATTTTGTGCAATCAATACAATCTTAAAATGACTGTATGATATTAATATCAGAAAGAAACACCATTAAATTACGCTAACTGTCCTCCAGTTAACATGTATTTACAATTTTGTAAAAGCTGTTTAATAATTAATATTCTTTATTAATAGTTGCATTACATCAAATCTTATGGAATTGCAGGTTGAAACTTTATTATTTAAATCAAAACCAAACAATTCTTGAACGCCCTCTCCATTTACAACAATAAGAGGTAGACAGTCCTTGATAATCATGTTTGTGTTAGCAACATTTTCCTTTCCGGCTCTGCTTTTTTGTCATTTTTGCGGAGAAGTTACTAGGAAAGTTTTACTTTTAAGACTATATGTTTGACGGATTCGGCATATGATACATAATATTTGATGTTCCACTGCAGAATACAAGTTCAGTTTCACAGAAACTTGATAACTTACTTTTCACTGTTTTTCCATCCTAACATCATATAAAGTATGCCAAAACTGTAGATTTTGGAGGCATGTTTGCCGAACATAAATTGACATATACATAATTTCCTTTGAACAGTTAAACCTTATCCCGAGTTTTACTTACGAGAACATTGATCTGTAAATAAATGAAATGGGCGGATCCAAGTTCATTACCTTGAATTTAAAATTACTATTAGCTAACATATTTTTAACGAATAACCGACTAAAGAAATTTTAGTCGATAGTCGGTATAATCGAACGATAGTCGAGTACTCGAATATTCGTTGACATCCCTAATATTTTCTAAATGTCCCTGAAATATGAATACGTTCAAATATGCAATGACACGCACATTTTACATTTTGTAGCTTTAAAATATTTATACCCCCATAAATGTATATTTGTTATGTCGTGTGTCGAATTGATAAATGACAAAAAGGTTTGATACTGCAAAATTTAAGATGCTTAACAAAGGCCGTTTTTACATGAGCGGATCTAGAGGGACCCCCCCCCCCCCTTGGAATTTCCAGAGGTATTAAAAGTATAAACTGAAGCAAATAAAAAATGACTTTGGACCTCCTTAGTAAACGTTGATCCCACCATCACCACCACGAAATAGGTGTTTTTTTACGTTTGTGAACTGGATTTTGCGGGGGTTTTTTTTTTGGGGGGGGTGTTTGTTGTTTTGTTTTTTGTTTTTTGTTTTTTTTTTTTTTTTTGCTTGTCAAGAATTTTTTGGGTTGGAAATATTTTTTTGACTGGGGTGGAACCCCCTTCCCCCCTGGAAAAAAATTCCTGGATCCGCGCCTGTGTTATATAACTTCCTGACATGGTTAACAAGGTAATAATGGAAAATATAAATAGAAAATATAAATAATATAAAAGACACTTTTAGAATTCAAATCACATCTCATAAAAAGAAAATGTAAAGAAAATGAGGTTGTACCTATTTTACAGTAATACTTAACTTTGAACAGAAATGAAAACTTACAAATGTTCAGAAAACAAAGGATAACCTAATGCTTTTGTAATAGCGAAATTCGATACGATAATCAACGTGATCAAATTTTAAGGTAAAAATTATTAAAATATACTGTCATCAGGTTTCAAGGATGATACATGCAAACGCATTTTACACCTTAATTAAACCAATGGTTGCATTTGTTAAACACAGAAATATTGATAATATCTGCATAAAATCTTTGCTGTTACTATAGAAATACAATTAGATCCTTGGTCAATATATAAAGATAAACAATCATACATATTCATCATCAATAACTTTTTGAAGAAAAAAAAGGTTTGTCATTAAAATTCCATTTTTATAGGGTCTGTAGCAGTCTAATGGGTGTTGATCCACACACATCATTAATATTTTTGTCAATTGCCATTTTGTCATTTTGTATACATATAGAAACAAAATTGAGACTAAAAAATGTACATTTTATGTATACAAATTTCAGCTACATTCTGAAAATGTACAGGCTAATGTACCAAATTGCATTTTATCTGACTTAATCTCCATTTTTCAAGTGAGATCTAGAGTTTTAAATTTTGTAGTGATCAGAATTAACATACTTTGGCTAAAAAGAAAAAAATATTTTTAAGTATTTGTAAACAAAGTAAAATCATACGGACCACATAACTTATAAATTTAATAAATGAAAAATGAACCTCAAATTGTCTTTCCATTGTTTGATTGGTGTTGGCAGAGACAAGTCCACAGCTACTATCAAACTGCTGGTTTACTGGGACAGAAGAGTTTTTGTAGTCGATCTCAGCCATCGAATTTAAGTGTACTGCTGTTCCATTGACCATACACACTATGGCCACACTGAGATTAACTCGCAAGGCATAGAGATTTATAAACCCAAAAAATCCCAGAACAGCCAGGCCAAGACGACTGGACGTCCACCATGGAACTAAAATGATAATCGTATTTTTTATTCCTTAAATCATTTTCTGTTATTTCTCAAATGGGTACATTTAACTCTGCAATATATGGGTACATTCACAGACCTCTGAATTTCTATCAATAAGAAGTTAAATGATTGATCAGAGTGATATATATACCCCCTCAATATAAATATTTATATATAGAGGGTGTATATTTAACACTCTGATCAATCATATAACGGAATTCAGAGGCCTGTGGTACATTTAACTTTGCAATGTATGGGTACATTTAACTTTGCAATCTGATTAAAATCAGATCCTTTGATCCGCTCACATAGATCGCTACACAGATCCTTGTGTAGCGATCTATGTGAGCGGATCAAAGGATCTGATTTTAATCAGATTGATTTAACTTTGCAATATATGGGTACATTTAACTTCAAAATAATTTATCACACCAGTCAGTAGTTTAGAATTATATTACCAGTGAAAGTAAACATGGTATTTAAAATTCGTCATATACGTCCATCATATTTCTGTAAAGCTGTTATATATATTTTCAAAATCTATATAGTATAACCGAAATTCTATACGATAAAAATAAATTTAATAATGGAACCTTGTGCCTCCTCCTAGATCACATATGCGTGCTATTTTTTTTTTCAATTTTAAATGACAAACAATTTGTAAGGATGCTTTTAAAAAGTTTTAGAAATACCTACGCCCGATTGAGAAAACAAGACTAGCAAACGTTTCAATTTTCGCTATGGATAAATTCATCCCTGATCTGCTTTTTACTTTGATTAATTATACAACCATTAACTTTTGTGGCATTGTTTTGTGCTAGAATACACAGACAATCAAACTATTTCAACAAACAAATTACTTATTTATCTATTTGGTAACGTAATGTCGTTGAATCACCTATTTATCTATACATGTATAAGGAAACTATTAATGTTAAATTTTACGTAGTCAATGTTAGATCATAATCATAATGTTAAGAATTACGGTATCTTTTGTCCAGGTCCATGTCATGTACAATAAATATTTAATCTAGTCTCTAAACCCCTACCCTATTCTTAATTAAGTGAATATTTGATCCAGCTATACTACATTATAAAGTATATAAACATGATAAACTCTATTATGAATGGACCCACCATCTTTTGGATCTATGAAAGCCTCCGCTGTTCCAGAACTATCAATCAAAGCGTCCTTAGTATTTGCCATTGTACTTTCCATAGAGAATTCTCTTCAATTACGCCGAAATATGCACATGTCAATTTTAAACAGCTGATGTCATAAATACCAACATATCCCCAATGCTGATCATTCAGAAATATTAACAATTACAGGGAAACTTCATGCACAAGCAAAAATAACTGTGTGCGCGCGCGGCACTCGATGCAATAAGTAGGGCAGGCATTGCACTGAGGGGAAATCTGACCTCGAAGCGTAGAGCAAACAAGAAATCAATATTTTTTTAGTCTTAAGGGGAGTCCTCGTAAACTGTCGACTGCTCTGTTGAGTTACAAAGTTTTTGAATTCATTTCAGCTTAAGCATTGACCAATGCTTGAGTTGCAATGAGAAGAAATATTAAAACTATATATAGATATAGCTGGTATGAGAATATTATATGTAAAAGCATATAGTTATTTTTTTTAAAAAAAAAAAGATCAGCTATGCAATTGCTGACATTTTTGTTCATTGTTCCAGATTACGATAGAAAAACATACAGGTTTTGTATAATACAAGTAATACTTACCTCATGTATTTTGTACAAGATCTAGATTTCCGTCTATATTGAAATTAAAGTACATATCTCGATAATTTAGAATCCGGATTTATAATTAGATTGTATTTACTCTATTATATTAAAAAACGTTTAAATGAACATTACTTTATCTAAAACAGAAAAACTTACTTTTAAAAGATCCAGGAGCTGCGAGAAAATATGTAAAATTTATAATTAGTCTCTGAGTAATGATTAAATATTTGATGTTATTGATAAATCTAATAAAGGTTGAGCAATAGGATAAATACAATGAAGATATATATTATCTTCATTAATCTCTCATAATTTCAAACTGGATATCATCACGGGGGGGGGGGGGGCAAAGAAAAGGTTTTACGAAAAAAAAAATGTATATCTACCATCAAAAATAACTGGCTGAAGAAATAGTTTTAAACATGCGCTCTGTATGGTAATTTTAAGTGGCATAGTTAAATCTTCTGAGGGCTTTAATTGATTATGACATATTTTAATAGATATTGTATATAATCAATATATTAAAATTTAGAATATATTAAAGCCTAAATTAGTGTCCCAAAATTAACATAATTTTTGTAACGTTTATAACAGCATTTATTTAAGTGTTGTTTAACCATTCTACAAGTTTGTTCCAGAGATCCTCTACATAAATTCATTCCCAATAAAAGTGGGATATTGTCTCCTGATTATCACAGAAAGTGTACATGTTTCGCTATTTTATCAAGTGTACCAAGTTCATTGACATTTCTTAAGTGATTAAATTTTGTTCCAGGCTAAATAACACCTCTGCTTTTAAACAATAAACTGATAAAGAAACACTTAAGTCAATTTAAGGACACATTGGGCAAAATGAATATATGTATGTCATATAGGCCTATATATATCTATTATATATATATATATATATATATATATATATATATATATATATATATATATATATATATATATATATATATATATATATATATAATATATATATATATATATAAAGGATCATTCTCTATGGCCGTTTTGCGGCCTACAATGACTTCAAATTTTCAAATAGTATTTTTTCCCTTAAAAACTGCATGAGTCAGTAGGCTAATGTTCCAATTTAATGATAAATGTTGATTGGTTAATGATACAAAAGTATTTGTTATGATATAGGGTCACAAAGTAAAGTACTATCGGTCCGTATTAGCATTAGGGTAATGGGAAAACTCAAGAGGGTTGGTGTGTTAGGTAACTCCTACACATGTCATAACCACCTTTAACCAACACCAAAATTTGCATGTAAACTTCTTATGAACATAAAAAGTGACTACCAAATTATCAACTTAGTTAAAGGTGGTTATGACATGTAAATAAAAACTTTTTGCTTCATTTTTACGATATTTGCAGGAAAAGCTAACTACTTACAATGAAGGATATCAGCTTATGTAGATTATTTCTTATTATAAACTTCCACTTAGAGTACATGTTTCTATTGATTTACTAAGAATTAATATAAGCCATGCATGTTTACTCAAAAAAGGAAAACTTTTTACTTAAAAAATCTAAAATCAAAGGACTGAAATGACTGGTTGTTATGAAATTACGTGAATACAAGTCTCATTGAACTATCTGCTAGAAATAAAGAAATTCTTTTATAGACTATAAGACATGAATATAAGTTACTTATTATAATTATATTTTTTATAAGGATAGTTTAGTTTATCTATGCTACTTCTTTCCTTAGGAGTACTGCATATTTGTTATTAGTTCTAGAAATGATAAAAGCTATTTTTGTTGTAGCGGGAAGATGCATTTGCTATTTGTGTTATAAACTTAATTTTTCTATGGGTACACGTGTAACTTTTATAGATAGAGAATTACTGATGGGATGGTTTCATGATAGAAATTCTCGCCTCGACCTTTTAGAAGGACACTTTTCCGTATGAGTGACATAGGATCCATGTATTTTGTTAACTGGGTGTTGAGAGGACTCAATCTATTCATCACACTTCTTTGGTAGCATCAATATAAGTTATGAGAACAGTAGTTCTGTCTTCGAAAATAAAACGCCAAGGAGAAAAGGGGTTCCTAAATGTCACGTGATTGATAATTGAATGTTGCTTTACGTCATTTTAGAATTTTTCACCCAGATAAAGAGATCATTCACTTAAGGTGAAGTGTCACAATTTTGATTTATGCATGGTTTCAGTATTGACCAACACCTACCGTGGGACAGGACCTCCTTCTTTAAGATAATATCCAAGAGACCCATGACTTTTACTTTCAATGCTGAGGACTTAGCAAAGGAACTGTCACTACCCGTGTTAAACACCTTAGTTCTTGACGCAGCACGGAAAGAGAATTTAATTCTCAGGTTTCAAGAGTGCGAAAGGAGTGTCATCTCTTACGGTCCATTTTGTACCTGGGATGTTGTAGAACTCTGTTAGTCCATGGATATACTAAAACTTCTGATATGCGTAGTGGAAGGAACTGTTGAAAATCTACTCCATTTTATGGAGTGCCGTGGGGGGGGGGGGGGGGGGCTCGACTTTTATACATACATTTGTGTATTATAGTTAAGATAGCATTTTAAATTAATTATATAGTTTTACATGCGTAATTAAATTGAATCAAATCAACTCTTACGATGTTATTTCATTTTACGTCGATATATATATTTTTAATACAACCGTTCTGAGTTTTATGTACTGACTATTAACATGTACTTGCATTAATATTTTCATCCTGTAAATTAATGAATTCTTAATTTTTTTTGCAAATGTAGACTATATTTTATAAATTACAACTTAATTTTGATTTAATCACAAACAAAATTCATTTATTGCTTTGAACATTTGATACACAACTTTTATAGTTCAAAAGAAACTTAGAAATCTCATTTCTTGCATGGGCATTTTATGCGTAAAATAGGTACCACATCTATAGAAACAATACACAAGTACAATATAAACAAATATAAAATAATACTTTTAATTAAATGCTAATTAAACATTTTTCAACATCGTACGAGGTGCATTTTGTAAAGATTTACATTCAAAATATGCAAAATGTGAATGCATCAAAATTCTTGCCATAAAAAAATAACTTTAGCCTTAAATTAAACAATCTTTGCTCATAATACTTAAGTCTGATATGTTTCCGACATAAATAAACAATTTTTGATCATTTACATCTAGAAACATGCATGAAAACTTGATGTAAATAGACCTACCCTCAATTTTTCTTTACTTGACGGCCGTTTGTGATCTTTAAATCACGTGACTTAGGTGATCGATGTTGAAATACAAACATCAAAATCATGAAATATAATGATTAAAGTTACATAAAATCACATTTTTAAGTGATTTTATCGTAGGCCGGAAAATGGCCTTATAGAGAATCATCCTTTAATTTTGTTTGTATTCTAGCCTCTGATTGGTTAATATCCAAAAAGGAACACAAACTATTTTAGGAATGACTCTAATTCTTGGCCAAATTATTCGAGTATAACCTGGTTTGGGTCAGTTTACGCTTTATAATCCGCGAAGCGGATTATAAAACAGCGTAAACTGACCCAAACCAGGTTATACTCGAATAATTTGGCCAAGAATTAGAGTCATTCCTTATAATTTAATTCTAAAATCATTAAACAACTGTGGGTGTAAAATTTCGTTGCTTTTTATTAGTTCAAATTTGCCGCTCAATAATACAACCCTAGTAACGGAAGTGATGGGAAGCAAGGGGAGGTAAAAACTGATACATAGTCCTAGCAGCCATGTTTTTTGTTTACATGTGGTAAGATCCGAGTTACTGTTTGAAGCTAAAGGTACATTTATTAAATCTAGAATTTTCCATGAATCCCGAGGACTGGAGATGAGAGGATTGCATGGATACAGACGATTCCGCTGGTTGTCAGGGGGGTGTGTCCCCATACCAAACCAGGTTATACAGAAATAATTTGTGTTCCTTTTTGGATATTAACCAATCAGAGGCTAGAATACAAACAAAATTAAATTATTTCTGTATAACCTGGTTTGGTATGGGGACACACCCCCCTGACAACCAGCTGAATCGTCTGTATCCATGCAATCCTCTCATCTCCAGTCCTCGGGATTCATGGAAAATTCCAGATTTAATAAATGTACCTTTTACTTCGAACAGTAACTCGGATCTTACAACATGTAATCAAACAACATGGCTGCTATGACTATGTGTCAGTTTTTACCTCCCCTCGCTTCCCATCACTTCCGTTACTACGGTTGTATTATTGAGCGGTAAATTTGAACTAATAAAAAGCAACGAAATTTTACAACCACAGTTGTTTAATGATTTTAAAATTAAATTATGAGGAATGACTCTAATTCTTGGTCAAATTATTCGAGTATAACCTGGTTTGGGTCAGTTTACGCTGTTTTATAATCCGCTTTGAAGGGTAAAAAATTGCAAGATACTATTTTATTTTAAAATAATTATATAATAGTGTTGTACTTTGCATGCACTATGCCTAAATAGTAGTCAGGGTTTGACACATGGTGCACGAGCCGGAGTGCATGCAAAGTACAACACTATTGTTATTATTATGCTGACTGTTGTATAAAAACAATATTTTCTCCCTTTCCAATGTTTCATCACCTCTTGCATTCATGTTAGTATCCTGGAAAAACTCATGCGACGAAAATAGACTATCGGAAACATATGACTCTCGGAAACATATGACGGCACGATACACCCCTATTATGATGTCACATTGTGCTACATGTACGTCATAATCTTTTGTCTTTAATATTTTGAATGTTCCATGTACAGATAGTTGAGAAATTTAGTTGTGTGAAGGGTAAAAAATTGCAAGATACTATTTTATAAAAATTATTTTGTTTATTTTTTTTTTCTTTTAGTGTAAAATCTTTGAAACTAAGTTTATATATATTATAATACAGTGTTATAGATAACGGCGTCTGTAGCGTAATCGGTAGCGCGTCGGACTAATAATCTTGGGGTCATGAGTTCGATCCCCGGCGTGGGCGCTGTCGGATTTTCTTCAGAAAAAGAAGCCCTGCTCTATTTCAGCATAGTATGCTTACGCTATATAAATCCTTAGACCACTATGCGAAAATAGTTGGGTATTGATTATGTAGAGACAATCGCGCTAACGCAAAAACCATTGTGACGTCACAACAAGGCTCGGGAAAAAAAAACACAACTCGTTGGATAAAAATCATATCCAACTACAAATCATGGGAGATCCTATATATATATATATATATATATACCGATTACTCGGGCGGAACGATGGTAATCGCTCAATCACGAAATTTGTAATCGGTGATGAGTCGGAAAAAAATTTAAAATTGTGTAATTTTGAACGCAATTTCATAATATTTTACTTCAAATTATCCTTGGTCTGCTATTACTTAGAACTTCAAACACTGCAGACGTTATAGTGAACCTGTTTTCAATGCGTATCTTACCCTGTAAACTGAGTATACTATGCATTTATCAATCAAATAAGATCTTCAACTAAAATATGTAAATTATCAATGGTTTTGATGATAGCGACAATACAGAGTGCGACATACAACTTGAGAAGTTATTTGTGTTCTTGATGTATCTGGCGTGTTTCATATATTTTTTTTTCAAATTGAAATGAAATTCGTAAAGTGTTGTTCGATTAAACATAAACGGATTATTAGCAATGTCTTTCTTATATATATATATACATAGAGAGAGAGAGAGAGAACGAGAACACAGAAAACTTCACATTATACAAGGATACTTACTGTCGCCCCTACCCGGGGTTGAACTTTCGACCTACGGAACCTGTCTCCTCACAGTACAGAAACAGCATGCTAGACCACTCGACCAACTATTAAGTTAAAAACATGTTTTCAATTGCGAGAGTGTAAACCCGGGTTGAGGAGGCAGTGGGCGTCATTGCATTGTGAATTTCTCGATATTTTCTGTATTTATTTCACGCTTCTTCACTCATGGCAGCTATGTTAGTTAAGGAGTTCATTGAAATCTCATTTAATCATTTAATGATAAAAAATAATATAAGTATAAGGTGTATTGGTAACAATTCTCTGATAATTGCCGTTATCTCACTTCTATTCTCAATGGCAGGTTCGCGAGAATTTCATACCCATCGAAAGCCTAGTTGGTCGAGCGGTCTAGCACGCTGTTCCTGCACTGCTAGGGGACAAGTTCCGCAGCTCGAGAGTTCAAACCCGGGTTGGTATCCTTGTGTTCTGAATTTACCTTGCACATTTAAAGCAATTTGAAAGGAAAAACCCCCAAATATTATGGGGAAACTTATCCATAGATAGTGAAAGCAATATGAAAATATCTGATTTAAATACACGCATGAACATGCTATTGCTTAAATCGGATGTGTTTGCCTAATTGTCAGAATATGTACTGCATCATACAACAACCAAGGGGAAAATCTTAAATACAGACAAGGATACGATGTCTGTCCACAAGAATATCTTAAAAATGGGAATTGCATTATTATTGCAGGATTCTGCTTCAAAAATGCATTCATTATTTTGAAAAGCAATAATAATCGGACAAATGATGCAGAAAAGGATATCAGGATATCTCTTGAATAGGTATTATGAGCATCTGCATGTACTTACAAGCAGTATACAAAAAAACAAGACATACGAGTAATCGTGAGAAGCTGAAATTCAAAACTACGTGGTTAAAAAGGCAACGCTATCAACGCAAACCACGAGAATTAAAAACGAAAAGGACAAACATTTCTGTATAATCAACAACACAGATATAAGAACAACGTTCCCATAAAGAAGATATAGAATTATGAGATTCTTCAGACAAGAATGAATATATTTATACAAATGCATTAATCACCATACAGCCCTAGTTATCATTTTAAACTGAAAGAAGTCCGATGATTTCAAGAATCGGAGAGAACAAGTGTATGCATTAGTATATGTTACTAGAGATCAAAGAAATTATAAGAGCGTTAGAATGTATTTTTTATACAATGGGTAGAAAATCCGCAAACAGAAGCAAAAGGATCTTCGAATATAAACTGCCTGAAAACGGTAAGCGATATACAATGTGACCTTATTTGCAAGAGAAGTCCAAAAACAGATTAAGATAATAAAAAGAACAAATGATGAGAAATAAATATATGGAGAAAGATGATAGAAACTTGCAATAGACATGGCCTTTTGGCACCAGTACAAATAACCCATAAAGGATAAAAGTATAGATTTAGAAATTATTTGAAATGGAATTCTGAAAAAAAAACTCAGGCCCGTAGCAACGGTTTCAAAGGAGGGGGGCAACTTCCCAAAAAATCTGAGAAACAAAAAAAAACCCTACTTACTATTAATTAACTGTCCAAATCCTGGAATTTGCCCGTGCTCGACCTTAGCGCAACAAAAAGATGGGGGGGGGGGGAGCATCTAAAGGAAAATTTACTATTGCAAAATACAATACTCAGAAAAAGTGGGGGACCCCCGCATTCTACGGGCCTGTAAAACAGGGAAAAACATCAAATCGCAGCGGAAATGTTAACAGCAGATGCGAGCTGATAGAAAAGTGTACATGCCATAACTTTCCGAGTTGTATATAGGCGAACAATTAATGCACACGGATTGGAAACCCACAGAAATGTGAATCCTATAGAAATGCAAACTTGAAGAGTACTACTAAGAAAAAAAATTAGAATGGACTGTCAAGTATAAGTAAAGTCATATACTTATAATACATATACGTAGTCAATAAGAATCGACAGATTGGGAACCATATACAGGACACCAGATCAGATTTGCTCAGAGATGCTATTTGAACAGTCAGTCAAACTGAACACAAACCCACTGATTTCGAAAAATTCTTTGAAACGGAGTTGATGCAAGATATTTGCGGAAAAGTACACTTTTTTTTTTTGGTTAACAAAAACATGGAGTAAAGACCTACTATACCTTAAAAGTGCACTTTTATGACACAACATTCGCATCTCTCCGAGAAATCCTTGAAATATATTTAGTTAAGAGTCATATCACAAATATGATTTAAATGCTACTATTCATCAAAAGTTGTTAGCGTAGTGGTTAGCGTTTTAGTCTCAAAGGAAAATGATACTCAGGATTTTTATTGCTAGGGTTCAAACCCCACGAATACCACATTATTTTTTAATAACATAATAATTTTTGCCGAGAAAATTTTCCTTAGAAAAGTTTTTTTTTTTTTTATCATAATTTCATAATGAGAACTTTATTCTAAATGCTACATTCACAAATTGAAAACAGTTTTTATATATCTGAAGCTATAGGCATTCTGCATGCCTTGCTCACTCATCTCCTTTGACACTTTCATTAATTTTCATTGTTTTGAACTCAGGGCTGATTATGATTTTATCATACATTGAAATTGATCATCCTTGACAAGATGCATGTATAATATATATTCAGTCTCTCTTTCTCTCCTCCCCAATCCACAAATTTTCATATTCTAATCGCTCAGCAGTTATATGATGTATACATCTGCCCCACTTATTGTAAAATGAATTATCTTAGAAATATCACCATGCAGAAGTTATTTCCTTAAACTCAAAAATAGTACTTCATTTCCTTGTAAAACTCAAAAATAGTTCCTTTGAAAGAGCAGCATTGCATCATATCATCTTAAGTTTGTTGACTTTAACAGTATATCAACAAGTAACATTTCATAACATTTTGATGAAGACTATCATTTTAAAATACTGTCAACACTCAAATCAAATTGCAGTTTGAAATATGAATTAGCATGAATGTGTAATATTTCATATAGAGACTAAAATTGTCTATATTGTGTATGTACTAGAGAGAAACTAAAATTGACTGAATTCTATATTGATTGGCTAATGCTCCTTTGAACATGTCATATGTGATTTGCACTAGCATTTCAATGCATGTCATAGTGTTTTCATTAATTGCTGGAACTTGAGGTGTGCGATTACCAGAACAAAGATAACATTTGAATGCTTTTTTATCATATTGGATTTTATCTCTTTAAAGATAAAATAACAATATCATACACATATAAACTCTTATCAATGATAAAAACGATCATTATGAAACATTGCTAAACAGATTTATTATGCAAAAAAATCAAACAAACAAACTAAAAAAAAACAAACAACAAAAATGCATTCTGATGTGACATCCACAAGAAAACTACATCTTCATCAATACAAGATGATGTAAAAATTAAGGTTAACAGATCTATAAAACGTACATGTATCTATAAATATATCTATTGTAAAAAAAATCTAATTTTCCCAGTGACATAAGTCACATTACCATACAATCCTCTACATAAGCAAAATCATTTAATGTAGCATTGTTTTTTATTATTATTAAATAATCATAACGTCATGCAGCATGAAATATAAGAATATACTGACATCAAAATAAAAGCAACATATTAATGAACAACATGTATATGAGAATAAAAGATAAAAAACCATTATCTCTCCATGACCTAAGTTTTTCGTAAGGTGACACTTTCAACAGTAACATGTAATAACTGTATAACATTTATTTCTAATACAACAAATTGAAATTTCCCAATATTATGTCAAAAATTACATTTACACTAAAAATTTAAAAAAAAACATGGGAATGAGCAGTTGGATTTGAACTGACTTTTGTATATCCAACAAAGTGAGATCAAAAACAAATTCTAAAAGATTTAATAAATGCAATCATAATATCACAAAGCTGTCATTATGGTTGTAGTGAGACAAATGAGGTATATAAAAATAATATATTAATTGTAGAATACAGCATAATGAGAATGTAAGCTTTTTGTTCATGACTGTTTTAGTGTGTAGCACTCTCTTGCAGTTGTTTACCCTATCCTTTCTTTTTCTCCCTTCAATAAAATTCTTCAAAACTATCTGAACATTAAAAAATATTATTGCTGCTAACACAAATATTACCTAGCACAATGTGATGTCATAATGGGTGTTCTCTAAATGTTAGAGATCACCCCCAAAAAAGAATCACTGCACAGGAGTGATGAAACATATGGCAGTAATGAGAAATAACATATGGCAGTAGAGAAATAACTTTCTAAAATAAGATGTTATAAATATATGTATCTTCATGACAGGAAAAAACAATCCATATAATGAGACAGCAGAACGCCTTTATGGTTTCACTAAGTTGCATTATGGAAGTATTATTGAACCACTAATCTTCCCACATTGAATGTACACCCATCATCTAAAATGCCCAAGATGCCCTATAGCAGATGTGTTTTTTCTAATTTGATCATTTCTTCCATTACTACATGTATCATAATATATTAATTTTATATTTCAAAATTTCACGCATTCTCCATATCCTTGTTCTTAAAGTTTCCTGTTTTATCTTCCAATTTGTTCAGTTCCTCTACTTCTATCGTCTTTTCCTCCATGGCCCATTTTTGCAGTTGTCCTGAGCCAAAGATAAGATAGAATAAAGCACTACCAAGGTAGATGGCAGCTGCTATGTAAAAGACTACCTGCCACTCCGATTGACTCTGGTTCTGAAAAAAGACAAAGATTAATAAGAAGCCCATGGTCCACAATGCTCACCTGAGTCTTTTTGATTTTTTTTCCTATATATATTCCTATGTTAAAGTTTCATCTCCTATTGTGTCTCCACCTTACACCTGGAGTCATGACTTGAAAAACTTGAATCTACACTATGTATTAAAGCTTTCATTTTTTCTGGCCTACTGGTTCTTGAGATGAAAATTTTTAAGATACCACCAAATATTTACTAATTCTTAATTATCTCCCCTTGAAAGAATGCATGGTCTTTTATTTTAAGAAACTTGAATCCCCTTCATCCAAGGATGTTTTGTAGCAAGTTTAGTTGAAATTGGCTAAGCGATTCTGGAGAAAAAAAGTCAAAAATGTTAAAATGCAGGACAACTTTCAGCTCATGTAAGCCTAAAAATGTTATCTCAAAAAAATTTCTTTCATACTTTTTGACAGGGATTTATTTTGAATTTATTACAGTAAAAGGAATGAAAGAATTGTAAGGTGTTCCTAATTTGTTTCTTATGTACAGATATTGCTGATGACACCTGAAAATTAAAGACCATCTTGTGTTACTGAAATTTTTCAAAATTTAAAAAAAAATCATTTTCAGAACTAACTTTCCCAGTTCATCCTCAAATGAAATGCTCAGTTTAAATATATGAATTTCAATTTATATGGATTTTTAACATGGGATTACCTCCTCTGTGATAAGTCCAACAACAGCTGGAGATATAAAACCTGTGATGGCTCCTGCAGCATTAGTGATTCCAAACAAGATCCCTGCAAATGCTGGAGCAATGTCCATGTGATTGATGAGGAATCCACTATACTGAAGGCCAGATAAACTGACCCCCAGGGTCAATAAAGCAATGGCCAAACCCTTCATTGTACAGTCTAAGTACCCAAGGCCTATTAGTAGTAATGCTGGTATCACCTTACCTACAAAGCAATGAAGGAATTGAAATGTCTGAATTACAGCTACACATATGTAATACATGGAAAAAAATATGTAATTATATTCATTAATGAAGATCAAATAATTGAAGGTGTTATTTCATTTCATGTGTAAAGATGGAGGTCTTACTTCTTGCCACATGCAGATTCCTCCAACTTACAAGAAAATAAGTTTGTAATATATAGAGTAGAAATGAAAAAAAATGTGCTACATCACCCTTGAATTTTTTATTAAAGCCATGACTTTTTGTCTATGAAATTCTAGCTTTATCATTTCTTTAACTGTCCCCAGCTATACTTGAGAGAAAATGCTCTCAATTTTTCGCTAAACAATCTTTCCATAATGTACATTCTTTTGACATTTATATTACAATTTCTAAAAATTAAAAATAGTGAAATGTTATGGAAAATTATTTCATCCATTTTCCTGCTATTATTATTTTTTTTCAGCAGGTTGAGTTTCTGGTCAAGAAAAATGATATTCGGCCTTTCATGAAATTAAAACCTATCTTATTAATGAAAAGCATTATTAAGTAAGGGGCTTCTAAAATGGCTGACAGAAGAATTACTAATACTAAACATGCTAAATATGAGATATATAATCATTTATAAAACCCATTTATAACCAACACAAAAGTTTAAAAGATGACATTATTATTATAATTTTTGATAAGGAAGAATTTAGTAATATTTTATTACACCTCAAATTCAGTTGAAATAACAATTCTCTTTTATTCTTATCAACTTTGCTATTTCCTGTATCAAGCAAAATAATTATATGCATATAATATGCTTATAATCCTTCCTGATTTTACAATTAGTAAAATAAATGTATTCAGAAGCTTCCCTGTACACTTATTAATGCCAACGAGATTAAATCTTCCTTAAAAAAAAGATTTCAATTTTTATTCAGGCTGTGTTTGCTTTGAATACCTGAGATATCAAAAAGTTTACGGGTGGCAGTGGTTGACAAATGTTTTTGTGTGAAGTCTGCTGAAATACCAGCAATGTTGATCACACCCCAGAAACCAATGTAGGGGAGAGCAGAGTAAAATCCATTCTATAAGAAAAAAGATTCTACATTTTATTACATGGGTAATAATTTTGGAGTGACAGAAGTTTATTTGACAAGTACATTTGATAATATCAATCTCAAGCACATATCTTATTGTAATTTTTCATCACTCAAGGTTAAAAAAGTGATTATTTTGGCAATAAGGTACATTATAATGCAATGCATGAACAATCACAAATTTTTTGGACCACTGAAAAATAGTTCTGCAGCTAAATACATACATAAAGGAAAAAACATGTTATTTTAATTTCTCTTACTAAAACATTTTATAGTCAAAAGAAACATCCAGCAATTAGCAGCCTTCCATGCTTTATAACACAATAAATATCTCTAACATGGTAAGCATAGAAAAATACAACATAGAATTTTAAACGTACAGTAGGCTATACTTATTTTAGTTGTATATAATCATATTTTAACGGTAATCATATTTTAGCACCTTTGGCGCTGCTTCTTGTCCACTAATTTATGTAGATGGTTATATATGATAAAAGATGATATGTTTATATGTTGTAAAAGCTCTAGTGCACTGATTGTTCCAATCAGTTGAAAAGAAAAATTGGGCTAAAATTTAAGTGTGCTTATTTATGTACGTTTACAGTACATCTCATAAAGTTAACATCAAACAAGAAACAAAAGTCTTATGTAGAATTATTTGTAAATGTAATTAAGTTTTGTGATATGGGAATCTTGAAAACTTACAGAGGTAATGTCTAATTTGAGAACTTCCTTCATATATGTGGGGATATTAGTCAAAAGGGTGTAACCTCCCCAGTCACAAGCAACGTTAGAAATAACGATGGCATACACTGGTAAGGATGTCATTATATTCTTCCATGGGACCTTGAGATCCTGAAAATATCCAATAAGAAAAATGAAGTATTTCTGAAAAGCTATAATGGTTAAGTATTTACTTCAACAGAGTAAGTGATTCATTAAGCATTGAACAATGATATGATAGAAATGGTCATGAAGTCATAAAATCTAGCTAAGATTGACAAAAAAATTAGCACAGTTGAACTTCGGTATCTCGAACACTGATAACTTGAATACTATGATATGTCAAAGTGATTTTGAAATCCCAACCCCTTATTCTTTAAGTATTTTCCCTTGATATCTTAAATCCCTGGATATCAGGAAGTTTTTTCTCGTTCACATTGAGTTTGAGATAACGAAGTCTGGCTGTATTTAAAATTCTTATCTAAGTGTAAAATGTCTAGTAGTATAAGATGTGCCTTTAAATGAAAAAATAATTTAAAAATTCAATTTCAAATACAAATTCAATTGTATAATAATGTCCGGTATTATAAGATGTGCCTTTAAAAGTAAAGATAATCTGACAAAACATTTAAATATGAAATTCTGATTTCATCTAAGTCAAATGTTACAAGATGTTTACTTTGCCTTCCTCTTTGTGTGCTGTATTTTTCAGTGACTGTCTAATATACAGCTTCTCTATATGGGAAATCCTTTTGTGTCCCTCTGGTGAATCACTAGTTAGGAGCATCCACAGAACAACCCATATTGTGTTTACAATGCCTACAAAATAATCCATACAGTGTTTACAATGCCTACAAAACAATCCATACTGTGTTTTCAATGCCTCCAAAACAATCCATACTGTGTTTACAATGCCTACAAAACAATCCATGCTGTGTTTATAATGCCTACAAAACAACCCATACTGTGTTTATAATGCCTATAAAACAACCAATACTGTGTTTACAATCCTACAAAACAACCTATACTGTGTTTATAATGCCTACAAAACAACCCATACTGTGTTTACAGTGCCTACAAAGCAACCCATACAGTGTTTATAATGTCTACAAAACAATCCATACTGTGTTTATTATGCCTACAAAACAACTCATACTGTGTTTATAATGTCTACAAAACAACCAATACTGTGTTTAACTATGCCTACAAAACAACTCATACTGTGTTTATTATGCCTACAAAACAACCTATACTGTGTTTACAATGCCTACAAAACAACCTATACTGTTTACAATGCCTAGGGGTCTACCCACTAGTCCAAACGTTCACTAGTCCGAAAGTCCATTAGTACAAAGGCTCACTAGTTTGAAAACCCACTAGTCCAAAGGCCGATGTCCGATGGTTCACCAGTCCGAAATCTCAAAATTTTTCCCACATGAATTTAATTCAGCATTAAGGATATCATTTATATTCATATTCTAAATAATAATGATATGTAAATACATGTATGCCCCTGCATGCTTTGAAAACAACTCTGGGAAAATAATTGTATTTGTTCAGACAAGTGAACCTTTGGACTAGTGAACCTTTAGACTTGAGGACCTTCAGACTAGCCGGCTTTCAGAATAACAAACCTTCAGACTAGTGGAGTGTGTTTACAATGTCTACAAAGCAATCCATACTGTGTTTACAATGCCTACAAAACAATCCATGGGGTACCAGTGTACCAACCAGCAGACAATACTTGGTTAGTACGACCAACATTCCTACCGACTGACCAACAGGCGCAAAGTAATATGGCCCCGTTTTCAACTGGGGCATAAAAAAAATTCATACCCATACTAATACCTACCCAATATGTAGAAAATGGAAGGCCATCCACCAGCAAAACCATATTTGCACAACAAAGATGCGATTGGGAAAGTTATTACTATTGCTGCTTGGCCTCCTGTAAATGAAATGTAAGGATGATATATTTGGGTTGGATTCACCATGTTCACTTTTTTAGAATTTAAGCATAATGCATTACCAATTCTATAAACTCCAAAGAGTTTATAATCCCTAGATATTCAATTTTGTCATTACCTGCATAAGTAAATGCAGTCAGTTTGCTTCGTTCTAGAGGGGGAGCCCATTTACCCCAAACCGTGTGCATGGCTGGGAAAACTGTACCCTGAGAATAATAATGAGTGTGTACATACATTTCTGCACTTTCTATTCAACAATTAAATTACAAGTAATTTTTTTTAAACTCTCAACATTGATTTTTTAACATGTGATGCACATCAAAAAAAGAAGTCTCTGATGAGACTGTAGTTCTACTGGTTTGAATTAAAATAACCAAGGAGTAGCATATTGAGGAATTTCACAGATTATGCTATTATTGGTACACATTGAAACACTATTCAACCAAAGTAAAAATGATACCAAAAAGTATGTGATGCAATCCACCTTTGTACCAGTTGTATGAAAAAAACAGGCCCAAGGGCAACCATGCTTAACTGAGTCACATTGGTTTTGTTTAACTTGAGTTGATTTATAAAAGATTTTTCACTCCTCTATAGGCCCATGAAACCATTTGGAACAAGATTTGAACAAATTTAATATTAGATATAAATATTAAATTCAAATATTTAAATTTAAAACCTCCCCCTTGGGGGGAAGGTAGGCTGATTCAGATCTCTTGATCCACACTTTCTGAGACTGCTTCATTACTTCTACGATCAAGAAGAACCCTCTTATTTTGAAAAGATTTTAAAAGATTTTTTCCTCTATATTTATAAATGTAAAAATTTAATCCCTTATTATTGTCCCATCCTAGCCCCACTGACAAGGATTTGAATAAATTTGATTCTGCAAAACCTGAGGATGCTTGCATATGAATATGATTGTTTATAACCCAGCTATTTTACAGATTTTTTGCCATATAATCCCATGTAAAATGTGTATCCTCTATTGTGGCCCTACACTAGCTATCCTCTGGGACCATAATTTGAACCATTTTGAATATGCACTACATGAGGATGCTTGCATATTGATATGACTGATCATAACCCAGGTGTTCTTGAAAAGAAGATTCCTATTTTAATTGTAATTGTAATTGTTTAGAAGTAAGGGGAAAAAAACAAAACAGAAGAACAGACAGTTAGATGAATAAACTACAGACACTTTACCATAAGCTATTCTGCAGGTCTACTACCAGTAGATAGACCTGAAAAATGAATGCATTACCAACAAAAGGATTTGTCAGTCTTACAAAAGGGTCAGTTAATATTGACATAGTCAGAAGTTCAATGACTGACAAAATGTTTTATTGGACATCTGTGGTAAGGTGAACTAGTTTGATAACAAACGGTGACCCTTTGGGTATTTAAAGTGCATATATAAACATGATAAAGGCCAGGCATTATTTTCTAATGTGTGGAATATTTTTTGGCATGCTCAGTCACACCTCAGACAAAATATGCAAAAGTATATGCAAAATGGAGTTAATTTAACAAATTAGATAAAATATTTCAGAGAAAGAGGAAGATTTGATCACTACAAATGTCAATTCAGAGAATAATACAATCTGTTCTTAATTCTTAAGTTAACAATAACATATTTTAATCCAGTTTTTTTATTTTCTTTTTTTAATTTTTTTTCTTTCTCAACACTTCTCTAAATGTCAAATTACATGTAAATATCTGTACAGCTGGATGAAATAAACATTTTAAAAATCTAAGAGTCCCAAAAATATGACCTCCAGATAAAAGATTAGAGAGGGTCTTTAACAACCTTAATTGAATCTTGAATTTTAGTCAACTTTACAAGGAAGTATATCTTTTTAAGCATTAACAATTCCCTCTGAACTACAAAAGGAAATGGGATGCATGTATTAACACTACATGAGTCATAAGACAGACCTTCAGATAACAGATTAATTTGAAGAAAAGCAAATCTTTTCCCTTTCCCATCTTTAGAATTTTTCTGTCACTATGGAGTGTTCTTTCATGAATTTTAAAATTAATACAAATAGAACAACAAGCAAACATTTCCTGAGACACATAAAAGATAAATTTATCAGTGGCTCATTTTTGACCCAAGGTATATCACATCAATGCAAGTGACCAATGATAATGACATTTAGCTGAGACGGGCAAAAATAATGTTGTAACAAGAGGCTCATGGGCCACAACACTCACCTGAGCACTGTGGCTAGGAAAAAAGCAAAAATTAGTTCAGTATTGAAAAGTTTAAACGCATAAGTGGTCCCAACCTACACCTAAAAAGGGGGGATGGGATTGATTTGAACAAAAACTAAGGATGCTTACATATTTCTTTGATTAACTATGGCTTTTTTCATTGTGGTCCCACCCTACCCCCAGGGTCATTTGAACAAACTTGAATCTACATTATCTGAAGATTCTTCCAAATAGATAATGACCAATCATGGCTTTGCAATTCTTAAGAAGAAGATTTTTCCTATATGCTCCTATGTAAAATTTTGGCCCCACCCTACAGTGGTCATGATTTGAACAAACTTGAATCTACACTACCTAATGATGCTTCCATATAAATATGACCAATCATGGCTTTGCTGTTCTTGAGAAGAAGATTTTAAATGATTTTTCTTATATAATCCTATGTAAAAATTTGATCATTCATTGTAGCCCCACCCTACCACCAGGGGTCATGATTTGAACAAATTTGAATCTATACTACATGTACCTGTGGATGCTTCCATATAAATATGACCAATCATGGCTATGCTGTTCTTCAGAAGATTTTTAAAGATTTTTCCTATGAATTCCTATGTAAAACTTTGATCATCCATTGTGGTCTCAACCTACCCCCAGGGCACATGATTTGAACAAATTTTAATCTACACTACCTAACGATGCTTCCATATAAATATGACCAATCATGGCTTTGCTGTTCTTGAGAAGAAGATATTTAAAAGATTTTTCCTGTATATTATTATATAAAACTTTAATTGTCCATTGTGGCATGATTTGATTAAACTTGAATCTACACTATTTGAGGATGCTTCCATATAAATGAAATATTACCAATCATGGCTTTGCTGTTCTTAAGAGGAAGATATTAAAGATATTAAAAGATTTTTCCAAAATATTCCTATGTGAAACTTTGAATGTCCACTTTGGCCCCACCCTAACCCTAACCATGATTTAAACAAACTTGAATCCAGAGTACCTGTGCATGCTTCCATAAAAATATGACCAATCACGGCTTTGCTGTTTTTCATCAGAAGATACTTAAATGATTTTTCCTATATATTACTAAATAAAACTTTGATCGTCCATTGTGGCCCCCCTTCCCCCCCAGGTCATGATTGAACAAATTTGAATATATACTACCTGTGGATGCTTCCATATATTAAATTAGACCAATCATGATTGCTGTTCTTGAGAAGAAGATTTTTCCTATATATTCCTATGTAAAACTTTGTGGCTCCACTCTACCCCAGGGGGTCATGACTTGAACAAACTTGAATCTACACTACCTTAAGATGTTTTCACATAAGTTTCATCTTTCCTTGCCTAGTGGTTCTTGAGAAGAAGATTTTTGAAAGATGCAATTAATTTTTCTTTAATTTGTAATTATCTCCCCTTGAAAGATGGCGTGGCCCTTCATTCGACCAAACTTGAATCCCCTTTACCCAAGGATACTTTGTGGCAAATTTGATTGAAATTGGCCCAGTGGTTCTTGAGAAGGAGTGAGAAGGAGTCAAAAATGTGAAAAGTTTAAAGACAGACTGATGCCGGACAAAATGTGATCAGAAAAGCTCACTTGAGCCTTCCGCTCAGGTGAGCTAAAAAGCACATTTTCATGAACGGTTAAAATATTCTTTGTATAACAGCTTGAACTGTGTTTTGTCATATTAATTTTAGAAACAAACATCAGTTGAATATTGTAGGATAGCAAATTTTGGACAGTGCTCATTTTTTTGATTTTTCATCATCTTCAATGGGCGAATATAAAACTGGGCTCGACAACCATTGAAATGCATTTTGAATTTTTTTTTAATTTGTACTTCTGTAAGAAAGTAAAGTTTTTAGTTTGTTATTTCTGTGTACAAACAAATAATTGGATGGCAATGATTTGGAAACATACCATTCATGCAACATCATGAAACAGCTGAACCGAGAAAAAAATATGTCCCCCATTTTTCATGACTTTCAAGTATTCATTCTGTCTGACAAATTTTTGTATAAATGCACTTTTATTTTTAAAAATGTCCTTCTTTTTAATGTTATTCATCTTAAATGTGTAAAATAATTATATCTAGGCAGTCCTTTGAAGAAAGATTTTTTTTTGGCTTGCTAAATGTTAACTAAAGAGCTAATGTAAATGACAAGGCTTTTGTACTTAATGCACACAGAAACATTGATCAATCCTGCACAAATTTAACATCAAACAATGAATGAAACTAGTGTTTAGCTTTTTGTAAGAAAATAGAATTATCTGAGAGAGAGAGAGAGAGATTCTTTGCTAATAATCTTGTACATGTATAATAAGAGAAAGTCTCAAGAAATTGCCACTACCACTGATTATGTGTTACAACATGCTATCAATTAGCTTTTTTCCTCATAGCTGGTGAAAGATTTAGGTCAATTATACTTGACATTTACATTATACATATACTAGTACAACTGGGTAAAATAATAATTTATCTTCATTTTTTTTCTTCAGAAGACTGCCTGTAATTAGAGGCACTTCTAAATAAAGTATTTCTGCAAAAAAAAAAAAAAATCCTGCTTTCAGTTTATATATCACAAGAGTAATAGAGAACTGGGACAAAGAAATACTGATTAAATTTTATATTTCATTTTCTCCTTTTCTTTAATATAAACAGTGTATTCTCTAAGAACTGGCCAAATTGACCACTTCAATTGATATAAACGCCACTTTAGGAAATCAAAATTTAAAACATAACTCTTATAAGGTCCACAGAGATTTTATTCATAAACCTCAGCCTGTTACAATCGATCTCATTAATCCTTTACTTTTAAATTAGGGATGGGTATCACCAAAAATAATGTATCACGATATATCACGACTTTTCCAAAAATATCATGATAATATCATGATATTTTTACATATAATTTTTACTATGATTCTAAATGAATTTCCATGATTTTTCTAACAAATATAGCGTAATTGTAATTCAAGTCTGTCGTCAGTTTGAACAAAAAAAACTGATTATTTCCGGAATTTACAATTACATACAAAATACTGGTATTTAGTCTCCGTATTACAATAGGTATTGCGCAATAAAGAATCATGATATACCATATACCGATTAAATCGCACATCTCTATTTGAAATAAAGGAAAAACACTGTATAAATCAAAAATTCATAATAAACCCAACCATTGAAAGTCTGCAGAAACATAGAAAAGTGTCTGGTATCATGCAGCAGTGATATCTGTCAGATAGACATTTTCCCTAATTTTGACATGTCTGAAAGAAAAACTATAGACTCATTCTTTATGAAAGAAAAATTCATTTCCAAATCTTATTAAGGATCAGGTAAATACTCACAGAAGCAATACCCAGGATAATTCTGATTATCATTAAGAAGACATATCCAGTCTGGGCTGCAATGGGCGTCAAGAAGGTGCAGAGCGAGCATAAAGCCATACTAAGACCTATGACTCTCTTCCCTCCAAACTTGACAGCCAGCCATCCTCCTGGAATTTGTGTAGCTAGGTAACCCCAGAAAAAGGCACCCAGTATTAGGCCCTGGGTTGTTTTCTCCCACACTATGTCACCATCCTGTTATACATACATGAACCAAATAAATGTATTGTGTACTGGGTACTTATCACAGCAATGCAAACTCTTCTTTGTAAGAAATAGATAAAAGAAGGTATCTTTAACTATTTAAAACAATTGGATCCTTATATGCATGCAGAGGTGTATAAATCTTAGAATAGAAACAGTCTTAGCTTATTCCAAATAGGAAAAATATCCACAGAAAATGTAATGTAATAAATTTTTGCAATTCAAACAGTCAAGCCTAGTTAATCTACACTTGTGTTCCATAGTAAATCATTCAGATTAATGAAGTATACAGATTACTGAAACAGATTTTTCATAATTGTTAGGAATAGTGGATATCAATGTTACTGTATACGGATTATTTTCGTCCCATGTTATTTTCGCACATTAGCACTTGCCTACAATTTTGCCCCGTTTTAAATTCAACCAGTCACAGTTCTGTTTCAGAAATTATACTGTGTTCTTTGAATTCGCCCCGTTTTAAATTCGCCCACCTGTGATTAGGTCGAAAGGGGCGAAAATAAAATGGGGGCGGAAATTTCCCTGTATACAGTAATTCTTTTCAAAAAAAGAAAATGTCCAGAAGGCGAAGCACCTGGACTATTGGTGGCCGGAATAATGAGGTTCCACTGTATGTGTAATAGATAATAGAAATACCGGTACCTCAAATTCCGGTATCACAGTTGAATTCCTGTCTGCAGATATTAATCCACAGCTGCTTTCAAAGTACTGATTCGATGGGGCAGAATTAGTTTTGTTGAACTGATTTGCCTCTTCTTTTGATTTTAGACGTATAGCTGTTCCATTGACCATGCATACTATGGCTACACTGAGATTGAATCTAAGGGCATACAGATTAACAAATCCGAAGAAACCCAGGACAGCTAGGCCAAGGCGACTTGACGTCCACCATGGTACTGAAATGTTCAATGCAGTAATTTTTTTATGGAAGACATTTCTGTAAATTGAGTGTATTATTAAAAGTTCTTTTTTTCCCCATTTAGACAACATGGACAAGCCATATAATAAAGAATGTATTCATCTTAGGTGGCATACTACATGTACATATTTTGAAATTTTTGACTAAGCCTCTAGTGTCAAATTTAAATGTATGACCACAATTAAAGTATGAATTATTGTTGGCATCATTTAAAAACAAACTAAACATAAAACATAAAAATCGGATTTATGTTCACCAAACAAGCACCCCCCCCCCCCTCCTCCCAAAGATTTCCTAGTATTTCTGAAAGTTGACCCAGATCTAGAGATAAATTTGAAAGAAAGGCACATACTTGTGTTATGCATACATGTATAACAGAAAAGAAGAACATTTAGGGGAAGAAATTTTGATTCGGGGGGGTTGGGGGGGGGGGGGGTTGGAAATGAATAATCTTCCTAAAAAATGTTGAAAATATAAATAAAAAATGAAAGGAAAAAATAATGAAAATAAATAATTTATTCTCAACTGGCAAGAAAATAAATAATCTGTCCTTGTCCATGACTGGTGCTAACCTCCCATCCCCCAAGATAGAGTTATGGAGTTTTCTTCTTTTTTTTGGGGGGGGGGGGGGGCTTTTCAAACTTTTTTCAGTGAAGAAGAAAATAAATAATCTGTCCTTGACCATCTTGAAAATAAATGGTCTGTCCTTGACTGGCATGAAAATAAATAATCTGACTCGAAAAATCCCCCCTTTCAGAATCAAATGGTCTTCCCCTTATTACTTGACATGGAATCGAATCTGTAACCCCTGTTTTCATTAGTTAGGGGTACTAGTGCTCCAACCACTTTAAATACAGCTCAAACCACTACATATACTTGTCTATATTTTATACTGTGCCATTCTTGCTATCGCTAAACAACATTCACGGGTAAATTAACAAATACATTATATATCAAACAGAAATGGCATTTAAAGGTTAAACGTTGAGCAAGCTAAATATAACTACAAACAAAGCTTTTAAAACATCAAAGTTGTCTATAAAAATTGTTTTCGTGTACAATATAACTTGCATAGTAGACCGAGTAAACCACACATCTTTGTTTATTTTCAGCATCCTGAAGAGAATTTCTTTTCGATGCAGTACTGATCCTCGATCTCATAAGAAATAATACTCCTACTTCTAAACATAATTTTGCAGAATATTCACTGAATTATGCTGGAAAAAAATATTAGTCATCAGACCCACCTTCTTTTGGATCAATTGTATCTTCATCAGCGCCAGAATTCACAGTAAACGAGTCCTTAGTTTTGGTCATTTTGGGCCCGAATCTCAAATATTAAAATATGTCAGTTTCTCAACAATTCATTGTGACTATGGAGTCAAAAACAACGGGTCATCGCAAGAGGCTTCTACCTTCCAGATACAAATTTAGTGCGGCTTCCTTTCCACGTGTGCAGGTTTCAAGAAACAACAACAAACGTACACCAGCGCGTATGATGCAACAGGCACCATTGAAAACGAGAACTGGACGCACGGAAAATCAATGATTCAGTTACTTGTGTAAAGCATGTAAAGTGATTAAACTGCTCGTAAAGAACTATTCGCAAAATAAAGAGTAGAGTACAACTGTTGAAATACATATCAATTTAGGGCCAAGATTATGTCATACACATGTACTTCTCGTAAATATACACTGTACCTTCATAATCTCTCTCTCTCTCTCTCTCTCTCTCTCTCTCTCCACGTATTCATTTATCTGCATGTTGATGCTTTTTCTTCTGAGTGTATGGAACGCCATAGCTGCCTGAAGGTCATTTTCATTTTATATGAGGTGGAATAACCTTTATGTGAAGTGGTGAAGTCATTATATATAGTGGTAAAATCATTATATTCAATGAAAACTTTATTATATGCAGTGGTTTTATCATTATATACAGTGATAAAATCATTATATTCATTGATAACTTTATTATATGCAGTGGTTTTATCATTATATTCAGTGGCAATGTCATTATATGTAGTGGTTAAATAATGTAATGAATTGATAATATCGATACATTATGTTGTAAAATCATTATATGCAGTGGTTTTTCCATTTTATACATTACAGATATCTTTCTGTGATGTGATGAATTCAATATATACAGTACGAACATAATTTGTGTGATAAAGCAATCATTACATTGTATGAAACCCGCTGCATGTGGAGTGCCAAGTTAATTTCATTCAGTGCGACACCTTTACATGAAGTGAAAAATCTATTATGTGCAGTACTAAGATCATTATATTATATAGTAAAATTATTATAGATATTCCTTAAATCATGCTTTGCAGTGGTAACATCTTTATATGAGGTGGTTAATTAATTATATGATGATGTTAATTTGTTATATGATGTGCTCAAATCTTTATATGCATTAGACGTTTCATGTTATGCAGTGGTAACTTCTTTATCATCATCTAAACTGGTCCTTTTATTTAAAAAAATGCGCGGAGTTCCAGTTTAAAGAGTGTTTGAAAATAGGAAACCCGGGCCGTGGCAAATAAAAGCCGGGACTATTCGAGATTTTTCTAATTTCTGATTCTATTATACAGCTTCCTGATTTTATCAACTGTGCTGAAATTTTAAGACTCATTTTTATAGGTTAATGTGTATTCGCTGTAAAAATTGCATTTAATTTTAAAATACTTAGTAATTTAGATTTTCTTGGCGATTGTTGATTTCCAAGTTCAGTGGTGGATCCAGGAATCTTGAAAAGGGGGGCCCGACAAGTTTTTGGTCGGGGTAGGTAGCCCACAGCCAAACCAAATAACAATTGATTTATTAAATCTTATGTATATTTTGGACACAAGGGGGGGGGGGGGCGGGCCCCATAGGCCCTTTCTGAATCCGCCCGTGAGGTTGGTAAATCGGGTAGGCAATCAAGTAGACATTTTACGTGTTTTGTTTGTTGTTTTTTGTTTGTTTGTTTGTTTGTTTTTTTGCCATATTTGACAGAAAGCTAATAAACTTTTTAATTATTCTGATGTTAAAAATTATTCATTCTTTGAAAGGCATTTTTTGAGTGAAATGACACGTTTAAGAAAAACTGGTTCACATAGGCGTCGGAACCGGGGGGGCTATTTCCCCCCCCCCCCTTTTTTTTTTACAAAGGTAGACGTAATGTAGGCATTGAAAATTCGGGCGTAGGTCTAGCCCCCCCTCCCCACTTTCTACAGGCACGATTCATTGTAGTGAAAGAAGGGTAATTGGTAGTGTTTAAAAGAATTTGGTACTGAGAGATGTTCGACCAACATCCCCCCCCCCCCCACCCACCCACCCACACCCCCGAAATAGGATTTTCGGGTTTGGAGAAAGAACAATTTTCCTTTTTTTTTTTTTTTTGCTTGTCAAGTTTTTTTTCAGGTTTGATTTTTTTTCTATTTCAATTAGCCACCCACTATCAATTTCCTTCCGATGCCAATGGTTCATTAAAATCGGATTTGATCTCCCGGAAGTTAAACATAAAAAATCCGAAATACTTATTCATTATCTACATGCCTTTTGATAAAATATAAATTAATTAAAGAATTATCACATATACATGTAATTATAGGACTATTAATGCAAAGCCTTGTGTCAAACTTTAATCACGCGTAAGTTGCTTGGTTTAAGGATATCCGATCCTCAGCCTTGAAGGATAACTCTTAATTTTATCATTTTATTCAAAAAGGCTAAAATAATTTTAATTTGGTTGTTTGTTTGCTGTTTAACGTTCCTCTCGAGAATTTTTCACTCATATGGAGACGCCACAATTTGCCAGTGGAGAGCTGCAAATTTTGTCCTATACTCGACACTTACGGCCATTGAGCAGTGAGGGATTTTTTTCGTGCCAACACCTACTGTGGAACGGGACCTCGGTTTATGGCTTTATGCGGTCTCTTACGAAGGACCGGTCTCAACGTCCCACTGTCGGATTCGAACCCGTGACGTAAGGATTGACTCCTTATTCCGCGTCTCTTAGAGCAGACACTCTAATCACCGTGCCACGTTGGCGACGGCAAAGATGAAACTTGAAAATGAAATATTTTCATGCAGCAATTTTTATTTTAAGCATTTCAATGTGATTTAAGGTTTTCTGAAGTCTTAGAAACAGTCTTATAAATAGTTGATATTAGTAATTTAACATCCCCCCCCCCCGAAAAAATTATTAAACAAATTACATATTTAACGTAATCCAGTTTCCTTCCATCTACTAACAAATAGATACAAGTGCACATTTGCATATTATGAAATTAGAAATGAATTATGGTGTTTTGCACCAGGTTCTTCCCGGATGATCGGATCTGGTTAAATAATCCTTTTTTTTTTAATGAAAATGTGTATTTTGCATAAAAATAGCATTTTCAAATAAAGAAATAACTATCAAAAAGAAAAAGTTTTTTTAGTTAAAATACAGTGTTTAACATCGGAATAATTTTTAAGTTTATTAGATTTTTATCAAATATGTCAACAACAAAAACACACACATAAAATATCGCCAACCCAGTCTACACATTTTACCAACATGGAAATCAACAATCGCCAAAAAAAAAAAATCTAAAATACTAAGTACTTATAGCACAATGGATAAAATATTAAATCAGAAAATTGAAACTGCCTACCAATTTTACTTGAAACCAAAAATCGTAAAGAAAATCTAAAATACCAAGTATTTAAATACAATTTTTACAGCGAAAACACATTAGCCTTAAAAAAAGAGTCTGAAAATTTTAAATCAGAAATTTGAAAAATCTCGAATAGTCCCGACTTTTAATTTGCCACGGCCCGGGTTTCCTATTTTCAAACACTCTTTAAACTGGAACTCCGCGCATTTTTTAAAAATGTTTTTGCAAGAGGACCAGTTTAGATGATGATAAAGAAGTTACCACTGCATAACATGAAACGACTAATGCATAAAAAGAATTGACCACATCATATAACAAATTAACAACATCATATAATTAATTAACCACCTCATATAAAGATGTTACCACTGCAAAGCATGATTTTAGGAATATATATAATAATTTTACAATATAATATAATGATCTTAGTACTGCACATAATAGATTTTTCACTTCATGTAAAGGTGTCGCACTGAATGAAATTAACTTGGCACTCCACATGCAGCGGGTTTCATACAATGTAATGATTGCTTTATCACACAAATTATGTTTGTACTGTATATATTCAATTCATCACATCACAGAAAGATATCAGTAATGTATATAATGGAAAAACCACTGGATATAAGGATTTTACAGCATAATGTAACGGTACTATCACTTCATTACATTATTTAACCACTACATATAATGACATTGCCACTGAATATAATGATAAAACCACTGCATATAATAAAGTTATCAATGAATATAATGATTTTATCACTGTATATAATGATTTTATCACTGTATATAAAGATAAAACCACTGCATATAATAAAGTTTTCATTGAATATAATGATTTTACCACTATATATAATGACTTCACCACTTCACATAAAGGTTATACCACCTCATATAAAATGAAAATGACCTTCAGGCAGCTATGGCGTTCCATATGAGTGTGTTTAAAACTATAACATGACTAAAGAGTGTAATTAATTTCTTAGAGGAAAATTCAATTTCCTTATCGGAACACAGAAAACTTATACATGTATACAAACAAGTTTTCTTTTTTGTAAAGTAAACAAAACTAATGATGGTACCTGGAAATGACATGTAAAATTAAATGCAGATGAGATTTTCACAGTTAAGTCAGATTTGTTTTTCATGTGAACCTATATGTAGCTTGAGTGATAGTGATCGGAAAATAGGATTATAAATATTCCGGGCATGTCATGCATCGAGGAAAAAAGTTGCGCATTGATCAAGTGATTAGTTTTATCGTATAGTTAGTTTAAACTGAGTAAGTTTGGGAAAAAAATTCTCTCTACCTATTCAGGACAACTTACTCATGAAACTGCATGAAATATCGCAAAAATTAATGAATTTCAGTGACATGAAATTTCCAAACTACATGTATTCAATATCTTCCAGAAATAACGGAAGCTATAGAATAGCCCTTTCGTTTATTTAAGAGATGAATTTAATTTTTGAGAGTTCATGAGGACATGAACTACGACGCCTCACGCCTGCATATTTCAGGAGGCACGATAGCACTTCATGAGAAATATGCAGGCTTGAAGCGTTGTAGTTCATGTACCTCATGGATTCTCAAAAATTAAATTCATATCTTTACATTATTTTTCTGATGACTTGCCACATATTTTTGTCATTCAACAATCATTTTTTTTAAGTTTGCACTATTTTTTGACTTTGAACAATCATATCACAATGGAAATATTCTTACTCATCCCACGGTAGTTCATGAGAACATAAACTTTTTTTTTCTAATTTGCAAAGAATCCTAAAGAAAAAAATATTTGCAAATGTAACTATATGTATATCATACTGTTATATTTCCCCCTCTTTTTTCATATAGCAAAGGGTACTGTACAATTCTATCAATTTAAACCATGTACGAGTTTTCTGCATTCACGTGCACAAGCTCCATGTATGTAGCATCGTATTTGAAAGGAGTGTCAGAAAAATATTTGACAACTTCCGTACATGTAACTTACCTAAAAATTTTAACTTTTAAGTAAATTTTCCAACCTCAAAAATCATATATATATATTTATCAAAATCGGTCAAAATCGAAACATGGGACCGGTGCAAACTGGTAAATTCATTTTTTTTTTTAATTAAAAACACTGTGGCATTATGTTTTGTAAAAATTATCGGACACATATGCTCTATCTTGCAAAATAAGTTGGTGTACTTTGCTAGTTATACGTCTAACATATGGTATAAACCTTCACTTTTTATGACAATTTTCAACAACACAGTTTATTTTCATCAAGCTTAAAAAGCTTGATTATGAAAGATTATGTTTTCTTTCTCTCATGTGCGTCTACAAATCAAATATTTGTGACATTACCGATCAGGGAACGCAAGGCCGTAACTAGGCTCAAATGTTTAGTAAGGCAAGGGATCTGGGGCCACCTGGGTCTCAAGCGGGTCCAAGGTAGTGTCCTGATCGGGGTTCTCGGAGAGGAATGGGTTCCGAAACCTGTGTTTTAATATATCTTTGAAAGTTTTCACGTTTTGGATTATTTTTTACATGGTTTTAAACTATAATGAAGCACCTTGTGATGTGATCGATTTACGGAAATTGAAAAAAAGTTGAAAGTATTAATTTAGTCTCCAAAGACTTACATAATTAATTAAATTTCAAAGTAAACCTTTTTCATTTTTCAAAAAGAAAAAAAAATCTAAAATTTTAGTGATGCATTTGCCTCACTTGCCTCAATGGTAGTTACGGCCTTGGAACGTCACAATTCAACTTGCGTCATAATTAGCGTTTCAGTCAGAAACATTGTATGCAGTGAATACTCGAGTGGAGATAAACATCGTATTTCTAATCGATGATGTCGGTGAGTCCTACAGAAAGTAGTAGATAATATCGATTTTAATCGAATTTATATATTGTTTCACTATGATATGCACAAATATGTATTATATGTCAAAGAAGAACAATAACAACCGAATCTAACATGATCCAATGATGTCCTTCATAGGGATAAAAAAAATTAAGAAGCTGTAGTGGCTATTTACAATTTTAAAAAACTAAATTGTAAACTTTGTGATTTATGTTTCATGCTGATGAATTCTACTTATATCACTGAAGGGTCGGAGATTCTTATTGCTTTATTGTCAAGAGTTTATTATTACTTACTTAGGTTATTTCAAACATTGATGTCACAATAGTAATGACGTCATAATACTTTCACGTCATAATCACGATTTGATATGAACTGTTTGTATGCACACTTATAATTTTTTGTTACAACGGGAAATCTATTGGAGGAACATGTATCCCAAGATCAAGCACACTTCTCCGTTGACAGCCAATGTATGTATACCTAATGTTTAGTCCTCGGATCTTGAATACTAGTATTCTGACAGTTAACATCATATCTATCGTATTTCATTGCAGAATTCTATTGAGCTAAGAGAATGTCTTAGGAATGGCACTTTATCTCTAAGAGACCTCGACAATAAGGTATACAAGTTGAAATTACGTAAAAATCTAAACATATGAAAAATATAATTGCATAGATCATCAATAAGCTAAATAATGGTAAGCTGACATCCACAAACAAATCCTCAAAACCCATGTTAAATATTTCATTGCAGAAAAGAGGGTCCTCAAAAGGAAGAAGAAGACGTAGAAAGACCAAGACTGGGGAACCTGTTGTGGCAGATCATGACACAAAAGCAACTCAGGCTCCCGGAAACAGCCCGAAGGTCACTAAATCTTCAAAGACCAAGAAAGATCCGAAAGAAATAGGAGTTAACCTTCAATTAAACAGCCAAGCCAAAGAATCTGAGAGGGTAACAACTATTTAATCATATTTCTGTTACTGATATCAACAGAAATATCATAAATGACTGAAATGAAAGAGTATAAAGAAGTCGAGTTATCTGTGGTAACATGACGTCCTTTATGGTTTCAGATCGTACGAAGCATCCTTGATGACGTCTTTGACTCTGTTTCCAGGCATTTTGCTGCAATTGAACACAGGTAATAAAATTTAAATCATATTAAGCTAATATATTCCAAGTTAAGTCTATGTCAATTCTACTGGAAATTTGATTTGCTCCTACTTTCAGTGTTGCAAGAGAACAAGCAAATGAATTAGCTGATGTCTTTTTGGCATCCTTTGACGAAAGGGTTGTGTTAAGACGGAAGGTCTACCTAGACCAAAGGCGGGAAACGCAAAAGGTTTTTTCTTTGATATTCTGTAGAATCCTGTTGTTTGTTAAATAATGATAACGTATTCGCAAAGAAATGCTTATTTGTCTTATCATTAGCAAATGAATTCAAATGTATTGCTCACGCTAGCTATTTGCAGCACTATTCACTGCAGTATTTGATTAACAGATAAAACATTTTATAGATATATGAGTAAACAAGATGTGTTTGTGAAACACTATGCCCCCGATGGTAACACAATTCTGGAGTGGGACGTAGACTACAGTGCAATAGTTATGGCCAATGTTAAAGTTTTTCAAATGTAGGTCAAAGGTCACAGTTGAGGTCACATGATCAAAAGTTTCTGTACCAATGGAAAGGTCTTGTCATAATGAACACTCATGTCAAGTATTAAAGCCTTACCCTTGACAGCGCAATAGTTATGGGCTAGGTTAAAGTTGACAACATACAGACAGACAAACAAACAGACAGACAGGACAAAAACAGTATACCCCCGGGATCTTTCGATCCTGGGGCATAAAAATAAAGTAAACTTTATTAAATACATGTTTCTTCTCATAACAGTTGATATACAAGGCAGCAAAGGAAAATGTGAATGACTTAATAATCAGAGCAACAAAGCACTATTGCCAAAGGTGAGTACTCTAGCTCTGTAGACTTTTATCCAAATCTCCGTACAGATTTACAATTAATGTCTTTTTAGCATACACGTGCATATCGTATACATAATCAGAAATCCACATAACTTTGTCCGCTAATTACTGGCTCCATCATTGTAGATCTGTTTTTAAAAGTGATATGACCATCTACTCACTAAAATGTAATTTCTGCTAAAAAAAAAAATCCCAACTGTAGAAGCGAATTTCATATCAATTTCATATTAAATCACTATTTTCTTCTTTGTTTTAGTCAAGACAAGGAACATTCAAATGCTCTCTATCCCTTGGATCTGCTACATTCGGCAGAATTTGAAGCAAGAATGAGGGTGCGCGTGGAACAGATAAACGCTGAGAAAATGGCAATGCAACAGGTATTCATATGCATGTATTTATTAAACGTTTCCATGGTTTTTTTCATGTATTTTTACATTTAATTTTTGGAATACATCATACAAATTATTTAATCCATTTTTCGTTTTGACTTTAAGACTATGCAAAAGACGGCCTCGGAAATTGTTGAAGATTTGTTCACTTCCGCAACCCATTATGCAAGGTATACATAATCATTGGTTTATTATGTATATATGCATATGCAACAAACACATGCAAATGTTATAAGAATTTAAGGATAAGTATGAAATGAAATAGAATATTATCTCATTTTTTATATTAATTTTTTTTCTCCATTGTAGCTTATACGGTGCGCCTGAAACAGAGCCGATCAACAAAGATGTAGCTACCCGGAAATTCTACATTGACCAGAGACGGGAAACGCATGAGGTTTTTGATATTCTTTAGAATCCTGCAATGTAAAATAATGATACATTTGCAACATATAAAAAAATATTTCCTTACTTGTAATCGTCAAAATTGTATATAAATATTTTGTTTACAGTCATTGAAGTTAGTACACATGCATAAATTTTTACCAGATAAAACATTTCATAGATTTAAGTAAAAAAAATAATAATAAAGTAATCTTAATTTTTTTTTTTCAAAAACAGTTAAAATATAAGGCAGCACAGGAAAATGTGAATGACTTGATAGTCAGAGCAACAAAGCACTGTGGCCAAAGGTGGGTATTCTCTGAAGTTTATCGAAACTTACGTCTGATAATTTCCATCTCGTTTTCAGTAATGCATATTTAATGTACAAATTAAATTCAAGCAATTCTTATATTTAAGAATGATTTTATTCCTCTTTAGTCAAGACATGGGACATTCCAATACTCTCTATACATTGGATCTGTTTCGGTCTCCGGATTTTGAAGCAAGAATGAGAGTGCGTGTTGAACAGATAAAAGCCGAGAAACTGGCAATGCAGCAGGTAAATTCATAAAATTAATTTATTACACGTATATATAGATTTTTCTTCATGTATTATACATAAAATTATTGGAATACATCACACAACTCTTTTTGGTTTTATCTTTTTTTAAGACTATGTACAAGTCCGCCTCAGAAATTGTTGAAGATCTGTTCACTTCTGCAGCCTATAATGTAAGGTGTGTATCTTTTTTTTATGAATATGCAAATTTATACACAATAACACAATAATGTTTGAATAAGCATGAGTTAGAATAATTTATTATTTCATTTTTACGAGTTGATGGTATCAACTCATGTTATGTGACTTGTAAGGGATTCCCCAATGTATCGAAACTAATCACATTTTCGTTTGAGTACTTTGCGTACGGGTTCTTGTATAATATTGGTTTATTAACAATTTTCTTGATCTACAGAACAAGAATATGTTTCCTGATATGCTTTGAAGTGTTTATAAACTTAAATATTTATTATTAATTTTAATGGAATTTGTGTCTATCCGCTAGAGAAAATAGTGTTAGGGACATGCGGTCAACAAAAGTGACATGTCGTGCAAACGAAGTTTTGATTCATAAATCAATAAATGTTTTGTATAATAAGTGCTTTGAAAACAGATTTTTAAAGAAAATTCAGAAAATTGAACATTGTACAAACCAGGTTATTTTTACAAGATTGACGTGCTGGTGGTATATAAAGAAACTAATATTCTTGCGCTGTTATGCGAATGAACAGAGCAGTTTTCCCGCGCTAGTGATGAATCGTTCAACACAGAGAACACTGTCTATGTTTGTAAACAAAGCGAGGAGTCTGCAGTAAATCAGATCGAAGTAAACCAATTACTAATCTTAAACGGAAGAAATGAGCTGTACCATTGAAAAAACAATTTTGAAATTAAAGTTCTTATTTCTTGTGCAAGCAATAAAAGATTTTGATTGCTTCAAGGGTTAGATTTTTTCAGCAGTGGACAACTTTGTGCGCCAATTTCTTTTTCCCTGTTAAAAACAGTGTTGAGAATTCCTGTCTTCCACAATCTAGATCTGTTTCACAGCAAGCTTTAAATACAGCAATGGTCACTTAACACGCCTGTGATTCTTGTCTCATTAATTGTCCGCACTGCACTGGAAAGTTGTTTCCTTTAATATGTCCAGCTGTGTTTTGCTATCAGATGCTGATAATGTGATAAAGTAAATTAATAGTACTGAAGGCAATAAATAAAAAACAAAAAAATTAAGGTAGTCCGATCCTCAGGTTCTGATAATTTGCTTTTCAGTAATTGAAAATGCTCACAAAAATGTATCTGATTTCACAGAGTAACCTAAACGTTAATTTCCCCATGGTATTTCTTCAAAGTTCTTCATTATAGTTAATCATATCATATAGGGAAAATTATCAAATCTCAAATATATTTTCAGGAAATGCGAATAAAAACACCAGCTATGCATTTTCTAATTGAAAATTGATCAACAAATATATTTTTGGATTAAAAAATAAAGGATCCAGGCATTTGGAGAAAATTGCATCATGTTTATGCTTATACAGTGTTTCATTTCTTCTCTTTACTTCAATTGTTTTCTAATACATAGTGTAAAGTGCTTGTGTTATCATTGTTAGACATCACAGATCACATCTAATTTCATGACATGCTAATATGCATCGATATCTAATGCTAGATTAAAGGAAATTCGATTTCTCTAATAATCAATTTATTTTTATGCCCCCGGATCGAAAGATCCCGGGGGTGTATTGTTTTTGTCCTGTCTGTCTGTTTGTTTGTCTGTTTGTCTGTCTGTCTGTTGTCAACTTTAACATTGCCCATAACTTTTGATTGGTTGGAGCTATGACTTTCATATTTCACATGTGTATTCCTTGTGACAAGACCTTTCTTTGGGTACCATCATATTTGACCTTTTGACCTTGACCTTGGAGTTTGACCCACTTTTGCAAAATTTTATGAGACTTTAACCTTGGCCATAACTTCTGAACAGTTGGAGCTTGGGGTTTCAAACTTCACATGTGTATTCTTTGTGACAAGGCCTTCCTTTGGATACCAACCACTTTGACCTTTTGACCTTGACCTTGGACTTTGACCTACTTTTGAAAAACTTTAACCTTGGCCATAACTTTTGAACAGTTGGTGCTTAGGGCTTCAAACTTCACACGTGTATTCCTTGTGACAAGACTTTCCTCTGGATATCAACCACTTTGACCCTTTTGACCTTGACCTAGGAGTTTGACCTACTTTTGAAAAACTTTAACCTTGGCCATAACTTTTGAATGGTTGGTGCTAGGGTTTTCATACTTCACATATGTAATCCTTGTGACGAGATCTTCCTTTGGATACCAACCACTTTGACCTTGACCTTCACATTTGACTTTTATTTAAAAAACTTTAACCTTCACCATACCTTTGAACAGTTGTATCTAGGTCTTTCAAATTCCACAGGTGTTTTCCTCGAGACAAGATCTTTCTTTGGGTATCAACATTTTTTATCTTTTGGCCTGGATTTTGACTTGCATTTGAGAAACTTTAACCTTCGACATAAGCTGCCATAAGGGGGCATAGTGTTTCACAAACACATCTTGTTTTTTTTCTTTTATGTGGTACAAATGTCAACTTTTACAAGACCATTTGTAAGACTTCAAAGAATCTTGAATCATTTTGAGATGAATAAAATGAAAATTGTTGCACGAAAAGATCTCAATTTCAAGCTTTATTTTCACACTTTTTAAATAAAATAATAAATTTATGAGTTATCCTTCCTGGCTGAGGATCGGATATCCTTAAGTGGGGTGAAATTGATAAATTAAATGTGAAATGCATATTTATAAATGTGAAGAGATTAAGAAATCAAATTAATTCAAGAGTAGATAGATCATGTAAATAGTCAATATCATGTCATTGTGATGAATTTAAAGTCTTCAGTCGAAAAGCCGAAAGAATTGAAATATTAAACGTGCATACATGAATCAATGAAAGTCAAGTAGTTGAATTTCAAGAAAGGCTAAATCGAGAGAAATGATATATAAAATGTGCATATCAATTAAAGTCAAGTAGTTATATTTATTTCAAGAGTGACTTAACCAAACGAAATGACATATAAAATGCTCATTTCAGTTAAAAGTCAAGAAGTTGAATTTCAAGAGTAGCTAAATCAAGAGAATTAAAATATTTATTGTGCATATCAATGATCATAAAAGACAGGGGGCTGATTATCAAGAGTGGCTAAATCAAGAGAATTGAAATATCATATGTGCATGTAAATTTTGAAAGACAAAGAGTTGAATTAAGAGGGCTGGGTGGTTGTGGCCATTTTCAGACTATATTGATCTGCTTTAGAAGCTCCATATAAAGATATACAAAAATGATCAAATTTTACAACTAAAATATATGAAATTTTTGCCAAATGATAGTTGACAGCTTAAGATATCGTATCTAAAAAATTAAGTTATATCTGATGGTTAATTTGTTGACCCCCCAGCCTCCTTAAATCAAGAAAATTGAATAATGTAATATACATATAAATGAAAGTAAAAGATATGAATTTTAAGACCGGCTTAATCACGAGAATTTGAATAAATTGATGTCAAATTGTTCGTCAATTTTATTTAAGAAAGCAGTGAAAATATTCAATGAGCATGTTAATGAAATAATTCAATTTGCGCTATTTGTAAGTAATAATTCCCTACTTGTAATACTATTGTAGGTTTGGCCAACTAGTTTGAGATATGTGTATTTAAAGCTTAATTTTTCTTGTTTTTTGTCTATTTAAGAGTTGTTTTAGTTCTGTAATATGATTTTATACAACAGTTGTGCCATTTTTTCCATATTTGAAATTTCTAGTCACTTGATATATAATATTTCTGTCAAATGATACTGAGTGCCCAAAAACTGTTCCCGGTTGTTTTAATGATGATATTCTGTGCTCTGTGACCATTTTAATGATGGTATCCTTTAATTTTTGTAAAAATACAAATTACTTTATATGCAAGCTACATTGTCATTTTACAAAAAATCCAAAATCTAATTAGTATTACACTGTATTTGTTTTCTATGTTTAAAGGTTCGATTTGTGATAACTTACTATACATTCCAGTAGATATTAAAAAAATAAAACATACGTCTTAAAAATACATGATAGAAAAGATGGAAATAAAATGATACAATTTTATTTCTCAAAGGAAACAAAAAAAAAAAAGATTTTAAAGTGATACTTTTCATCATTGTACATATTATCACATAATCCAAATATGGATTAGAGACCTCAACTCATTTAAACATTATATAATCAATACCATCAACTCGTAGTAGTACTTTCAGTACTTTGATTTTAAAATGCTGATATTAAGTGTTTAAAATACTTTTCTCACTTGCAGCTTACCCGATGCACCTGAAACATACAATGCTCATGAAACAGAGTTGATTAAGGAAGAGGTATGTATGGCACCTTTCTAAAAATTCTAGCGATATCCATATTTCTTTGCATCTTGTGCATTAAACCAAAGCAGTGCAGTATATCAATATTTGGATGGAAATTATTTAATTTTCATTTCCCCAGGAAGGAGATTTTGAGGTGCCTGTGAGAGGATGGAGAAAGTTTCTCTGTTGTGCAAAGGCAAGCAATCAAAAGGTAGGAACACTTAGGCACCATGTCCATCCATATTCAGTAGCATTCAGTAACCTTGGTATATTTTCGTACTGTTTGTTCTCCAAAAAGACCATGCAGTGATCTATAACAATGATTTTTCTTTCTTTTTCAGAAGAAGAAAGAGAAGTCTGGATTGCTTGCTCGACTGCGCCGTCTGTTTAGTCGCCACTAAATTTGATTTTTCAAAATTACTATGATTATTTTTAAGCCATTTGTTGAAAAGTTTTAGTAAAGATAACTTAAATAACTTTCTAATCAATTGTTCTAGAATTTGTACTAAATATTAGCGGGTGTTAAATAAACCTGGATAATTATATACTATTTGACGTTTGTCTTTTTTTAAATCATTCTTGTAAACTCGACGTACGCCATTTTGCGCAAAAAACTTCTGGTCCTAAATAGTAATATTTAATGGTGCTCCCCTTTGAACATTATATAATGTTTATATTCTCATAAAATTTAAAGTTAACCTCGCATAAGTGTATTCGCATAACCTGGTATTGACTTGGAAAATTTCCTTTAACGTATTTCAGCTGTGTTTAAATTTCGTACACTGGAGTCCGTGATAATTTGGTTATGATTCAATTAATTAAGACTCAGTTACTTACACCTTTACATTGCACAACAGATTTGAACTTCATATTTATGTTGAAAAATACGTAAGGACTGTCTGGAATGTGATTGCATGGCATTACTTTTTGAAAACATGCACACACAATATCAAATACTAATATCCAGGACATCTCTATATTAGGGTCTGTCGTTTTTCATCCAAACCCAGCTGTTGCCTTTCTGATCACAATAGACCAAATCTTTCTTTGTCGAGGATTTTCCACAAAATCCTTTCTGCATGAACAAAATAGGACTGCAGATCATGTAATGGAAATCTTGAAACACATTCACCTTCCAATTGTCTATACCACTGCCCACTACCACTCATGCATTCAAATCAATGACCCTTTAGATCTATTAAGTAACTACATGCTTACTAAATCCATATTGATTTGGCATGATACCCTATTTCTGATACCGCCGTTAGTTTTGCATTTGGTAATTAAATCATAATATACTAACGAAATACTATCAAACTTTTCTGCATGGCTTTATTTGGACATGTAGTTCTGAAATTATACAGCGCACAGAACATAGAGATACCTTACAGACAACATACACAGAAATATTCACAAGATATATCTACAAATCTACAGGTATTATATACAATGCAGGTAAGAATAATTTAGAGCATGACCTGTCTTATTACATAAAACAGGGGATGGTGTCATTTCAAGTCCAAATGAGATTCTTGTATATTTTTACATAAAAGTAATGCTTATTAATTTAAAAAAAAAATTAAAAATATCCTTTTAGAAAATTTTTGTGGGACTTAAATAATTTAAAATCCAATATAATAAAATTATAAAACACTCTGGATCAAAATTATACTTGTGATCAAATTAATAAAACATATCAAATCTGTATAAATAAAATATGTTTAATATCTTTTCAATTTGTTGTTATTCTATCAATGTAAGCACCAATGCACCTGAACCCGATATCTTCATTATATATAAAAAAGAAATTTCTCTCTCCCCCCCCCCCCCTTCCAAATGCCTTGGTGCTAGATGGTGAAATTACAGTAATTCTCAATCTTTTGATTTTTAGATGATTTAACTGAATGAATAGTTTTAACTACTGCATGTTTGCATAGTTCAATAACAAAATTATGGCACTCACAAATACTTGGTTTAAGAAAACAAAAACGAAAACTTACCTAGAACATTTCTAGCATACCAATTTTAGAACTCGACTTTTAATACACTTGTTCACAACCAGGCAAGATTTGACATAAAACTTAAGAAATTTCTGAATTATGGATTAAATATTAACATTTGTAACATACACACAAAACAACTTACTATTACCCTGACTTAACAAGTTTTGTGTCTAGGTATCCTCAGATCTTGTATACATAATTTTGCAGCACAGTTATTGGATTCTGTTTATAATGAACACATACTTCCACAGTCTCCATCGCAGTGAGAGAGAAATTCCATGTGAAAAAGTCTGGTACAAACAAAGCAATCAGCTCTTGCAACCCACAAAGAATCACTCTTACAGATGTCTTATAATACTGTCTCTATCAGTAACGACATTCAACTGGTCACGACAGTCAAACAGGAAGATATGTGTTCCAATTCTTGAGCTGTCAATCATGAAATGATTGACAGTTACATGGTCAGCACTGACTCTCTGATTAGGATTTCTTGGGTGTGGGAGCTGCAGATGTGTCAGGGGTCTCTGGCTTACAGATCTGAAACGTTACCAGGTATTCTGGGTAGGCCTGGAAAAAAAAAGTTAAAATGTATGAAGATACAAGGACACATATGTATTAGCTCAAATACATATGTACATCTTCTCATTAAGGGCTAAGAAATCTAACTTTAAGATACATCTCTGATGCAAAGCATTATGCTCCACACCAAAAAACTTTATAGTTCCAAGAAAATTCATACTGTATACATGGAAAATTTCACCCTTTTTGAATTTTTGCCTCCTTTCGCCCTACTCACGGGGCGAATTCGAAGAAAACAGTTTCATTTCTTAAACAGAACTGTGACTGGGTGAATTTAAAATGGGGCAAAGTTGTTTGCAAGTGTGAAAATAACCCTGTATACAGTAATTACTTACATCAGAAATAAGTACAGAATAAATAATGTCTCTTTTACACTGAGGATTCCCAAACCTACCTGTTCCCCTCTGTATACAACATATTCTGGGAACATGAGTCCCCCACTGCTGGGTCGCCCGATGATGGAGTGGTGTCCTGGTGGGGCATGGGCCATTTTTATTGCACTAAACTGTAGGAAGGACTTGCCCAGTGTCACTCGACATAGGATCAGTTGTCTGTAAATAAAGGCAAAACAAACACTTAGGAAATTGCCATCTTTAGTTATGAAATAGACATCTACACTTTCTTTTTTAGGTAAACCATTTTATAAACATTTGACTACTCAATCATTTCTTACATAACTGGAAAATAAATACTTTTCAATCATCCATATTTGAAATATCATTTTCTTTTTTTTAAATTAAGGAATTAAAATCTTAAAAGCTAAAATATTTTTGCCCTATTTTTGAGTGACCCTAAAAAAAAAATCCCTGTACCTGTGGCATATGTAACAGGATCTGTCTTTATGGGCAGGGCACCCTGTTCCTCCCCCTATCCCATACACATACTGGTTACTCTTGGAAGAGTTCTCAGCAAAATAAATACCTGCAAATATACACAAAATGAAGACTATTACTGAAAACAAAAAATATACATGTACTTCTGACATGCTCTGAACTGGTTGGTATTTTGCAACTTATAATTATTAGTGATAATTTTCAAATCTTTGCTTACCAGCTCCAAACATTCCCCCAATGTAAGCATGCCTCTCATCAAAGCCTTTATGTACAATGGCATTTATAAATGGTGAACCATGAAACAGAAGACGCTCGTTGTCGTGTCCATGATTTTCTTCAGCCACTTCCTTTCGCCGATGGCAGTATTTACCCCATAATCGCTTGTTGCTGATTTTTTGTATCTGAAGAAAATAAAAGAACAATGGTAAAGAATAATTCTATACCAGATGAATAAATAAGCTCTTATTAAATAGTTTTCAATTCTACCATTTCTTGTATCATAAACTTACCTTAGATATATTATACTTGTTGAAAACGCCTCCAACATTGTCTTTATGTTCTCGAAGAGTGCTTTGCATCTGAAATTATGAACTCCAAACTTAAAATCAAATCTTTGCAATGTTTAATATCTCTTATTTATTTTTTTTCAATACAACATACAAGGAGAGTTTATAAGTCTATACATTTTTCTTACAAAAAATATTTTGAAAATTATTAAAATCTACTCCTTAATATGCTACAATGATAAATAGCTTACCTGTTCATCTACAGAAATATACTCAGGGTCATCTGGACCCAGGTCAACTAGCACTGTTCCCTGTGTTGGCACTGCAGGTAATGAAGATGGCGCTGAAATTGTCAAAACAGCATGTAATACAACTTCAACAAATATACATATCATTTAAGTGTTTAACTTTGTTGTCATACTGTTATAGTTTTCTGTGATAAGACGACACTGAATCCTAAATTTTACCTTTACTAGCAGCTAACTTTTCTATTCCTTTAAGAATTTTATGTCGATGTCCGTAAGCATTAATTCCCACTTCTTTTAACTCATCATGTCCCATTTCCACAAGAATGTCCATTGTAATTTGTTCTTTTTCAAACACACACACAAGTTGTTCTAGTCCCACACTGTTCAGGAATGCCGAAACACTAATACTCTCAATACTACGCTCCCCTTCTGCCATGGTACGTTCCATGTTGCACCCATCACCAAGTGACATGGAAGCACCTGCTGAGGTGCCTGAGGCCCCTGCAGCAACACCAAGGTCCGAGGCATTAAATGTAAGACTGTTGTTAGAGCTGGCATCACTAGTGTTGCCCAGATTTATACTGGATTTGGTAAGAGAGGGCGGCTGAACAGCTGGAGGCATGGCATCTTGGAGTAAAGCATGTACATCATCTGCCTGCAAAACAAAAACATTTTTTTTTAAAGATTTCTGATATAAAATAAAAACACTTTTTATTTTTTTAAACATAGCCAAGTATAAGTAAAATGCAGGAAGAAATCATAAGTGAAATACTCACAGTTGCTAAGTCTAATGGAGTATGGCCTTCCTGGTTTTTCAATGTTGGGTCAGCCCCATGGGCAAGCTACAAAAAAAATTCAATGTTTGATCATTTTATTATTATCTTCAATTAATCCACAATTGTTGCATGAATCTATAGAGCCATGTAGGAGTGAACAGGAATTGTATTTCTATATTGTACCAATTTTTCATTTCAATATCAAAATAGCTTGTAATACAAGTATCTTACCAGTAATGAACAGAGCTGAGTCCTCCCCTTCTGAGCTGCTTCATGTAAGGGTGTAAAGCCCCACCTATCTACTGCATTGACACAGGTGTTGAATTTAATTAGGAGGGCTGCAATATCCACATGCTACAAGAAAAAAGTCAACTGTTAAAAAGTAACTCCACAAAGCCAATGTGTTATAAAAATATAGCTCATTCTACACTGACATTAATAACCAATGAATTCCAAGCCTACCCCATACGATGAAGCATTGTGGAGTGGAATAAGACCCCCTTTGTCTTGGGCATTGACATCAGCACCATTCTCTAATAGGAACTCTGCTACTTCTACATTGTTATATCCAGCTGCAAAATCAAATATCAAAAAGTTCATACTATGACGTAACAAGGATAGATGAATCCCAGCAAAGACTTCTTTTAACTGCTAGGAGAACAATTCAAATATCTTTTGATCAATCTTAATAGCATTGCACTTTACTTTGGACTTAAAAAAATAATCATTTAATATTGGTATTAACAAGCTACCTGCTAAGTGCAGTGGGGTGGAATTCCTGCCCTGTGTGTCCCGACAGTTAATGTTTTCTTGTGATGCTAACTTCTGAACTCGAGCCAGATTTCCTTTCTTTGCAGCCTCTAACAGTGCAGCATCCCCTAGAAAAGGAAACAATGTATCAATTTTAATATTCAATGCTTTTACAAGAATCCATTTTTAAAATCCTGTCTATGTGGGGTTTTTTTTATTTTGTACCTCTGAGCAGGTCTGCCACATCCTGATCCCCCTCTTTGACTAGATCTAATGGAGTATTCCCATCCCTGTTCTTCTTGTTTGGGTCAGCACCATGCTAAAGGAAAAATAAATATAAATTTAAGGAATTCTGAAAACTGATGTTAAAGTATGAAAGAGAAAACACTATATTTTTCAGAAGAGTCTGACTATAAACTACATGTACTTACTTTTAACAATAATTTACATATTTCGAATTTTCCTTTGGCAGCTGCTTCATGTAATGGAGTAAACTTCCACAGATCAGCAACATTTACACAAGCACCATGCTGGAAAAAAAGAAGAAAAAACATCACATATTATTGTCTTACATATTTGAACACTCAAATATGAAAAGAAAAAAACTGTTCCAAAAACATTATGTGTAACCATACGCAATGTCATAGTAATATGGAATCTAGTTCAAGTTTCCCTACCTTTATCAAGAGCTCTGTGACTTCAAAATGGCCATAACTGCAGGCATTATGAAGTGGCACCAGTCCCCTAAGAGAAAAAAAACAGCAAAAAATTTATCTTACTAAACCAAAACATAATATAATATTCCACATCTTCCTGGTCAATCTTTATCAGTAACTCTGAATTCAGGATATTTAATATGTTTGATGAAATACCTACCCCTTGTCCTTGGCATGAACATCAGCTCCATGCTGTAAAAGATACTCAACAACTACCACTCGGTTGTATCCAGCAGCAAAGTGGAGGGGGGTGGAGTGACGCCCGTCCAGGTCCCGACAGTTCACAGAATGTGGATTCTGGGATATCAACTTCTACAAAATCACAAACCAGGCACATATGAAACTGACATTTGTTTCAAAAAACACTTCGTTGAAACAAAATAAATTTTATTTTTGACACTTCTACTACAGATGGCATATAATGATCAAAGTTTGAGAATGGATTCAACAAATAGCAATAGCAAATAGCAATAGCAAATAGCAAATCAGCACAAACTGTTGATGATTTCATACATCATAAATTACACAAAAATAATTATCAGTTTGAATCTTGATTCTTACAGATATCATTTAGATATATTCCACTAATACATTAGCTACACCTATAACCCCTCTGTGGTTTACAGTATTTACAAGTCTGTGTGTGGATTTACAATCAATCTGTGGGTTGAACTTACTTTGACAACTTCCATGTCTCCTGCTTTTGCTGCCTCTAACAGCTGAATGTCAACATCTGTACCTCCCACTGGGGGATCCTCTGTAAAACAAGAAATCAATCAGAGACCACCTCCCATTAACACAAATCTAAGTCTAAATTACTTATTAAATGCTAACAAACTGTTTATCATTACTGGAATATATTATTAATTAATTAAAATCTTATCAAATATGTAACATCCACGAACACATCCAAGATTATATTAAACATTCCTATAATATTAAGGATACTAAGCATTATTTTACCACGTTCCTATAATTGAAAAAATTAACCATAATTTTACCTTTGAGCATTTTCTGGATGTTTTCTGTGGCTAGCTGAGCTGCTGTGTAGCCTTGTAAGGAGACAATGGAGGCGTCCACGGAGTAAGACATCAGAAGTCGACACGCCTGCATGTTTCCTTGCTGAGCTACTCTATGTAGGGCAGTCTGTCCCAAACCATCCAAAGCATTCACCTAACAAAAAACAAGGTCATATTCTAACAATCATAGACAACTTTCATTTGTAAAATCTTTGACCATACAAAAAGCTTAACTTGTGGTAGAATTTCTCGTAACAGATGTATACATTTGATGAGTAATTTTACCTTGGCACCGTGTTTTAGCAGAACATCCATCACATCGTAGTGGGCTTTATCAGCAGCTATATGGAGAGCTGTCACATATCTACAAGTAAATAAGGTAACAAGTTCAGAAAGATCATAATTATTTCTTTTTTGAAAAATATTCTATTTCTACTCAATTTTCATTTATCAGATGTAAAGAAACACAACTTACTCTTTGTTTTTATCATTCAAGTTAGCTCCCTTTCTGATAAGAGCTTCCACAACTTGTTTTCTCTTTGGGAAAGGGGAGGCTGCTGCACAGTGCTGTAAAATGTAATTAAAGAAGTGTTTACCTTTGTTTGACAATTTTATTAACCCTAAGCATCAAAAATATTTTCATCAAAAAGATTTAAACACAATATAAGGAAAGTTAATTTGTTTGTTGCAATAACTGCAAAACATCATTGTGATGCAATAATTACACCCACCAGTGCAGTGTCCCCAGAATATGGATGCTTGAAGTTGACGACTTCTAGATATTTTTTGACTCTGGCAACGTCAGCCTGTCGACAACCCTCCAGAAGTGAATGACCTTTGAACTCCTGCTGAAGCCTCTCCTGCAGCTCTCTAGTGGGGGCCACATCTATAGCACTTTTAGAATGACAGTTAACGAGGGTAGGATCAGCACCATGTGCCATCAGCAGTGAACAGACTTCCACTCGCGATTTGGAAGCAGCTTCATGTAAGGGGGTGAACTGCCAGAGATCCATAGCATTTACACTGGCTCCAGCCTGCAAGAACCCAATTATATAATGAAATCCAAATTTTAACATATGACTTTAAAAAATTTATGCTACAGTTTGCAAACTTTCACCCGTTTCAATAATAGCTTATATATATTTAATCATTACATACCTTAAGCAACATTTCAGTAACTTCAAAATGTCCATATGAACAAGCATTATGAAGTGGAACCAGTCCCCTGAAAAAAGGAACATACAATTTAATTAAGAGAAAGAAATACACAAACTGTGAAATCTTTTCACAAATTTAAGATATTGATTTTCCCACTTTCAATAAATTTGCAAGAGTTATACCCCTTATCTTTGGCGTGGACATCAGCTCCATGCTGCAGCAGCAGTTGTACAATACGAGTTCTGTTGTATCCCGCAGCTAAGTGTAATGGTGTAGACTGACAAAAGGGGAAAAGTTAAAATAAATGAAGCTGCAGTAAAAATCCTTTGAAAGATCACTGAGAAAAATACAGATGAAGTTAGCAATAGGAACCCACATTCAATTTGAAAAGCAGACTTTCTTCCAAAACATTTATATCTTCATATATATTTTTTCCTTGGTATACTATTTATAGTAGCAATATTGCTCTTTTGCACATAATTATTTCCATGGGTATTTGCATATATATATTTCCTATGAAATTGACAGTTAAAATAAAATCTTCCTTAATCACATACATGTACAAAAATTATGTAATAGCAAAGAAAGTTTTGAATAGTTAAGAATTGTGAAATACAGCAATTTTCACCCCAGTATGATATTAGATATCATGTGTGCAAAGCATATCTGAGCTCTTTTCCTATAAGTATTCAAAATAATTATCTTTTTGTTTCATTGATGGACAGGTGACATTTGTCAGTTTGAGTGAATTTGTAGACAGATGTCTGATGTTTACAAGCTGATACCTGTCAAACACAGTCCCACTTTCCTTCCTATCATGTCACCCAAAGTCAAAGAAAAACATGAGAGTTACAGCTCAACAAAGTCAACACTGGTTACTCAATACTGGCTTAACAACAGAAGGGGACCCCCATTGACCTGAACATGTATTAATTGACAGTTTGAACATGCTACTGTTGTCAATTTAATTTGTTTGTTTACTTCAACTAGATGGTCAGGTAAATATAAACAGGCTGGATCACTTGTAAATTAACTTGAGATTGCTATCAATACCAAAAACGAGAAACATTACAGAGTACCTTATAATGGAAGGGTGGAAATTTCAGTAGCAAACCTACCTTGCGTCCATCACTGGCATGGCAGTTAACATTGAGGGGGGTCAGCAGGGACATAAGTTTATCCTCATTTCCACTGCGGGCTGCTTCCAGTAGCTCATCTTTCTTGTACTCACCTGTAAACAGAATGATGACATTAATGAAGATGATTCAAGTGAATAGAAATGTACATGTCAAAAGAAACAATGTATCTCAATAGTATTTTCTACTAAATTTTCATGGAATTTCAAATTTATTATTTTTTTTTTTTTAAATTGAAGAGTAAAATTGCTTTGGCTTTCTGATTGGAAAACTATTTTTCATTTAAAATTAATGTTCATGGTTTATTTAACCCTGACCCCTCATTCTTGTCTTATATTCTTCAAATCAAATTGAGTCATACTATCTTCATAACAACAGGTGAAATTCTAGGATTTAAGAATTTGCTTGATTATGTGTTAATATAATTTTTTTTTTCTGTGTGTACTAGCTGTTCATATGTCTCTCTCATAAATCTGACCACTCTCTGATTGACAGGAACTATAAACCTTGTTTCTGGGTGTCACACTCTGAGTCCAGGGGCCATCCTTACACCCAGGTGTGATGATAACATCACAATGGCCATAACCTCCTGCCAGGTGTGGCCTAGGGGCCCCGCTGGACATTGGTCAAGGGAGATTAGTGCTGACATTGTCAATTGGTCAATTAAGGGAAATCACCAAGTAATCTTTGATCATTTATATCTCTGCACACTGACAGGGGCAGAGTGCTGTGGAATAAATGGGGTGTCACTTCCTGTGGGGGGGGGGGGGGACAATAACTGGTGATTTGTTGCCATTATAAAAAAAAAGTTTCCTGTGTCTTTTGAATAGGTCATCTGTTTTTTAAGTGCTCATAAAATAAAACTGAAATGAGCTTCTGTTTAAATTGCTAATTTCTCTTCCTCTTCAATTTTCTTCTTATTTATAACCATTAATGAAGCTTAACAAATCTTTTGCAGATTGAAATAATTTGGGCGGAAATCATTTACACTACCATAATAAAAGATATAATTTGATTTTTATCATGCATACATGAAAGGTCTTAAATATTATTCTTCAGTTACACCGCACATAATATATCATAATATCTTGATAAAATTTGTAATTTATTTTTAAATTTTTGCACTTCAAAGAATGAAAGTAATTTTACATGTATAAAGTTTTCTGTTTTCTCTTTTGAAAGCAACCCCATAATCCAAATTTCCCTCAAATTTTCCATTCACAATAAATGACATGTCAATAATTACTTACTGCATTTGACATAAATAATTCATATTATTAAAGTTTTACAAATTATAATATTCACTTTGGCAAATTATGAAAAATTCACATTAAAATACTGTTGGAAGCTGAATAACATATTCTGGATATCCATAAATGACAATAAATTAATCCATTTAAAATCCCTTTGAATAGATTCTTCCTCTGTACTCACCAGTGAGGACAGCTTTTGCTGAGGGGTCAGCCAAGTCCAGTGCAGTCTTTCCATCAGTGTTACGGATGTTGGGGTCAGCACAGTGTTGTAGAAGAACTGTGGAAGCAACAGTACAGTTAGCATTGACAGGGTGGATACAGGAGATCTCGGATAGACTAATATCCAGGATACTGCCCTGGGTATCCGGACGCTCTTTCAGTTTTGTTCTAGGCATTGTTTCTTTAAAATTCACATATCACAAATTTATGAGACAGATACAGTCTGTCAGTTAACTTATCAAAAGTGTCCAGTCACCAAATTCTATGTTAATCCCCCAGTCAGACACTTAAAATGGAAACTACACCACTCAATCCACTAATCCATATACATGTTGTCTAATCCACTATTAATTCTTACATAAAACCAGGCACATCATTAAAATTCTTCTAAGCTTTTCGCAAAATGGGTAAAAAAAAACAATCCTATGAAAAATATCCTTCACAATATGTAAACTTCCTATTGATTAAGACCTCTATCACTGATCAACTTAAGTCTAGGGGCAGCAGATGTGTATAAATCAGCAAGACCAGTAGTCTCTGGAGGAAAGTCATGTGATTTCTCCTGAGGATTGTAAAACTACTCAAGACCTCATAAAAACCTCTATTGTTTACATTACATGATGTTGTGTAAAGTAGTATACACCAACAATTAGCCAGGAAAAAACAACTCAGCTGCCATGTGCCATTTAAAGCCTTAGGGCCCCTCAGAAAAATATCCCTACTACCTGGTCACACTTGGCTGAACATACAGGTAACAACTTACCTGGACATACAGCTTGACACCTCCACCTATACCCCAGGTATCTACCTTGTCATAAATCAGGGTAACATATAAAACAGTGACAAACAGCTTGTAAACTTGCATCATCCCGTAATAAGCAATCCAATTTATAAATTTAGATCTCTTAATTTTTTTTCTTCTGCTATCATGTCCAAGTCTATGACAAGTGAACATCAACTTTTCATAGGTTTGTGTGAAAAATCTAATATAGCACCAAAACCAGGAAATCACTGAACCCCCTAGTCCTGATTACAGGAAGATGCATGTGTGCTTCATTACGGGGAGGAGATAAACATGTGTACTCAACAATTGAAAACAGAGTACCTGCTTCCTCATTAGACAGTCTGGTCTGACAGATATACCATAAATCTCCTAACATCATGATAAAATACTCTTATTTCCCTTCAACCTTAAACCCTTAGAAAACACTCAATCAGCTGACTGAGTGGATTAATTAAATAAATATTAATTCATGAAATTGCATTCTGATTTACCCAGGTACTTAATTAATCAGGATTTTAAGCAATGATTGTACACTTGGTCTATTTTTACAAACATTAATTGCTCCATAAACTATATTAAGACATAAACATATTAAGACAATAAATTAAACTTGTGTTTGACCTTTAACCTTGATTTTATTTAAGCCTTGACTAAAAGGCTCAGATTTCTGACAACAGAAAATAAAGTTGACAATATACATGATATATGATCAAACAGACAAAACGAAAATAATGCCCTGGACATGGTCTTATTAGAATAAAATGAAGAAAAATAACAGCTGTTGACCAATTCCACCATCATACTGATCAACATTTAACTGTAGATTAATATTTGAAATTTAAGAATTAGGCCAAAACAAGAATTCCTAGATTCTCATCCTTTTTTTTAATTGTAGCAAGCATGCAGATTTTGTTTTTTGTTTCATTTTACATATATTTTTCTTGACCTCATTGATCATTGCAGCTTTATTTAATATGCCCGAATTAAATTCATTGTCGAATTCCATTTAAATATATGTATCTCTTACTATACATCCTAATCAATCTTTCACAACCAGTGTCCTTATTCATATTAATGCAAACCAATCTTGTCAGCTGTCAAAATCATGCTGACATTCATGGAATTTAAAACGAAAGTTGAAAAGTAAGTTGAATACCAATCCCGATCAGAATCAAGACAGAGAACTGTTAAAATGTTTGTAAAAATAGAAATTAAATTTTATTATGTCTTTACAAGCACTTTGCATGGGCATTTGGGCTTGGAAAAATTTGACGACATTTTCTTGCTAGTCAGGGTTATGTATCATGAAATTACTTTTTATAATCATAATTTTATGACCATACCATTCAATCTCTGTACCTGTTTTCATTTTCTATTGATTTTTGTCCATTTTTCTACCTTTCAAACTGGGAGTTTTCTCATGAAAAGTAGTGAAAAAACCCCCATAAACATGATAACATTCCGAGAGGAATAGTTACAAATCATCTAAATCTACTATCTACTACAATTTCCAAATACGTGTAATAACATTACTTCAAATCATGTTAAATTGAATTCTAATATATTTTCATTTTTACAATATGAAATACACTGGCAGACTGAAAACTGCAGACATTTAGCTCACTGATCTAAACAATTAGACATAACAATAAAACTTAATTTATCAAGATAATTAAAAATTCATTTGCCAATGTCAAAAATGATCTGAAAGTGCTCATGTGCGACAGACTATGGACATTTTTTTAATTCATATGTCATTTTCTAATTTAAGTATTACATAACTCCACATGGGCCACTGTTTTTGGTAAGGTTGCCATGAATGATTAGTCCCTAATGTGATGTGTGTTGACTAAATGCTACTCTATACCAGTCAGGGGTGAGACTGAAATCCGTCATTTTTGAAAAATGATGGATAATCGTCATATTTACTAAGTACGTATTTTTGTCATTTTTGTCAATATGACTCACTATCGTCATATTTTCTTTTTCAACTTAATTCTTCTATCCTGGTTACATAAAAGCGAAATTTGAATTCACCGCTGAAAGAAGAGTGTTTACGCAAGTTTCATTTCATCCGGGTCACTAATTACTGCCGACCACGTGCGTTAGAACATCAACATGGAAGGTGAAAGTTATTATTTAGCGGTAAAATGTCGAATTTTGGTACAACTTATTCGCCATTTTTACATGGCTTTTAGCCCTATAAAAACATATAGTACACCGTCTGGAAGAATACATACTTGTAGAGAAAAGTCTCGACAAAAAGTTAAAGCCATAAAAAAGTAGTGCGCCCTGTAAAACAAGCGAGATATTTCAGTGCGCCCAGACCCTCCATTTTGAAAAAAGACGGAATATCGTCATTTTCGTCTTCTTTCCTATTTAATGCAAATAAATTGACAAATAACTCTTCCACTCTTATTTTTGCTTGGGAAATTTATACTGTCAACATAACCAGTATTGTAGTCAACTGTATTAGAGAAATGAAGTTCGTTTACGATGTTTTTTTGTCCTTTTTTCGGTTGGTGGATCTAACATTTTTCAAAGAGAGGTAACTCGGTATTCTATAAACACTCTAAATTTTTATGACTGTTTTTCGTCATTTTCTTAAAAATGACGAGTTTAAGTCATAATAAAAATTTTATTTTATGGCTTAAAATCGTGATTTTAAAAATGACGGATTTCAGTCTCACCCCTGACTGTATACTCACCAATACAGACATCAATTTTTCCCTTGATGGCAGCCTCATGTAAGGGAGTGTAGTTCCAGTTGTCTCTGGCATTGGCATCAGCCCCACTTCTCAAGAGTAACTGTACCACCTCAGCATGCCCAAACGAACAAGCATTGTGGAGGGGTATCAGACCCCCATCATCTTTGGCATGTACACTGGCCCCACACTCCAGTAAATGCTCTACCACATCTTTCCTTCCAAAACCTGCATTAAAGGTCAAAGTATTAAATGAGAAATTATAACTTAATTGATTTAAATGTGAATAAATTACATACAAGTACTGGTTACTATTTATTAGTACAGATTAAAATTTCTCAGGCAAAATGCATGGTACATGTGCAAGGTACATAATCATGAAAATCCTACAAATTGATCAGTAACTGTACCACAAATGTTGTTGTTTTTATTAATTATACAAAAGAAAATATGTTCCAATCCTATCTAAATTCATGCAAGGCTGCAGACTTTGGCATTTTACCAACTGATGTATTTTATGAGTTAATATTAAATGATGGATATTTACCACATTAGTTTGTAAGCAGTCACTAGCACTTTCTTAATTATCTGTTGATCATTAACACCCAATGGTAATTATAGAAGAATGTTTAAAAATTGACTGTTTTCTTTCTTTCATTCATTCATTTTTGTGAAGAAACACATGCTTCAATTAATCAAGTTTTCCCTCAGCACACAGTCAAATCTTGTTCTCAAGCTAAACTGGGTTCGAGAAAAACATTGAGATATCTAAGGATTCTTTAACATATTGAGCTTAAAATACATATAGAAAAATTGGTTGTGACTTCTGTTGACTTTGGTGACTTCTAGTTGACTCTGATATATCAACAATATTCAAGTTATCACTGTATTTGGTATAGGAAAAGTTTATTAGAACAGGGTTTGACACTAATATTCGTTAGTCTCAGACCAATACATTTTCATTTGGACAAATAAAATCTGTTCCAATGGACAATAAAAATTCCTGGTAAACAACATGAATAAATAATCAAAATACGATTGTCGACAACTGTTACCAGAATCAAATGTATTTTTAGTTTCTTGACAGGAAGTTATGCAATTCTGAGGCAGTTCAGCACTTTTAAATTTGTACAAATGATTGACATGAAATGAAACATTTTGGCAATCATGATGTATTATGACACATAAAAGAAAGGTGTCAATGTCTTGGGTGTAAGGAACAAGATCAAGAGTACAATCGTACTTGCCAATCATATAATTTCAACAAATTTGTGGAATAAAAATGTAAATAATTTGTTCATTTCAAAAATGTATAAAGAGTGCAATATAACACGAAGTTTGAAATTTAATTATTTATACAAAACATTGATTAAGACTTTTCCTTTTTTGGAAGACCAATAAATATGCCTGTGGATGAGTAAAAGCAAAAAGGCACTGTCTGGCTCGAATGATGCCTTAATTGAAAAGTTAGTATCGAACTGTTTAGAATAGGGAGAAAAACAACAAAGCTTGGAGAAAAAAAAAGAATATTGCTTTCACTGCAGGGATTTATCAGTACCTTCTCAGGGGCCGAAATTCGGCCCCATTCCCAATTGATAATGAATTCAGTTTTTCCCAATTTGGCAGTATTTTTTCCCAATTGGTGAACAATGCTTTTATATTTAATTATCTTGGAAAAACACAAAGTAAAATTGTCAGATTGTCTGTAATTTTTATCTATTTAACTCATTTAGCAAAGCTACATTCATTACACTTGTTTAAAAACACTGTAAAAACATCGCCAAGTTTTAATCTGAATTTCCTCTGCTTTTTCCTGAAAATGGTGATATTGTGTAATTATATAGATTTATTAACTTATTTCCACTTACTAAATTGATCTACGAGTGAATGGTAAGGACTGTAAGCATTATTTCAGATAGAAAAATATATTTCAATGCATTGATACATATTAAAAGAGGACTTTGAGAAAATGTGTACTTATTATAATTTTTTGCAAGAGGTTTATTATCTCCAGAAACATATTCTATGATGACCTAAATTGGAATCTCATACACACATGTACTATCCTAAGTTGTATAAATACTTTCTACTCATTGAAGTCAATTTTACTTTTATTAGTCTATTAATTTATTAATAATCTTGTATGATGAAGTTGGATCATATATTTAATTGTCTGTTTGTTGTTCATGCTGAAATGTTAAATTAATTACACCTGAATACATGATTCAAGCAACATTTTTAATTTTTCCCAATTTCATCAAATAGCCGATAATTTTTTCCCAATTCCCCAAAAATGGCATTTCCCAAAATAGGCTGATAAATCCCTGCACTGAAGATATTTTATTAGGCTTTGAACCTTTCCTGCATTGTATCCTACTCATGTGTGCAATTTGAAAAATTTAAACATTCTTTGAAAATTAAAGAGGATTTAACTTGAATGGAACGAACGAGACCAAGGAAGATTTTGTCTGCCTCATTCCTCAGTCAATTTCCTTGTCATGAGACAAATTACTTGCATGGGTTGTTATTTAACTTTATTTCAAGATCACTAACACAATTTCAATTATATTATACAGTCAAACCTCATTATCTCGAACTTTGGGACTTCCAATTCACTTCGACATATCCATTCAAAATACCAAAGTTCAACTGTATTATATATTCCATGTCTCACTTCACAATGGATTATGGCATGTTATGTAAAAATGTTTATGTTATTTAATTCTCAGGGGTTTCTAAATTAAGTATTTTATCATCCTGTTATTGACAATGGACCATACGGGGTTTTTTTTGTTGGAAACTTTTTTGTTTAAAATGTGAACTGTACAGGCTCTTGCATGATACATTTAGCATGATTGATGTTTTAGGAAAGGACTTTTCAACAAGTTGAAAAGTTCTGCGGCAGTGAATCAGTAGAATAGAGGGATATAAAAGAAAAAGCAGGGTTTGAAGTGAGGAAGGGGTCCAAGATGACATCCTCTCTTGGGTTGTTTTGGTTATTAATATATTATTTTTTTATTAACTGTATTTTTACACTCCATGAACAAGACCATGTACAAGCCTACACATATATTGTCAATTGAATATCGCTTCTCAAAATCAGCATCAAATCTTTATAAAATGCTTCAAACAGCTCTAAACTCTATAGTAAGCCTACAATCGTTTTTGTATGATTATGCACGTGTGTCTACATCCATCAACTGAAAGCAGAAAGTCGATTGCTATCCAGCTATTAGAAGACACTAATTCACCCCACATTACAATATAAAAGATAGTTTTTAATTAAAATTATGATATCTTAAGACTATTCCCCAACTTTTTAAAGAAAACTAAACCAAAACAAAGTGATATTTGACGTCATCCATACCAGCTGCAAAATGAAGAGGGGATGACTTTCTTCCAGCAGTATCCTTGGCGTTGACATTGTGATGATTCACTAGTTTCTTTACTTTGTTTAGATCTCCATTTCTACAGGCTTCAAACAGATCCCTGCCAGGGTCATTGCTATGAGAAGGAGACGACGATTCGTTTTGAAGCAACGATCGTCTAGTCGCCATTTTCATTCATCTCCTCACGCAAAATATCGGTCAAAAACGAGATTTGAATTTTAAAAACAAGCGTCCAAATGACGTCGATAATTGTGATAAGGGGTCATATGAAAACCAATTTTTACATTGATAAAGTGTGTACACGAGTGTAACAGCTGCGAGTTGCAAGGTATTCATGTAAAAATCAGTAACCATGCTAATCAAATCATCTTAAGCACTATTACTTTTTGAACATGCCTGTCATTAACATGTATGACATGTTGAAACAAAGTCAATAAATGGAGTTTTGCAAAGGGGTCAGGTGGGTTGGTTCATCGAGAGACACATTGTGATTATCATCAAGGCCATGCCAGAATTTTCAATATATATTGCCCAATGAAATTAAGCATGTACAGAGTTTAGTAACTGTGCAATTTTTCAATATACATTGCTCAATGAAATTAAGCATGTACAGAGTTTAGTAACTGCAATTTTTCAAACTATTCCTGAGCCCAAAGATACACAGGTCAGAATTATTAAGTTTTTGTAACATTAGTTTCTTGAATGCATGCATTAATTATAACTGTATTTCACATTCCAGTTACATTTCTAGAAATTACATGAAAACATATGTAATTGCATATATATCTTTTCAAAATAAGAAACCTGGATTTTTGTGTACTGCAGTGTGAAAATGTCGAGCTTAAGCATTATAGATAATTTATTTAAGGGGGATGTCCGGCCACCTTAGGTGCAATGAAAACAAAAAGTAAACATTTCTTCAAATGACTAAAGTACACTATAACTTTATCAAATTTTATGTTCTTAGGATGAAGAAACAATAAATATGCATAACTTAATGCATGTTTTGCGTAAATAATTTACACTTTTGCAGAAAACTGCTTTTGATATGCACTTTAGAACTGCGCAGCTACACACTTTAATAGAGCCTTAAAAAATCAAAAAAAATATGCAGAGTGTGCCTTAATGTTCTCCCTACAATCATTTGTTGAGAAAATGTCTAAATTTTGCACTGTTAAATGGTAATTTCCAGTTACAAACAAGGCACTGTTGTCTTCAAAATGAGTGTAAAGAACCATGAAAGTAGTTCATGGACAGCAGCACGTGATCTATTTTTAGCACAAATTTTTTCCAGACCACTTCTTTTTATGGAGGCACGTAAAGGTCTGAAATGAAGAAACTTAAACTACAGACAAAGTAATAAAACACCTCTATATTAAGTTTATTTTAAAAAGTAAAGGAGAATTACTTATGATTTTTTTTTAAAATTATATAAACACAATAAAAAGAGGAGTTGTGTGTAATAAATTGTAGTGAATTAAAATAATAATTATTATTGAACATTTGTTTTATAGTGTGTTGTTATAACAAATTCTTCAAGTTTTTTGCTTCCAGGCAATGAAAATTGTGCAACATCAAAATTAAAGTTTTTGAATGAATTTTTTTCCACTTTGTAATTTAACAAATGTGGTATTTCAAGTATTGATAACTTCCAGATTTGTAATTATCAACAATGAATCACAAATAAAGTAGACATCGTAAAATTAATGTGAATGAGCTTGTTTTAGTACATATATTTTGTCATACATAGTGTGATACATTTTCAAATTCCATTACATCCTAGCTCCATTTCAATGGGTACAAAATCATTAAGAGTAATTATTAGGGGATTTAATGATTTACAAACACTTTTTTTTAATTTTTTGATTTTGTCCATGGTTTCCAACTTACAATTTCACCAAGTAAAGAAAACAAAATCAACATAATTATATACAAGAATACAAGATTAGCACATGTTTAATCATATATCTAGTAATGCTAAAATTTTAAAACTTTGACCATAATTTCAAAAACAAACTCAACATTGTCATATACAATATTGCAAAACAAAGTGCTAATGAAACATTTTGCTAATAAAATTAAGACAAATATGCAATCTACTCTCCAGTGATGAACTCTAAATTTCAATATTTATTTTTTAAAGTTGATACTAGCATAATTTTTTTTATGATATTGATGAATACCTAATGTTCACAATGCTCACCTTAGTCAAATTGCTTTCTCTGAGTCTCTCAGCCCCCTGTCTCTCACATCAAGTAAATATAAAAAACCCTCTTTGTGGCCCTAAACCAGGTTTTGAGTGTTACATTATATATGTATTGACAACTGCATTTACTAAACATAAATTTGTCAGATTAGTATTCCCTTTTCAATGTAGTTCCCTTGTTATGCTCTAACCATGGACCCCCCCCCCCCAAAAAAAAAAATCAAACAATTGAACCTACATTGTTCAATACACATGAGGATACCCTCTATAAAACTAAATGCATATAAATGTGGACATCTTCCCAATGCTGATCTGGTAATTATTTTTTACTTAATTCTTACAAATAAAATCTCAATATATTGGTCAAGAGAAATTTGAGAAAAAAAAAACATTTTTGACTGTTCTGAAATACACCTATGACCTATTATGATTAAAAAAAAAACATTCATCAAATTGACAGATGCTCATTTGAAAAAAAATAGTGTGTTACTCACAGAGAGCTGTGACTTTAGACATTGGTTTTACACACATGTATTTTTAAAGTCTGAAGTCTTTTTTTTAATGACAGTGAGATAAGAACTACATGATAAATTTTAAAATAATCAGTCCTTGAAAACTTATATAAAAGATTCACAAGATTAATCCCTATACACATTACACACATACATTGCACACTGCTTAAAGACATTGTATCATAATGTGTGAATTTAATTTGAATACACAGCCCTTGCAGCAGACAGATAAAAGGAATGAATTCTTTCTGATTTAGAAATCTTTTACAGATTAATATATTTCAAAGTAAAACACTGAATGGAGTTCTCTTATTTTATATCATATGATTGATATTCTGTTACCAACATTATCTCCAAATCCTATATGTAAAACATCACAGGGAACAGCACAGTATAACGAACAGAATTGATGTTCCAAAGATGGCACTATTGGGCTCTGACTTACAATGTATCCTCACTGGCAAGAGTCTGGGTTTACCACGGATTTCTTTTTAGTTTAGAATTTCAATGCAATTTTCACAAGATATTCCTCAAAGACCTACAATAATAAAATTCAGAACATTCAACAATTAGAAAAAAAAATTATTATAACAGTAGCAAATTACAAAACAATACTTATAAATCCTTTCTCTGTTGCCAAGGATGACAAGTCTTACCCTCTCTGCAAACATTGCTCTCTCTTCCAAAGTTCAAAGAAAGAAATTAAGATATTTTTATCAAACTTCATGTGCTGATATACATGTATATTGTGGAGAGCTTTCAGCTTCATGAACATTTTTTTTATCTTGACCTCACTTTCTGAGTTTAGCTCAGTTTCAAAGAAACTATTCCAAATATTTTTATGTAAGCTTCTGCACTGATACATTACTTGATGAGGATTTATCAAATTTGTCCATTTTTTTAACCTTGACCTTCCCAATAATCTTTGACGTTAAATTAACATTTATTATGTATAAAACCAAATTTTAAAGAAATTATTCAAGATATTTTCATCAAACTTCATACACTAATACAAATTTTCATGTTGCATTACTAATGAACCCTCGGTGGAACATTCATGTCCTATGGACATATCTCTTTTTTTAAAAAATAATTCTGGTTGCATGGTCTAATTTGCTTATCCATTACTAAGAAACCTGAACTAATATCAGGCACATAACAAAACTCTTCACTGGCCTACTTGACTTACTTAAATAAATTAGCAAGAATATAAATGATACAAATCAAAGCAAGTTTAGTATTGCAAATGCAGTATGTCAATTAATTTTCGTAAATGTACATATCAAATTGTGAACAAGAACAGCTTAATAATAAATTATGAGAGGAGACCTGCTTTAGAAGCTCGATATGCATTAACAAAAGATGCCTTGAGCTGATCAATGTCATCAAAGCATTTAAATGACATGCCATGCACATCATTATCTAAACAAGCTCCTGGATATCCAAATGACTTACTTCTCTCTTGCTTTTCTTTTGTAATAATGGGAAGACTCGTGTTCATATTTGCAGTCCATTTGCACCTGTAACTTATATCCACATGAATCTTTGAGTTTGCTTATTCTTGGCTTTGACTCCCCCTGTAAACAAAGTACATTGATACCGATGCAACCCCTTTAATCAACAATAAATACACAATACTTGAAGTTTTCCATTAATTCCTGTTACTTTCTATAAACACATCTTGATTATCTTCCTTAAATCATGCACTAGTTTATGGTACAAATAATGTAATACATGCAATACAAAAATTTCCATGGAGAATTTTAATTTTCAAAAAAATGTATAATACTGCCTACTGTTTATGTATTACACTGTGCTGTCTACATGTACTTATAAATATAATTGATTCATAAAATGTGATTTTTCACAAAGTAACTAAATCACACATTAAGAAATGTGTGTCCCACTTCATCTCTTAAGTCACCAAGATAATAAAATTAAAAAGAAATTACATTTACTCAGTAGTCCCTAGAGAGACAATATATATACCTACTCTACTGTGGTTGCATGATTCTCCATCAAACTCAAAATATTAAATACTAAGAAATAATGGGTTCAAGCAAATTTAGTACATGAAATATTTTCCAAAATTTTCACAAGTTTTTTTTTTAACCGGTATCTGCAAGCAAGGCCATTTCAAGACAATTAAGAAGAGACATATGCGACTGGTCGGCAGGGGATGCTCACTCCTCCATGGCACCTGATCCCACCTCTGATGTTTTAGAGGTCCGTGTTTGCTCTGCTCCTGATTTGTAATGTTTAATGGACTTTTGAGCTTGAATACTGTTCGTTATTTCCATATCTTTGATGTGTAATTTGTGAATGCTCAACCCTGGCCAGGCCTACTTATTATAAGTATTGATGCATGGGCAATTTTAGTATAAATATTTTTTTCCAGTTGAACAGCAATATAAGTTGACACAGTTGATGCAGAAAAAAGACAAGAAAAGTGCATCATACTCAGATTTTGGAGATAAATTATTGAAGAAGAAAATGGTAGCAAACATTTTCCTATTACCTTTCCTCCATGTCCTCTGAAAGTGCTATTTAGATATATGAAAAGCTGCAATTTTTGGGAGGGTTTACTCCATGTAATTGGATTTAGAGTTAGAAACCTTGAGATTATGACATGAGTCATGTAAAATTTTATTATACTAGAGTAGGGTAAGTTTTTATTACAGAAATAAGTGCATGTGTCTAGATATATGATACAGTGTCAAAACTGATGCAAAACAAATTTTGGAAACAATTTCACACAGTCACATGAATAGTTTATTTTTCTGACTAATGACTATTCAACATGTCCAATAACTTAAGTATTTTAGACTTCAAAACATTGCAGTTAAAAACCTGGACACACTTTTCTATGATGTGTTTTTAGGTCCAAAACAATGTTCCATACAATGTGTGGCCCTAATACTCGACAGTACAGCAAACAAGCTCCTATTATTATGAGGCTCCTGAAGGAAATTTTATAACTGACTACTTTTTCTTTCTATCTGCTGAACAATATTGACACGTGTACTTAACTTTCCGAATGTAATAATTACAATGTTTTATTGAATATATCACAACCTGCTTAACATTTTTAAATTTAAAAAAAAATCACCCTCCTTGCAGAGCCCCATTTAAAAATAGTCTCTATGTACAAACACAACTTAAAGGAGAGGCAATTCGGAACGTGAAGTCAAGAATTTTAACGGATATCTGATGACTGATCAGAAATCACATAGATATATGGCATTTTTAGAAACTCTGCAAGTCTGCAGAAAATTATTACACGTTCATTGCAAGGATTTAAACAAAGAGTCACGTTTTTACACACCCGAAGTGTGTCTTACCTTCTATCAGCTGTTTTCACCGGAAACAATGGACATTCATTCTTCTATCGCCAAAGAAAAGAGATCCGCCGTTAACACATATGTTTAGAACTGTTTAATCTTTTCCCATTAGTTTGAAAGGAGTCAACAAACTATTAAGACTTGTTCAAAACAAAATTCAATTGTAATAAATGCATCTATCCACAAAAGAAATATGCATACGACAACCACGTGCTCTGTGGAATGATATGACTGAGGAAACTCGAGTGATAAACAGGACATTTTTTCCCGGTTTGCGAGAGATGGGTTAAAATCGCGTTTTGTCATTAATCAGACGATGCGATGCAACAAATAAAAGATGTAAGTTGTGTTAACTAAGGACCATTACTTAGATATGTCTTGTGTTGATGTTGTTACGGTCTCATTTATTCTAAAAACAATGTTATTTGAACTCTGTGTGACAGAGGAATGGCGGACATAATAAACGCATGGTCTCAGGGAGACCACCATATGAAAAATCAAATTTTCAAAAATTATGGACAACGACAAGAAAAAAGCAAAACAAATGGTTGTAGCCATATTATTAATGAACCGAAATGACATCATTTTCATTGCATTATTCATCTCCTAAATGCTGTGGCTGCGCAGTTCTAACATGATTAATTTTCACCAAATGCAAACAATAGAAAAATAATTATTTACTAGTTTTGGTCTCTAACAGTAGGTAATAAGTGCATTAGCACTTTGAGTAACTTTGAGCTGGTTTGGTAATGTATTAAGCGCATTCTTGGTATTTCTTATTTTAGACCAGAATAAATCCAAGATGGCTTGTACATCCCCCTTAAGGGGTAAGACATATATGTATATACACCAGATGTCGATCAGTTTTGTGACTCTGATCATGGGCCTCCCTTTTTTTAAGGAATAAAATACAAAATTCAACAGAAAACATGGTTCTGCGTTGGGGAATTTGTGGAGCTGGTCTCATCAGTAGTGATTTCGTATCTGCACTCATGGCACCTCCAAGTGATGCCCATCAGGTAAAATGATTACATTGTAATAAAACTATATATAATTTTTATGCATAATATCTGCAGCATCTTTGCTAGCCAAGGGTTTCCGATTGGAAATCTACTTGAAAAGAGTAGATTTTGGATTGGAAACCCTTGACAAGTGAAGATGGATGTGCAGATGCATTAATTATAGCAACATGATTAAAAATCATCATAATCATACCTTCACTAGCTCGATCCTTTTTCACACACCTCAACAAAGTTGGGGGGAGATCTAACGTAATACCCTACAGTGTAGACGTCCCAGGTTTTGTTTTTGGAGTTAAGATTTCTTTTCAAATACTTCTATGCCCTATAACCAGAAAAGCATAGACTATGCATGCTTATGGTATGTTTTATTGTAGCAGTCAATATAAATTAGGTTTCAGATGCTACAATATCAGGTAATAAAAGAATGACAGGTTAATGTTTTTGAAGCAGGTTAAAGTTTTAGTAGCAGGTTTAAGCTTTTGGAGCAGGTCTCATTTCCTAATAACTATAAACCCTATATTGACCTAACTTGCATGGGTGATACATCTAAGAATGCACATTACCAGGCTTGCTTTGGATGCTGGATCTGACCTACATTTTCTAGATGAGTGACCAGGTTAAAGTTTTTGGAGCAGGTCCATTCTAAAGTAACTATAAGCCCTACATTGACCAAACTTGCATGGATGATACACCTAAGGATGCACACTACTGGACTTGCTTCGGATGCTGAATCACCTAGTACATTTTCTAGATGAGTGACCAGGTTAAAATTTTTGGAGCAGATCCATTAGCAAGGAACAAATGGACCTACCAGGCTTGCATGAATGATGCATCAAGGGATGCACACTACTGGACTTGCTTCAGATGCTGGATTTGACCTTCATTCTCAGGATGTGTAACCAGGTTAAAGTATTTGGAGCAGGTCCATAAAAATACCAAGGAACTATTGGGCCTCTCTGAACCAAACTTGCATGGATGATGCATCAAGGGATGCACACTACCAGAGTTGCTTCTGATGCTGTAATATTTGACCAACATCTCCCAAAAAAGTGACCAGGTTAAAGTTTTTGGAGCAGACTCATTGCAGTGTAACTTTCAAGCCCTACCTAGACCAGACTTGCATGGATGATGCATAAACAGATGAACACCCTCAAAGTTGCTTCAGATGCTGGATTTGACTTTCATTTTCTGGACAAGTGACTTGTTTAAAATTTTCAGAACAAGTCCATTCCCAAGTAACTGCAAGCCCTATCAGACCAAAATTACATAAATGTGGCATCTAGGGATGCACGCTACTAGATTATTAGTTTATTGTGGGAATCTGCCTTACTTAAAGATAACATTTGTTGAGTTGAACTCTGTAATATTTGTTTACCTATGTTTATTTTGATTCTTGCAACAAAATAAAAAAAGGAGCTAGTGAAGGTATGGTTTTAATCAGATTGGAATTATAGTGATAAATGACCGTATGGTATCATTTTAGTATTGATTTAAATGTAACCATCAATAAATCAATCAATACTTCAATTTGATAAAGAATTTTGCTAAAGCTCTGCTTTAAACAAGAACATTGCTTTGTCTCAGATTTGTGTATTTGATTCTAGGTTGTTTGTATAGGAGCTAGTTCCCAACAGAGAGCACAGAGTTTTGCAGACAAGTTTGGAATAAAAACAGCCTATGGATCATATGAGGAGGTTGCCAAAGATCCTAATGTTGGTGTGTATGAATACAGTTTAAAATATGCATAATTAAAAGTCTAAATTTACATGTAGTTTGAAATTGACATGTTCTAAGTGATTGGGCAAAGTGATAGTCAAAATTGTTGAATCATTAGTATTTACTTGCTTGTTTTGTTTTGTTTTATTTTTTGAGATATGGAACAAACTACAGTGCCCCCCACCCCCACCCACCCCCCAAAATATATATATATCATAAATAAATCAATTTAAAAAAAATCCTGATTGTCCTTTATAGAAAATTTTTGTTAAAGAACAGATTCTATAGATTTAGTCAAAATTTCCTAAAAACCATTGTATGCATGTGTGTAGATGAAGATGTTAAGTGTCCATACTCTGTTACATTAAATGTTTATTAATGCCTTAAATTTGGTTTGTATTCACATGATTCATGTAAAAATTTCTATTGGATAAATGGAAAAGTTTTAGCAACAGAGATTTAGTTTGGCTATAGTGCAATTCATTGGCCACACCAGCAAATTCCAGGCATTATATTAAAAAGTAAAATTTGAAAATTAAAAAAAAACTCTAATATGTACCGGGTTATGTTTTCAAAATTTTATTGAATGTTAATTATTTTTTATGATATATACTTGTACATACATTATTTAGATGTTGTGTATATTGGTGTGATACACATTTACCATGTTGCGCTGTCCAAGCAGATGCTAAAAGCTGGGAAGAACGTTCTCTGTGAGAAACCAGTGGGTGCTAGCCTGGCTCAGATTCTGGAGGTCCAGCAGGTGGCTAAAGAGTGCAAAAAGTTCTTCATGGAGGTATTGTTCTACCAGTTTAAAATAATCTGAACAATCATCAGCTTTAAGGAGAACTGACCCTTCTCTAAGAAAAATAACTCTAAAATTTTTATTTTAATTTGACAGTGATTTAATTGTCTCCTTCTCCAGAGTGACCCTCTGTAGAGGGTATTTATATGTATTGACTCTCACCCAATCCATTCAGAATTGTTTAAATAAATGACTTGTCTCAAATGCAGACCTGTATGGTATGCTAAATTTGTTTGAATTCATTTTCTTCTATCAGAAATTGGCATCATTACAGAAAATTCAATTTATTAAGCAGAGTTTCATTTTCCCTCAATTCCAAAAATTCTGTAAATATTTAAATGAGTTTCAAAGTGACACATGTCACTTTCTGTTACATACTCATCATGTACATCTATAATGTTAGTATTGTTTTTAGCTCACCTGAGCTGAAAGCTCAAGTGGGCTTTTCTGATCACCTGTTGTCCGTCGTCCGTCCTTCTAGCTGTCTGTCTGTCCGTCCGTCCGTGAACTTTTCACATTTTCAACTTCTTCTCAAGAACCACTGGGCCAATTTTGACCAAAACTGGTACAAAGCATCCTTGGGTGAAGGGGGGTTTAAATTGTTAAAATGAAGGGCCAAGCCCACTTACAAGGGGAGATAATCAAGAAAAGACAAAAATAGGGTGGGGTCATTAAAAAATCTTCTTCTCAAGAACCAGTGGGCCAGAAAAGCTGAAACTTACATGGAAGCATTCTAGGGTAGTACTAGTGTAGATTCTAAATTGTTCAAATCACGACTCCCGGGAGTAGGGTGGGGCCATAATGGGGAATCAAAATTTTACATTGAAATATATAGGAAAAACCTTTAAAAATCTTCTTCTCAAGAACCAGTGGGCAAGAAAAGCTGAAACTTACATGGAAGCATCCTGTGGTAGTGAAGATTAGAAATTTTTAAATTCTTTACCCCCAGGGTTAGGATGGGGCCACAATGGGGAATCAAAGTTTTACATTGAAATATATAGGAAAAATCTTTAAAAATCTTCTCAAGAACCACTGGGCCAGAAAAACTGAAACTTACAAGGAAGCATCTTGGGGTAGTGAAGATTCTTAATTATTTAATTCATGACCCCCGGGGATAGGTTGGGGCCACAATATGTATTACAATGGGAAAATCTTCACAGCAGGGCAAAAGTTACTCAGGTGAGCATTGTGGCCCATGGGCCTCTTGTTTCTTTATGCACCTATAAATAACATGGTGTGTAATGATGTCTCCGTTCATCTCTCTGTGTGTCTCTTCATCTACATCCAACAGAATTGCCAGACAGCTCAGTGGATTGAAAATAAAGAAAAGTGTAACTGTTGCATCAACAGCATCACAAGGAAATCAAGATTTAATGTAAGTCAACTGAATTTTCTTGCAGGCAGTTTGGAGTAGATGCAATCCCATTTATCGTAAAATCAAAGAAGAGGTAAGAGCTGGAAATCTGGGAGAAATCAAGCATGTTCAAGCTCAATTCTTTGTGCCAATAGACAAAGTGGATCGCGTTGCCAAGCCTGAGCTAGGCGGAGGGGCTTTACATGACATTGGGTTGTACACTGTACAGTTGGCCACTATGATTTTTAACAATGAAAAACCAGTTAAAATAACAGCTGACTCCACATTGTCAGATCAAGGTTTGTTTATTTGTCATTAATAGTGTGCTTTCACAAAATACAGTGAAAAAGGGTTACAGTGAACCTGATTATAATGAATCCATGCTTACAGTGAAGTGTTTTTCATTCCCTGCAGTTTGAAAATGTATTGCCGGTATGAGCTTATCAAAAATAATTAATTACATTTTATAAGGAATCAAAACTGTTCATCCCAGACAATACGTTAAACACTTGTTTTACTGTAAATAGTAACAAGTAAAATTTGATGCTGCCTTTAATACTACAGAACAAAATTTGTTAAACTATTAGATATAAAATTTCCTCACAAAATTTATAAATATAATCTGAATGACCATCTTTTTTTTCCAGTTTGAATTTATATTATTTTGTAGGAGTTGATGAAGATGGTTGTATTACATTAACGTATAAGAATGGTGGCAGAGCCGTTTTACTTTATAGTACAATGTTTCAAGGAGGGAAGAATAACACAGCCACAATATATGGTACCAAAGGCACAATAGAGGTGACAGCCCATTTTATCCATGTATTTATCAACAAGTGCCATTGTTGTCATTTTGCGTAGAAAAATATGGTTGATTTCTCTTGAAAAGTTTCATTAATTTGGACATGTACATATCAAGATGACTTGCTGTATGTGACCATACTGGTAAACAAACAAGATGTGTTTTTGAAACACTGATGCCCCCCATATGGCAACTTTTAGCAAAGGTTAAACTTTCTCAAATGCAAATCAAATATGTTGGTACCCAAAGTAAGGTCTTGTCTCGAGGAATATACCTGTGAAATATAAAACCCTAGCAGCAACGATTGAATAGATATAGAAAAGGTTTAAGTTTTTCAAAAGTAAGTCAAACATCAAGGTCAAGGTCAAATGGTCAAAATTAATAGTGCCAAAGGAAAGGCCTTATCACAAGGAATACACATGTGAAATATGAAAGCCATAGCACCAAACGATCAAAGGTTATGACAAAGGTAAAAGTTTTTCAAAAATAGGTCAAACTCCAAGGTCAAGGTCAAAGGGTCAAAGTTGTTGGTATCTGAAGGAAGGTCTGGTCACAAGGATTACACATGTGAAGTATGAAAGCCCTAGCATCAATCGTTCAAAAGTTATGGCCAAGGTTTAAGTTTTTCAAAAGTAGGTCAAACTCCTAGGTCAAGGGACAAAGTTGTTGATATCCAAAGGAAGGTCTTGTCACAAGGAATAAACATGTGAAGTATGAAAGCTTGGCAATGCGTTTTAAATTTTCCACGTTCTCCATATCTGTCTACATGAGTGATGCAATATCCCGTCGAGAAATAATCCCTTGTAGGATACAGTGATACAGATATATCTCTTTATATAATTTTCATAAATAAACTTTACTTTAAATTTTAAAGCTAAAATATACAACTTTAAAATTTATAATTTGTCATGCAATATGTCAAAGTAAGTTTTGCCAAGAATCTTGGCATTTAGATGTTGACAGAGGTGTTGTCGTGTAGCGTAATATGCCCTCTGGTGAGAGGTTGATCCAAAGAAAGGTCTTGTCACAAGGAATACACATGTGAAGTATGAAAGCCCTAGCACCAACCATTCAAAAGTTATGGCCAAGGTTAAAGTTTGGTAAAATTTTGCGAAACTGGGTCAAACTCCAAGGTCAAGGTCAAAAGGTCAAATATGATGGTACCCAAAGAAAGGTCTTGTCACAAGGAATACACATGTGAAATATGAAAGCCATAGCTCCAACCAATCAAAAGTTATGGGCAATGTTAAAGTTTTTGCAGACAAACAGACGGACGAACAGACAGATGGACAGGGCAAAAACTATATACCCCTGAATTTTTGATACATGGGCATAAAAATTCAAGAATATTTTCTCATTCAAAGACCTTGAATGACCAAACATGATCTCTTTTGAAAAATCAGGTACCAGAAAAAGAAAACTTGATGGATGACTTTTCTTTTGTGTCATTTGAATTTTTATGCCCCCGTATTGAAGATTCGGGGGTATATAGTTTTTGCCCTGTCCATCCATCTGTCTGTTTGTCTGTTTGTCATAACTCATAACTTTTGATCGGTTGGAGCCAGGTTTGGGGTGAAGTACATTGAAAAGTAATGCATTGCATTACCATTACTTCAAGAATTTGGGCATTAAATTACAGTTACCATTAGGGTGAATTCACCATGCATCGGACACCCTTGCACTTCAACAAGTTCTAGCGATATCACTATCGACCGAATATTATCAAAATAGAACTTAACATGTAGTATATGGTTAAAATATAAATTTTTGACACAATTGTGTGCTACTTATTGAGAAAATATCAATAAAAACCGATTTTTTTCAAAATAAGTCAGAATTCACCATGATTCGGACAATATTCACCATGCATCGGACAAACAGTATTTTGAACCAAAAAAATATCATACCTTGATCTCGGTGCTTTAAAATTAGTGATGTCGAAACATTTTTGTCTTTTATTTAAAAATTAACCTTTTAGTTAAATTTGAATGACTATTTCGATTCACAAATGTGAAGAGATTTTAGGTGCATCACATCGCCTTAGAAAGGCTTTACAATGCTATAGTAATATACAAACTTGCACTTTTGTCTCGTGGGTTATCATAATCTAGTTTAAAAAAATAAATTGAGTCCACTTCTAGTCGTCATATATCGATAACTTGTATTTTCACTGAAAATTTAGAGATTTTATTTTCTATTTCCGCTAAACACAGCTGTCATTAGGGTTTTATATGAAAATGGAAGTGATTACTCATGCATCGGAAAGTGTCCGATGCATGGTTAATTTGTGTCCAATGTACGGTGAAATAAACATACTAGTAAAAAACATCTCTAAAAAATGTTATACAAACACTGAAGTAAAATTTTGAAGAATATCTTTAAAATTATCAACCATTGACAAATTTTACCTAGGTCCGATTTGTTCCGTTGAAGTCTAATTAAAATAACGACAACTCTAAAAATTGCAAAATCGTAAAATTCTGGTTTACTCCCCTTTGATGATGCAAAATATGACATAATTTCAAGGCCATTCATGTGGTATTTCTATCTCAACATGAAAATAAAAATCGGCATCATTAAATTTTCATCTTTAAGACAGAAACAAGTAAAAACACGGGGAGACTCAGATTCAATGAAAGTTTATTGCTTAAAGTTGTCCGAAGCAAGGTATGTGTCCGATGCATGGTTAACTCACCCTAATCTAATTTCTTAAAGTTATGCATTACATTACCATTACTTTAGCAAAGTAATGCATTACCATTACCATTACTTTTGGAGGTTTTCAAAAATAAAACACAAAACTTTGCAACTAATTTTCATAAACAGGCATCCCACCCCTTCTAAACATGATGAATGATAATTATACCCCCCGCAAACGAAGTTTAGGGGGGGTATATTGGAATCAGCATGTCCGTCTGTCTGTAGACGAGATTTTGTCCAGATCATTTCTTTGAAACTGTTGCAAGGATTTGTCTGAAAATTTGTACACTTGCTATTCACCATATGAAGGTGTGCACCTGGTATTTTCATAATGATTGGGTAATTTTTTTGCATTTTACAGGTGTTTTTTTTTCATTTTTATTGACTTAGTCATTTTGGGTTCATGTCTAAGGATTGAGACATAGAACCTAGAACATCTGTACAAAAATGTGAACTACAGCTTAAAACTACTCATCAGAACTAAAAAAAAAATCGCACAATATTAAAAACAGTTTTTACATTACACAGCAGATAGTGTAAATCTATTTGTCCCTTTGGAGTAATGAGTGGACATGCATCCAGTTAAAGATTAATTAATGAGTCCAGTGTGGAAAGCTGTTGGGGCATCTCTGATCAAGCAGGTCTTATCTATATCTCCTGGGAATTGGGCAGAAAGAAATAAAGATCTCTGTTCTCTAAGCCTCTTAATTGTAATTTATGTCTGTCAAAATACATAGTTACTGCAACCAGCCTTTTATTTTTAAAATGAGTTTGATATAAAGGTATTAAGATCAATTTGACTTTGTATAATTAATTATGATATTTTTTTTTCAACAATTAATTTGCAGAGTGTCATGTCTCACAAAGATGATAGATAGCTGCAAACTAATTTTTCAATGTAATAAAAAACACTGTAATTATCAGTATTGATGTTTTATTAGGCTGCACATTAGTTTCATTCATTAAAAAAAATATATCGAGTAATTAAAATTTCACTCTAAATGTTTAAGCAAATTGTGAACACCTCTCACATCTAGAAAACATTAGTGATTTGGTACCTTCTCTGAAAAACCCAGCAGGGGGTATTTGTCCCTTTTGGACAGTTCTAGTTCAATTTCATTTCAAGAACTTGTATTATTACATTGTAAATAATTTATGTATCTTTTTATTATTCATAGGAAGTTCAAACTTTTCAATTACCAATAAGAAAAAAATGTACATCATGCACTTTTTGTGTAACTATTGATGTCATAAAGCAATTAGCTTTTAGGGCAATTTACTACCTCCCCAAAACTAAAACTATTTAAAGATATTGTGGATCTAGATAACTAGTACCTTAAATTATGACAAAAATTAAATGCATTGACAAACTTGTAAAAAAGTTGGACAATATTCATTTTGCTTTGTTAAAAGTAGAATGCATGTCTTCTATTCCAATTCCTTTTGGTGCTATTGGTTTTGTTATGGTCAGCTCAAGCTAGATCAGCTCAATTAATGTTTCATAAACACAGTCAGAAGAGAGAGAGTACTTCTCAAGACAATACATTGTTTTAATTGCTACATAACCTTACAGGCATTGCACTCTAATCAAAAGATGGCAATTATCACTTTACAGTGTACATTAATTAGTGTGCCTCATACTGGAATTATTTTTAAAGGTAATTTTTTTAAAAAAAAAAAAAGATAATAATTGTGAAAATTTAAATGTGTGGTAATTGACAGAATAATTTTCAACAGAATAAAAAGTGTATTTAAATAGATACAGAGAGTTTATTTAAATAGTTAACTTTTTCTTTTGTTTCTATTATGTAAAAAAAAATATTAAAAAAATAATTTCCATGTCCATTTTTCATTTTTTAAAAAAAGGTATATACAAAATAATGCTTTGTAATGCTATGTAATGCCAGCATTACTCTGGGTTTGAGAAAGTAATGCATTACATTACCATTACATGTAATGCAATTTTTTGGCATTACACATTACTAGCATTACTTCAAGTTCAAGTAATGCATTGATTTAGCATTACCCCAAGCCTGGTTGGAGCTATGGCTTGCATATTTCACATGTGTAGTTCTTGTGACAAGACCTTTCTTTGGGTACCATCATATTTGACCTTTTGACCTTGACCTTGGAGTTTGACCAAGTTTAACAAAATTTTACCCAACTTTAACCTTGGCCATAACTTTTGAACAGTTGATGCTAGGGCTATCATACTTCACATGTGTAATCCTTGTGACAAGACCTTCCTTTAGATACCAACAACTTGACTCTTTGACCCTTGACCACGGAGTTTGACCTACTTTTGAAAAACTTTAATCTTGGCCATAACTTTTGATTGGTTGTTGCTAGGGTTTTCATACTTCACATATGTAATCCTTGTGACGAGACCTTTTTTGGGGTGACTCATATTTGACCTTTTGACCTTGGAATTTGACCCAGTTTTGTAAAATTTTACCAAACTTTAACCTTGGCCATAACTTTTTGAACAGTCATTGCTAGGACTTTCAAACTTCACATTTGTAATGTTTGTGACAAAATCTTGCTTTGCATACCAATAATTTTGACACTTTGACCTTGGAGTTAGACCTACTTTTGAAAATCTTTAACCTTAGCCATAACTTTTGAACGGTTGCTTCTAGGGCTTTATACTTCACAGATGTAATCCTTGTGACAAAACCTTCCTTTGGATACCAACAACTTTGACCCTTTGACCTTGACCTAAGAGTTTTGACCTACTTTTGGAAAACTTTAACCTTGGCCATTACTTCTGAACAGTTGGTGCTAGGACTTTCATTCTTCACATGTGTATATTCCTTGTGACACGACTTTCCTTTAGATACCAACAATTATAGCCCATTGACCTTGACGATTGACTTACTTTTGGAAAACTTTAACCTTTGCCATTACTTTTGAACAGTTGGTGCTAGGGCTTTCATACTTCACATATGTAATCCTTGTGACAAGACTTTACTTTGGATACCAAAAACTTTGACCCTTTGACCTTGACCTTGGAGTTTGACTTACTTTTGAAAAACTTTAACCTTCATCATATCTTTTGAATGGTTGGTGCTAAGGCTTTCATATTTCACAGGTATATTCCTCAGGACAAGACCTTACTTTGGGTACCAACATATTTGATTTGACTTTGAGAAAGTTTAACCTTCACTATAAGTTGCCATATGGGGGCATCAGTGTTTCACAAACACATCTTGTTAGATTTTACAATCTCCAAGAATGAATAACTTAGATAAATGTTGTTTTTTTTTTACAATTGTATGCCTGGTATTGAAATATATATCTATGCAAAATTAAAGACCAAATTGCTCAATAACTAAAAAAAAAACTCCAGAGCATAAATGTCTGCTTGATGACACATTTTTTGCTTGATTTCTGTCCATAGATTGGTGAAAGCTTCTGGACCCCACTGGAGGCCACCTTTCCATCTGGTAAAATGACCATCGAGACACCCTCTGGTCCAGTGCCGTATACTTTCATCAACAGTGGAGGACTGAGATATGAGGCAGATTGCGTCAAAGAATGTCTTGAAGCAGGTAAGGTACTGAGCAGAGCTTCTTCACTGAAATGGCTGAAACAGTTGAATCCAATTGGCTGAAAAAGTGTAATCCAATTTTAATATGTGTGAATTTTAAGGTCTCTGTCCTATCATCAAATCATGTCATCTTAAAAAATCTTTTTATTGTCCTGGACATCTAGCCAACAAACTGTTTGAAGGATTGTAATGAGAAATTAGCTCTTTACCAAAATTGTGAAATTCATGATCCCTAAATTTAGCCTTCAGGCTTCAGGGTAGGGCATGGTTGGTCATATATCGAAAATCTATCACACTGATAAACATTTTCATATTTATTCCTTTTTGTAAATTGTGAAATTTATGGCTCATGGGTTCAGGTAGCAGAGTGTAATTAAGTTAGTCATACATCTATTAAAAATTGTTATATCATAATTTAAAATTTTTTTTTTTGAAAGGTCATGTATTTTTTTTAAATCCAAAATGCAATTTCAGTTTATTTTCATTCCAAGACTTGTATTTATCTTTGCTCTAGGGAAGTTAGAGTGCAATGAAGTGTCATTTGCCGACAGTCAAGCTATTTACCAAATTGTTGATGAAGTTGTGAAGCAAACTGGAATGAAAGTGAAATGGTATGCCTGGTTTCTCTGTCTAATACAAGTGTGGAATATGATAGACATATGGTTTTAATTACCATAGAAACATTTCATTGACGTTCTTCCCCCATTTTTTAAAGGCATAAATAAATATATATGATGTACAATCCACATTTTTCATGTTTTACATTTTTCAAAAACATTTTTTTGTTACAGGTGATTCCAGCAATGCATCAATGGAAGTATTTCCAATTAAAGATGTGATGAATAAATTCTTTATTCCTGAAAACAGTGATGTACTAATAACTATATTTAGTGCTAGAATGGTGCTTATGGACTCATTATATGCAAAATATTAGAAAGGTGCTTATTAATCATTTCCAATTATTGATATAACTGATGAATTAAAAAAAATTGTGATACAATGTATTTAATTTTTTATTTCTTTTACATGCATTTATACATTTTTTTTTTAATTTTTGAAATGTTACATTGTTGATGTAATACTTCTTTTTATTTATTTTTAAGTGTTTTCTCAGTTTGAAACATTGGGTAAAATGTTTACTTAATACTGTTTAAGTAAATTAGTCTCATAGCTTTTTACACCAGGTACAATGTTTATTTTTTGGATAACTACTTTCTCAGAAAGGTCTGCTAAATTTCCTGATAGATTATTGAATATCTGTTGCGAGTTGGAAAAAATAAGCAAATTTTAAACTTCCCCTCCAATTTTTTTCTCAAGAAAAGATGACTTACTTTACTTTTATTAACTTTTTTAGAATCCTTTGAATATGTCAAAAAGCTTGGTTTTAGAGTAGGGTTACTATGTCATGTGGATGTTAAGGACAATTAGTCTCTAAATCAGTACATGATTTTATTCTAATGTGTGCATGCATGCATTTATGATACATAATTATTGTAGATTATCTTAAATTTTCTAATGAAAATTTTAAAATCTTATTTAAGGAAGTAGAATTTATCCCAATTATTTTGCATAACTTTATATCAGTTGTGATCATTGCTTTGAATAAAATTCATTATGATTACCTAATTTGAGAGACTTGCTTGTTCTACTTTTTCCTCATCTAGAAGTTTAGTATATCCAGAATCTTACCTTAGAATCGTCATCAATTTAAAGTAGCAGATCTCTGTAGTGCAAAATTAACATAAACCATAGGCGCTCCCGATGTAATTCTATAAATGACGAAAGATAAATATATACATGTATATAGGTCTACCCATCTATACTATGGATTTTATAGTCTAGATGGGTAGACCTATATTATATGGGAAGCGCCTATGAATAAATTCAAAAAATCTTAAATCATTTGAAGATATCAATAATTCCATGAATGAGCGCAATGTTTGAATTTTTTATGCACCCATCTAATCAATCATACTGCTCTCGTCAATTGAATTGATGCGTGCATCAATATTGAATTCATAAGAGCAATGATTGATTTCATACGCCCATCAATTCAATTATATTGCTCTCATCAATTCAGTTGATGCGTGTGCATGAAGTAAATCTATAATACTAAATATCGCCCACGTATGATTGATTGATTGTATGTTGTTTAACGTCCATTCGAGAATTTTCCACTCATATAGAGACGTCACCGTATGCCGGTGAAGAGCTTTAAATTTAGACCTATACTCGGCACTCAGGGCCATTGGGCAGTGAGGGTTCTTTATCGTGCCAATGCCTACCGTGACATGGGACCTCGATTTTTAAGGTCTCATGCGAAAGACCCGTGACTTTCACTTCTAGTACCGGGCGCTTGGTGAAGGAACAGTTACTAATCTATGTTTACGTCTTAGGTTTGACGCGGCACAGTGAACGAGAATCGAACCAGGGCCTCCCGATCACGAAGCGAGCGCCCTACCATTAAGGTACCGGTCGCCCACGTATGACATCTGCGAGGCGCAATTTAATTTTTGTCGACCTACATATTTTTATTGATCGAAATGCAAGTTATGTTGACCTGCAACTTATTCTTATCAGGCATGGGATAATCGTAATTGAGTAATCGTAATCGAGTAATTGAGAGATTTTCGATTACTTGTAATAGTAATTTAATCGATTACAGCTAAAATTTTCAGTGTAATTATAATTACTTTTTCGATTACTTTCGATTACTTTCTACATAAATGATATTTTGGAGAATTGTTTCCAGTTATAGTCGCACATAAATATAAAGTAAAACCACTCATTGAAGATAAAAAATATTATTAGAACAGTTAATAGCTCTCAAAACACTTGTTTAAACACAGAAAGTAATTGTTGCTATTAAACTTTACTTAATTAAAGGCACATTTAATTCAAATGTTTATTACTAAGAGTTCTAATTTATTTATTCCTGCCAACATGCAGCAGTCCAAATACTTTTAAAGAACAACAAAATATTAAATAATTTCTGCAACAAAAGTCAATGAATATGGAGGTTCAGATCCAAAGTCGAAAGGAATTATAATTAATTCCTTGGAGCTTTTCATTTTAGGAACCATGTCTCCACTCTTCATGGTAGAGAATCCCTCATTTAAACATTTAGAGAGCATGTTAGGTCAAAAGTATGAAATTAAACCAGTAAAAACCTTAACAAATCTGCACTGAAACTGAACACAACGAATATATTCAAACTTCAGTGGATATCATTAACATTACCATGTTCCATTTAAATATTTTTCTGCTTTGATATTTGAGGAAAAATACTTGGAAGTAATCGATTATTAATCGATTATATCTTCCTAAGTAATCGATTACAGGAAAAAAAATAACTGTAATCGATTAATATAATCGATTACACAAAATTTCTCTGAGAAATCGATTATTAATCGATTACATTTTCAAGTAATCGTGCCCATGCCTGATTCTTATCAAAATTTTACTCAGTTTATATCTTTACATATAAATATTATGTAAAATTACTATTGTACCTTAATTTTCAGCTGTATAGTGACGAAAAATAAGTTCAGGACTTCAAGCTTTCTATGTTGGCCCCTACATGCAAGATAAACTATGTTAACATGCAAGATAATTATGTCTACGTGCATAAAAAATATGTAGACATGCAAGTTATCAATCTTTTTAGAGAATCTAATTTGAAGTTGGTAAACATACTTACAAACGCCGGTATACGACATCATACAAGCAAGGTGCAACAGAAATATGTTGACATGCGACTTATTCATGTCAACATGCAAGATAATTATGTTAACATGCAAGATATAATTATGTCAACATGCGACTTATTTATGTAAACATGCAATATAATTTTGAAGGTATGCGATTATCTATGTCAACATTCAAGATAATAAGTTGGATGTCAACATACATATCTCGCATGGTGACGTACATAATTAACTCGCATGTCTACATAATTATCTTGCATGTTGACATTAATAAGTTGCATGTCTACATAATTATCTTGAATGTTGACATAAATAAGTCGCATGTCTACATAATTATCTCGCTTGTTAACATAAATAAATCGCATGACAACATACAATTCTGTTGTATCTTGCATGTATGATGTCATATAATGGCGTGTGTAAGTATGTTTACCAACATTAAAATTAGATTCTCTAAAGAGATTGGTAACTTGCATGTCAACATAGTTATTTTGTATGTTGACATAAATAAGTCGCATGTCTACATAATTATGTTGCATGATAACATAATTTATCAAATACAAATACAAATATTTATTGGCGCAAACACAATTACAATAATTGGCAAAGGCCCAACACATTATAAGAATCATCAATTATTCATACATAAATATGCAATATTTTAGTATAGAATGTGAGGCTATACATAATTATAAATCATACCATCATTTGTATAATTATTATGTAATGCAATCATTTCTAGATACAAGAAATTTTTTTAATAAGTGAGTGTGTTATTTTCAGTATTTCTGGACAATGGCTATTAAAGCAAAGCTTAACTTTTTGAGTGTAAGAGATATTTGATATTTTTCCTTGAAAAAAATTCATCAAGTTCCTTTCAAAAGTTAACCTATGATTATTGTATTTATGGCAGCTGAATAGAAAATGAAATTCATTTTCAATCTCCCCTGTGTTGCAAATATTACAAATTCTGTTATCTGTGGGTATTATATAAATAGTGCACGTTTTTGAGGGTAACAGTTGAAATTGACACCCCAAGGAAAACCATTGTCAACCGACGCGTCAGCGGAGGTTGACAATGGTTTTCCGAGGGGTGTCAATTTCAACTGTTACCCTCAAAAACGTGCACTATTTATTTTATTATACTGAATGTCTTATTGATTTCGGATGTCATTAAAAAATTCGGAGATCGTCGTTAACTTCACGCTTAGAAAGCTTTCAAACTCCCCACTTCTATTTTTCTCAATAGGAAAGCTTCGTAAAAGATTTACCAACCTCTTTATTATTTGTTTGCTACTCAAAAAGTCCTTTATCACCTAAAGTTTGCACTCGCAAGGATGTTTCGTCTGTCGTTTGTCTTTTTCAAGTAAGCCACATCGGACGCAAGCTTTTATTGACGTCGTTTACTCGGTTTCTTTCAAACGCACAACCGACGTTTTGAGAATTCTACGGTGAACCGTACGCGCATGATTTGAACGCATGTGATATTTTCGTAATGTTACCCGTTGTCAAGTGTGTTGCTAACGCTGAGGGTAATATTACGGATTGTTAAATGTGTCTAAACCAATCAGATTTTAGTATTTAACATGAAAGTATAATAAAGACAAATGTCTCCCTTTTTCTATGGCAAGGTTATGTGCACTAAGTCTAAACCTGCTAATAATTGATCTCTCTGTTTTCTTTTTTGATATATCAGTGTATCCACAGCGTTTGAAATTATCAAAAACAACTTGATAAAAGTTTAGTTTTGATGAATTATGAATCTTTGCATATTCCTCTTGTAAGCATTGATCTGATATTCTTTGTTTTATGTTTCTCAGAAGTGATTTTATTGAATTTTTTTTTGGGTAATGAATGAAAATCCTAACTTGTTGAAAATTAAAAAAAATATTTTTAGTCCATGAGTTTGTTTTGACTGTTGCTTTATATATTTTAAATACTAAAATATTCTTGGAAGTAATAAGATGGTTCCAAAATTTTATACTTGAAAAATGTATTCTTGTCCACAGGGGATGTCTACCTAAATCTGCTCTGCAGGGAACATTAGTAGTTTTACAATGTATTCCTAAAATTTCCTTAATAAACTTCATGTGAAATTTTTCAATTATAGAATTTTCACCAATGTTATTATAAATACCCCAGATCTCACAGCAATAAAGAAGAACTGGTGTTATAATTGAGTCAAAAATTTTTCCAAAAGTTTACATGGAATATCCAAACCAATTGTTTTCTTAACCTTAAAATAGGCTTTTCTGGCCTTTTCCATAAGTACTGACATAGCTAAGTTCAGATTTCCATTACATTTCAAGGTTAATCCAAGATAACAAAATTTTGATACTGTTTGAAGAACACTTCCATTATATGTAAACTCACTGATGCAAAATTGACCATTTGAGTTAAAAATAAGGGCTTTAGACTTCTCAACATTGACCAGTAGTTTCCAATTAGAACAATATGTTTCAAGAATGTTCAAACAATTCTGTAACCCAGTTTTACTTTCAGATAATAAAACAATATCATCAGCATATAATAGACAATTTACAGAGATTTCACCAATTTGAACAGGATCACAATTGCCTGTTTTAAGTTCATCAACAATACCATTAATAAAAATGTTGAAGAGAGATGGGCTTAAGATATCACCTTTCTTAACACCACATTCAGATGTGAATGATAACTGAAACCATTAGCAAACTTTATCTTGGTTTTTGTATTCTCATACAAAGAAAATATAATATTGAACATAATATAATATTGAACATATTGGTGTGTATATTGGATTTCTAAAGTTTATAATAAAGTCCAACCCTCCATATAGTGTCAAATGCTGAAATGAATAATCCTATTAAAAAGTTTTTCTAGGTTTGATGTAATGGATATACCTCTGTAATTACAAGGATCAAGTTTGTTACCAGATTTATGTAAGAGTACCAGAATACTTTCATTCCATAAAGTAAGAAATTGCCCTGAGTTTAAAATAAAGTTGAACAGTTTTTGTAGTGGCTTCAGTAATACACTACCTCCATTTTTTAACATTTCATTTGAAATAAGATCCATGTATGTACCTTTACCTTGTTTTAGATTTTTTATGGCATTCATTATTTCTTGAGTTGTAATAGGGGGACTAACATCATTCTCTAGTTTTTGTTTTAAAACATTAAACTGTTCTGCAATGAATTTGTGGAAATCATTCTGATTGCTATTAGCAGTATTCAGTGTTTTGAAATACTGATAAAATATATCACAGGGAAGAACAGGAGAGTTGTTATGCATATTCTGCATTTTATCTAGTTTGTGCAACATTTTCCAAAATGTTTTGGGATTGGTATCGAGATTGTTGTTAATCTCATGACAATTTTTTTGTTTGTATGATTTTTCTTCATGTTTGCATAGCCTTCTGTATTTAGATCTGTATGTGTAAAAGAGTTTTCTATACTGACCATTAAAAGGATATTGATTTACTAACTTTTCATATTGTTTTACTGTGTTTCGAAGATCAGTACATGACTCAGTAAACCATGTTTTTTTGTCGCATCTACGGGATTTGGATTTTGGTATTTTTGCCACATATTTTGTTGAAAGTTTTGCACAATCTTGCAATATAGTGTTAAATGAGATCACAATTGTGTCACTATTTTCATAATCAGTATTAATAAATTCAGAAAATCTTGCTCTGAATGTTGGACTCTTGATATTTTTAGAATACACTTCAACAGATTCTTTAGTCCAAATAAATTTTCCTGGTAAAGGGTCTATTTTACATACATTGTTAATTTCTTGTTCAGAAAAATCATTGGCAAACAAAGAACAGCTGATTGGACAGTGGTTTGAAAATAAATTAAATTCATGGATTTCATGTAGGGGGCAGAAATATGCCCCATACTTTTCCTTCCATAACAAACTACATGTATATACAGTCTCGCAGGTCAACATTAATTTGGCAATTTAGATTACATATATGGCGATATTTGACGTTTTTTATAAAAAATTTTCTAAGTTTTATCCGATTACATTTTCCTGCATGTCAAGGGAGTTATGCTGCATGTTGACATATTTATATTGCATGTCAACATAACTCTTGCATGTCGAGATAATTTATAGAAAAATTTATCTTGCATGTGGGGATAAATATATGCCACTGTAAAGTTCTATGTATTCAAATGAAATAAAATAAAATGAAATAAAAGTTCAAAATAACCGTTTCTTGTAGATTTACCCTTCCCGGCTCCCATATTATGTAATCCATAGGGGTGAGCATGAAATTAGGGCCTAGCTACAGGTTACAATATAGAACGAACACATTTATAACTCGAAACTCATTCTGCAGTTCGACGTGCAAAGAAGTACATACGCTATTAAGGTAAATGTTAGTATATCTAACATAGGCGTCGGAACCGGGGGGGGAGGCTAGGGGGGCTTAGCCCCCCCCCCCCACTTTTTTGCAAAGATAGACATAATATAGGCATTGAAAATTGGGGCTTACCTTTTTTTGGTTGGTTTAGCCCCCCCCCCCCCTTTCAATTAGCCACCCCACTTTCAATTTGCTTCCGACGCCTATGCCTAAAAGATTTATAATTATGATTGATTTATAGGACAAAAATCATTTAATAATTATGATCACGATTGTGACAAATAAAGCTATCCATAATTTGTGAAAAAGTGGTACAATTTGAATGTGAGTAAATTATTCTGATATTCATAGAAACGAATCCTCCTTGTTGCTAATCCAAATGATCGAATTTGATCTAACGTTTTATTCGTTTTTGACTCCTGCATTATGGAAATCCAAAGGGCTCAAAACCCAATATCCAATATTGTAACCATATAAAATCTAAGTTGTAGACTGTAATTTGAAAATTATGTATCATAATTTTTATTTAACCTTTCTAACTTCAGAGGTGTAAATTCAAATGCAATGTTAATGCATAACTTGTAATTACAGAGCTGTTCTGAAGTCTAGTTTACACCATGGTTCTTCGTTGGGGAATATGTGGTGCCGGACACATTTCTAATGATTTTGTCTCTGCGCTCTTGGCACCACCAAGTAATGTCCATGAGGTACCAAGTATTTCAATTTATGGCTTATGGAAAATTATGATGATATGATGAAGAAACCACTTCAATATCCAGTGTTATAGCCCCCCCCCCCCCATTTAAGTTGGGCAAAATTTGCAGCAAGGGTCTGAAGTCCTGAAGAAAGGAGTTCGTGTGAACGAAGTCCCCTTCTCCCCAACAAAACAATTTTCTAACCCCCCACCCCTCCAACAAAACAATTTTTATTATGATACACAATGAAGAAAAACGATGAAATATATGATAAATAGAATAGCATAATTTTACAAACCTACTACAGCAAACAATTATGCTTAAATAAGAATTAGAAAAAAAATATCATTAAGAATGTATTCTGCTGAGATAACTTGCATTTAACTTTTCAATTTTGGAACTTTAATTCGATGCTTTCATTACGTGAAACAAAATAAGAAAAATATGAGTATTTGAGCATATTTTTGAGATATAAAGCATTGAAAATATGGCGGGAAACCAAACTTCTTGGGATTTTTCATAGACGATGAATGAAAATTTCTATCTCTGAAAACTTATGATCTGGAATTAAATTCTTCTTGATATTTTTGAGAAGATTATCAGAACAACAAAGACTCAAAATGTAAGTAGAAAATAGGGTGTTAGTGGGTAAAAAATATTACGATAGTTTTGATGAATAAAACACGAGGCTTTCCGTAAAAATGACTGACTCCTCAGCATACTCAATAGAATGCTCCTAAAGCTGATTTTTTTTTAGACTTGGATCTCAATTCTTTAAAAAAGACAAATTTTTGGACCCATTTTTGGGTTTAAAAAATGTTCAGAATTAACATTTCTTAATTACACTATGTATTAGCTACCGTTCCTTTGAACAATTAGACATGTCTTCTTTATGAGTATTTCATTGATAAGTCCGGAATAGACGCATCTGTAGAAAAAAAAATGTTTACATTTAAATAGGTTACCAAAATATATTAACATATGAATTACGGAAGAAATAACGACATGCACCTTTAAAACTATTGTTATTTGTACACGTAAATTAAATAAGGTTAGATTTGCCCTATAGCTCGCTGAAATGTATTTGTACTCCAAATAAAATTGGGAAAAATTAAGATTCGTAATTATAATATGTTCATGTAGTTCATAAGTTTGATATAAATAAAAAAGTGTGTGTGTGAGGGTGTGTGTGTGTGTGAGGGTGTGTGTGTGCGTGTGTGTGATTTTTAGCTCACCTGAGCCAAAGGCTCAAGTGAGCTTTTCTGATCAAAATTTGTCCGTTGTCTGTCGTCGTTGTCATCGTCGTCGGTGTTGTTGTTGTCGTTGTAAACTTTTCACAATTTCATCTTCTTCTCCAAAACTACTGCCCCAATTTCAACCAAACTTGGCACAGAGTATCCGTGGGTGAAGGGGATTTAAGTTTGTTCAAATGAAGGGCCACGCCCTCTTTCAAGGGGAGATAATAAAGAATAAGTGAAAAATTAATAGCATCTTTTAAAAATCTTCTTCTCAAGAACCACAGGGCCAGGAAAGATGAAACTCATGTGGAAGCATCTTCAGGTAGTGTAAATTCAAGTTTGTTCAAATCATGACCCCCGGGGGTAGGGCGGGGCCACAATGGAGGATCAGAGTTTTACATAGAAATATATAGGAAAAACCTTTAAAAATCTTCTCAAGAACAGCAAAGTCATGATGAGTCATATTTATATGGAAGCATCCTCAGGTAGTGTAAATTCAAGTTTGTTCAAATCATAACCCCCCGGGGGTAGGGCGGGGCCACAATGGAGGATCAAAGTTTTACATAGAAATATATAGGAAAAACCTTTAAAAATCTTCTTCTCAAGAATAGCAAAGCCATGATGTGTCATATTTATACGGAAGCATCCGCATGTTGGGTAGATTCTATTTTGTTTAAATCATGACCCCTGGGGGTAGGGTGGGGCCACAATGGAGGATCGAAGTCTTAAATAGAAATATATGAAGAACTGCAAAGCCATGATTAATCATTTTGTTATGGAAGCATCCTCAGGTAGTGTAGATTCAACTTTGTTCAAATGATGACCCCCGGGGATAGGGTCGGGCCACAATGCGGGATCAAAAATTTTACATAAGAACATATAGAAAAAATATTTCTTCTCAAGAACAGAAAAGCTATGTTTAGTCATATTGATATGGAAGCATCCTCAGGTAGTGTAGATTCAAGTTTGTTCAAATGATGACCCCTGGGATAGGGAGGAGCCACAATGGGGGATCAAATTTTTACAAAGGAATATATGGGAATTTTTCTTTTTAAATCTCAAGTACAACAAAGCCATTTGTTATATTGACATGGAAGCATCATCAGGTAGTTTAAAATTCAACCCCCCCCCCTCCCCCGGTTATCTTTTCAATACTGAACTGATTTGTGCTTTTGCCAAGCCAATGTGCTCAGGTGAGCGATGTGGCCCATGGGCCTCTTGTTGATGAGGCAGTTTCCTTTACCTTTGAGTAGTGGTAGCTATGTCACTGATATGTAGAACCTACAGGTGTCCTAGAATCATCTATGTGTTTTAAAGGTTGTTTGCATTGGAAGCAGGTCACTGGACAGAGCAAAAAGTTTCGCAGACAAGTTTGGAATAAACGCAGCTTATGGATCGTATGAGGATGTTGGCAATAATCCAGATGTTGGTAAGTGTGAATGTGTTGGCAATGATCCGGATGTTGGCAAGTGTGAATGTGTTGGCAATGATCCGGATGTTGGCAAGTGTGAATGTGTTGGCAATGATCCGGATGTTGGCAAGTGTGAATGTGTTGGCAATAATCCAGATGTTGGCAAGTGTGAATGTGTTGGCAATAATCCAGATGTTGGTAAGTGTGAATGTGTTGGCAATGATCCGGATGTTGGCAAGTGTGAATATGTTGGCAATAATCCAGATGTTGGTATGTGTCAATTTGTTGGCAATAACCCAGATGTTAGTAAGTGTGAATATGTTGGCAACAATCCAGATTTTGGTAAGTGTGAATACCAATTAAAATTAAGAACTATTCTCTGTAACCACTTAAATTAAGTTGCTATGTGTCTTTGTCGACATGGTAATAGCTGGAAAAATTTAAAAAATTGAGATTTTCAGTTACTCTGAATCTTTATTGAGTCTTAATAAAGACAAAAAAGCCATTCTCACAAAAAATTACACCTTGTTACTACTTCCGATATATATATTTAAGTTAGTGGTAACTATGGATACATTTGGCATAAAATCAATACTGCCAAATAATATTTTTAGGGCCTTGTAACACAGATAGCATAAAAAATCGGAATTTATTGCTACATTGTAGTGTAACCATGTAAAAACATTCCTATGATTTATAGTAATAATTCCTTGCTGCTTTGGGAATTAAGTCACCTTTTAATCAAGAAACCTAGTATCTTACACACCTTTAATTGTACTTATCTGATAGACCTAAAGTTGAATATCATACTGTATATTGACCACGTTTGATGAAGAAAATAACATTGTTGCTATGACCAAGAAGGGAAAGTGTTCATCTGTCAACCTCATAGCAATATTGAACCCTGTATGGTAGCTTCTTGACTTCAGTGAGAGATTGTGCGGTAACTAGAATTGAAGGTCAAGTTAAATGTTTATAAATATCAATCTAAAAAGATTTGGGAACATAGGTTCATAAACATGTGTCAAACTCTAAGTCTTATACTTGAATATTTCAGCTCATTTTAACACAATGTCTTTTAAATTTGACATATGTTCAAAAACAAAGATTTAAACGTATAACGATCATATCGTAAATATATAAAATTTATGTATTAAACATATGTTGAAAATAAGTTTAAAATATTTGTGGTCAGGTTGTCTTAACATAAAACAGTTGAATGAAATATGGAGATAACGAATAATAAATCAAGCTCAAAAGTCCATTGAACCAATACAAATCGGGAGCAGAGCAAACACGGACCTCTAAAAAAACATCAGAGGTGGGATAAAATGCCATGGAGGAGTAAGCATCCCCTGTCGACCGGTCACACCCGCTGTGTGCTCCTTGTCATGATCGGGCAAACGGAAAAATTCGTAGACAGTTCAGTGTGTAAATAATGGCCTAACAATGAGTGTGAAAATCGTTAGTCAGCATTCGGCTTAATGATAGATTTTATTTGCTGACAAGGTCATTGTATCGCCCATAGAACTTGCCAAATGTTGACTTCAAATAAGACTGTTGATTTCCTTGTTTCATCAACTTGTTTGTCAATAGCTTGTGTCGTTTTGGAAATTGTACGTACGTAGAGCGTGCTCTTGCGTATCGAATCAAATGGGAGACATAAACTCCATATGCAGGTGATAAGGGTATATTGCTACAAAAATAAGGAAAATTGACGATAGAAAGGTTGCGAGTCTTATTTTCTAATGGAATGATAAACTTAGTTATTGAGATATATATATATATATATATATATATATATATATATATATATATATATATATATATATATATATATATATATATATGTTCACAGACTAATAAAGCTTTTGATTTAGCTTCAAATACACTGAAATGAGTTCCCTAAGCATCCATAAACCTCTGTGATACTATTATTAACACATTTTCAAAATACCAAAAGTCAATTGATTTTCAAGATGACATAACACCGAGTCTTCATTATATAGGAATATGACGTAATATAACCCTAAATGTACATTAATTTGAAACATGCCAATATTACATTTCTTGCAAGAATTTGAAATATCAATTATTTAAGAATATTTTTTCATACATGCTTTTTTACGTTATATAGACATTGTGTATATTGGTGTGATACACATTTGCCATGTGGCACTGTCCAAGCAGATGCTTAGAGCAGGAAAGAACGTACTGTGTGAGAGACCAATGGCTGCTAACCTGGCTCAGGTGCTAGAGGTACAGCAGGTCGCCAGAGAATGCAAAAAGTTTTTCATGGAGGTATAGTTCTACCCTGTGTACATTTTATTAAAGAAGTTAATGGTAAATGTTCTAAATGGCCTAGCTGAATTTAAAAGCTAACCGTTAAGTCTCTTTGCATACATAATGTATACATGCCATCATTGACGAAACCTATACAATTGCATAATAGTAGTTCTTCCTGTGTATCTCTCTTTGCTAGCTTTCGTGTGTCTGGAATATATCTTTCACTCTGAAAAACTAGACGTATCCTGCTATGAATTCCACTTGGACCCTTAATTAAAAAGAAAAATAATATCTGTAGAAATATGCAAAAAAAAAAAAAAAAATAATAATAATAATAAAAATCAGCTTAGAAATTAATTCCACATACATGTAATTCAATGCAGATATTGAGTAGGTTTTTTTTTTAAAATCTACTTCAGGGACTTTGGAGTCCATGTTTTCCAGTTTATCGTAAGATCAAAGAAGAGGTGCGAGCTGGAAACTTGGGAGAAATATTGTGTGTGCAGGCTCAATTCTGTATTCCAATTATCGGATTCGAACGCATCGCAAATCCTGATTTGGGTGGAGGAGGGTTGCATGAAATTGGACTTGACACCATACAATTGTCTAACATGATTTTCAACAATGAAAAACCAGAAAAAATCACAGCCGATTCCAAGATGTCTGATCGGGGTATGTTATGTGTAGCATGTTTTGGGAACTGAGACGAACTTTCTCGATAATCATCTGTGAAACATGTATATTCTCGTCCAGGAAACAATTATTTAAAACAAAACAGTCTTCGAATCGGCTTATAATAATGTTTAAAAAAGCTGTAGCACTTTTCAGTATTATATATAGTTATATACCTTGGACTCAGATGCGTATATGGGCTATTCTATTCTTCATTTAAATCAGTTAACCATGAAAGCCATATTGTCATCGCAAGCCTCTTAGTAAATGATCATTTTTTTCCTCCTTTTTTGCAGGAGTTGATGAAGATGGGTGTATTATATTAACATATAAGAATGGCGGAAGGGCTGTGTTGTTTTATAGCACATTGATTGACGGGGGAAAGAATAACGCCACAATACACGGCACAAAAGGGAAAATAGAGGTAAAATATCGACAAGATCATGAAGGTGATTGGTTTAAACAACCAAGATCAGTCATTCCTTCATAAGCCAAACTTGCACTTATATGAATTTTGTGGCAATGGAATTGTTGTATAAATAGAATATATAATAAGGATTTTAAAAAATAAAATAGGATGTTTAACCCTAGATTGGTGAGAATTTCTGGTGCCCAATGGAAGCCACTCTGCCATCTGGAAAAGTTAGCAATGAAATACCCTGTGGTCCAGTGCCAAATAATTTTCCAAATACAGGAGGCCTGCGCTTTGAGGCTGATTGTGTCAAAGAATGTCTAGAAAATGGTAATCAGTTTATATCATTTAATATAAATCTAAAATGTACAAGTACCTTAATCCAGTCTGATAAAAACTTTGAAAAGTCAAAAAGAATGAATCATTGATTGACATAAGGCTTTTCTTCATCATTGTTAACATTCATACACAAGACATAAACAATGAACTAACATTTCAGTCTTGGATTGTTTTTGAGGAAATATACAGGATGAAAGGGTTGTACTTTCAAACACAAACTGTTTTGTCCACCTGCTTCATAGTATAAAGCATATCAATCTCTCTCTCTCTCTCTCTTTCTATATATATATATATATATATATATATATATATATATATATATATATATATATATATATATATATATATATATTTTTTATATATATATATATATATATATATATATATATATATATATATATATATATATATATATATATATATATATATATACTGCAGTATTATATATTATATATATCTTATCACTTTTTACTTAGGGAGACTTGAATGCAGTGAAATTTCTTTTGCCGACAGTCAGGCTCTTTACTGTGTTATTGACGAAGTTATGAAGAAAATTGGAATGAATGTAAAATGGTGATGGTGTTCATGTTTCAAAAATGGTGAGATTCTGAGATTTGGCTGTTATCATCTGTTCGCTCTCATATTCAAACTAATGACCATATATTGATGACGTGAAGCATATTGACTTATTTTATGTAAGAATGAGAAGGATGCTAAATAAAATCGTTTCAAAGAATGTATAAATGCCTAACATGTAATACATATGTAATATGTATCGTATATTTGATTTATTCGTAATTTTCACATACTATCATAACTTTATTTTATATGTTTTGTGGGCAGATTTTGAACTATAAAATTGGACAGACCTACTTGTACATTTGTTGTTTTTTGTTTGTTATACAATTATAATTCAATTTTTAACACCTCATCAATACAAGGTGAACCCTCCCCATCATCTATGAAATTGGTGCCATACATGAACGTGATGCAAGAAAACACGCGTACGTTGTATGTATTAAAAATATGGCATTCATATATATTATAAAATAAATATTTAAAAAATTATAAGAAAAAGAATTATATATTATATAAGAATTTAAAGAAATAATGTCGATTCAATTAAAGTCAAAACCAAATCTATAATAGAAATTATTAAAAGTACAAATACAGAGACGTGAAAAACACGTTGTGTATTGTGATCGTACCCTGCTGTCAAAAGTCTTGCTGTAAAGCATATATGGATGTGATTTGTGAGGTAAATTTTATAAACTCCATCTTCTTCAGGAATTAAGATAAACGTCTGACTGAACATGTCTAATGCAATCATTGGTATCATGGAGTATGGACCTTTGCATAGGGGTAATTTTGGATTTTGAAATAATATAACTGAAATTTTTACTTACATGGTAATTAATGTGAAATTCTTTCAATACGCTTAGTACTCTTTTGGTCCAACTTCAAAAATACTTTCTACACTAGTAGACATTATTCTGTATATCGATTTTTTTTTTAAATTTTGGCGAATTTCTAATAAAATTTACTTGAGATAGAATTTTATGTGAAATTCTTCTGAAGGTGATTACCTCTTACAGTTTTAGTCTGATTTCAATAAAACTTGCCACACAAGATAAAACTACGCTAAGAATCATGATAATATTTATTTGTGTTGCCTTAGTTTTAATTAAGTTCAATTGCTACTGTTTTATATACAAACCAGTAGAGCTATAGTAACTTCAGAGACTTCTGGTTGTGTATAGCAACATATGTAAGGCGGGGTCCTGCGTGTGATATGTGGCCTTTTCCAGATGAGTAAACAAGGCTGTATGATGTAAATTAACTAATACATTTAATTGAAGCTTCCTTTGTGATATTCTGTGTGAGAACGTGATTCCTATAACGTCATATTTTGCTGCGCTTAATATTAGTCAAGATTTAGGTCACATTGTAGAAACGACAATAACATATAAAAAAATACTCACTTCGTATGCGAACTCTTGCACATTAGAGACAGCTGCATTTTTAAGATTACTAGAGGCAAGGTAAATATTTATTCATTATTGTTTATTTTTGTAATATAAGATGCTTTTATTTTATATGACACTGAAAAGGGAAAACTGAGTTTAAGCTACAAATTTTAAACGCCCATATAGAATGTTTATAGAAGGAGGTGGTGGGGTTATATTTGTAATTCATTTTGATTCTGTCAGTTTGTCTAATTGAACTATTATGGAGATTGTTGAAGAAACTGTCGTCATTACCAAGACTACCATTATTCATATCTTATGGTATATGCTGATCATCTGTTTTGTGAAAAAAAATGTGAAATTTAAAATCAGGGGTCCCTTGATTAGTATTGGAGCCAAACCAGACTCCCTCAGTGAAAAATTAGAAATATGATTTCGATTTCTAAAAACATACTACCGGATCCGTTGTAAATGCCCAAAAGAGTACAGATTTATGACATTTATATTGTGGACGACAAAAATGAAGAATCTTTAAAAAAAAAACCCTTTGAGATCCCATATTAATTAATGTAATGTATAACACTGGAAACACTGTTAATTAAAAATGCAAAAAAGTTAAGGTGGTTTAACGGGCTATGCCGCTATATTATTACACAGGACAACACGACGTAATTTTACATGTGAATCAACGTTGCGTAACTTTGAAATGTATACAATATAAAATGGTCATTGTAATAACCCATTTTTAAAATAGTGACAAATTTAACTCGTTTCTACGAAGAAAAATTATTAGTTTCTCAATCTTGTAGGGTTTTTAAAAAAAAAAAAAAAAATACATAAGCATGAAATTGTCCATGCAGCAATCTGGGATGTCAATAAAGCATTTTACGCACAACAAGAAAACGTAATTTAGTAAAACAGTAGTACTGATATAATTACATGTATAATAATTTTGATATAATGTTGGTTTATTTTTAGTATCCATGGAGATAACATCTAGTAATTGTCACGCAGGTTACTGTTATACATACTGAAGACGTGGTATATGATTAAAATGTGAAATAAACTCAGAAAAGCAACAAAACAAACAACAAGCAAACAAAAACATTTGAGAAAACAAAGTTGAACAGAAAAGTTTATAGATTTATTACATAAAATGAAAACATTCACCCAATTTTTTAAAAATAATTATACTAGGGCTGTTGTGAACTGCAATATTGTCAAGAAAACGAAAATATCAATATATTATTTATATATATTTATATAATATTTACATATGTATACATGTATATATTAATATTTGCATATTTATTCAAAATAATTTGAACAAAAGCAATAGAGGAAAAGCAGTTAATACGTGTGCAAACTACCAGATTAGCTTTGTCTTTCAAGGTTATCATACTGACATTAAGCATGGCTCTTCATTGGGGAATTTGTGGAGCGGGTACCATCTCTAATGACTTTGTTTCGGCACTCTTGGCTCCTCCAAGTAATGTCCATGAGGTATTACAATTGTAGCACATGGTTGGCATAAAAACTAATTTTTAATGACTGTGCATTTCAATGGGGTACAGTATTCAAAAAGTTGTGTAAATTAAAATTGATTAAAAAACTCACTTTCCATATCAAAATTTTATACGATAATTTTAAAGTCATTAAATATTCATGGTTTGCCTGTAAATTGAATCTCCTTTTTTATTATATAATGAAAAGCATTAGAAAGATAATATTTATAGTTTATACCCCTGTAATTAGATAATTTTTTTTTTAATTTCATGGATTGTCTTAATTAGGTTGTTTGCATAGGGGCAAGATCACTCGAAAGAGCACAACTTTTTGCAGACAAATTTGGAATAAAGACGGCATATGGATCTTATGAGGAGGTTGCCAATGATCCAGATGTCGGTAAGTGTTAATGTGTTGCCAATGATCCAGATGTCAGTAAGAGAGAAAGTGTTCCTAATGATCCAGATGTCAGTAAGTGTGAATGTGTTGCCATTGATCCACATGTTAGTAAGTGTGAATGTGTTGTTGGTATATGTGAATGTGTTGCCAATGATCCAGATGTCAGTAAGTGTGAATTTGTTAAACAATAAAATGCTTTCTTTGGTTGTTAGTACAGGAATTAATGTCGCAGCTGTTGCAGAAAAAAATACATAACTCGCGTAAGCGGGTTATGTGAATTTTTTCTGCAATAGCTGCGATGTTAATTCCTGCACTAACAAAGAAAGAAAGACATTTTATTGTTTATATTCATATTTTTAAAAAGAACATGCAAAGTAAATTAAATATGTTAAATATTGTATTATAGATGTATATGTCATTGTATGCATAATTGATAGAACAGCCGTTCCTTAAGAAACCTATGCAGGTGGCTTGCTAAGAGTTGTTTATGGACTGATTAACAGCAATGGTTTTTATGGGAAATAAAGGAAATAATATTCAGTGTATGTAAATATTTGCCAATGATCCAGATGTCGGTAAATGTGAATGCTGTAAGTCATTTAAAGTGTTGTGCTCGTTCTTACAAAGTTACAATTCTTGAGTAACAACTTCTCAAGAAGTTACAATTCTTGAGTATTGAATAATTAGTAATCTCTTTCCCACATTCATGTGCTGCAATCATGAGAATGTTTCCTGAGGGATATGTATTGTAAACAAACATCTTACCTATAGAAATTCATCAACTACATCATGTACATGTAAACATGGATATACATGGTCCAGTTGTGCATACTCTATTTTAATGGTTTCAGAGAATATATATGACCTGGTCGTTATCTTTTATATACTCTTCTAAGGCTTGCAATTTACAGTCATGGTACGTGACATAAATTCTCTTGAAATATTTTTTGAAAATTCAAATGTTTAATGTCCATTAAGATTGATATGTTGAAAACTATAGGATAATAACCACAAACAAAATTAGATATAGGTGAATACAGTTCACCTGGATTATGTTCAGTTCTAAAACTGATGACTTTCAGGACCTTTGATGTACCGGTGTCATGAAAAAAGATGATCGACGCATAATAATATGCTGAATTTCGAATTCACATTTTTGATATAGTGTACATTTATATACCTGGTATACATTTAACATTTATATACTTGTAAAAATGCATGTATTTGTTTATGTATACTACTTATGTATTATTTGTAGACATTGTGTATATTGGTGTGATACACATTTACCATGTGGCACTGTCCAAGCAGATGTTAAGAGCTGGGAAGAATGTTCTCTGTGAGAAACCAGTAGCAGCCAGTCTGTCTCAGATTCTGGAGGTCCAGCAGGTGGCTAAAGAGTGCAAAAAGTTCTTCATGGAGGTACATAAGACCTAGGTCAGAAAATATCAAAGTAGTCAATTTCATTTCCGCAAAATTTAAATACTACTAAAATAAGTTCTGAACCCAAACGTCGAGTGTCATGCAATTTATGTTTCTTTCTATTTACTATGTTCTTTTTGTGATCATTGATCCAATGGAATTTAATGTAATTTTTCTCATTAATCCGCAGGCAGTATGGACAAGATGCTTTCCAGTTTACCGCAAAATTAAAGAAGAGGTGCGGGCTGGAAATTTGGGAGACATCAAGCATGTTCAAGCTCAGATTTGTATTCCACTTAGCCAAGTAAATCGAATCACAGACCCTGAATTAGGAGGAGGGGGGTTATATGACATTGGTGTTTACACAATTCAGTTGGCCACCATGATTTTTAACAATCAAACCCCAGAAAAAATTACAGCTGATGCAACACTGTCGGATCAAGGTTGGCCCCTCATTCCTGAATTAATGTAATATGACTCGCAGTAGTAATGTTTGTATAATGTACCTTATACTAATATACCCCCAAACCTAGACAGTTATTTCTTAAATCAATGCAACTGTTTTGCAGGAGTTGATACAGATGGATGCATTACATTAACGTACAAGAATGGTGGGCGAGCCGTGTTAGTTTATAGCACATTGTTTCAAGCAGGAAAGAACAACACAGCCACAATATATGGTACCAAGGGAAAAATAGAGGTGATAGCAAGAGAACATTGTATTTATGAAAATGATTTTTTTCTATTTATGTAAAAATGACAGGAAAATATCATTTTCTTCGAAAGATATTGGTATATTCATAGATATTTTTTATGAAACTTCTGTGAAATGCATATTAGTGAATCAGTTTTTTTTATATATTTTATAAATTCTAAATGGCAAAAATATAGATAGGTGCAAATTTCTGGTGTCCTTTGGAAGCCACTCTACCATCTGGTAAAATTAGCAATGAAATAGCCAATGGTCCAGTTCCATATAATTTTCCCTATAGTGGTGGTCTGAGATTTGAGGCGGACTGTGTCAAACGATCTCTTGAAGCAGGTAATCTATTGTTAACTCCGACACTTTGCAACAATATTTGATCTGATGACATTCTTTGAACAATTTTGGACAATAAAATTCGATTATACAATCATGTATATGGTTCAGTCTATTTGCAAATCACAACTCATATAAACAAATTTACATGGGATGTACATGTGTATATGATTTTGGACAATTTATATACCGACAAAGTTACTTCTTTCTTTTCTTTTTTGTAACAGGCCATATTTTCTTATCTCAATTTTCCTTACCACTCTGAATTTAGGGAGACTTGAATGTAGTGAAGTGTCGTCTGCTGACAGTCAAGCTATTTACCAAATTGTTGATGAAGTTGTGAAGCAGATCGGCATGAATGCCAAATGGTGAACAATGCATGCATTTTAAAAAGGGTACAGTATCTAACTAGTAAAATGTTTCATGACACATGCTTAAATTGGTGGTTCAACTTTTGAATTATTCCATGATAGGTTTCTTTTTTGACAAAGTAATAAATGTTCTATTTTTAATCATTTTAAGACATTTTGTTTTTTGCAAAGTAATAAAAGTTAATGGTTTGCATGTGAATTACATGTATATCTCACTTTTTTTCATCTTTTTAATAGGTGATTTCAGCAAGGCATCAAAAATTATTCTACATTAATGGGAACCAGCTTTGTTAACCACAAACTACATAGTGGACAGATAAATGCTAACGCGTGATGCTTTGAGGCTTTTATACACTAGAAAGTGTAATAATATCTTATCAGTTAATTTCATTTAACATGGATACCTCATGTACAACAACTTACTTGATTTGATCTCTTTTTAAATATTTATATAAAGTTGAATATTTAAAACATATTTTGTATGTATATATTGTAGACAGGTTTAAAATTGATCAGGTCCGCTTGTTTGCTTCTATTCCGCGTAACATTAACATCTGTAATAATTTCTATGGAAATCGTCTTAATAAAAAAAACCCAGAATATTAATACATGTGCCTCTTTGATTTAAAATTTTTTAAAAAATGGGAAGGTAGTGTACAGTTTGGTCCATCTTCCAAAAATTTTCAATCAACAGCATCTAGCAAAGAATATTCTTACCTATTGATGAAGACATTCATTTACTTCAGTAAATAAATGTATTCATCAATAACTGCCTTGTGTTGATAATATTCATGTTGTGATTATACTTCTCCATGATAATATCTTGACATGATATGCTGGTACTTTATAATTATATGCTGATACTTCTTCATAATAAAGTGAGACTTTGTCATTATATGCGGGTACTTCATATGCCGATATTTCTTCATAATATGGTGATACATTGACATTATATATGCTAATACTTCATCATTGTATCTTCAGTATTTGGCGATTCTTTAGAATGTAATGATTATTGTCATTTTCTGATGAAATGTATTATATTTTGGTGAAAATTACTTCTAAGAGAGAAAAACTGTATCGGAGAAACGGGTTACGACATGTTTAGGAATATTATGAAAGGATAAAAATAAGGCCAAACTTTGTTTGTATGCTGTCCGTCCAAAGTTTGAAGCTTTTGGTATTTTAAAAGAGAGTCTAGGTGATGAAACTTAGAATCGGGTTAAACAAAAAAGCCCTATCATAAATTTAATTCGATACATGCATTTTAAAAAAGAAAAACGTGACAATGAAGGCTTGAAATGCTATTTACTACATGTACCGAAAATTTTGCGAGATTAAATCTTTAAAAAAATAAAAATAAATTCCACTTGTTAATAAAAAGGGGATGATTGGCATAAAAAATGACATACAGTGTATTACATCAGGAGAATTGAATTCTATTATCGACATTTGAGGAGATTGCTAGTTAAAGATGAAATATCTTTCTCCGTTCGTTTGCACAAAAAATTTATCCACTACTGAAGTTGACCTTTTTGCCGATAAACTTCATAATATCTTTATACGAGGAACATTGACCATAAAATGTTCCATAAAGTTATTTTGGAGTCTTGACTACACTACCATGCATATGCATGAAATGTTGTGTGGATCCAAGGTCTGATTTGAGTTTTAAATGTTATTGCTTTTTTTTTTTTTACAAGAGTAGCTCATACAATACAGTGAGTAATAGATTTAAAAAAAAGTGCTTGACCCTGGATTACCATCTGAGTTCTGGTTTTATTTAAAAAGAACTTCATTTTTTTCATTACATGATTATATTTAGTAATATATTGGATAGACAACGTTTTTAAATTATGTACCTATGGTAATGACAATTGATCGTGAAATCATTCTACTTCCATTACATCAAGCCAATAGAATCAACTAATTAAATAAAAAAAATAATGCAGGTCAAAAAATAATTTAAGATTTAATAAAGTTAAATCTAATAAACATATATCACAGATTAGCTTCTTATTTCAGATGCATGTAACAGTTAGATATGTTCATTTAATTCCTTCGGAAAATCTTCCGGATTCTCTGCAACAGTCCAACTTTCTCAATATCCTTGGATTTTCCTTTTTTCTGAAAATTATATCAAATATTCAAATGCAATATTCGTTTACAGATAAGTTCTTCTAAAACAAATGATTTATATCTTAGGTATTCGGGAACTTGTACTCACTGAGCAACAACATGCTCCACAAAGAAAGAGGCGCATCAGAGGGTGTCTCGTCAAATAATCGCTTTCTACGTCAGTTTCCGACTTTGATTCCTGGATGTGGGACTCAATAATCTGTTAAAAAGAAATATAAATCTTATGGAAATCTTAAATAACAAAATTCTATTTATTGGAAAGACATCATTTGTTTGTTTGTTTGTTTAGTTTAGTTTTCTTTTTTTGTGGTAAGATAAATCTAACCCCCCCCCCCCCCCCACCAAAAACTAAAAGCAACCCCCCCCCCCCAAAAAAAATAAAAAATACAAAATCGTCATCCATGTTGTGATTGTCCTCTCTGATATTCAAAACATTTTAATATATGAAATGGGAACTAAATATTGTTACATACGGACAACAAAAGAACATTTTTAGAGATCGCCTAAATTAGCTTTTTTTGGTTTTATTCACATTGCCTTTGTACGAGAATTCATGACACAAATCAACAAAAGCACAAGGTATTACTATTGAATAAACCTTACAATTCATTTTAAACCACATCAACATCAATGTTCAGAACATAATCTCAGTCTAGTCATAAAATCCATGCAAAAATAATTGAGAGGAAAAAAATCATATTCTTACTTCCGTTGAAAGAAGAGGAATTTCTGTGTCTATGATTTCCAGTCCAGGTATTTTCCTGTAACAGAGATCAAATGCGTTCATTTCAAAATTAAGAATGCAAGCTATTGAATTATGGAAAATCAAATATGCCACATCTTAAAACTTTGTGTAAGTTAAAATTTCATCCTTACATTTTTCGATTTTCGGGGCCGCTGCATTTAGAAGTTTTTGCACCATTGGTGCTGCATGTAGCAGTTTGTCCATCCCACATGGTGGTTTGAGAATATGAGCTCTGTAATTAGACACAGATAGGTAAATAAACATATTTTATCCAGTTTAATCATTTCACATCTTTTACGAAAGATTAAAAAAAAAAATTATCTAACCTGTGACTCTTGGGGTATTGCGGCACCACATTCTATCCTACTTGATTGTGTTTCAGCTGTGCTTATCGCCGGTGGTCTATCGTCTTCGTCCCATTCACGGGGAAGGTACTGAGCATGAATCTCACCAACTACAATTCCAGATTTGGCATCAAAGATGTGTACCAGTCTCTCCATACCCTGTATCACAGAATTGTCAATTCGGGACGCCTCGTCCGTTTTCTCAGGGGACGCATTACTGTTAGCTTCAGTCTCTTGAATATCTTTTTCTCCATAAGGCAATAAGTGAGAATTTCTTTGTTTTGGACATATATTTGTGTCTAAGTCCTTATAGTCGTTGGCTTCATTTGATAACTTTGGGTCATAGAAGCCTTTGCTTTCTTTCTTTAAAGGAAATGCAGGTATCTAAAACCAAGTTAAAACAGAATAAGCATACTATGGAATAACTTTTATGAAAGACTAAGTTTCAGCATAACCCCATCAGCCTAACCCTAATCCTCTTTGAATGCTAACCCTAGCCCAACAGGAAACCTAAAGCTAACCCCAACCCAAAGACTAGCTCTCATGCCAGAGAGAACACTCTCACCCTAACCCCTAAGTATATGAATATAACTATTGTAACATATTTATTTACATTTTTTTTCTACCTTAGAATTGGCCAATTCTGCAGTAGAAGATCCCGCTGCTTCGACAACAGTACTCTGGCCTAGATGCTCCTGAGGCGGGACATCATTATTCTGAAATTTACGATTTATATTTTTATAATTTCATAAATATGAGAGAGAGAGAAAGATATTATACTTTAAAAAACATATTTACTTTTGCATTCCAAGAAAGAAAACTTTTAACATGTACGTGATTTTGTTTGCCAGGAACCTGTTTCATAAATGGTATTTTGCGCTGAATATAAACAATACATAATCAAATATATGCAATATGTTGATTACTGACATATAAATACCTTTAACTTCTCTTCTTGTTCCACCATATCTGCCCAATTGTATGGGAAAGCTAATATTGCCAATTTGGCCTCCTGAAAAGGTACCGTAAAATTTATATGACATTGGCTAATCTGTCCCTAATGTACTGTGTGAAATCAAAACTAAACTGAAATTTCATTATATGAAGTTAAAAACACCTACCATACTGGTCACGGGGTCCTCTCCAAAATCCAAGATCTCGCTCTATAAAATCAAGACACGGATAAATTAGAAACTAGTTGGAACCATTAGATGAAATCTTAATAAAATTAGGTTTATTGAAAGTGTATCAAAGCATTTTGAACATTTATAAACTGAATCATTCCAGTGTATCAATAAGTTTTGTTCCCTGATATTGCAGACAATACCTATAAATTGATCGTATTTTGATTAAATTTTGAAGAAAACACCCGATTTTACTTCATATAAAAGACAGTGATTTGAAACATGAATAGTGGCACACTCATGTCACTTAAGAATTGTAAAAGTTGTGCTCCTGTGCGAATAGTACTTTGTATTGATAGAAGATAATAAAAATCCCTCCTGTAACCACAACTTATTTTATTTAATGAGTTTGAAATCACAGTTGATAAAAATTATTTTATAGCCTATTATTTTATGTAATTTTGATTTATTAAAAGCATTTATTTTCGTTCAATATTAACATGAAATACTGTTTTAAATTATATTACAATAAATCCCTGTATCCTAAAATTTCTTCAAATATTTAGAGTGCATATTTTGTCAAGTTTTTAGTGGACTCTCCTAACGCTATTGTCAGGATAATTTTGTATTAATTAAAAAAATGATTGGAGAGAAATGCACATATTATAACTAGTGAATTATGCATATATGTTGCTGAACTTTTTTCAAAGTTGCTACTCACCTGACTTTGGGTATCCATTGTACTTCCAAGCACAGATTTTTTTTCTTTGATTAGACGACAACACTATTCCACCATTCGTTGCCAATAAGCTAAAGTTTACTGACGTCATAATTGTTATTGTGACGTTGCAATTGTCATGTGATGAATATCTGCTCTCTTCAAATTTTGCCTCCTAAGTTAATTTTTGAAATTACATTTTGTCAAGATTCTGTAAAAATAATTAAATTTTCATGAATTTCACTCAGTCCGATACATCGAAATAAGATGCACTTGTATATTATTTTAGAATCTGTATTTATTTTCTTTGCGCCAAGAAAGACAAATAATTGAATAAATAAAAAAAATAATGCCTTTTCATTTTTTTTTTATATAAATCTGAACACAAGGTTAGACTAAATTATTTTAAATGTAAATTTAGATTTTCACTGCGGGTTGAAAAAGAGTACTTTTTCCTGTATATTTTTACTTAACATGTATAACTCTGGGCAGGCGATATTAAATTTAAAAAAAATTGTTCTGTTTGTTTGTTTGTTTGCTTGTTTTTGGGGTGGGGGGATGGGGATGGAGGGCTTTTCAATCTTGTACCATGCCAGAAAATTCTAATTATTTTTACCGGTCTAGATTTAGAGAGAATTGGTACATTTGAAACCTGTGAACAGTTTCTAGTGTTGAATTAATTATAACTATCATAAATTAAATTCATATATGCAATGTAAGAAGTAAAACAGGACAAGGATTGCATGGACTGCTATTTAATAGCGAAAATCGCTATTTTTCAATATTAATTAATTCTATATAAAATTAAAATAAATTCCACCTATAAAATAGAAGAAGAATACCTCATAGCAATAAAAAGGGGAACTGAATGTCTTTATTGACACCTAAGAAAAAATTTCCGGTAAAATTTATATTTTACGTCTCTGTTCATCTGTACAGAATTTTAGTCACTACCCAAGTTGACCTTCGTGCAAATTTATAAAATTCATAATTTTCTAGGTACATGTATATGGAACAATGAAAATTAAACTTTCTAGAAAGTTTTTTTTACCTGGTCTTGACTACAAAATTTGCATAATTTTTTCAATACAGAAAAACTTGTTGAAAAAAGTTGTTTAAATTTCTCTATATTTGGTCTGCATATGAGATATTTTGAAATATATTTTAACCTTGCCTCTTTAATTTCTTTTTGTGTGCATTCAAAAACATAATGAAATTCATCACCAATCTTAATAAGATCACATAAAGTACAAATCCTTTGTTCTCTTGGGAGACCATTCCATCTCCCAGTTTCAATAGAGAGTTTAAAATTGTTGCATCTAAAGTTAAAAATTTTCGAGGCATATTAACAAGATATCTTTCTGCTTCAAGTATTTTGAGTTAAAGTGCGCAATAATTCAGAATTGAGGATAATCATTTATGAAGTATATGAAGAGAATTTATCTGCCAATCGATCAAGAAGAATATTGATATCTTCAGATAATTAAAGATACATCTTCAGTTATTTGAGTTTATATTAATTCGGTGCTTCATATTAAAAGCAAAACAATTTAAATGCTTCCGATTGATGCTCTGCATTTACTTCAGTGGTACTCTTATTTTAGCCCTTTTCATGCTATCTTTCCCTTACGAATTTTTTTCAGCTACCATAACAACGTAATTACTCTCAGAAAGAGAAATTTTCGGCTTCTGGCAATTTGTACCAACATAGCAAAACGTTTAAGTTACATGAATTTTTTTTTATGCAAGGGACGAGATAAAAACTTCAAGACTGAAAAAAAACCCACAACTAAAATCAGAAAGCTTTCATCCAAAACGTCTTCTTCCCTTCAAGACAATGTGACGAATGTTGATTCAATTTCAAATATAAAATATTAAAATTTGTTACACTGTTAATAACTTATATTTCTTTTGTTTATTCATATAATTTAAAAAAAGAAAACATTTAAAATACTAGTAACATTAAGTATCGCCGGGGTTATTTTGTGTATTTATGATGTTGGACAACAAAAACTTCTTGGACTCTTTATTCCCCCTCCCCTAAGTAGTTGAATTTGCCTTTTTTCAACACAGCGAATTTTGATCTCATCCCTAGCTAACAGATTAATATAATTTCATAGATATTTTGGACTCTCTGTGGGACTGAGATAACATATGCTTATACTCGTGTCTTACCGAAATGTCAGTCTCACCAATGCGTACTGCCTCGCATAATGCGTTAGATGTGGGTAAAAAAAAATTTACAGAGTGCAGTCCGTACACTCAACTTTTCCAAAAAGATTTCCAAAAAGGATTATATAGTAAATAACATCTTCTGGTATCTTGCACAAATGCCTGGTAAGGTACCTTAATTTTTGAGAGGAAACTTGTTAAAGTAGCAATACTTCAATCAATAACAAATTCTTGGAAAAAAATTATATTATTAAGGTCGTCTGACCTTAACAGGCTAATCTAGTGTAATCTCGTCTGCGAAAATGCTAAAGCAGCCTTGATCAACACAAATGATATCCGGTTAAGAATTCATTTCTTACTTCCCTCCAAATTCCCTTAAACATAAAGAAGACGATCGTATTCTTACAACAGAATTAAACACATTCTCCAAATTTCTTTATTTATATTATTGAATTTCAGCACAATTAAACTGTCTCTTCCTTCCGATCAATGACAATTTTGATTCTTTCGATCAACCACACTCTGCATTTCTACATTTACTTTGACTTTATTTGATGTGTATTTATTGTACAATCGTTACAAAATCTGGGGGGAATGTGGCGTGGTTATATATAGTTTGTCGCATGAAAACGAATTTGATACAGAACGAATTGTTTTAAAAAAAACAAACACTTGTCATAGTTTCGTATTTTCGTTTTTTAAACAAAGTTCTTTTTACATAGAAGGTATTCTGTAAAGAAATCTTTTTTAAAATAAATAAGACAATGAACATAATTAAAAATGCAAATCGAATTGATGTGTTCGAAAATATTCCCTTGACCCACATAGCAACGTTGAATATGGCGGATATTTGAAGACGCTTACAAGAACTGCTTGTTTATTCTGTGTAAAGGGTAATACCTGCGGAGTAATTTAGTTTTTCAAGAAAATAAATAAACACAAAATGGCCTCTGCAAGTTCTACAGCAGAGGCTCGAGAAAGATACGAATTAAAGCAGAGAGCAGTAAAGTATTACGATCAAAATGGTGTACCAAAGAAAATGGAAGAAGTATTAAATTCTATGTTCTATGACAATCCAAACGATGTTTACGGACATTTGGTACGTACTTTTTACAAAACTTTGCCTTGAACGTAAAAAAGATTTAGTGTTGATATAATTAAAGAATGTATATAATAATTCACACTTTCAATTTGTTTTTATTGTAGGCAAACTACTTTGCAGAATTTGCGAAGACACCTCTCATATCACAGGTACTATTCAAGGGTGAATCTGGTAGGAGATTGTGGTTTTTAGTGCTACAGAATTTGCTTTTGATCATAGTTACTTACAAAGGCTTAAAACGACTTTGTGACACCCCCACTCCACCCTTGCACACACCACCATTTTATATTAGAAGTAGACCCCCTCCTAAGATTGAATCTGGGTGGTTTCACCCCTACTACCTGTTCGTGCTGAGTGGTTTCGGGGCGTTTCCCTGTTCACCCTGAGTGGATTCGCCCCGAGTGGTTTTCTTCAATCATACAGTGTACTTGATGTTTATTTAAACAAACGTCGTTTTATCACTGAGTTTAGATTAACATAATTATTGAGCACTTTAATAATTGAATTTAATTATGGTTGTGGATCAATACTAAATAATTATTTCTGATTTTAACGACAGATAATATGAACTTTTCTTCAAAAAATCATGTGAAAAAACAACTTAATTCACATGTATGTAAAATATACAAGTTTAGTTCAATTGTTTCAATTTATAATTTTATTCCAACAATCTCCATCTTTTTCTCAAATTTTGATTGAAGTAAATTTACTTTATTAAAATCGTAATCAAATAGGTGTAACGAATAGATCGCTTTAGATACAATAAAAACATTTCCCATAACACACACGCAAAAACCATAAAACATTGAAAATTTGTCATAGCAAACTGCCAAAATACACACAGGTATAATTGGGGTGAAACCACTCAGAGCGAACATGTAATTAGGGCGAACCCACCCGTTACCCTAAGAATTTGAAGTAAAGACGGTTTCTTGCTGTCTTAGTTAGGCCTACCTTATCATTATGCTACCTCTCAACTCATAACATGGCATATGAGGGTATGATTTGGCAAAAAGGCATTTTTTGACATAACTTGTTTTTTTTTCATTTTACAAATTTTATCTTCCATATTCCATTATAGGTATCAGCAAGACATGGTTTTGATAGCAAAGGACAGACAACAATTCAAGCAGACATGTACTGTACATTAAGAAATAATAAAAAGGTATAGTGGTTTTGATTGATATAATGAGATCTGCATAAAATATTTTCCTGCATTATATGCTTTTAAAATATGCAAAAGTTATGAGCAAATTTTTGGATATTATTTTGGTATTTTTTGTAGCTGGCTGCAACAGTTCTGAATTCATCTACAAACAGTTCCTTACCCGAGAACACAAAGCCTGAGGAACGGGAGGAGGAGGACAAGTCTAGAGAGGCCAGTGTAGAGGCAGCTATTGCTCTACTTAATGGAGACATCAACAACAGATTGCAGGGAGTGGACCCAGCCCTGCAGTCAGATGTAGATAACATACTAACGTAATTATCTGTTTTTATACGTAGACAGATTGTGGGGATACTGCATATTATTTCTTAGTTGTAGACTCCGATAAAAGAAGCTACATGTATGCAAGCTATCGTTCTTGAATTTTTAATTCTGAAAGATTTAATGGCAAAAGATGAAGTAGCATTTAGAGCCAATGTATTTTCCTGTAGACATATTTAAGAGTAATTATTTTTCACAATAATTTTTCCAGAAAGTATACTAGTATGAAAATAACAAGTTATGTTAAATGTTTCAGTAACTTTGCTTGCTCTGCAGGAAGCTCTATGAAGAACTAAAAGCTGAAGAGGAGGAAAGGTTGGCCAAGGAAGCAGCTGAACTAGCGGCGTCAGGAGGGGACAGGGCAACTCCTGTCAAGGAGGAGGATACTGCTAGCACAAGTGGCAAGAAAGGAGGAAAATCATCAGCGAAGTATGTAATTTATCTTTCTACATAGGTGGATCCAAATACTGTTCAGTGTATTTCACTTCAAGATTATAAAGTTCATGTTTTTTTCTTAAACTGATGAATTTTGTAATATTTGTAATCAGGAGCAGTGAACAGTAAGTATAGTGTTGAATGAGTGTACCCGACAACATAAGACAAGTAAAACTGAAGGAGTTATATTTGTACTTCATTTTGGAAATCCTGGAATATGAAACATACAATAAGGCATATAAATGTGCATATGTTTCTGTACTTATTTATACTGCCCAGAAAAAGTCCAAAGTTATGCCACAATCATTTAATAACATTTTTTTTGTGATCACATTCATAAAAAGCAGCAGCATTTGTGACCTTTGAATTTTGATGAGACATTACTGCTGTGTTGACTTTGTAGTGGATGCTAATAAGCCATCATGCTTGTGAATTTTGCATCAGCTTCTTCTTTGATTGCAGGGAATAAAAATGGACAAAGTATATCATAGCTTTATATTTTTGGATTAAAATGGTAAAATGATATTTGTGTCAACAGAATAATATTAGTTACCAAACAATGCTTAAGTGATGGAAATACATAATTTCTGATGGGAGTAAGTTTGTTTTCAATCAGTAACAGCATTGCTGGTGATCTTGATTTCTTGTAAGTACATGTATGGTTGGTCATGTTATTAGGACGTAGGACCTTGAAATTGTATAACAGTATATGTTTGTCATTGTGCTGCTTACAGCTGAAAATGAAATTGAATTTCTGTTGCAAGTTACAAATTAACAATATGTCTTATAGAAAAAATGATTGTAACACAGACAGAAAGACAGGTTTTGCCATTTCAATGATTGTAGCAAATTTTAATGTTTCTCTTGATGATGTTGGTTAAATGTTCTAGCTTGTAGTCAAAAGATATACCCACTTTAATTGGCAAGAAATAAATAACTGGGAGATTCACAACCTTTTTCTCCTGAATATTTCTTGCAGTGAACAGCCATTTATTCATGTATTGATGTGGAGTGTTTACTCAGATTTATTAGTTGTGGATGGATGAACCTTGAATAAATGAAACTAGAGAGACATAATTGTGCAAAAAACTGCACAAAAATATTAGTTTTACAAATATGTTTTTCCCATTTTGATTCGCATGTCACAAAGTTGACTTTGAATTCTATATGAATGCTATAGGACCAATTATCTAACATCAAAGAGTGAAATATTTAATATTGATGCACCACAGTTATAAGCTACAATCATTGAAAATGCAGGGCTATATCAGCACTGTGCTAAGTGAAAAATGTGTAAATCTGTCGTTAAATGATTTTCATAATATGAATTAAATACACTGTAAGTCTTCTGCCTCTGAACTTGTGATATAGTAAATGTAACAACAAATTTTATGTGATTGTAATTCTATAGGAATAACCCTGTTTCCAGTAAGAAGTGAGTGGTATCACACATTCTAAATTCTGGTGGTGATGGGTTTATCTATGTGGATATAGACTAGTCTACAGTACATTTAATATTAACACATTTCAAGCTTTTAACAAGCTTTGTCCACAGCAAAAAGACTTTGAGATACTTTTAAAAGATTCAGTGATACTTAAGACATTTGTAAGAAGAAGTAAGTTTTGAATTTTTACTGGACATTTCATAAGGTCTGTCCATACATTTATAATCCTTTTCTGAATTGAAGTCCTCATGTGTATAAAAAAAAACATATACTGTATTTGACTACATATTTATTTCTACATGTATAATCCATTTACATCTATATTTTTTTTATTGCATGAATTAAATATATAAGGAATTTTTAGCTGAATTTGAATGACATTTAGTAATATGTTCAAATGACATATATATATACCATTATATTTCACAATAAAGACTTTTAGGTTTTAAATTATTTGAGCAATATTTGTGCATGCCACCACTTTATATAGATCATTTGGTAACAGCAAAGGCATACAGTTGGATGCCTCACTGTAGCATAAAATGAAATAAGTTTATTTGATTTAAATCATATATTCACATAAAAAAAAAATCAGAAATGAGAATGGTATCACTCTGTGTATTTCATATTCTCCCAGGAAGTGTATTCTCTTCAGAGAATTAGACAGACTTTTCTATACATCCACATGTAGGTTATATGCCTATATCCACTTCTCTAGAAAGAATATATATATGTATCTGAAGGGTCTGATAATTTTAAATAATTCTGTGCTAAAAATATTCATGAACCATGAAGTTATACACTTCCATAATGAAAAATAAATTTTCAGCATGGGTCAATATACATGTACCTTTTTTAAAAAAAAAAAAAAACAACCTTTTTTTTTAAAAAAAAAACCAACAACACATATATGAATTATTTAAAATTAATTTGACATTTTTTTTTGTCATGGAAGGAAGGGAAAGAGTGCACCAGTTGTAGTGATTCCAGATGAACCGAAAGAAAAACTTCTTCCTGGTGCTGGATCGTTGTGTGTAGCAAGCCGAGCAGCCTGTACAGCTGCTGCAACGGTCAGAGATGTTCCACTGTATCAGCATATTGCTGCCCTCAGATTTGGAGAGGTAAGACAAGAGTGGGGGGTCACCATATAGAGTATGATCTTAGGTTCAAAGCTTTTGCAATTAGGTTCTTCAAAGGTAGCATTCTAAATCTGTGTTGGCAATTTTTGTGATTTAAACTGCAATATACTGTACATGTACCTAATATTGTGTATTCAAAATTTAGCGAAATCACTGGGTATAGAGTTGTTGGCGTAATCATGAATGAGTGCTACACATGTCCGTGCCGTGTATTGTATATATGAATTATTTCTTAGCTGTATTCATAAATTAGTGCATTGTTGACTGCACCAAAGCCGCTAAAATATGAAGCCCGCTTTTTTAAGTACACATACATTACCTATGATGTAGAATTTGAGTATTCTATGTTTTGCAATACAATGACAAAACCTCAAAATTTGGACCCATTATACAATATTTAAGTGCATATTCTGACAAATCTGTGAATTTACTAGCCAAAAAAATGTATTTTTATGATGAATTCTAATTCTAGAAAATCATGAAAATTTTCTCCCTCCTCTTTCTCTCTCAAAAAGAGATATGAGAACATGATTAATTTAGCATTTCTACTATATTTCCTATTTTTCTTTTTACCAAATAATATATACCATTTTTTTTTAATCATAAAGATTCCCAAGGATATGCGAATTCCTATTCCAATGGTAACTATTATTCAAAGTGGTCGGTCAGCTCCAGGAAAACTAAATTGTGTCAAAGAATTCATGGTGGTCCCAAAACCTGGAATGCCTATTTCTGAGGTAAATTTTTATACATGGGATAAGGAAAATTTACCGAGACCACAGTCGTGGGTCAAAGATTTGTTAACAAATTCATCAAGTTAAATTTTTACATCCAACAAATGTTATTTGAATATCTCTTTTTCAGAGTCTTAGGTACTGCCAGAAAATCTACAGCTATGTGACCAAAAATTTTGTAAACAAAAGTGGGGTAAGTGATTTGATTTATCTGCTATATCTTTCAGTAAATAAATTATTTTTATTCAAATGGGAGCTTGCTTGGTTGTCTTTGTATACACTAGCTGCTTGCTGTGCATATGTAGAGGAAGTCTTTTGTTTTTATGAGTCTTTACTGGTCATGTTTTTTTTTTATCTAAGGTTATGTGCTGTATTTGGTTTATATCTGCTGTAGAGTCTAGACATATACTGATGGAGTGGAAAGGGATTTGAGATTCAGTAGTTTTTTTTTTTTGCTCATCTGCCTTCAATTTTCATGTTGATAATAAGAAATCAAAAGTAAATCCAAGGAAAAATGGGCCAAGAATTGTCCATTTTGTAAAAGTGTTTCATTGATAAAAATGTTTGATTTTCCAATGTTGTTTTCAGATGGCTGCCCAGTATGGGAATGACATTGGGGCTCTGTGTCCCTCCTACGACAAACCTGAACAAGGATTAGATATCCTACAGGATGCCATCACCAGCCTAGAACTAACACCAGGGGAGGATTTCTTCATAGCTCTCAATCTCGCCGGCAAAGAAATATTTGACTATGTAAGTAACCAGCCTCCAATTTCATGCATTAATTCCAATTTCATTATATTTTTTAAACTATTTAACCATTATTTCTTTATATCAAACAAATATTTATTTAACATAAAATGGCATTAGTTACATGCAGGCACACAGCCTATAAAATGTATTACCCTTCTAAAATTTCTTTTCTTATCTTAACATTTTTAAAATTCATTTTTTCGCATGTGGTTGATACTTTTTAGCAATAATTGATATTTCACCATATGTAAAGAAATGTGCATGTATACGTAAATGATCTGATTTATTCTTAACTGGTACTTATATGTACCAGTATATTCACAATACAATACTTCATTCAAAATGAAAAGGGATATTGATGATCGATACATAATGATATTATTCATTGTTAAAATTACTGTTTGACCTAAAAGGATAAGAAAGCAGGTCAGGCTTTAGTAAGTACATAATGAGATTTTTTTTTTGTTTTGGGTAAGAGTGTTTGATGCCAAATTTAAATGTGTAGGTGAATGTCTAAGTGGGTTTTTATAGGACAGGGCACCATGTTTTTGCGCACTGCGTTCAATCACATTATGGCACACATTGTGCTGTTCTTAATACAGTCACATTGCTTAATTATTGTCTCTGTGTGCTATATATATGTTCAATTTTACAAGTTACATGTACCTGTTCCTTTTTTTTGCAACGTACTGCGAATTTGTGCTTGAGAAGCGGCATGCATGCTTTAGCGTCATTTGACTTTTTTTTTCCTATGTAATTTAATACTTCAAATATGATCTCTACCAGGATCCCTCTATACCAGCCAAATCCGATTTTCCTGGGCAGGGTATGCACAAGGTATCAAATGAAGCGAACACTCTTATATGACATGATGTGAACTAATCTTTACAGATATGCTGTGGTACATGTATTTATAACTGCATGTGTTGTAAATTTTGTATATTGTGAATTATGTTTGTGTATAGTCAATGTTACGTGTCAATTTCTGGGACATCTTTGAATAGAATCATGTTTTTGATTTCGATGGAGTGGTACATAGATCAAGTGGCTTTATTAATTGTCTTTTTGTTTGTTTAAATTCATTATTAATCTAGTAAATTTTTATAGTTACCACTTTTTTATTGAATGTAATAGAAAATACATGTCATTGCACAAAAAGGGGGGAAAAACACGTTGAAAAAATATATACAGTAATAAAACATGGTTGCAGCAAACATGATGAATTACAATTTACAATTTAGAAGTGATTTTCATTCCATGTAGTTTTAAACATATTATGAACTTAACGAATATAACGAATTATGTTTATAAAAAATCAAAATTGTTTGTCCCTGGCACTTAGCTATAAGCATGTATTTCTGTATATCCTAGCTAGTCTTTGAATGTATCCATGATGTAATATTACTTCATAATTTAAATTTAATTTCTGTAATTGGGGGGGGGGGAGAAAGAAGTGGAGGGGGTAATTTTTTGGCATTGCACAGTGTCATAAATCTACTGAAATGTAGATACAGTCATATTCATGATGTTCAATTTGTATGCACATGACACCAATTGCTTTAAAATGCTTAAATAATTAAGATAAATTTTTGTGCATACAAGTTTCAGAATCAGATACTTCACATACCTAATAGAAATTCTATAAAACTCAAACTGTTATGAACAATCAATTAGAATAGTTCTATCTGACATAATTTAGGACCTTAAAGTGTTTTCTTCTAATGATTAAAATGAACTATTTCAGTGTCAGTTTGTATTTAGTTCCTTTTAAATGTTATATCTATACTCATCACTAACTCTTGTAGTTGAAGAATTAACTTACTTGAGATAATAACTTGATACTGATATAACATGTGCATATTATAGAATAACAGTGTTGTATTGAATAAGAAGTACTGTCTACTAATCACTTTGGATCATAAGTTTCATAACTATAAGTTCAGAATAGTCACATTTTCACTTCACACAAGAAAAAAAGTAAAGAATCCTTTAGGAAGAAAAACCCTTAAATTCTAGGTTTTCTTTTCATCAGTAATCAATCCTTGATATTTCCTTAATCCATCTAAGTACTAAAACGTGTACCTCATAAATTCACCATCTTGTGCAACAGGTGATAGTGCAAAGAAACCATTTATGATAAGTTTGACTTATGAATTGTAGGAGAAGGGTAAATATGAGGTGATGGGGGGACAACAAAAGGTTCCCGAGGACATGGTAGAGTTCTGGGCAGAGCTACTTGGTCGCTACCCATCAGTCATTGCTATCATTGACCCCCTGAGGAAACAGGTAAGTAATTCTAGGCTCATATGTAAAGGTACTTGAAAATACTTTTTAGCTCACCTGAGCTAAATGCTCAAGTGAACTTTTCTGATTGAAATTTGTCCGACAGTTGTCTGTCATTGTAAACTTTTCACATTTTCATCTTCTTCTCCAAAATCACTAGGCCAATTTCAACAGAACTTGGCACAAAGTATCCTTTGGTGAAGGGAATTCAAATTTGTTCAAATGAAGGGTCACTCCCTCTTCCTAGGGGAGATAATTAAGAAACAGTGAAAAATTGGTGGTACCTTTTAAAAATCTTCTTCTCAAAAACCACTGGGCAGAAAAGTTGAAACTTATGTGAAACCTAAGTGTTGATTCAAGTTTATTCAAATCATGACCTCTGGGGGTAGGGTGGGGCCACAATGGGCGATCAAAGTTTTATGAAGGAATAAATAGGAAAAATCTTTGAAAATCTTCTGAAGAATAGCAAAGTCTTGTTGAGTCATATTAATATGGAAGCATCCTCGGGTATTGTAGATTTAGGTTTGTTCAAATCATGACCCCTGGGTGTAGGGTGGGGCCACAATTGGGGATAAAAGTTTTACCTAGGAATATATAGGAAAAAATCTTGAAAAAACTTTTCAAGGACAGCAAATTCTTGTGTAGTCATATTGATATGGAAACATCCTCAGGTAGTGTAAATTTAGGTTTGTTCAAATCATAACCCCAGTGGTAGTATGGGACCACAATGGAGGATCAAAGTTTTACATAGGAATATATAGGAAAAATCTTGAAAAATTTTCTTCTCAAGAACAGCAAAGCCATGGTTAGTCATATTAATATGGAAGTATCTTCAGGTAGTGTAGATTCAGGTTTGTTCAAATCATGACCCCTGGGGGTTTGGTGAGGCCACAACAGGGGATAAAAGTTTTCACAGTTATAAAAAAGTATATAAGTGATATATCTCAAGAACGTCAAACCCAGTCTTATTAATTCAGAAGCATCCTCAGGTAGAGCAGTTTCAGATGTGTTCCAATCATGTCCCTGGAGGTAGGGCAAGGCCTCAATAAAAGATTAAATATCGGAACCACATTTATATTTATATTTAAACTTTTCAATACTGAATTGATTTCTGCTTTTTCCTAGTCAAAGTGCTCAAGTGAGCAATGTGACCCATGTGTGTCTTGTTGTAACTGCAATCCATGCATATTTAATTGTTTGTATATGACAGGAAAAGGAACATTGGATGAGACTGTGCGAGAGGATCAGTGATCAGTGTTACGTGATGGGTAACCACACCTACCCCCGCCCAGCCAAACTGCTGGAGGAGGAGCTCACAGAAGAATTTAAAACCAGTGGCATCATCCTCAAGATGGACCAATTAAACACAGTGACAGATGTCCTCGATTGTGCAAAGAAAATGGAAGGTGAGTAGTTCCTACAATGCAGAATACCAAAGTTACAGTGTGCCAAACCATTCATATTTAATTGAAAAAAAATGTTCTCATGTAAATGAGTCATTTTGAAAACTTTTGAATTATGTTCATGTGTTATTTGATTACAGATGCAGAGAATCAAATTGTACTGACTACATGCTACGGAGAGACAACTGACACTTTCTTAGCAGACATGGTATGCAGTTTCTTACAATTATGTTTACTCTATGATTCCATATTGATAAATACCTGTATATCCAAATATTTTCAGATCATTTGAATAGGATAAATTTCAAAGAGGATAAATTTATGACCCATTTCTTCCATATTTTATTGTAAAATTTGCAATTTTTTTTCTCAAAAAAGGCTGTTGGAATGAATGCAAGATTTTTCAAAATTGGGGCCCCAGTGAGGGGTGAAAGAATCGCCCTGTTCAACAGACTTATACAGATAGAAAGCCAGCTAAAATTGGAGGGAAAACTTGCATATCATGGGGAAAATGTATTCCCTCACATCGCACCCCCACCCATACCCGAACCAGAGGAGGGGGAGGAGGCACAGGAGGAAGAGAAAAAGGACGATAAAACCAAAAAGAAATAGATTATAAACTATATGATGTTGAAATCTGGACTTCTAATTTTGAAAACTTTCATTTTTGAATTCTGGAGGACTTCTTATGGTGATATCTGGATTTTCATCATTGAAATCTGGACTTGTTAAGCACACTAATGTTGTCAGAATGCAAACCTATAAATGGACAATTGTGATATTCCAAGTTATTACATGTATACTGAAAAGAAACTTGTTTTTAAAATTACACGTATGTAATTGCTTTACATTTTGTGATATTTGTTGATAATGTGCATCTCTTTCAGAGTATGCAAGCATTTTTTTTTATTGGATTGTAATTAAAAATGATCATTCCATATAAAAGGATGTGCATTCGAGTGGCATTTTGGGCATAATTGTACAACATGATCAAATTTAGCTCAAAAGAAAATATTTACTTGCTTTCAGACTACAAATTCACATAAAAAGTAAAGATATTAAGAGACCACAAATTGAGTGTGACTACATGCACCTACCCCAGTCTGAAAACTTGAAGTACATGTACGTTGTACATTCATTTGCTGTTCTCTTATTTTCTGTACATGTTGTAATGCAATATTTCATAATGTAATGGAAAAAAGTTTAGTACGTAATTTTTTTTCCCAAAAAATAAGCCTCAAAATCGTTATACAAGGGAATACAAATGAATTGCAGAACCATAGTGTTACTGCTGAAAACTGCGTATAGTTGTGGAAGCAGCTTTATATGATAGCATGAATCCTGGTGAGTTTTTCTTATCATAAATTTATCACAACAATTACCTGCGATCCAGGGTTAACTTTGTCTGATTGGTAGTAAGAAGTATTACTAAGGTCATCAAAAGGGGGGGGGGGTATGATGGGTGAGATTCTGTGCCCTTTTTTTCAAATTGTAAAAAGAAAAGTTCTATCATTTATTTTAAAAATCTGATACAGGGAAGAGGATACCCCTTCAGGGCCTTCACTCTCACCCCCTTTCCAGTAACATGATATTGTTCGGTATTTTATGAAGCTTGAATAAAATTGATCCCTCTGACAAGCATACAAAGGCGCAGATTCAGGATTTTTTTTCTGGGGGGTTGGGGGGGGTGTATGTTGTTTAACGTCCCTCTCGAGAATTTTTCACTCATATGGAGACGCCACCACTTGCCGGTGGAGGGCTGCAAATTTTAACCTATGTTCGGCACTCGGGGCAATTGAGCAGTGAGGGATCTTTCTTCGTACTTCGACACGGGACCTCGGTTTATACATACAGTCTCATCCGAAGGACTATTCTCCCATCCCGTAGTGGATTTGAACCCGCGACATAAGGATCAACTCCTTACTCAGCGACTCTAGTATTCTCTTTAGAAAGTGGACAGACTTTCGCCTACATGTCTCTAAAGAGAATACGACTCTAGAGCAGACGCTCTTACCACTAAGTGGGGAGGGAGGGTGTTCCACCCAGTCAAAAAATTTCAAATTTACAAATTTCTCTTGATAAAAAATACTTTGTGAAAAACGTGAAATCCATTTCTCGAACGTGGAACCACCTGTTTCCTCGTGGTGGTGGTAGGGTCCACGTTTTCTAAGGGGGGGGGGGGTTCCAAAGTCATTTTTTATTTGCTTCAGTATATACTTTTGATAACTGCAAATTCCCGGGGAGGGGGTCCGCCCGGACCCCTTTCTCTAGATCCGCGCTTGATAAAGTAGAATTTTGAAGAAATTCACGAAGTGGATCCATTTAAACAATAAAATGTTTTCTTTGGTTGTTAGTACGTACGGGAATTAATGTTGCAGCTGTTGCAGAAAAAATGCATAACCCGCGTAAGCGGGTTAATAGCTGCAACGTTATTTCCCGCACTAACAAACAGAGAAAGGTATTTTATTGTTTATATTTATATCTGTGCACATATTTATTCAAAAAAGGATTTAGTAGATGAAATAGCGTATTATTAATATGCACGTCATTGTACGTTTCATTGATGGAACAGCCAATGCTCCAGAAAACTGTAGAGGTGATAAGCTCAAGTGATGTTTACGGACTGATGAACGGCAATGGTTTTCTTAAGAAATAAAGGAGATAATATTCATTGAATGTAAATATTACATTTTAGGGTCTCAGTGGATTGCAAAGTCTACCAAAATACACAAAGATAAATTTAAATGTACCTGGGAACAGTCACCTTTGCTCTGGAAGGTCTAGAATCAAACTTAACTGCCACATTAAAACCGTGACAAATCAACAATTGTTTTGGATTTCCATTTACAATTATTTTCACAAACAAATTTGAACATGTTCATGATGTTAAATGTACATGTAATAAAAAAATTATTTATTTTCATTCGGATTGAAATGTGGAACATTCATTGGTTAAAATGCGACTAGTGGCTGCCGGTTGTATTTCTATGTCCGGCAGGTGAGAATTAATATCTGGCAATATATGGCCGGCGTTGTGTTACTAAATAAAAATCATTTATTACGGACACCACTTTCCATAATGTTTTCTTTTTGAAATTAGAGTAGCGGCCCTTTTAAGAAATGACGTCAAGTTTATTGTGACTGCATCACAAGTGATGGCAGCGTCGAGATTCGCTCAAAGAAGAAAGGAGAGACGCTTTAAATTATTCAGAATCTAAACGAAAACGAATTATTTTTAAAAAATAAATAAAGTGCCTCAATGATTTATCAAGATTACATGACGGCCAAAGGTAAGATTAATTACTTTAAAGAGTCTGACTATGTGAAGAGTATAGCCTAATCAAAATGTAGGGACACTAAATTTTGAATTAAAATAGGCCTATGTTATATTCAGTCATCTTGATCATCACCTCTTCCAGGTCCGTTGTACTACGGGGGTCCGGTTGTACTACGGGAAGGGGGGTCAAGCTTTTAAGAAAAGTGTTTTGCTTTAGATTCTATTGTATGTCATGCTTAAATCCACACTTTCAGAAGTTATGCCCCTTGGCCGCCATCTTTGGGGAAACCCATGGCATAGAATCCTCACAGTAGCCATTGTAGTTTACTGCTTTGTAACTTTGTCATTTGACTGGAAAAAAATTCTGTGTCTTGTGTATTGATTGCCACAGGATGAGCTACAGTGTACCCATATTGAAAAAAAAAAGAATTTAAACACAGTGGTTGTATCGGTGCACGCCCAAATGTTTGGTAGGAGAAAGAGGAAAAAAATTAATGTTTTTTTTTCCATTTTGACCTTTTGGTTGAGTCCACAAAGGGACACAACTTTTGCAAAGAGTCTATTCAAACGCCGTGCTCCCCCTTACACACACACACACAACACAAACACAGCTTTTGTTGCAGGAGGTGGAATATGTGCCGTGTTATTGCATTAAAAAATTCCCAACAATTTAAAGGAAGATTTAAACCCCTCCTGAGTTTTACCAGTTAATTTTTTTTCTTGTCTTTTTTCTGGGGGGGGGGGGTTACTCCCCTTCTCCCCTCCTTTGATAAACGCTGTTACCAGGGTTAGAAACTCCCTAAAATTACAACTCGCAAATAATTGCGAGTACCAAGAAGGTGAACTCGCAATTTTATAAGACTAGTACTCGCAATTTTCATATAAAGTTAAATTTATATAAATTAAATACATGTAACTTAAGGAAAAAGTAACTACTGTACAATACACAAAATACAACTACAGTGTGACTTTTAGTTAAAATACTGATTTAAATCAAGAGCATTGTGTTCTGTCATATTATATAATTTTGCTACAGTTTCAATGCAAAAAAATCAACTCGCAAATTTTTGCGAGTTACCTAATTTTTAACTCGCAATTTGGGAATTCTAACTTGCGTTTTGCGAGTTGTATATAGTGAATTTCGAACCCTGGTTACGGACCTGTCTTGTGATTAAATCTCTCGCAATGTGATCCTTGAGAAAATAAATCAATTATTAGGTTAATTTGTTACTGTCTGCATACAGAGATATATGGAGTTGATCAATCTCATAGACTGCGAGGCTAATGGTTTGACAAGTCTAATACACAGAGACGAGAAGTTTTGAATTTTTCTATAACATTCTCTCGCTATATTTATTATGTGTTTCATATTCACTAAGGTACATGTAACTAATTTATCAGAGGCCTGTTCAACAACAGATGTTAATAAAGATATTCAGTTCCCCCTTCCTTACCTCTTGCTTTGTTGTATTCTTCTTCAATTTCTTAAATGGGATTGATTTTAATTTTAAAAAGAATGAATCAATCTTGAAAAATTGCGATTTTTGCTATTAAATAGCAGTCCATGCAATCCTTGCCCTGTTTTTACTTCTTACATTGCATGCATGGATATAAATAGATACTTAAGGAATCACTGTCTAGTTAGTAGAGTATGCCAGGGCATCAACGATAGTTGGAAACGTGGGATAATTTGCATAACGGACTTCGCCCGTTATGCATAAATTATCCAACGTTTCCAACTATCGTTGATGTCCCTGGCATACTCTACTAACTAGACAGTGATTCCTTATATTTCCATTTCATTGTGAAATAAAATTGTAAATTTAGACTAATAGATTTAAATTACACGAGGCCTCACATGTCAATTTCAATCGTCGTCCCCGCGACGTCAAACACAAAGACAGTCGCACGAGATTTACATGCATATTAGGCCTTCTTAGCTCCTAACCTTTCCTTGACCAAATTTACATTCCGGTAGAATGATCAAGAAATCAACTCAACTAACTTTCAAATAGTTATCACAGAGAAAACAAATAGAAATGGAAATTTAATTAATTCAACGCTAACAACAGTCAACTAATTCTTTAAATATATCTATTCTTTTCGGATATGCAAGGATCACCCCGGCTTTGCAAGTTTTCCATATAAATCACTTAACAATTTCTCCCTGCTTTTTTCATACCTTGCACTGAACTAATTAATTTATTTCATTCAGAACATTAAATAATCAAAAATAAAGTTTATCAGTCAATCAACATTTTTCATTTTACACCAATCCTGTTTTCAAAAAAATACTTTACTCTCCCAACAACTTTCGGCGTCCAAAATGTCAGCCTCCGTAAACCCTTCTTCCGGAAGAAATTTAGAATCCATCCCTCAAAATGCTGACATTAATTGTCTCGCACTATTTGTATTGGAATATCAAAGATTAGCGTTAAATGCCCTTTGATTGAGTTTATCCTAGACCGAAGAAAATAGTTAGAGTTTACTAGAATGGTATAGGGATGACAAGGAAACCCCCCCCCCCCCCAAGTTTTGTTTTCAAATTAATACTTCCTTCTCAAAGTTGTACATATTAAGTAAGACTAAACAGAAAAAAAAACAATACTCTTTTACAACCAGCAGTAAAATTAAAATTTACGTTTAATCTATTTTAGCTTAATCTTGTGTGTTCAGACCCTCCCCCCGCAAAAACAAGGAAAATATGCGCAGAATCTCAATAATTATAACTTATTTCGATGTATTAGATTGATTGAACTTAATGAAAATTAGACAGAATGTTCAGAAAATGCAATTTCAAATACAACTTGTGAGACAAAATTCGGAGAGAATTATATTTTAGGGCAGGATATTCGTCACGGCAATTGCAACGTCACAATGGCTATTATGACGTCAGTAAACTTTAGTTTGTTGGTAACGAATGGCGGAATAGTGTTGTCATCTAATCAAAGAAAATATTGTGCTTGGAAGAACAATGAATACCCAAAATCAGGTGGGTTACAATGCAAAAATTGTTCCTATTTTTTTTTTCAAGATGTCGGTATTGACTGCAATATCCGGGGAAAAAGTAATTGATTCAAGGAATGACTCAATTTATAAATGTTCAAAATGCTTTTGAAAATCTTTAATAAACCTACTTTGGTAAAAAAAAAGTTTTCATGTAATGGTTTCAGCTAGTTTTTAATCCTTGTCTTGATTTTATAGAACGAGATCTTGGATTTCGGAGAGGACCCCGTGACCAGTGTGGTAGGTGTATTTAACTTCATATAATGAAATTTCAATTTAGTTTCGATTCAACAAGTACATTGTGGGCATAATAGCCAATGTCATATAAATTTTACGGTACCTTTTCAGGAGGCCAAATTGGCAATATTAGCTTTCCCATACAATTGGGCAGATATGGTGGAACAAGAAGAGAAGTTAAAGGTATTTTTACATCAGCATCAACATATTATAATAAATTTGATTATTATTGTTTATATTCTGCACAATTTATGATACAGGTTCCTGGAAAAAAGATCTCTCTCTCCCTCTCTCTCGTGTTCATGAAATCATAAAAATATAAATCATGAATTTCAGAATGATGGAGATGTCCCTGGGCCTCAGGAGCATCTTGGCCAGACAAATATCATGAGTACTGTTGTCCAAGCAGCGGGATTTTCTACAGTAGAACTGGCCAATACTAAGGTAGTAAAAATGTAAATAAATACATTACGCTACAAACAAAAGTTATATTGATATTATTAGTCTTTTATAAAAGTTATGACCACAGTAGGCTCTTTACTCTATTCGCTATAAACTAGTTTATAACTCATTTTGATGCGAAATATGTTTATCTTTGCTTTATGTATTCTGTACCATTTCTACAAGAATATGAAAATGTTCCTTTTTTTTAAATGTTCCGAGATATCTGTACTGCCTGCAATATCAAGGGACAAATTAATACATACACTAGAATGATTCAATTTATAAATGTTCAAAATGCTTTTGAAAATCTTTAATAAACCTAATTTGTTAATAATGTTTCCATGTAATTGTTCAAACTAATTTCTAATCCGTGTCTTGATTTTATAGAACGAGATCTTGGATTTCGGAGAAGACCCCGTGACCAGTGTGGTAGGTGTATTTAACTTCATGTAAAGAAATTTCAATTTATTTTGATTCCACACAGTACATTGTGGGCATAATAGCCAATGTCATATAAATTTTACGGTACCTTTTCAGGAGGCCAAATTGGCAATATTAGCTTTCCCATACAATTGGGCAGATATGGTGGAACAAGAAGAGAAGTTAAAGGTATTTTTACATCAGCATCAACATATTATAATAAATTTGATTATTATTGTTCATATTCTGCACAATTTACGATACAGGTTTCTTGAAAAAAGAACTCTCCCTCTCTCTCTCTCTCTCTCGTTCATGAAATCATCAGAATATAAATCATGAATTTCAGAATAATGGAGATGTCCCTGGGCCTCAGGAGCATCTAGGCCAGAAAAACGTCATGAGTACTGTTGTCGAAGCAGCGGGATCTTCTACAGGAGAATTGGACAATTATAAGGTAGAAAAATTGCAAATAAATACGTTATACTGCAAACAATAGTTATATTAATACTTTTAGTCTTTCATAAAAGTTATCTCCATAGTATGCTTACATGTTTTAACTTGTTTTAGATACCTGCATTTCCTTTGAAAGAAGAAAGCAAAGACTTCCGTGACCCCAAATTATCAAATGAAGCTCAAGACTATGAGGACACAGCAGACACAAACGTCTTTGAAAAAGAAAGAGATGCTCACTTATTGCAATTGAGAGAAAAAGAGATTCAAGTGGCTGAAGCGAACTGTAACGCGTCCCCTGAGAAAACGGATGAGGCGTCCCGAATTGACAATTCTGTGATACAGGGTATGGAGAGACTGGTACACATCTTTGATGCCAAATCTGGAATTGTAGTTGGTGAAATTCATGCTCAGTACCTTCCCAGTGAATGGGACGAAGACGATAGACCACTGGCGATAAGCACAGCTGAGACACAATCAAGTAGGACAGAATGTGCTACCACAATACCCCAAAAGTCATAGGTAAGATAATGTTGTTTTTGAATCTTTGGTACAAGATGTGAAACGATTTATCTGATTTAAAATGTTTATTAACCTACCTGTGTCTAATTATAGAGCTCAGATTCTCAATCCACCATGTCGGATGGAAAAACTGCTGCATGCAGCACCAGAAATCAAACAATGTAAGTATGTTATATAAACTTACAAAAAGTTTTAAGGTGTGGCATATTTCCAATTGATATAATTCAATAGCTTGCATTGATAATTTTGAAATGAACTCATTTGATCTCTGTTACAGGAATATACTTGGATTGGAGATTATGGACACAGAAATTTCACTTCTGTCAACGGAGGTAAGAAAATGGAGATTTTTTCCCTCAGAGTAATGTCAGTATTTCAATTCCTGTTTAATATAGTAAAATGTTTTTAATCTTGGAGGAAACAAACACAAAATGGATGGCGAAAATTTTGAGAGGGGGTCAGCGATTTTTTTTTTAAAGTTTATTTAACCAAAATAAAAACAAACAAAAACAAGACATATGTCTTTAAAGAATAGCATGACTTTGTTACGTAAGATTTTCATAAGATTTCTATTTCTTTGTAACAGATGATTGAGTCTCGCATCCAAGAATCCAAGTCGGAAACTGACGTAGAGAGCAATTATTTGACGAGACACCCTCTGATGCGCCTGTTTGTTTGTGGAGCATGTTGTTGCTCAGTGAGTTCAAGATCCTGAATACTTAGAATATAAATCATTTATTTTAGAAGGACTTGTGTGTAAACGAATATTGGTTTTGAAATATTTGATGGATGTATTTTTCAGAAAAAAAGAAAAACCAAAGATAATGAGAAAGTTGGACTGTTGCAGAGAATTCGGAAGATTTTCCGCAGGAATTAGATGAATATATCTGACTGTTAATGTTTCTGAAGAATTTCTTAAGCTTATCTGTGATATATTTTCTAGAATTTATTAAATCTTAAATTATTTTACCTGCATTATTTTGTTTGATTTAGTTGGTTCTGTTGACTGGATGTAAGGCTAGTAGTATGATAACGTGACTATAGTATCATAAGCATACGCACAGAATTTAAAAACATCGATCTAATATATAATTAGGAGATGAAATATTGTTGTTCCTTTTCAATGAAATCAGAATTCAGAACTAATTGTATTCCTATGTCAAGTACTTTTTTTCCCCTTACATTTATTACTCTGTGTGTTGTGTGAAGAGCTCTTTGAAAAAAAAAAAACGAACCAACGCAGAATATTTTTCTAAAATTCAAACAGGCCTTGGATCCACACAAAATTTCATGGTAAGGTAGTCAAGACTCGAGAAAAACTTTCTGGAACATCTTATGGTCATTGTCCAATGCACAAAGAAATAATGAAGATTATCGGCAAAAACAGCAACTTTACTAGAGGTTAAAAGTTTATTCAGACGAACGGAGAAATGAGTTTTATCTGTAACTAGCAATGTCTTCAAATATCGATAATAGAATTCATTTCCCATGATATGATATGTCATTGTTATATCAAGCATTCCCCTTTTATTTATCAAGTGGAATTTATTTTTAATTTATTTAGAATTAATCAATGTCGAAAAATAGGGATTTTCGACAGTAAATAGTATTTCACACTTTCATTGCCATGTTTCCCTTTCAAAATGCATGTATGGAATTTAATTTATGATATAACATTTAGTTTAACCCAAACACATGCCTATTTCAATCTTTTCTTTCTGTGTTCAAAACGCCCTTTCCGTCTCGGCCAAGTTTTGAATTTTTCTGTATTTACAAAGTCTCGCCTCTGTATTTCTTATGTATTTCATATTCACTAAACTAACTATCAACTCATTCAGAATATGAAAAAGCTAGTAAGAGGTCTATCTGAAAATCAACATTTTTATTATATACTAATTAATCTCGACTTCTTCTCCGCTCAATATTATATACAACTAATCCAAGGTAGTGGGAATTGGATACTGTGTGATTCGGACTTTTTTTTTTCTTTTTTTTTTTTTCTAAAAACAACAATGTACTCAAATTACAAAATACCTTAAAATAAGCTTTGGTGTTTGTAATAGTCTTATGTTATATTTATCAACTTAACCCCCCCCCCCCCCTCCTTCCCTCATCAGTGCAATAGCAACGTAGAATATTTCTCTAAACTCGTTTCGACAAGAAACGAAATTGCAGGGTACTGTAGTCAAGACCCTGTTTAACCTTTCTAGAAAGTTTAATTGTCATTGTCCCAGATACCTAGAAATTTATGAACTTTATCGGCAAGAACAATAACTTTGGTAGTGGCTAAAATTCTGTACAGATGAACAGAAACGTAAAATATACATTTTACTGAGAATTTTCTCAGGTGTCAATAAAGGTATTCAGTTCCTCCTTTATTATTTCTTGCTTTGCTGTCAGGCATTTCTCTTCAATTTTAAAAGTGGAATTGATTTTAAATCTATATAGAATGAATTAATCTTGAAAAATACTATTAAATAGCAGTCCACGCAATCCTTGCCGTAGTTTAACTTCTTACATTGCATGCATGGTTATAATTATGATAGTTACAATTAATTCAACACTAACAACTGATTATTTCAAATATATCTATTTTTTCCGGATACGCGAGGATCCACCCCGGCCTTGCAAGTTTTCCTTATAAATCACTTAACGATTTCCCTCTGCATTTTTCGTATCTTGCAGTGAACTAATTAATTTATTTCATTCAGAACATTAAATAACTCAAAATGAAGTTTATCAGTAAATCAGCATTGTTTTCATTATACACCAATCCTGTTTTCTAAAACTATTTTCCTCTCCTGACAACTTTGGATGTCCAAAATGTCAGCCTCTGTAAACCCTACTTTCGTTTTCTAACATCGGAAGAAATGCAGGATCCATCTCTCAAAGCTGCTGACATTAATTGTCTCGCACTATTTGTATTGGAATATCAAAGTTCAGCGTTAAATGCCCTTTGATTGAGATTATTCTAGACTGAAGAAAATAATTAGAATTTACTAGAATGGTATAGGGTTGATAAGAATAATCCCCCCCCCCTCCACTTTTGTATTGAATGAATACTTCCTGCTGAAAGCTGTACATACATGTGTATTAAGTAAGAATAAACAGAAAAAATAATACTCTTTTACAACGAGCAGTAAAATTAAAATTTACGTTTAAACTATTCTAGTCTAATCTTCTGTGTTCAGACAAAACCCCCCCCTCCCCCTCCCCCCCCCCCCCCACGAGAAAAATGAAATTACATTTTCAAAAAATTCCCCTAATCATTTGTATTTATTGGCACAAGGGAAATAAGCGCAGGATCTAAAGAATTATAACTTATTTTGATGTATTAGATTGATTAAATTTCGTGAAAAATGGACAGAATCTTGACAAAATGCAGTTTCGAATTCTACTTGTTAGTCAAAATTCGGAGAGAATAATGTTTTAGCGCAGGATATTCGTCACGGCAATTGCAACGTCACAGTGGCTATTATGACGTCAGTAAACTTTAGTTTGTTGGTAACGAATGGCAGAATAGTGTTGTCATCTAATCAAAGAAAAAACTGTGCTTGGAAGTACAATGAATACCCAAAATCAGGTGAGTAACAATGTAAAAATTGTTACTACTTTTATTTCAAGATGTCGGTATTGACTGCAATATCAGATGACAAAAGTAATTAATTCACAGGAATGACTCAATTTATAAATGTTCAAAATGCTTTTGAAAATCTATAATAAACCTACTTTGGTAAAAAAAGAAAAGTTATCATGTAATGGTTTCAGCTATTTTCTAATCCGTGTCTTGATTTTACAGAACGAGATCTTGGATTTCGGAGAGGACCCTGTGACCAGTGTGGTAGGTGTATTTAACTTATGGATAAATTTCAATTCAGTTTTGATTCCACAGAGTACATTGTGGGCATAATAGCCAATGTCATATAAATTTTACGGTACCTTTTCAGGAGGCCAAATTGGCAATATTAGCTTTCCCATACAATTGGGCAGATATGGTGGAACAAGAAGAGAAGTTGAAGGTATTTGTACATCAACATATTTTGATATATTTGATTATTATTGTTTACATTCTGCACAATTTGTAATTTTTGACACAGGGTCCTGGGAAAAAGATCTCTCTCTCTCTCTCTCTCTCTCTCTCTCTCTCTCTCTCACATGTTCATGAAATTATAAAAATATAAATCGTGAATTTCAGAATAATGGAGATGTTCTTGAGCCTCAGGAGCATCTTGGCCAGACAAACATCATGAGTACTGTTGTGGAAGCAGCGGGATCTTCTACGGCAGAACTGGCCAATACTAAGGTAGAAAAAATGCACATAAATACGTTACGCTACAAACAATAGTTATTTTGATATTATTAGTCTTTTATAAAAGTTATGACCACAGTAGGCTCTTTACTCTATTCGCTATGAACTAGTTTATAAACTCATTTTGATGTGATATATCTTTTATCTTTGCTTTATGTATTCTGTGCCATTTCTACAGGGACATAAAAATGTTCCTTTTTTTTTTTTTAAATGTTCCGAGATATCTGTACTGCCTACAATATCAGGAGACAAATTAATTTATACACTAGAATGATTCAATTTATAAATGTTCAAAATGCTTTAGAAAATCTATAATAAACCCACTTCGTTAATAATGTTTTCATGTAATTGTTGCAAATAATTTCTAATCCGTGTCTTGATTTTATAGAACGAGATTTTGGATTTCGGAGAAGACCCCGTGACCAGTGTGGTAGGTGTATTTAACTTCATGTAAAGAAATTTCAATTTATTTTGATTCTACACAGTACATTGTGGGCAAAATAGCCAATGTGATATAAATTTTACGGTACCTTTTCAGGAGGCCAAATTGGCAATATTAGCTTTCCCATACAATTGGGCAGATATGGTGGAACAAGAAGAAAAGTTAAAGGTATTTTTTCATCAGCATCAACATATTATAATAAATTTGATTATTATTGTTCATATTCTGCGCAATTTGTCATTTATGATACAGGTTTCTGGGAAAAAAAAGATCTCTCTCCCTCCCTCTCTCTCTCTCTCTCTCTCTCTCGTGTTCATGAAATCATAAAAATATAAATCGTGAATTTCAGAATACTGGAGATGTCCCTGGGCCTCAGGAGCATCTAGGCCAAACAAACGTCATGAGTACTGTTGTAGAAGCAGAATTGGGCAATTATAAGGTAGAAAAATTGCACATAAATACGTTACGCTACAAACAATAGTTATATTAATATTTTTAATCTTCCATAAAAGTTATGTCCATTGTATGTTTATTGTGTTTTAACTTGTTTTAGATACCTGCATTTCCTTTGAAAGAAGAAAGCAAAGACTTCCGTGACCCCAAATTATCAAATGAAGCTCAAGACTATGAGGACACAGCAGACACAAACGTCTTTGAAAAAGAAAGAGATGCTCACTTATTGCAACTGAGAGAAAAAGAGATTCAAGTGGCTGAAGCGAACTGTAATGCGTCCCCTGAGAAAACGGACGAGGCGTCCCGAATTGACAATTCTGTGATACAGGGTATGGAGAGACTGGTACACATCTTTGATGCCAAATCTGGAATTGTAGTTGGTGAGATTCATGCTCAGTACCTTCCCCGTGAATGGGACGAAGACAATAGACCACTGGCGATAAGCACAGCTGAGACACAATCAAGTAGGACAGAATGTGCTACCACAATACCCCAAGAGTTACAGGTAAGATAATGTTGTTTTTCAATCTTTGGTACAAGATGTGAAATGATTTAACTGATTTAAAATATGTTTATTAACCTACCTGTGTCTAATTACAGAGCTCAGATTCTCAAACCACCATGTCGGATGGGAAAACTGCTGCATGCAGCACCAAAAATCGAACAATGTAAGTATGTTATATTAACTTGCAAAAAGTTTTAAGGTGTGGCATATTTCCAATTGATATAATTCAATAGCTTGCATTGATAATTTTGAAATGAATTCATTTGATCTCTATTACAGGAATATATTTGGATTGGAAATTATCGATACCGAAATTTCACTTCTGTCAACGGAGGTAAGAAAATGGAGATTTTTTTCCCACCGAGTAATGTTAGTATTTCAATTCCAATATATTATAGTAAAAAATTTTTAATCTTGGAGAAAACAAACACAAAATGGATGGCGAAAATTTTAAGGAAGCGGGGGGGGGGGGGCGATTTTGTTTTCTTTCTTTCTTGAAAGTTTATTTAACCAAAATAAAAACAAACAAAAACAAGACATATGTCTTTTAAATAATAGCATAACTTTGTTATGTAAGATTTTCATAAGATTTCTATTTGTTTGTAACAGATAATTGAGTCCCACATCCAAGAATCCAAGTCGGATACTGACGTAGAGAGCAATTATTTGACGAGACACCCTCTGATGCGCCTGTTTGTTTGTGGAGCATGTTGTTGCTCAGTGAGTTCAAGATCCCGAATACTTAAAATATAAATCATTTGTTTTAGAAGCACTTATGTGTAAACGAATATTGGTTTTGAAATATTTGATGGATGTATTTTTCAGAAAAAAAGAAAAACCAAAGATACTGAGAAAGTTGGACTGTTGCAGAGAATTCGGAAGATTTTCCGCAGGAATTAGATGAATATATCTGTTTGTGATGTTTCTGAAGAATTTCTTAAGCTTATCTGTGATATATTTTCTAGAGTTTATTAAATCTTAAATTATTTTACCTGCATTATTTTGTTTGATTTAGTTGGTTCTGTTGACTGGATGTAAGGCTAGTAGTATGATAACGTGACTATAGTATCATAAGCATACGCACAGAATTTAAAAACATCGATCTAATATATAATTAGGAGATGAAATATTGTTGTTCCTTTTTAATGAAAGCAGAAATTGGAACTCAAATTGTATTACTATGTCAAATACTTTTTTTTCCTTACATATATTATTCTGTGTGTCGTATGAAGAGCTCTTTTAATTAAATATGTGGAGATAACGAACAGTATTCGAGCTCAAAAGTCCATTAAACATTACAAAATAGGAGGAGAGCAAACACGGACTTCTAAGACATCAGAGGTGGGATCAGGTGCCATGGAGGAGTGATCAGCCCCTGCCGACCGATCACACTCGCCGTGTGCTCCTTGTCATGATCAGGATATAACGGAAAAATCCTTCGACAATTCAGTGTGTAAATAATGGCCTAAAAATTAGTATGATAAAAGTCAGTAAGCATTTGACTTAATGAAAGATTGTATTTGTTGACAAGGCCATTATATCGACCATAGAACTTACGAAATGATGACTTTAAACGAGACTGCTGATATTTTTGTTTCATCACCTTGTTTGTCAATAACTTACCTCCTTCAAGAAATTGTTCATACGTAGAGCATGCTCTGGCGTATCGAATCAACTGACAGATATAAACCCCGTATGCAGGTGATTAGGGTGTATTTCTGCATAAGTAAGGGAAGTTGACGATTGGAAAGTTAAAGCCATCACGTGTATCATAGAGCTTTGTTGTTAGATCACCGTTAACGTCTTTTACTAATAAAATATCCAAATATGAAACAGATGTGTCGGACTCTCTGGTATCTTTTATATAAAGCTCACCGGGATATATCGTGTCGACATAAGAAAGGAAAAAAACATTGTTAATTGACAATACGTCGTCGATAGATCTAAATGATGAGTTAAAGATCACAGCAATTGATTTCTTCTTTTCACGTAAAAGATTTTGAACAAATTCTGCTTCATATGAATACAAAAATAGGTCTGCTAATAACGTGGCGCAATTGGTGCCCATGGGAATTCCAGCAGATTGTTGGAAGACCTTGTCTCCAAAAAACACATAAATATTGTCAATCAGAAACTCGAGCATCTTTTTAATGTCAACCTCAGAGTATTTGTGTGTACAATCAGATTGTTTTTAAACAAAATAATTTTGCAAATGACCAATGACAAGATAAGTCAATTTACGAGTTCCATTTTTATTGGAAAAAAAAAGCTGTCAATGATGTCAAAAAGCCTGGACTTTAAGTTTTAATGGGAAGTGGTTGTACATAGAGTTGAAAAGTCCTAAGTTTTGATGTTATTGATTTTGGTAAAATTTTGTGATATTAAATTTTCCGAAAGGTTCTTAGAATTCTTAAGTATCCACAACTGATTTATACCACTTCTCAAATATATTGTTGCACAGAACTCCTGAAGCTTCTTTTTCACTGCTGCTGGTAATATTTTAGTGAGGAGTAAAGAAAGAAGTTTGGTAAAACTGTTATTTGGACCTGCTAATCGTTGAATAAAATGACATTAAGAAAATGATATAAAACTGGAAAATTTTAAACTAAAAGTTAGAATTAAAATGAGAATAAAATTCAATTTTTGAAATAAATTTTTGAAAAGCAAGAAATTAGGGGGAAAAAAAAACATTTAAAAAATTGTGACAGTTATCTCTCCATAATTTCTTATTATCCAAATTCCACAAACTTGTAGACTTTATTTTTGTAGATTTGTTAAATTGTGCGTCTGTCTATATAGATACTGGAAAACATGATTGGTAACTTGCAATACATTCAAGTTAGATATCTCGTTTTATACAAGTAAACGAAATACATAAGTATAATATCAAGAGGGTAAAAAAGAGTAAATTTTGAAATACCAATGCCGGAGAAGAAAACTTTACAACATCAAAAATACAAGAAACTTAAAAGTCAACTCAGTCGTGCACGTATATTTGAAACTTCTTAGATATCTGAAATATAAAGCTGAAACGATTTCAAGCTCTTTCTCCCTCTCTCCCCCACCTGTCGCCACTCCCTCCCTTCCTCTTTTTCTCCCCGCTCTCCTTTCGTCTCTTCCCTCCCATACTCTCCTTTCCTACTCTTTCTCCACACTGTCTCCTCTCACTCTCTACCAATGTTTTCTCCCCTCTGTCTTTCTTACCTCTCACTCTCTCTCCACTTTCTCTCTCTTCCCATCTCTCATTCCTCCCCTCTCTCTTCCTCCTCCTCTCTCTCTCCCTCTCTTTCCTGTCTCTCCTCTCTCTCTCCCTCCACTTTATTCACGAGAACTTTATTTAATTACACGAGACAGTGTGCTCGCAAACATTTCATTCACGCGTATAATAGTATTCCTTATGATTATATAGAGAAATAACCAAATTCTTAAAAAAATTGTCTCGCTAATAGAGAGTCAATGACTTTCTCGCTAAAATAAGATGTCGCGAAAATTGAGTTGTTTTCGTTTTTTTTTTATTCCTCAAAGATTTTGTTCCGAAAATGACATATGTCTCTGACAACGATAGACCTGTAGAAATATTTTTACAAACCATTTTGAGGAGAAGTTTTAGACCCCATACTTCTACCTTTAAATTCGTGCCCGCTTTCAACCTACCCCCACCTTTTATCAGTTTCTGTATAGCCAATGCATTGAATCATAAAAGTATTGCATTAAAACTTTTTAACAAAAGAAAAAAAATCAGAGGAAGCACGACGTTAGAAACGACCACATGGAAATGCTATCATTTACTGAAAATACTACGTATACTTCATTTTTAAAATAAAGTTATATCTTTTTTCCCTCTTTTAGGTTCATTCAAAGGTCGAGAAATCTACCATATATGGATATTGTTGTCGTTGCGCAAGACGGTGTTTACCGCGAAAAATTGCCAATTCCGATGAATGAACAGAAAAGCGTGCTGGTCTAGTTACTCCAAACAAGTGATTCAGGCAAATTTACGACACGATTTCGAATGACTAATATTTTCTACTTTTTTCTTAAAAATAGAAAGATTAAGTACTAATTAAGATTTCCCATACTCACATTAACAAACAAATTCAATTTTCATTGTTGAATGGTACGTTGAAATACCGCTCACAAAGTCTTTACAAGTAATAAGAATCCAGTTTAATAACTTGATATTCGTAATTTGCCATGTGCTATTGGATTCGAACCAACTCATCACACCGCGACTCTAGAGCAAACGCTCTAACCACTGCGCCACGCGAGCGACGCTATTGGTGTTATTCGTCGTAGCTTTGTAATTGTTGACTAGAAATTAAAAATTTAATGCATTTAAAAACATAAGTTTATTGCTGCAAGACATGTACCTCGGCCATAGTAGCTATATATCAAAGTAGTATACGTAGTAAACAAAATATATATAGACCATTTCAAACTAGACGAGTCATCGAAGATCATTTATACATGACATTACGTGAGTACACCTCAGAGTAGATTGCTTTGGACGATGGAATACACGTGAAAATTGTATTCACTGACAGTACAGCACGGGAATACAGGCAATTGTCCACAAATAACTTATACAATGGAGTGGAGAATATCCAAATTTTACTGTTGTAAAACAATTGTTTGTAAATGTTAGCATCAAATTAGTAGATAATGATGTACAAATTGTTTTAAGTGTATAATGCTTGAAAATGGCAATATGTTTGTCCGAAAGCGATTAGAAAAACTGGCCTTTTCTAAACGTTGTATTTTTTGTAATAACGAATAATGCAGTGCGACTCATTTAGCTGAATGGTCGGTTTGTCACTCACGTTGGTGCCTCATTTGGCATCTAAATTTATTCCGACGTCACAGCTGAAAATAGTTTCTTTGACCTGATTCACCCTTATTTATTACATGGATATTAATAAGCCCGCTTCTAAGGAAAGGGGGTATAGTGTTTTACATTATAATGCCCCTAAAACGGGCAAAAGTTAAGATCTGAGTAAATAATATTTCAGCCTTCATACATATCTATAAATTCACGAAAATAACTTCTTTCCTTCAATACTCTGAAGGAAAGTTAAAGTTTGTTGCTGAGTGATTGTAGAACAGAAAGACAGACGAGACTGGAACGACATTTCCCCGATCTTCGATCTCGGGGGCATACAAAATACTAATTCTGCCCTACGATTGTGATAGAAATACTGGCAATATACTCCCCTTTCTTGATCATTATAGATACATGTATAATCTGCATTACAATGCTCATATGCATTATGTAAATAAAGTCTTTATAAGAGGATTTTCGGTGAAAGGAAAAATGATTTCTTTTCACCTATATCCTAAAAACCCTTTTATATTCTTAAACACCAAATTTGTTTGTAGGAAAGACGTACATGGTCAGAAGGGAATCTTTTCCTATAGGCTAGCAAATTAAAAAAGTGGGTTACAATCCCGTAACCCCTTCCCCTTATAACAAGCCACAATAGATACGCTCATACGAACCTCACATGGTACTTGATTCTAACACAATGTGTTACAATACTCTTTTGTAAAGTTCTATATTTTTTGCACACGCAACATCAAATGTGCTAATATTGCCAATCATACTCAGGAAAACATTATGTAAATTAGACAAGAAGCCTTTTTCATAATACAACATTCGTTCTTTTCTATTGGTAATTTTTTTTTTTTACATGTAACTAGAAAAGGGAAAGACGATACTACCGTGTATAGACTTGTGTCAATTCTTAGTATACAAAGCACCTCTCTTTTTTTAATCAGTCAAATTTTTTGATGTAAAAAGCCTCAGTTTGTTAAGGACTTTGTGGACACTAACAAACGACAAAAGACATTGGTAAAGATTTCGAGCTCATCATTTTTTGTGCCCCTGATATCGAAGGTCAGAGGCATATTGATTTAGTTCTGTGTTTAATTTTTCTTTTTTACAAATTTAATCTTCCCTATATTTTTATGAGAAGAAGTCTGAGACTTTATTCATAGAAAATCAAATAAACTTACGAAATCGAATTTTCTTATCAATCTTCCATTTTTTTCCTCGCAAATTAATTTGGGTAGCGTTCCAACACGTTAAACTTTCTTATAACTTCTGAAGAAAAGAAGACTATATTTTTATTTATTGCACATAATTTTCTCAGAGTAAAATCAAAGATCACAATTATGGAAGCTATACATTTTCCTTTTCTTACACCAGCGAAGAAAAGGATCTTGATTTTTTAAAATAATCACAACTGTGGAAACTTATTTTATTAAATGTGATAAATCAAAGAATATGCGTATTCTTGTTCTAAAAGTCATTATCATTATAGCTTGTTAGGTTTTCCTTTAATGGGGATAAAACATCATGTATTATTAATGTAATGTATAGTATAACCTTTTAATGTTGCCATTTAAACTTTAAAGCTTTCAAAAATGAACACTTCATATCATAAGGCTGCGTGATTTAACCCATATGTATTTGCCTAACAAGATTTTTTGTATCAAAAAATGACACAGGGTCATTATTCTTCATGGTCATTTTTCTACAATCCACATGAAAAAAAATGACACCAAGGCCATAATTTCTACAGAAAATTGGGTCATTTTCCTACGTAGAATATTGACCAGGAGGTCAAATTTCCACGTAGAAAAATGATTCCCGGTCAATATTCTACGTGGTCACTTTTGGGTTAGGTACATCATGTGCATATTAAAAAGACCTGCAATAGCTAGAAGAAATAGATATCAGTGACTGTATTTCAGACGGTAGACTTCTAAAGTACATGTAGTATTTTTATTGCAATGTATTCAACATTTGCTTCGGCGGAGAGAGAATTTGGAAGCTGTAGATTCAGTGGTATGATCACAAACTTGAAGGGGACCCTCAGCCGGAAAGATATTTCTTCGACAAGCCAAAAAAGTCCATTCGACAGTGCTACACTGCGAACATTTACTTGTTATAGTACTTTACATTACTACATGTAGTTCAACCGTAAAACAAAAGGGGGCACAGGCGGGAAATTTTTATCATGAAAGTAAACACCTATCTGCTGAGTGGTCAGTTGTGAATGGCGCCACCTTTGGAACTGAAGACGACCTTATCAGTGCTCCTCGAGTGATTCTTCCAAGGTTCGTATGATCGTGATGAGAACTTTGACAGATGTACATATTTGATATATAAACTCCGAAGTCATCGGAATTTTTCTTAGATTCGTTTCATATCTCAGGAATTACAGAAATGTAAGTTAAAGTTTCCTGTAAATTTCAGGATATAATGCAACAATTTCAAGAAGGGGTGCTAGATAAACTTACATTAACTGATAATTGAACCGTTTTAGAAAAGAAAAATAATCTTCAATTTAATTTTCAAAATGTTCAATATGTTTTTAGATAAACAATAAAATGAAAATTTCAAATAATCCTGATTTTAATCTTTAAACTGCTAGCGTGCCAGATTCGTTTCAAACCTTTAATATCCTCTACAGCATATATAGATGTAGTGTTACATTCAAAACGAGTTTATATAGTGCAAATTTCCAGTTGTAGCAGAAACGATTACAAAGATGCATTTAAACAAGCTGTTGGGAAGTATACTAGAAAATCATTTCTCTGAAGACATTCAAAATTTCGTCTTTGGAACAATGAAGATAGCCCTTGTCCTGTTGTTATATTAACAGCTGGTGCCGAGGAGGCAGACCTTGATGATCTGACGAATGCTTTTACAAATGTTGGACATGTTCCAATGTTTTTACAAGTGTTGGACAGGCTCTAACAAATACAGTCAATACTCTTAGCAATCTGGTTAAATTCATATGACAGAATCTTCTCCATGTTGCCAAAGAACAAGGACACAACTTGCCTCCAGAGCTCTTCAGAGTGAGCTTTTTGTTTACGTCTGATGCTGCTTTCTGCGGGGCTTTACAGTAATCTCCTTGGTTGTTACCATGGGAATCAAGCAAACCCTCGCTATACGAAAAGCAGTTTACTTACAAATGCTTCGATAAATCTAGCTTTGCATAGAAGCTTCGCTTGATTTGTGTGTGCTTTTTATTCAGATTTTATTCAGGCATGTCTTAGAGTTATACATAAAAAAGAGATTAATGAATTAAATTGTTTGTGTTTTGCAGAATAATGAAAGTTGCATTCGTTTTACTGTTGTGCTTGGCGGCCGGTAGTCAAGCCAGCTTTTTAGATGATCTGAAAAATGCTTTCTCAAACGTTGGTTCTGCCCTAACAAACACAGTCCATGCTGTTGGAGATCAAGCCAAAGTTGTTGGACAGAATCTTCTCAGTTCAGCTGCTGAACAAGGAAAACAACTCGCCTCTCAAGCTCTTCAGAGTGAGCATCTAAAATTAGTTCTTGTCTTTTTAGACTATTTAATCATTTCATTATGCCTGTGGTATAATACTATAGTTTCTCGCAATATTGATGGATTTTTCTACAAACGAATATTATTAGTAAACTTTCATTGCTTTAATAGTGAGATGCTTTTACTTACACAGAATACGAACATATATACATGTACATGCAGTTTTTTGTTTTATATTGACTTTCTACAGTTAAGTACATATTATTGATACTACACTGATCCTTTTGAATTATTTTTTTCCATTCCCTGAAATTCCTTGAATTTTTAATTTGTCTTATTTCCAATGCATTTTGCCTAATACAAGCAACTGGATCTCAGCCTTACATTATATGAAAGTGCATATAGCAGTACTGTAATCCCTTAATGCGCTGTGGTTGTGAAACATTTTTTTTCTTCTAAATCCAATGAACAACATGTGTCTCTGATTTAATTTTTTTAAATTTAGAAAACTCTGAGATGATTGAGTAGTGACCTTTTTTCTATTTCTCTTCAATACTTATCTCATTTGAAAAAAAGGAATATTTTTGGGATCTATAATTTTTACGCAATCTAGATCTACCTCTTATACTTCTTTTTAAATAAAATTATCGTACAATGTAGTCATAAACTGTAAATGAATTTACAAAATCGTAACATATAAAAAAATTTACGTTTGTAAAAAAAGGTCTTTTGATGGGAACAATGAATGCTCTCAGCAGCAGTGGCACCACCGACACCTCCGGTACCAAGCGCTCTCTGTCGTACGTATTATGGCAATTTAACACTCATAAAATCAATAAAAGCTATAAAAATTAAGTTTTAAGTTAAAATGACCAATTCCTAAATAGATGATATCTAAACACCTTACAAGAACGAAAAGGGACGAGGTCTAATGATCCCAAGTTTTTAAAAATACCTATTCAATAGATATAGCATTAAGAATCAATAAATTTTCTGTAATTTTCAAGAGAAAGCAATGTAATGGTCGTTTCTAGTTTCTATGCATTTCTACACAGCGAACTTCTGCAGCAGGCCAAACCCCTGACTGATGCCGCCAAGCAGATCGTTCAGCAGAAGATGGACAACATGAATGGAGTTTACACTGAGGCTCTGAACCAGATTAAAGCTCTGGCCTCACAACTCACAAACATGCCCGCCTCCGAAATTATCCAGAAAGTCGATCAGATTGTTTGTAAGTATGCGGATGTAAAAAACACCCATACACACCTTCCTCGACCCTAAATACCGCTAGTATTATCAAATGCTAAATTTATATAATCCTGATTATTAGGCACATGTGTATTATTATATTATTATACGAGATCCGTTGTCACTGAGACAGTGAATTATCTTTAGTATTTGTTCATTTAAGGTAGAACCTATGTCGGAAAAGTCTTTGTCACAAGATTTTCAAACTTTTCAAAATGATATATTAGCACTCGCTTATCAATCAGTTAAAAATATGTGGTATGTTTCCTTGTTATTAAATGTCGTGCAGCCTGTGCAACTTGGAATGATAATGTTACGCTGCGACTACATATTTTCATCCATATTTAGGGGTACTGGTCCTAAAGAAAATATAGAAAATCACAAAAATACTTCTTCAAACATCGTCGTTTATAGACTTTATTAACTGAGCCGTATTAAGCAATATTATTCAAGAATAAATTCTGTTTTATTCAATTGACATAAAAGATTAAGTCCACATTTCAACAAATGTAGGCAAATGTGCCCAATATTTTTTGAGTCAATTTACCACCTAAATTTGTAAATATTTTTCAAAAGTCTTTGTCAGAATGTTTTCAATCTTTAATATGATAAAGATCAAACCCAAATAATTACAAAAAGTGATTAAAATATATACCTTTCGCCGCAAACGAATGAGAGACACTATTTATCAATACATCTTTTGTTGACCTTTTTGCACTTACACAGGATTTAATTATTAAATGACTGTTTTGGGGTAATAACATAACGTTCAGATTTACAATGTGAATATTTATTTAAAAAAATGTAATTTTTTTTAATTAAAAAAAATAATATTTTACATAATATAATATTTTACATGTTTTAGGGAAACATTATTTTTATACACCAACCATTTTGAATAATTAACAAATAATTATGAAATGGAATGCACGTCATTTCATGATAGACATTACAAAATTTACACAAAATTTTTAACAGATCTTTGACTCAGACACATTTCATCAACATATTGTACTATTTAGATTTCTTGCGATTTCTGATTGCCTTCAAAATAGTTGCATGCCATTCATATTATCACAGTTGTGTAACTTCATTACATGAGACAGTCTTGGAGAAAGTACGGGAAAAAGTAACATTAAATTAATTATGACGTCATAATGGATCTAGCATCAAAAAAGACAGTCTAAACTCATTTACTTGATATGACGTCAAACGACGTAGGTTCTACGTTAAAGTCCAAATTTCTTTCTTTTTTATACCTCCCTAAAATCAAAGAATATAATCAGAAAACAACACACTTACGTGTCTTTACATAGCTGCCCATCACGCTGTCAGTAACAAACTTCAATCTGAGCTCGTCTCCGATCTGACCCAACTGTTCGGAAATGTCCTTTCTCTTCACCCTGGAAACAAGAGAAACACCTTTACTGATGCCCTTGGCACAGTTGGACAGGGTCTTGCTAACTTCTTCCAGCCTCATGTACAGGCTCTTCAACAGGTAAGCCTACCTGATACCAAACACATCATATAGTTTGAATGAACAAAATCTTGCTTTGAGTGTTGTGGCATTTTTTTTTATTTTTTAGTTGGTCGGTGGAGTTGGTGAATCCCTGAAGCAAACTGCAAGTGCTTTCCAAACCAGCTTGACTTCTGGTGCCCATGGAGATGCTATTGCTCAATCTTCAGCTCAAATCGCTCAACATGGACAAAATGCTCTTAGCGCCCTCAAGGATGCTGTTACAGATATCCTTCGTATGTCTTTGCTCAAATGAATCTTAATTCTAAGCATATATTTTTAAGATTTTAAAATGATTTTCAAGTCTACTTAAGAAGTGATTATTTTCAGAACAAACTCTGACCAACATGCAGCCACACATCGTTAATGTTCTCTCAAATGGCGCCCAGGCTCTTCAAGAAACCCTCTCCAATACTGGATCCGCTCCAGCTAACCCACAGTAAAGTGCAACAAATAGAAAATATTTTATTGTACACTAGTACACTTTTTAAAAACTCGTATATAAAAACAATAAAAAGATGGTGGAAAACAATTTGTTCGTTTTTTTTAATATTTATAAATGTGTACAACTTGGTCATAATTGTATCAAAAGTAAAGAATTACACATAGAGAACAAAAAACGGTATTGCGCACAATTTTAAGATTTGTAGAGATAATATCACTAAAAACAATTATATGTATGATCAAAAGAAAATAAAGTGTAATGGAAGAGAATTAATTCGTCGATGAATTGAAGATTTCTACATTGACTTATTTGCTTTTGACTTCATGGTCACTCTTTTTTATTGAGAACACACTGTTCCCTTACATAGAGGACACCTCATGCACAACAAAGTAATTTGTGGAGAATTTCGCTGTTTTATTTATTAACGTGTTATTAAAGATTTCTTTCAAGAATTCGATGTAATCATCTTAAGTCCAAGGAATTCACTTAATCCATTTAAAAAATACTAAATGTTAATTCATTCACCATCTTCATCATTTGATTTGGCGTTACCCAGAGTACCGATTCAAGTGTATTTTACAGTACCAATATACATGTCCGACAAAATTCTCATAACAGGTACCATGAAGGATTTAGCATCCTCTGTCGACCAGCCGTGTTCCCCTTGTCACGATCGGATAAATGGAGAAATTCGTAAACAATTCACTTGGAAAAAAAATATTCTAATATATTTTTTTGAAAGACTTAAATCAACATATAATCTAACGATATATTGTATTTTGCAAACAACTTGAAACAAGTCATTGTATCAACCACAGAATTTGCGAAATGCAGACTTTAAACGCGAACCCTCAAATCATTTTTCAGTAATCTGTCTCGTTTTAGAATTTGTTCATGCTGTTTATTTCTAAAATAAGTTGTATTGAAATTAGTTGGCAAAAACCCATATGCAGGCGATATATGTATATTGCTACACAAATATGAGAACTTGCCGAGAGGAGAGTTGAAATCATCACATTTCTCATAAAGTTCAGTTGTCAGTTTGCCATCAATGTCTTTTTCTAGTAAAACATCCAAACACAAGATAATTTATTGACGCAACGCATCAAAACGGCCATAAACGTTCCACATGCTAATCATAATACCCTGAGTCTTATATGTCACGTGATGATGCCGATGATATGATGGATATCACAATAAATGTAGAAGTATCGAAAAATTATTGTTTTGTCATTCGTAATCAAAGTATCTATGCATTTAAAGTTTCATCAATTTAACTCGAGGTTTGTAATATTCTACAGATCAATTTACATGAAATCGTTTGTCATAAAAAAAGAATACAAAGGTGCATATTTCTTGATAATCATATAAATTTTGCATGCAATTAAAAAATGAGAAAAAAAATCTTTTTATAAGATTAAACTAAAAGGTTCAAAGAGAATAGATGTGGGGTATAATACCCTGAATCTCACATGCTGATGCCATTGATTTTTGTAGGTGCGATGATAGAACATCACAATAAATGTGAAGTATCGAACAATTTTTGTTTTGTCATTCGCACCTGTTTCAATTTCAAAACAAAATTCAATACCAATTTTTCTTGGTAAAGGTGGATATCTGATTAAAAGACGTGACGTCATACATTTTTACTTTAATTAATCTTATATAGATAAAAATGATACATAAAATAAGCTTTGCAAATGGAATTCAAAAGATAGATAAATGCAAGGAAGAGGAACTTGCATGAATGACCGGTCGCCCTTTAGTGTCACTTATCTTGAATCCATCTGACGGTACAAGAGAGGATCTACACACAGAGGAATGAAAATGAACTTTGGAATGATTTAAATAATTTTAACAAAACAGTTCAATGCAAGATGTTTTTGTGCAAGTTGGCAGTGAAGATTCTCAGAAAAGCAAGGAATAGAATTTAAATAGATTAGATGAAGTGAAAAGTAAAGTCATGACAAATAAGAATTCATAGCTGTAGAACATATTGGGATTAGGCCTAACACAGTCATTGCTTATCTATTGCTACGTTTTTGCTTTCTATTGTTTATGAAATAAAGCATCCTCATCATAATACTCTCGCTAGGCATTTGAATGGCGTAATATGGAGCCATTTTATGCACCGAAACATACATTCTTATCTTTGCCTGATAGCATTCAAATGACTATTACACGCGGTATATAACAGCAGATTTGCGCTAGTCTTGTTAACAGTAAGGTTCGTTGGATAATAGCCGATGTGAGTATTAATATTTCATTCACTTTTTCTCTTGCTCTGTGTTTGACAAAAACATCAACTTGTAATAAAAGGCACGTATTGTCTTATACATTTTCTGAACAACGTCTCCAGTTTGTCGAAATTGAATCCAGACTGGCCAAACTGTGAGGAGAAACTCTTTTTTGCTGATGGTACTCATCCGACTGAGATACCCTTAGAAACTTTGCTAAAAATAATGTATTATGTATTTCTTGATTTTTTTTCAATATAACTTTGTTGGTTAAAACACTTAAAGGCCATATCAGGTATAAAGAAGATTCTATTTGGTACCTCTTATACTATTCCTCGGCTCAGCCTCATGTAATAAGTACAGGTGGAAGGTACCACCAAGGTTTTTCTAGCTCCCGACAAACATGAAGTATTCATTAAACATACGTTCACCACACAACAGATAAAGAGAGCTTTTATCAAATTAAAGTTTTCGTATATACAAATAATTAGACCATTTTTAACGAAAAAGAAGTTACTACAGATACTAAAAATGTCTGATTTGGAATAAAAATTTTCTGTCTTAAAGACAGAGGTTACACATTTGTGGCACATCCGAGAGATAGCCAGTCTTCTTTGTTTAGTTCAAACCAAACTGATAGCCAAAAATTGTTACTGACTATAAAGGAAATTTTAAATATATTATATTTGTTATACATATTGATTTTATTTTGCCCTTGTTATATGGTGATGTAAAGAAACACATGTAATTGGATTTTCAACACCTGCATATCACTTTTTTTAGTCTCTTCTTTACATATAGTGAAATCATGAAGGTAGCCATTCTCCTGTTGTGTCTGGCTGCTGGAAGTCAAGCCAATTTTTTCGATGACCTAAAGAATGCCTTCACAAATGTTGGACACGCCCTAACAAACACAGTCCATGCTGTTGGAGATCAGGCCAAAGTTGTTGGACAGAACCTTCTCACTGCAGCAAAAGAACAAGGCTCACAGCTTGCTTCACAAGCTCTTCAAAGTTGGTTCTTTTTAATTACGACTTCCTTATTTCTTTCGATGTGAATCTTGTATAATATTTTTGCATTTAATTGTTCAGTATTGACAGATCTGTATGTTACCTCATCAATAACTTAATCTCATGCAATCCATAAACTATATATATATTTACATTTGCAAATGTTTTCTTTTATATAACACTATTAAAAGTAATGTGTATCTATATCCGTATAAACTCCTCACGTCATAAATGTTCGACGTAATTTCTCAGTGACGCCATAAAGGGTCGACGCGCAATCAATAGATCAAACACGTGCCGTTGAGCTTGAAAAATAAAAGATTTCACGCCTTAAAGATTATAATCAGGCAAATAGAAAATATAAATAAGTCACAAATGTAAATATAAGTGATAAGGTATCATTTTTAAACATCTATCGGGATATGAATATCCCGGTATATGTTTTAAAATGATACCTTATTTCTTAAATAAACAGAAAACAAGTGTGATTTTTTTATATGGCTGTATCTAGGTTTGTTGATGGGAACCATGAATGCTCTCAGTAATCCTGGTGGAACAGACACATCTGGTACAAAAAGATCTCTGTCGTACGTAACATGTCCTTACCTCTTTTTCTGCATTCATTAAAAAATACATAAACCAGGCATAAGAGAAGAGGGACTCCTGAATATTATATCGACGCAAATCTTTATCAGAGTATCAAGAACACATGTAATACCAGGAGACCTTTGTTGTATGTGTTTTTGTCTACAACTTTTTTTATCATTTATTGCAAATGAACGTATATATCATAAGACAAACATAAGAAAGCTGGGAAGGAGGGTCTTCTCTTAAATATCAAACTAGTGTGAATTCTTATCTAATCAATAGGAATTCTCAGAGAAGACAAAATAATTAAGGAGAAAACGCTAAAGCTAGTCGCCAAGCAATATCTCTTTTAAAAAAATCAAGTCAACAGTTTTCCCACATTGTCCATACCTTTTTCCAATACATACAGTAACGACCCTGAAAATGAAACACCTTTTCTACGCAACCTGAATTTAAAAGTCTGAGGTGTCGACATATATATACATTTGTTTAAACTGTAATTCTCACAGTGAACTCCTTCAGCAGTCAAAGCCTTTGACTGATGCCGCCAAGCAGATTGTAGAGGAGAAGATGGACAAACTGAAAGGTGTCTACACAGAGGCTGTGGACAAGCTCAAAACTCTCTCCTCTAAACTGACCGATCTTCCTGCTTCTGAAATCATTAACAAAGTTGACCAGGTCGTGGGTAAGCACCTGAATTCAGTTAATGAAAAAATGTTCTTTTAAATGTTTTATGTTTTGACTACGTGCCAAGCAATGTGTGATTATAATACATGCAATTTATTGTAAAAAGCTATGTTTAGTTGCCCACCACATTGTTGCTGATAATATCCAAACGGAACTCGTAACTGAACTGACCGAACTATTCGGAAAGGTCCTAGCTTTACACCCAGGAAATAAGAGAAGCACCTTCACAGATGCCCTTGCTACAGTTGGACAAGGTCTCGCCAACTTCTTCCAGCCCCATGTCCAAGCAGTTCAACAGGTTCCTTTTATAAATTATATACTAGTACATGTATTATGTCAAATACAACAAACACACACTCAATCTGTTGTCATGTAATTTTGTTCATTTTCTATGTTTTATAGCTGGTAAGTGGGGTAGGTGAATCACTGAAGCAGACAGCCACTGCATTCCACACAAGTCTAACGACAGGTGCTCACGGTGATGCCGTTCATCAGTCTGTTTCCGCTCTGGCACAACATGGACAAAATGCACTTAATGCTCTAAAGGACGCAGTTTCCGATGTCCTTCGTACGTTCTACTTTACATTATATCAAGCTGATTCGCAAGAAACTCAAAGACATATAAACTTTGTCATTTTACTATCTAACAGAGGAAAAGGCGTATAGATAACATGATTTATTCTATATTACAGAACAAACTCTGACCAACATGCAGCCACACCTTGTTAACCTTCTCAATCACGGTTCCCAGGCTCTTCAAGAAACCCTCGCCAAACCAAACCCAGGTACAACATCCGAGTAGATGGATTAAATATTGACTTGACTGGTGTAATAAAAAAAATAAGAAAATTAACGAAATTTGTTTCTTTTCGTGTTATTTATTCTTTACATGCTTTTATCAGTCACCATTTTTTTTCGGGTTGTGTATATTTATTGCCCAAATTTAGCCCCCCAAAATTAGAATTTTATATTTAGAAACTTTAAGTGCTGAAATAGGCCTAAAAGTTTGATTAAAATTTGTTTTTGCTTCAAGGGGAAAAAACAACTCTTTTACAAGTTTAAAAATGATAAAAACATTTTCGTGTGGTATGGAAAGCTTATCATAAGTGTGTGGTTACGTGTCATGATTGATTGATTGATTGAATGTTGTTTCACGTCCCGTTCGAGAATTTTTCACTCATTTTGAGACGTCACCATATACTGGTAAAGGGCCTCAAATTTAGACCATTACTCGGCACTCAGGACCATTGAGCAGTGAGGGTTCTTTATCCTGCTAAAGCCTACCGTGACATAAATGTTTCCTTGGCATTAAATATAATCAAAAGGGCAAGAGATCGATTAATTATGTGGTGTGTTATTGGTCAGTATTTAGTGAGTCAAACTTTCATATCCTTCTAGATGTCCCGGAAACAATAAAAAGATTTCGAGTAAAATTTATATCACTGATACGAGAAAAAATAGAATTGAAGGTGGTGTTGAGTCGTTTGAGAATGAAAGACTATTCAGTAAATATTTTTCTTTCAGTTTAATTAATTTTAAGACTTAGATTTTATCATAGAAAAAAAATTATAACAATTTTATACGCCGTAGCAGCATGATAATTATTCAAAACGAATATTCCAGTAGGCGATGCATAAATCATCTTAAAGGTTTTCAAGGAATTCCCTACGTTATTCCTTATCCTTCCACATATTTTATACCCTGTATTTTGGTGTGCTCTAAGGTTACTTTGCTTATGTAGAATTCATTTTTATGCACAAAAATTGGAATAATAGATTTACTCTGAAATGCTGTTACAGAGTACAGTTGAACTTCGATATATCGAACACTGATATTTCAAATACGATGGATATGTCGTAGTGATTTGGAAGTCTCAGCCCCTTATCCTTATCCTTATTCTTTAAGTATTTACCCGTGATATCTCGAATCCTCGGATATCTCAAAAATCTTTCTCGATCCCATTGAGCTCGAGATAATGAAGTTTGACTTTACCTATTTTTACTGATATGACCTAGTCCAAAATTTTCAAGCAAGACATCAGAATAAAGAATGACGTAATATGGTGCCATTTTATGCACCGAAACATACCATTCTTATCTTTGAAAGCATTAAAGTGACTATTGCACACAGTATATAATAGCTGATTTGTGCTTGTTTTATTAGCAGTAACGTGGATTACAGTCGACGTAAGTATCAATGTTTCCACCAAATGATAGTAAAATCAGGCTCAATAAAAGAAATCAATTCGTTTACTAGATTCTTATAAGTGTGATTATAAGTGGAATAACAAAAAAATAAAAGCAAATAATGTTTTTAATTGGGCTTTATCAAATAAAAGAAATCATTGCGTATAATATATCATACTTTCCTCACTTTCATAAAACTTGTATTTTTTTCATTGTGTCAAGCTTGCATTATTTTTCATATTAAGACACTACTTAAAGTATCAAAATATTAGATATAAAAATATTATTCATTGTTGAATCTTGTTCGCAAATACTAAAGAAGAACTGGTTCTTAGGGTTTGGATAGTTTTCTGATTAAGCAAATTATCTATTATAGATATAAAAAAAATATGAGTTACATATATCTAATCAACTAGCAAAGCCTTTGACATTGATTTATGCTGAGTATAAACAAACTGTATCTGTTTAGTTGTTACAGGATAACGGTTAAGTAGTTAGTCAGATTTCTGTTTTGTTTTTCTTATGTGCAGTATTTTTTCTATAATGGTTCACCATTCCTCTATTCACACATGTAAAGTTTTGCGTTGTTGTTAATGTTTTTCCAAAAATCTTATTAATAATAAAAATGAACACAATCTCAACATACCTTGTGGGCTAAATTTTGACGGAAATTGTCTTTTAACATTACAATTTTTTAAAGGAATAACTGTCTCTGATTTTTCTTTCTTATCAGAGAGTCAATTAACCTTAAACCTCATGCCATATTTGCTTGGGGAATCTATAGGTTTCTCTCTCCAACATGGTATACTTCTTGTATCTTTATGTTCTTATATGTATTAAATATTACTTACAGGTACCTACACGTCTTATCATCATCTTGAAAGTATTTAGTATTTCGAAGAGTATGGTTTACAAATTTGAAAGAACACATGAAATAACTTCTGAAAACGATAAAAATTAAAATTCAAACTAAAATTTTCTGTGTTTTTTGAAAGAAGTTAGTTCTTTTGGTCTTTGATACTTGTGTTCAATTTATTTTTATTAAAATCACATCCACTGAAAAAATAAGAAGCCTAACATGAAGCAATTTTATCTAAATACATCATTTAAATCAATTTTTGGTCAGGGGAATAGATAAAGACAAGAAATTATTCAATTACCATCAATTATCAACACTTCTCAAATACTATATCTTGAATGAATACATCTTATCTATGTGCAGTGGAATCATGAAGGTAGCCTGTATTTTCCTGTTGTGTCTGGCTGCTGGAAGTCAAGCCAATTTTTTCGATGACCTGAAGAATGCCTTCACAAATGTTGGACACGCCCTAACAAATACAGTCCAAGCTGTAGGAGATCAGGCTAAAGTAGTTGGACAGAACCTTCTCAATGCAGCTGCTGAACAAGGAAAGCAGCTCGCTTCTCAGGCTCTTCAGAGTAGGTATCTTCCACAACTGCTTCTTATACTTTAGTCTTCTCTGATTATTGTTCGTGTCAAACAAATAAACCTTAAAATAGAATACAAAATATCAAATGAATATGTGTCTTTTCTTTATTTACAAAAAATAAATCAACTGCAATCAAAAACTCCGAAAAATAAAAACATGTTCCGATAGCAGGTACCCCATTAAGAATTATGTTTGTGTGTGTTAACATTCTCCAGGTCTGCTGATGGGAACCATGAACGCTCTCAGTAATCCTGGCGGTACAGACACGACTGGTACCAAAAGATCTCTTTCGTAAGTATCATGCCTCTGACCAACTAATCATTTTGTATTTCAAGTAAATATGAATATTATTATCAACACATAATTATGAAAGACAATTACATAAAATTATCAAAATGTGTATTTTTATCCAATTTCCCATCAAGACAAAATATTAAGCCATGTAGGAAAGAAACCTAAAACATTTAGATTTCTACGCAGCCATATTACTGCATTCCATAGTGGTGGAGTCTTCTTTTCAAGAACTTCACATTGTTTAACATGAGTTGAAAACTTGAAAACAAGACATAACATGTTTTGATAACCAAAAGAATCGGTTACTAGTATCCAAAGTGACGACGTACATCAGTAATGCAAACTGTAGTTATAATCTTTCTCGACAGTGAAATCCTCCAACAGTCAAAGCCTTTGACTGATGCCGCCAAGCAGATTGTGGATGAGAAGATGGATAAACTGAAAGGTGTCTACACAGAGGCTGTGGACAAGCTCAAAAGTCTTTCATCTAAACTGACCGATCTTCCCACTTCTGAACTTATCCGCAAAGTTGACCAGGTCGTTGGTCAGTATTTGAATTCAGTTCATCAAAATCTGTTTGATATATTTTTAAGAGTTCTGTGGATGTCATACGGTTGGCTCGGGTGTCAAATGTTCTTGCAAAATATGTTTTATAATATTGTAAGTAATACAAAATTTGTTTGCTCTATCGTAATTAACACAAAATTTTCTTCAGCTGCCCATCACATTATTGCTGACGATATCCAGACCGAGCTCGTAACTGAATTGACTGGACTCTTCGGAAAGGTCCTCGCATTGCACCCAGGAAATAAGAGAAGCACCTTTACAGACGCCCTTGCTACAGTTGGACAAGGCCTTGCCAACTTCTTCCAGCCCCATGTCCAAGCAGTTCAGCAGGTTCCTTTATAAATATACAATACACACCATATCAATGTGTTGCCAATGGCATGTAATTTTGTTCATTTTGTGTGACATTTTATAGCTGGTCAATGGAGTGGGTGAATCATTGAAACAGACAGCCACTGCATTCCACACAAGTTTGACCACAGGTACTCACGGAGATGCTGTTCATCAGTCTGTGTCCGCCCTGGCACAACACGGAAAAAATGCACTGGATGCTCTAAAGGACGCAGTTTCCGATGTCCTTCGTACGATCTGTACTTTACATTATACCACACTGATTCACAACAATACTTTCTAATTGAGGAAAAGGCATTAAAATGATATTTCTAACCTATATTACAGAACAAACTCTGACCAACATGCAGCCACACCTTGTTAACCTTCTCAATCACGGTTCCCAGGCTCTTCAAGAAACCCTCGCCAAACAAAATACAGGCACAACATCTGAGTAGATTGATTATGTTGAATGGTATAAATAAAAAAATATTAATAAAAATGTTTTTAACGGTTTTTATTTTTTATACGCTTCCATCGGTCACCAAATTTTTGGGTTGTGTATACCGGTAGTTGTTGTCCAAATTAAGCGAAATAAATTCAACCTTATATATTTAGAAACTTCCAATGCTAAAATAGCTCTAAAAGTGTGTTACATGTATTTTGTTTTTGCTTTTAGAAAAAAAGAACATTTTTACAAGTTTAAAAATGAATAACGCTTTCGTATGGTATGGAAAGCTTATCATAAATGTCTGGTTACGTGTCATAAATGGTTTTCTTGGCATTATTTGTAATTAAAAAGGCATGAGATTGCTTAAATGAGTATGTGGTGTATTCTGATTGGTCAGTTTTTATTAGGTCAAACTTTCATATCCTTGAAGACGTCCCGGAAACAATAAAAAGATGTCAAGGAAATTTTTATTACTAATACGAGAAAATAAAAAGATTTGAAGGTGGTGTCAAGCCGTTTGAGAAACGAAATACCATTCAATAAACACTTCTTCAGTCTTAATTTTAAGACTTAGGGTTTATCATATAAAAAAAAATATATAACAATTTTTTTTAATGCAGTAATAGCAGTATAACAATCATTCAAATCGAATATCATCGTAGACAAAACATAGATTATATCAAACAGATTTTCAAAGGGATTCAATTCCAAATTTTATTCATTACCATGTCATATATTTTGTTCCATGTCTTCTGCTGTGTTAAAAGATCAATTTGCTTATGTTGACTTTACTTTCATGGCACAAAAGTGGAAATTTAGACTTAACTTGTATTCTGAGATCCTGCTTAACAGTTTTTTTTATTATAATTATATTGAAAAAGTCTTGTCCAAACTTTCCGCTAAGTCTTCGGAATGTAGCATGACGTAATATGGTGCCATTTCATGCACCGTAACACACTATTCTTATCTTTGCCTGATACCGTTCAACTGACTATTGCACACAGTATATAACAGCAGAGAAGAACAAGTCTTGTTATTAGTAAAGTGGATTACAGTTGATGTAAGTACATGTATCAATGTTTCCTTTACATGACAGTAAAATCAAGCTCGAGAAAAGAATTTACTTAATATGATGGATTTTGATTAGTGTGATTAAAAGCATGTTCTACAGGACAGGATCAGTAAAAGTATAATGTGAAAGTATTGACTTTGAGAATGACAGGATATTTTGATTAGACTTCATCAAATACTCCAAATGCATGTATCATTTTCTACCCTTTATTATACTGTCCTCCCTTCATAAAACTATTCTAATTTATTTAAATTTCTTTCATCCCTGTCGAGCTGGTATTATTTTCCATATTAAGAATTACTTAAAGTAAAAAAATATAGATATGAAAACGCACAATTCATGGTCAAATCTTGCTTGACATTACGAGAGAAGGACTGGTTTTTAGACGGGTCACGTGACCCCGTCTATTAGCTTACTGTCAGTCCAGGTCTCAAACGGGAGACGTACGCTTAGCACCTCAATTGAATCTACGCTGAAGAAAAGAGTACAGAAATTGTTTTAATCAAAAGACACAAACACACACACACTAATTCAAACAAATGAAAGTAATCTGAAGACCTTTCTACATATGAAAGATAATGGTAAGGCATTTTGAAAATATTAATCTTTTGAAAATCACTATATGTATACAAATTACTCGGATGAGTAATGTTATACTGTGTCACTGTTTGCTAAGTTCCAATAATGTCAGATAAATTTGGACAATGCTGAAAGGTCCCCCAACTATCCAATGTAATTCAGAGCAATTCTAATATTTTGTTTATAATGTACACTTTCCAGTTTCATTTAATTTTTTTTTATTTCTGAATTTCTTTTTAAGTTAGTAACAAAACCTATAAAAAATTTCAACAGTTATGAAATTTATAAAATCGTGAACGTTATTAATTTGACCCTTCTTTCGATACTGTATCAGTATTTTGATATGGGTTTAGGCAGTTAAAAGCAAACTATCTATTATAGATACAATCATACAAATGCTAAAAAATATGACTTACACATTTCTATTAACCTGCAAAGCCTTTGACATTTGTTGAGTATAAACAGAGTGTATCGGCTAAATTAATAGTTACAGGATAATGTTTCAGTAGTTAACTAGTTTTTTTTTTTTTTTTTTTTTTTTTTTTTTTTTTTTTTTTTTTTTTTTGCTTATTTATCCTATAAGTACAATGTTCCTGAATGAAGGTGCGTCATGCCTCTGCACTCATAAACATGTAAAATTTTGCTTTATCGCTAATGATTTTCCAAAAGAAATCTAATTTATAATAAGAATGTACATAAATTCAGAACACCTTTCGGGCCAAAATTTGACGGAAATTGCCTTTTTAATTGCAGTTTTATAAAGGAAAGTTAATCACTAAAATTGTTTCTTGTTCAGGGCAATTGATGATACCAAGAAGTTATTCAATTATTAACACTTGTCGATAAAGCATCAATCTTTTGAATGAATACATCTTATCTATATGCAGTGGAATCATGAAGGTAGCCTGTATTCTCCTGTTGTGTCTAGCTGCTGGAAGTCAAGCCAATTTTCTCGATGACCTAAAGAATGCCTTTTCAAATGTTGGACACGCCTTAACAACCACGGTCCATGCTGTTGGAGATCAGGCCAAAGTAGTTGGACAGAATCTTCTTAATGCAGCGAAAGAACAAGGCTCACAGCTCGCTTCACAAGCTCTTCAGAGTATGTATTTTCTACAAACTACTTCTTTTACTTTTAATCTACTATGATTATTTTTAATGTCAAACAATAAAACCTTGAACTAGAATACAAACTGAATACTAGTATGTGTCTATACTCTACTGACAAAAAGGTCAACTGCAATCATAAACTCAGAAAAATAAATACATGCACATGTCCTGATAGCAGGTACAGTGTATGATAATAAAAATTATATACGCGGGTGTGTTCACATTCTCCAGGTCTGTTGATGGGAACCATGAATGCTCTCAGTAATCCTGCCGGTACAGACACCGCTGGTACCAAAAGATCTCTGTCGTACGTAACATGTCTCTAACCAGCTTATCATTTATTGCAAGCAAACGTGAATATTATTATGAAAACATATTACATGTAATTATGAAAGGGAATTCCTTATCAAAATGTGAATGTTTATCCAATTTTCCATCAAAACAAATTTTGTCCAAATATCAACCCATTCAGGAAAGAAACTTAAAACTTTTAGATCACTCAGACAGCCATATCACCGCATCCCATGGTGGTGGAGTCTTTTTTTCAAGAACTTCACATTGTTAAACATAGTTATCATTTTGAAAACGAGATATAACATGTTTTTGATAACCTGAGGAATCGGTTACTAGTATCCAAAGTAACGACTCACATCAATATTGTAAACTAGAGTTATAATCTTTCTCCACAGTGAACTCCTTCAGCAGTCAAAGCCTTTGACTGATGCCGCCAAGCAGATTGTGGACGAGAAGATGGACAAACTGAAAGGTGTCTACACAGAGGCTTTGGACAAGCTCAAAACTCTCTCCTCTAAACTGACCGATCTTCCCGCTTCTGAACTTATCCGCAAAGTTGACCAGGTCGTGGGTCAGTATTTAAATTCTGTTTGAAATATTTCGTACAGTTCTGTGATTGCCTTGCGGTTTGAGTTTACGTAATACAAAATCTGCTTTAGCCGCCCATCACATTGTTGCTGACGATATCCAAACCGAACTCGTCACTGAATTGACTGGACTCTTCGGAAAAGTCCTAGCTTTACACCCAGGACATAAGAGAAGCACCTTCACAGACGCTCTCGCCACAGTTGGTCAAGGTCTTGCTAACTTCTTCAAGCCCCATGTCCAGGCTGTTCAGCAGGTCTCTATTAAAACATAAATAAGATGATCAATGACATTAATGATAGACCATATTACCTTTCCAGATTTCTAACTGTTTGCAATATTTTCCTAGCTGGTCAGTGGAGTTGGTGATTCCTTGAAGCAGACAGCCACTGCATTCCACACAAGTTTGACCACAGGAGCTCATGGAGATGCTGTCCATCAATCTGTATCTGCTCTGGCACAACACGGACAAAATGCTCTTAGTGCCCTTAAGGACGCTGTCTCCGACATCCTCCGTATGTCCCGCCAAATTCACAGTATTTAGTCAATAGTTGCAAATTTGTCAACAAAGTGCCAGAAAAACTGAAATATTAGCTTAATTTCACTTTTTCCAACTTAAATTTTATTGCAGAACAAACTCTGACCAACATGCAGCCACATATTGTTAACCTTCTCAATCATGGTTCCCAAGCTCTTCAAGAAACCCTCGCCAAACAAAACGCTGGCACTCCCTCCGAGTGAACTGTGTCCTCCACGTAAAGGATCATGTTAAAATAAATTATTGATGTAAATAAATCTAGATCTATGTTACAAGTGTTTTCCTTTTTTCTGGCTTCAAGAACAATATTTGCATCGTGCTTAAATCAGAGGGTTTTTTTCATATCGAATTCTTGTTTTCTATAAGCGGTTGTATCTCAATCTTCCTTTTAAAAAGGTCAGTTTGGGCGACTTAATATGACTGTGCATTTAAACTATGACTTTTTAAAATACATGCACATTCCTGTACCTGAAATTATGACGATGTGAATCTCCAATAAAACAGATTAACTCACTGAAAAAATCGTGTCCCTTTCAATCTAATTACAAAATATGGAATACGTAATATGTCTTTACTTTAAGATAGGAGGACATTATTTGAACACATCAAGTTAAACAAAAGGATAAAAATTCTCTCCTTTATAAATTCAGAAACGTAAAACTAATACATGGAAGTGTCAAATATTGCATGTATTCACTGTCCTTGTAAAGTTGATAAGAAGTCCGCTGTTTCTATTTTAGGTCATCGTTGGAACACGCATGTAACAGATAAGGCATGAAAACTTCAACAAACGGGATAATATTTGCCAATCCCAGCAATGTCTTAATAAATGTTTTGCGATTACTGTAGATTCCTAAATATACGCGAGGAATAAATTATCGCGTAATTACGCGAGAAGCACCACTCGCGAAATAAAATTACTCGCTTTTATTTTTATGGTGCTTTAATGTATGTAAACTCTCTTGATGAATCACCGATTCGCGAATTATTGTTCTCGCGGTTTGACGCCCTTTGGTCACTTCGCGATATTAAGTACTCGCGTAAAATAAGGAATTTACAGTAGTTATGGATCATTTAATGTATATACCTCATTATTTTCTATACAAATGCGAACAAAATCATTCCTGAAGTTGCATCAGCTATTTGAATTATTTTAATTTAATTTTATAATACGTGAACTGTTTTTGTGTGTAAATACCTTTTTGAACTTAGATATTCGACCCATAACCGACCGAGATTCAATAAATTTAAATGCATAACTGATATACTCAGTATATTTAATATTCATGTGTTCGTATCAGTTTAAAAGTGGACCTTGCCCTAACAGGGTAATGACCTTGTCCTGTCCTTGAAGAGATATCCCCTATTGTTTTTAATCAATAAAAATGAATTCTAAAAAATATATTTGTTAAAAAATAATTTTTAATCGTTTTCTATTCCTAATGATTAAATACATCTTTCTACCACAGCATTTTTTGATATTCAAAGTATTTGAATTTTTATTTTTAAGAATTTGCTTATCTCCATAAACCTCAGTGCAATTTTCACTGATTTGTTACTGCTTAGCTATAGGTAATTACATTTTTTTTTTCAGAAAAAATACATACCGTTATAAACCCGCGTAAGCGGGTTATGCAATTTTTTTCTGCAATAGCTGCAAATGTTAGTTCCCGTACTAACCAATAAAGAAAGACATTTTATTTCTTATATTTATATCTGTATAAATAACCATAGATCGTAAAATTAAGTACCTTAATTATTGTTTCATTGATGGAACAGCCACTGTTCAAGAAATCTAGACAGGTGGGTTGCTTAGCGGTGTTTAACTGTTTTCATAAGAAATAAAGGAGATAATATTCAGTGGATGTAAATATATCGGAGCATTCCATGATGGATATTTAAGGTTAGAAAATTAGGTCCTAATATGGGTTGGATACCAAAAATGCTTTGTAGTTTCAAAATTTTGTCAGGGAATTTCTTTCTTTTTTTTAATTGTCTAATGATTGTAAATTTTGAATTAACTTGACCTTTATAAATGTACATCTATGGTATTGATATACGTGTATTGTCAAACTCTATTTTTGTATTCACGTAAATACATCCACTACATTCAAAATTCAGTTAATTTGTGCCAATGACCATTTAAAAATGTCCACTACATTTCATACCTAATGATGAGGAAAACATTTTTGGTAGTTTTGTGTACGTCAACTATTGATGAAAAAATATTTGGATGAAAGATATTATTAAATATTAATCGCTAAAACGTACAGAAAAATTTGTTCCTGGATACAATATAACACAAATAAAATGTAAATGTAAATCACTGTAATGTAATTCACAAAACAGATGATAATTTGGTCACTTAAAAAATCGTTACGATCTTAATATTGAATTAAAAGACATCCCTGATACTTTCAAATGATTTGAATTCCATGTATAGGTGCTGTATGAAAGGTAGACAGGTATAATAAGGTGGATGATAAGAATTGGACAATTCTATAGACATAGAAATATACTAGAAATTTTTTTTGGCATTTGTAAAAGATATTAAATGTATATTTTTTGTACAAAATAATTTATTTCAACGAAGAACATGTAAAACATCAAATTAAGTTACAGGGTTTCATGGCAATTAAGAATACCGTAGTGTTATTCATTGTACTTTTTTTGACAATGACAATATTGCAATTTTTCATTTAGTTAGCACTAATCTGGAAACTGCTTTTTGATATAGTATTTTTATATTCTACTTCAGTGATTTGAATTTATGAAATATATATATATATATATATATATATATATATATATATATATATATATATATATATATATATATATATATATATATATATATATATATATATAGGCTAGGATTCTAATTGTCCAACATAGATGCAATTTACTTTCTGTACATACCATCAGTTTGTGCCACTAATTTTCTGAGCATTTCTTGATATAACCTTTATGCTTTAAACTAGCGTACAATAATATATTTCATAGAGAAAATTTTTGTGCAGGTTACCTTTATTCTTTGAAATAAAACACTATTTTTGCATATCAAGCACCTTAAAAACATTGTAATTTGTTTGTGACAAGAAAATTTATAATTAGCACAACTCATCTTAATTTGGACGTTAAACAGTATACCAGTAACAATTTGAATCATACAGTGCTGTAGAATGGTAAGATAAAAAGAATCGAATTCGTCCCAGAGAATTATCTTATTCGTCAGGACGAATTCGTTTAACTAAGGACTAGTTCATTAGAACAAAATGTCTAATTCGTCCGAATGAATATCTAACTGTTCCCGAACAAATATCTCATTCGTCCGAAGAAACGTCTTAACCCCCCAACCCAACCCAACCACAACAAATGTTAGAATGTCATAAAGACTGTAAAGCGAATACTTCTAGATGATTTTATGTTCTAGATTATAATTTGAATAGGTTTCTTCTACCAAGAAAGTTTACGCACACGTGATTTAAAGTTAATCAATTGATCGCCAGATGTCGTTCGTTCGATGAGCGCTATACATGATGCTGAACCAACCAAAAGCAAATACTGCTACGTATTATATATGGTCAATACCTCACAAAAACACAAAACAAATCAGTCATTCGTCATAAAACACTAAATTACACGTCAGTTTTGCAGAATTATGAAGCTTTTCGAGATATGGATAATAGTATGTAGTCTACATTTCACCACTTCTAAACCAACAAAAGGTAAGTATTTGTTACATATAGGTGTAATGCGTCAGAATATCTTAAGATTATTAAAGCTACACGTAAAACTTTCTTAATTTTAAAAATTTGTTTTAAAGAGAAGTCATCTGTTTTTAATATATCTTCGTTGTTAGACAATGTCTTGTTCTGTGTCTTCGTTTCGTCATGAATTTATGAAGGCTGGCAAAATAAAACAGAAAAGGGTCCATAACAACTTACAGAAAGTTGTGCAAAATTACATGTAGGTTGATATTTATCTTCATTTGTAGCAGGGACAATAAGTGTATAGTGATATTTGAAGTGAACAGTGTACATGGGCCTACACACACACACACACACACACCCTCACATAACTTTGTTCTTCCCTTTTTGCTGTCAGACAGGTATATAACTATGTGATGAATTTCTATTAAAAACTGAATAATATGACTAAAATCATGTTTTAGAGAAGGCTGGGCCTTGCGCAAACGCGGAAGATCCTATGGCGTGTCTTCATGGGATGTTAATGCACGGTGATGATCACCAGGGGGACGCACATAAAGCTGAGGACCAGTACCTCCGCTTCCAGCCAGTACTACGCACCGGAAATCCCGAAAAAGCGGGTCCCCAGGATGCTGAGCAGACGTTTCATGCGTCCATGATGCACAATGGCGAAGACCCTGCGCATGCTCACCAAGGAGGTATCGCCAAACCACAAATCAAAGAGAAGTTAGGACCTCAAGATGCAGAAGCTGCTCTTCATGGAGTGATGATGCATGGAGACGATCAACAAGGACAAAATCATGATAAGGAACACAAGCATCCAAAATCGTCCACAGGAACAGAGGGTCATAAAGCGGCTCCTTTGGACGCTGAACATTTAATGCATGGGGTTCTCATGCACGGGGATTCAAATGTTGAAAACCATCACGTACATGCCAATCCAAATGAAAAACGGGTAAAAGAAATCCCTGGGCCCGTTGATCTTGAACAAAAAATGCATAAGCTGATGCATAAGGATGGCGATGTACACCATGATGAACAAAACGAGGACTCGAAGAAAACTGTGCCTGGTCCACGTGACCAAGAGGATGTCATTCACAAACTGATGCACAATGGTGAAAACCTTATGCACGAAATTCTCGGCGAGAACAAACCATTCAAATTCAACATCGCCGAGATTATGAAGCTAGGAATAGATCCAGACATTCTGAAATCGGTAGGACTGGACAGAATAAAAAAAGATGATGAAGCAGACTATAAGGAATGGCGAAAAGAACAAAATAAAGACGACACTTTGGGCGAAACGATTGCTTACATATCTGACTCGATTGTGCCAGATATCGAACTCATGAAACGGCGATATATGAATCTTGGAGAGGAAGTCGAGCGAGAAATACAGCAATTTGCAGACAACAGAAACATCGAGATCTCCCCAGAAGAGTTATTGGATAACCTCCATTTAGAAGATGGCGCCGGAGATCACTTGGGCGAAGACATTCCGCATGACCTTGAACTCATTGGCAGTACCGAACCTATCAATGCCCGCCACAAAGTTTTTATGGACAAACGGAGATGATGTCATAATTACGTTTCAAAAAGTGAACTGGTGACATAATTATGTCTTTCATGTTGATATTACCAATAAGTTTCTTTACTGATTTACCTTCAAAATTTCGTTGATAAAAAAAGGACAGAAGATATGTGTGGATATTTTAAATATTTATTCAATTTTATAAAATCATTTATATTTAATTACAATCCCATTCAAAGTATTTCAGAATTTAAGTAACAATAAAAATTACTCTATCCGTACCATGGAAGGGAAACTACAATAAAAGAATCTGATAATTGTACAAATGTCAATTACTAATGACCTATTTCAAACTCTATTCGTGCCATATAAATAAATTACAGCACTTCTACTACAGGTTAATAATTTATTTCATATATATTTATACTCTAACATAAATAAAAGAGCAAAAAAATTATAAATTACAACAAATAATCTCTTTAAAACACAACCAAGTTCTACAATTCTGAAAAAAATGATACTAGGACGGCAAGTCAAAATATAAAGATTTAAGAATAAAAAATGATTAAAAATGGTCATTTCTTAGCTCTTATTGACACATATAAAATCACTTCTGAAAATAATTGTCAACATAAAGCATTTTTTTCATAATTGAAAAAGTGTAAGTTGATGGAATTCATTTTAGAGTCTTTTTTTTTTAATCAGTAAATTTCCCCAGTACTTCTATTGGCTGATCAGACATGGTTAAGTTTTCAAAAAAAAGTAACCAATAAAGATCTACTTTGTATCTAAGGGATAAAAAAATTATATTCATGCATGACTACTTAAAATTCAGTACATATAAAAAAATTTAAAAACATTGCTGGAGCACATTTTTGATGTCTGGACGGATCAGTTATGCACTTCAGTGTGGGAAAAAAAATCTCATGGAATTAACACATTTCACCTTTTGCCATCATTTTTTTGCAACAAAATTATTTCAGGCACTTTTATATAAATCAAGTATGTTCATCAGTTCACAGTCTTTACATCAATAATATCACAATTCAAAACTGAATCTGTGAAAAATGCATGAACATTCAATTCTTTCAGGTAAAAAAATATTTTTAAAAGGGGTAAATATATATGTATCTGGAGGGAATTATAAAGAATCTCAAAAGAATTTAAGTATTTTGCATAAAATATATGATATGTACAGTATTTCACTTAAGATCAGATTTAAAATACATAAACATCACATTTTACAAGTACATTGTACTTATTAAAAATTTTTTTAACAACTACAGTAAAGGGAAAAGTGGCTTTTTTTAACAACTACAGTATGATAAATAGTTACTAGACTGGCAAAAATCCAACATCAATAGTTTATCTATTAAACCTACAGCCCTGTTTATGCTATTTAGTACCATATTTCCAAACTAAGTTGGAGAGTGTATGAGCACCAAACCAGTTACATGTACGTTCAGTTCTTCAAGATATATAACCATCCTATTGACTGTTTTATTTTTCATTAGATTGGGTATAAATAAGACAGAGAACACTAAATGTTGTCAAGATCCAGTTCCTCATCTGAGCTGACATCTGTGACACTGACAAATGACCCCCTAGATGCCCGACCTCCCTGTGTACCTGCTGCCGGCACCGTACTGGCTCCTGTAATCAAGGAAACTAATACATAATACTATTCTTTCAGTAATACAGTCAAGACATTTACCATTTTAAATTATTTCTCAGTGTAAATTTTACTCAATATTTGAAGTGACATTACCAAATAATCAATTTAATATGCAGTGTATTTAACTGATACCAAAACTCTTTCAAAGAAAGGTATCTAATAAATTATTTTCTGACTGCCACTGTAAGATTCTATCTTTCAAATTGAAAATTCTTGTGATTGCATGCTTAGATACCCTCAATTATAGAAAACATGTAATATGCAAAAACAACATATAAATGAGTAGTAAATCCAGCAATGAAATGCTACCTTTAGAAGATGACCCCCAGACACTAGTACCATAGGTATTAGTAGTATCAGAAGCATGGCTACCCCTGACTTGAACTGTAGCCTTCCTGTTAACCAAAGAAATTTAAGTATATAGTCTTAATCGCAAAATATTCTGATAAACAAAATACTAATGCAAAGTACTGTATTTGAATGATAAGGACAAAGACATTGACACGTACTTTGGAGCTGTGGAAGCGGGGGGATCTTCCTCAACTGGAGAAACATCCCAGTCACTGTCAGAAAAGTCATCCTGTCAAAAAACGAATATTGTAGGAACATTAAAAATGAAAGACATTTCCAAATCTCTAACTACAGCTGTAAGATATCTAAATGATTTACTGTATAACGGGTATTTTCTGCGGTTGGAAATTTTTGCGATTTAACCCCTTAAAGGTTGCAAATTAATTTCTGCGTTTTCAATTTCTGCGGTTGCACTATAACGCAAAAATTTATTTACGGGGTATGATCATGCACTAAACTTTATGAATTATCAGAACGCTGTCATGTTTACGTTTTATAAATTCATTAAGACATATTGATCAAAGGTGCATGAAAACTGGTATTAAGCTATTATTCTTAATTAAACTGCTATCTTTTAGTTAGTTTTTGTAAAAATATTTCGAGTACCAATTGAAATGAATTAATGCAGTGTCAGTCCACCCAAACAACAATACAAATCTTTATTCTTACAGACGTTTTATGCGATCTATTAAAATACTAGTATTTAAATATATGTAGATAATGATAATAAATGCATCCAAGCCATATTCTAAAATACATTTCTAGTTAACTGCCATCAAAATTAATTTGGTGTTTATATTTTAAGCTAAAACAAACAGTTGCATAATCAAGTACCCCAAAGTTGACGGTTAACAATCACAGCTGTCATGTGCATTGAGGCGTAACTTCTGCATTAGGTGACATTCACGAGACTGTGTATACAAGCAGTAATTATTGTCTCAATATAAAACACATGTTTAAAAAAGAACAGCTACCATGTGTTGTTTGCAGCTATCGGAGTTCGGACAAATAATTGCGAAATAGGTATAAGTAAAGATGTTTTTGTATCAACTTATTTAATTGATATTATTTACAGCTAATGAGAACCCTGTCAGACATATGCACCACTTATCTTAAGTGCATGTACAAAATATCTGAATGAATATTGAAAAAAATATTTTGCGATTGTAATTTTTGCGGATTTGCCCTATCCGCAAAATTCCGCAAAAATTGGACAACGGCAGAAAATACCCGTTATACGGTATTTACCAGGACATCTTTTTCTTTTTTTCCTCCCATCATATCCACTGCCCCTGCTAGTTTCTTTTCTTTGCGACCCTGACAAATAACAAAGCGCACATTATCATACTGACATTTACTTCTGGAAAGATGAATTGAATTAGATATAAACTAAAAATTTTCTGCTGTCTAACTTTAAACTGAGATATAAGTACATGCAGAGTTTGAAAACTAATGGATATACATGTTATATCACTTGTAAAATGAAAATGAGGTAAGAGGAATGAACAAAATAATAATTCAAAACTGCTGGTTTAACAAATCTAATGCAAATACTCTCAGATTCCAAAAGTATTGCAACTCTAACAAGTGAAGTGCTTTTAAAGTATAAATTCTAGACTCTGTATACAAAAACTCACAGCCAGCTGCATTTCTATGGTTCGTGAGAGTTCTGCGACCTTTTGACCTTTGGGTTGTACTACAACTGGTCCCCCTCTGGCCGGTGAGGTGGCCAGGCCAGGATTTCTAGCTGGTGAGGACTGGACTCTCATAGGTGTGGGTGCTGTACTGGACTTACCAGGTAATATCTCCTCCTCCAGGTCACTACAAAATCATTGTTTTACTATAAAAAACTTATCAGCAGAATGCCAATAACATTTAGGTTTATTGTATGAAGTTTTTCAAGAATACTAATAAATGGCATACCTTTAGAGACAAATGGCTTTATATCTTAAAATTGACAGTTTTATTTGAGTTAAATGAATTGTCTTCTTAAACCAGCTAGAATCCTTACATTTTAATGATCAAGAATTACATTTCAAGAATTTATCATTGCACTAAACAGAAATGCACACATTAACATACTTTCAAAAATCAACACTAAAAATGGCATTTACCTGATATCATCTGAATCCCATCCATCATCATCATCATCTTGAGCTTTCCCAGAGGTAACCTGTACAGGTTGTCTAGTCATAGGTGTGGGCTGTGTCCGAGGGGCAGGGATTCCCCTCCCCCTCCCCGCGGGCCCAGACTTTATCACTCTGACATGCTCAAATGCTGGGGGCTCCTCCTCCTCCTCTTCTGATTCTTCATCCTCCCCAGACTCCCACTGTGTGCTGGTCCACTCTAAACTAGAACTGCAAAAAAATTAAGAAGTTGTGCATCTTGTCATTCAAAAGATAAACCAAATACATATCCTGTAACTGTAAAAATAGAAGTAGTTTCCCAGATAAATGTTACTACTGCACCAATCTAATTAAAATTACATGTTCCGAATCCGCTATCGCTTCTCAAACATCTAACAACATCCCATTCGGGGTCACGTCAGAGCGACCTTTCGATTACCCAATGAAATCGCCGTCGTCGAAATCTTGGCTTATAGTTCGGATGCGTTTCTTTTTTTTACTGCCAAACCTAAACGCCCGAGAGGTTTCGTAGTAAACAAAATATGCATGGTAAAGACCGTGCTATATATGAATGTGACGTGCGGGATATATAAGTAGTTTGTGCATTTTCGTTTGCGTTATTCAGGTAAGAATGCCAGATTGACGGACTATACGTTCAATTTATACCAAAATTACTTTAATTCAACGTAAGAAAGTCTACTGAGCATCAATAATATAGAGATGTAGCCGTGGAACTAATTTTAGAATTGAATACAGAAGGTTGAATCTGATTGGCCAAAATTTTTATGTTTATTCATAATCGAAAGGTCGCTCTGACGTGACCCCGAATGGGATGTTGTTAGATGTTTGAGAAGCGATAGCGGATTCGGAACATCTAATTTTAATTAGATTGCTACTGCACTGAACTAACTTATCAAAAGGGGAATAACTCAATAGTAATAATTCATTTTTACAAGAACTTCTGATAAATATTCTGCCTGCAGCATTTTTCTTTTAAAGTTTTTGTCACAAGAAATTTTACCATTTTTGGGAAAGTCTAAAGGAAATGAACATGACTTTAACAATGTCGGTGAGAAAAGTAGCATGCATATACATACAGCACATAACCTTCTTTGAAGGTAATATTATTTCTTTTTAATTTAAGAAAAAAAAAAATTAAAATCTAACCCTGTGGAGTGAGGCGTCCTCTGAGGACTACGAGGTGCTGGCTTTGGTTGCTGCTGCGACGGTGCTGCTCTAGGCGGCTGTGTTTGGGGCTGGGGTACCCTACCCTGACCAGTGGAAGCTGGTGTTGGTCTCTGGGGTGAGGAAGCTGCAGGCTGCCTGTAAACTGGGGCTGGGGATTGGCGAACTGGAGACTGCTGGGCAGACCTGACTGGACTAGAGGTTCCTGAGGCCATCATACTGGTGTTAGTTACAGCACGGGGAGGAATTCCTGCTCTGCTACCTATAGCAATTAAAAAGTAAAGTTATATGTAAATATATTCAAATTGCAAGTAACCAATCAAAATTTGCTTAAATGTATATTTCAATCAATGTTACTTATACTATCTTTATGCACACCTGAGGAGGGAGGGGGTGATCTTTTTTGTTCCCTCAGTCTCTCTCTAGCCAACTGATCAGCATGGGCATTACACTGCTTTCTGAACTCTGTGAAGATGGGATATTTCTACAAAATAGAATTCATATGTTAAATGTATGCACAGAATTCAGCATATGACACTACATCAAACCTAAATACAGGGCTCAACATAAACATTTGTCTTGATTGTCCGTCTCCCATTCATTTTGTGAAAGGCAAGTCAATCACCACAAACACTTGTCAGATTGGACAAGAAAACATTTTTTTTATTATAACAGTGAGAATAAATCCCCAAAGGATTCACAAAACACTGTGATTTTTTTAAAATAGCAAACATCTAATACGCAACTTTACAATCTCTACATGTACCTCACCAATGTTGCTTATTAATGGAAAAACGTGAAAAAAGTAATACAGGCAAACCTCATTATCTTGAACTCGATGGGACCGAGAAAATAACTTCAATATCAGAAGATTCTAGATATCATGGGTTGGGATTTCCAAATCATTTTGACATATCCATGGTATTCGAGATATCGGTGTTCTAGATATCAAAGTTCAACTGTATTTTTATTTTCATGATTAACCAAATCTTTGTAAAGTCATTATTTTTCATAGCTACTTCAGTCTTGGTAATAAAATATTACAATTTTGTATACAGCAGTTCAGAATTGAACAAGTAAAAACTGCATTCAGACAAATATCATGTGTTGGCAACTTGTCTAATGGACAAGTGGATATTTGAGTTAATGTTGAGCTTGGGATAAATCATGATGGAACTAATTCCAGATATCAAGTTTAAAATTCATTTAAGGTCGGGACTGCTGTTCACCAAAAATTGATAAGTATTGAGATAATGAGGTTCAACTGTATGTATAATTGTCATAACCAAGACTAACCTGCACTGTGGTCTGCCTCCTCTGTTTCAGTAATGCTAGTTTGCTGATCAACAAATCATCAGGAATGCCTCTTGTTTCCTTAAAACAAAGCAGAATGTTTCATAATTTCACAAAAAACACTAAAAGAATCAAGCACGTGAAATCATTCATAACTTAAGGTAGTCTGATCCTCAGGTTCTGAAAATCAGCTTTTAAGTAATTGAAAATGCTCACAAAAATGTCTCTGATTTCACATAATAACGTGAATTTACCCATGGAATTTCTTCAAAGTTCATTATTATAGTTAATCATATTATATAGGGAAAATTATTAAATCTCAAATATATTTTCAGGAAATGCGAATAAAAACACCAGCTATGCATTTTCTAATTGAAAATTGATCAACAAATATAATTTAGGATAGAAAAATATAGGTATCCATGCATTTGGAGAAAATTGTATCTTTTTTATCCTTATACAGTAATTTAGTTCCTCTTTTTACTTCAATTGTGGTATAATGAATAGTGTAAAAAGCTTGTGCTATCATTGCTAGACATCACATATCACATCTAATTTCATACAATGCTAAAATCAGCAGTAACTAATGCTAGACTAAAGGAAATTCAATTTCTCTAAAAATTAATTCATTTTTTTTTCTTTTGTGGGGTACAAATTTCAACTTTTTACAAGACCGTTTCTAAGACTTCAAAGAACCTTGAATCATATTAAGATGCATAAAATGAAAATTGTTTCACGAAAAGATCTCAATTTCAAGCAACATTTTGAGACTTTTTAAATAAAATAATAAATTTAAGAGTTATCCTTCCTGCCTGAGGATCGGATATCCTTAACTCGGTATATTTTAATTAGACTTATGTAGTATAATGTACCGGAGGAATTCCTATTTTGTCCAGGCTGTCCTGTAACAGTGAGATGAGCTCGTCCCTCATCAGTTTCAATGTGGGGTTCTTCCTCAGCTCCTCGAGGAACTGTGTGGTCCTCAATGTTAGTTCTCCACTTCTGAAAGAACTGTCACAAAGCTCAGGAAATTAGCAGCAGACAGATTTTGAACTAAAGGAGTACTAAATGAAGATGTTTAAATGAGAATGATCCGATACAGATAGACTTATCTTGTCCTGTAACACAGCAATTGTTGAAAATGTTTACTAAGGCCTGCATTTGCAATTTTTTTGATAAAGAAATACTTAAGGTATTTAAATCAAGTGTAGGCATGCAGACAGAATTTTTCATCCTGAAGTTTTCAATCATGTATGTAAGTATGTTATAGCATTCCTAACATCTACTTTTTTATTAAAACCTAGCACTCGTAGCAGTTGTTACATGTACCACAATCATTAGAAAAGTTTGAGAATTAAATAATCTATCATTAACTACAGAATTCATTAACAAATAAATTAGAATCTCTGACAGTTAATCATAGTCAACGTCTGAAACCTATACTACATCTTTGTGAACCTTGAACACTCCAGTCCCACACTAACATCAACAACCTCTGCCCCTAATTATTAGACACAATCAATATCAAACCATAGTTTACAGAGTTAACCAAGCTTAATCACTCCTACTACATCCTTTATGAACCTTCACACAACACCCTGCTAAAACGGAAAACACCCACCCTCCCATAGTAAGAAACCTCATGATGGGAGAGGTCCCATTACTTTCCTCAGACTCCTCTGCTTCTGGTATCTGTCTGGAATTAGTCAGAGATAAGTCAATAGCTTTTACAAATATACCCAGGTCTATAATATTCAAACATAGGTCAGCTTAAGTGTGCCCATGCAGTACAAGATTGATAGGTGCAACTGCTACTAAACCACCTAAAAATTTCATTTCCACAAACATCAACCATGAAAATTAAGCCTTGAAATGACTTCAAATGTTTCACAAAAACAATTCAATACATTTTAATCCACATTTGCCCTTATTTATATCTCAAGATGGCTTGACATACTGATGTGTCAAACATACACGTATATGTGTTCAGTCTGTTTGGAAATACTGGATATGTGCATGAGTTCATGAAAATGTAAAACAAGCACACAAGTGCAACCCAATCATAAAATGTGGCAAGATATTAACAAACATGTAAATTGAAATTCTTGGAAATGTAAAATTTTAGTTAATAAATCTTAACATAATATGAATCGTTAAAAAAAATCTTTAAATAACATAATATAGCACTATATAAAACTTACTCCATGGTGCTATGCATAGATTCCCGACCAAAACTCCCCGTGCCTGTTCCTCGTCCAGATTTCAGCTCTGTGAATGTGAACAACACATTAAAGTACAGTCATTAAGGTGTCTCAGATCAGTGTAATGCAAAGCCTAACAGAGAGATGAAAATTTGGTACTTAAATACATGTAGTACATAGTTCTTAATCTCTTCATTTGGCAAATCATTCTCTGACCTTTTTCTCACAAAAAACTGAATTAAGTAAAATCTATTATGTTTTTAGCATATGATGAGGTGGAATTTATGTCGTCATTTGGTGTCAGACTGATTAATTAGCACCATTTATTTCCCCATACCTGTATCTTCATCATCGTCATCACTGGGTTCCATCTGTAACTTAGTGGGGACCTCCACACCACTGGGTTGACCACCACGTGGTGTTGTTCTCTCCGGAGATGCCGCTGCACCCTGTCAAGTGTATAAACACCCTTTACTATACACTGTATTTCTCATACATAGTAAATACATGTAAATCATGAATCAAGAACGAACTGAAAATATGATAAACATGTGTTACATGTAAGGCACTACACACCGGTCCATTTATCAATAATAATTTGGAAAAGTCTGCAACAGTCATTGTCATCTTCAATGGATAATGAGGCATTTTAAATCTACACACTGTAATTTCTCACAACCTCTCTCTTTTTTATGCAATCATGACCCTAGGATCATGAAGCAGTTTTAGATTTAAGTCAAAATTTGTAAATTGTCTGAATCTTTTATAATAGAAATCACATAAAATTTGAAATGTTATTAAACTTTGTTTCATTTACATGTTAGTAATTTTAATTTGCACAAATCAGTTTGTACTAAATATTCATTTTATGAATGTCTAAGACTGCTTCATGATCATTGGGCCTGAACTGTTATCTTGAATGTGTTTAAAAGAAAGTAATTAATAGAAAGGAAAACTGAAATAACTTTGTGACAGCTGCAAAGTAACCCACTACAACATTTTGGAAAAATTATTTCAATATAATTCATTTCTAATAATGCTCTATATTCCTCTGGGAAAAAAAATGACTGCTTATACACATAGTTTCAAATTAAGCTTTATATTTTAAGTTTTACAAATAAAACAAATATAAGTTGATATCAATCACTATTCATACAGACTTCCAAAACATTTCTAAAATATGAATTTCAAGCCTTGATATGATGTTTACTTTCAGCACAAATATAAACAAGCTCACAGCAAACAGTGCCTTAGAAAGTCATGGCTAATGGCTCATTGGTCGCTGAGTTCTTCTTTCATGATTATACAGTTTGTTACCTTTGAGCATAAAGCTGCCAAAGTATACAAGAGGCCCATGGGCCTTGAATCGCTCTTCTGATAAACTATGCAACCTATCACTTCTATTTGAACCCTCGAAGTATCCTGTATATTTAGATAAACCCTTGAAATTCCAATTCACACTCTGAGAACCCAAGATGATTCTAAGCCAATTAGTACCTGAGAGTTGGTCATGGTGACCCACTTATCACTTGTCATTGTCTAAGGACCCATCAACTAAGTTTGATGATTCTAAGCCAATTAATACCTAAAATATTTTTTAAAATTATAACCATAAAATTTTATAAGTAGGTCAAAGTGACCTACTTTTCAATTGTTGTACTCCAAGGACCCAAGATGCATCAATTGACAAAGTTTGATGATTTTAAGCCAATTAGTACCTGAAATATTTAATTAAAGCCATAAATTTTCAAAAGTAGGTCACGGTGACCTACTTTTCAGTTGCTGTACTCCGAGGACCAAAGATACATTGACTGACAAAGTTTGATGATTCTAAGCCAATAAGTACCGAAAATATTTAATTAAAGCCATAAATTTTCAAAAGTAGGTCACAGTGACCTACTTTTCAGTTGTTGCACTCCGAGGACCCAAGACACATGAACTGACAAAGTTTTATGATTCTAAGCCAATTAGTACCCGAAATATTTAATTAAAGCCATAAATTTTTGCAAGTAGGTCATGGTGACCTACTTTTTAGTCGACCTACTCCGAAGACCCAAAAGTCATCAACTGACAAAGTTTGATGATTCAAAGCCAATTAGTACCCCATATATCTAATTAAAGCCATAAATTTTCAAAAGTAGGTCACTGTGACCTACTTTTTAGTCGACCTACTCCGAAGACCCAAGATGCATCAACTGACAAAGTTTGATGATTCTAAGCCAATTAGTACCTGAAATATTTAATTATAGTCATATAAATTGAAAAGTAGGTCACGATGACCTACTTTTCAGTTGACCTTTTTTGAGGACCCAAGATGCATCAACTTACAAAGTTTTATGATCATAAAACTAAAAATGTCCAAATTATGCTTCTAAAACGCTTTGAAATCAAATGCCTGCAAAGTTCAAAAAGTAGGTCACTGTGACCTACTTTTTAATAAATATGTTTTATGGCCCCAAGATGCATCATCTTACAAGATTTAATGATTCTAAACCTCTCTGTATTCGAATTAATGACCTTAATTGTTTTGAGAAAGATAAGCCATAAAATTCAAAAAGTAGGTCAAGGTGACCTACTTTTTAGTTGACATACTTCAAGGACCTAAGATACATAAACTGACAAAGTTTGATGATCATAGGCCTTTAATTGTTCAAAATATGCCTCTAAATCATTTTGAAAAAGAATGGCCCCAAAATTTAAAAAGTAGGTCACCATGACCTACTTTTGAGTCAACATGATATGAGGTCCTTAGATGCATCAACTGACAAGATTTGATGATCCTAGTCCTTATAGTAAGCAAAATATCAACATTTTAATAAAATGTAATTTTTGGTCAACTTTGAAGTGACCTTGAGACCACGCCCTTTGCCCCAGGGTAAATCCCCGTGCAAATTTTAATCTACAACATATCCTCATCCTTTTGTGTAAGTTTGGTGATAATCTGCCCAGTGGTTCTTGAGAAGAAGATTTTTTAGCAACCAGTACTTTTGTTTCTATTTTCCTAATTATCTCCCCTTGTTAAAGGGTCACAACCCTAGTTTTAGTATAAAAGGGAGCCCTTGGGCCAAGGATACCTTGTGACAAATTTGACAATAATTGGCCAAGGAGTTCTTGAGTTATGGCCCATATTCTAAAAAGTTTACGCACACCGCACGCCGCACACCGCACAAATGGCCATAGCATTAGCTCTTTGAGCCTTTGGCTCAGAAGAGCTAATAAATACCATGTACCTAATACCATGTTTCCCAAAGCTAAAATTACTTACAGCATCAGCCAACATTTCCTCAATTTCTTCCTCTACAGGTTTTTGTACGTGCACTTCTTGCCTTACACGTGCAGGAGCTGGTTTTCGCTGTGAGGATTAGCATGGGATTAGAAAGGTCAAACAGCTGTTATAGTTAAGGATCAAGCCACACTAGCCATGACAGAAAGGTTTGTGTGGATGATAATGACATTTTTTTTTCATGAGCAATGATTGAAATTTTATTTTTTATGAATGATTGTGAAAAACTTGAAATTAGGTGAAAGATGGTGTGTCATAATTAGCATCATACAGCAGTTCAAACCACAAAAAGTCTTAGTGATAATTATTTTGTCCATGAAAACTTATGTATTTTTTTTAACTCAGACTGAAGGAGTACAATCCAATTAAAATGTGCTAGCTCTGATAAACACAAGAAAATTTTTACAAAATTTTACATGACTGGTGAAAAATGTTGCATTTATCCTGCATTAAAAGTTACCAAATGTTTAGCCTTAGGCTTTCCTACTTACTCTTCTAGACCTGTCTCTCTCAGAAGTCCTGGTAGATGATTCTAAACTGGCATTTCTTAACTGGTTCTCCAGCTGCTCCTTCAACATGGCTACTTCCTCTTTCTGTTGCCGTAGCAACTCCCTCTCATTGTCAATGTCATCCTGAAGGTCGCCGAGATTTGACCTTTTGCTATAGCGCTGTTCCATCTCCATCATGGCACGCTCTGAGGACTGGTATTTTTCATTCATTTCTCGTAATTCTCTCATAAACATTTCCTTGACCTTCTCAATTTCTTTCTAAAAATGAATAAACAATTTCTTGAATATATTTTAACAATAAGAAAACCATCTTTGATTGACTTTTCTTATCTTCAATGACAAATAAACTTATGTACTGCTTACATTGTACATGTAATTAACTCTTTTCATTTTTTTATGTTAACAACTTCACAAAAAGAAAGACTCCCAATTCAGAGCACAACAATCCATTTTATATGACAGAAAAAAATGATTTTCATGTACATTTTAAGACAAGATGTATGACATTGCATGATTATACAGTCAGGTTTTGAGAAAGTGTCCAATGCATTTAAGTAGAGTACCTTATCTTCCTCTTGAACTCTTATAACCTCCATCTTTGCTGTGGTGTCTGGTGATTTTGGAGCTGAAACTTCATGAACCTATGAGGGATGCATTGTTATTTTGTTAACACATAGTGATATGAAATTTTTTTTAAAAAAAATCATGGCCATGTGCATGTACATGATGTATGAGATATTTCTTTCCTTAATTTTGCCTATGATAAGACAGGATTCACGTAAATTTTAGTGCAGAAGTAAATTTGTCACAAGTGAAACAAAAATTTCACAACCACATGATGTCAGTGCAGTTTAGTGGATCTATACAGTTTACTTTGGTAGAACTTACTGTCTTAACTTGTTCCGGTTGAACTTGGAACTGCTGGAATACTTCTTTGGTTTCCTTTGCAACCATTGGAATCTGCCCTGTGCTCTGCTCTGCTCCCACGGCAACAGATGCTGCTTTCCCAGAGAAGTCGTTATGGCGTCGGTTGATGTGGGATTGAAGAAAAGATGAGTTGAGAAAAGCTTTTGGACAAAAGGGACACTGAAAGAAAGAAAGAACATTTTCCCCATAATTGAGGACCCTCTTTATACTAATGAAAAATATTTTTGGATATCAAGAAAATAATACTGTTTTATAAAGGTTTAATCACTGAGTTTATTAATAAGGTACTGACCATTTACCTCCAGGAAAAATTGTTCAAAGACAACAAGAAATCATTGGTTCTTACTTAGATGGGAAAATGTACATGCAAACAAGAGGCCCATGGGCCACATCGCTCACCTGAGTAACTTAGGCCATGCTGTTCTTTACCACATTTCCCCCCTTGTAATACCTATTGTGGTCCTGCCCTACCCCCGGGGGTCATGATTTGTACAATTTAGAATCTACACTACCCCAGCATGCTTCCACATAAGTTTCAGCTTTTCTGGTCCAGTGGTTCTTGAGAAGAAGATTTTTTAATGACCCCACCCTATTTTTGTCTTTTCTTGATTATCTCCCCTTACAAGGGGACTTGGCCCTTTATTTTACCAATTTAAACTCCCCTTCACTCAAGGATACTTTGTACCAAGTTTGGTTAAAATTGGCCCAGTGGTTCTTGAGAAGATGTTGAAAATATGGAAAGTTTACAGACGGACTGACGGACAGCTAGACAGACGGATGGACAGACGGACGGACGACGGACAACGGGTGATCAGAAAAGCTCACTTGAGCTTTCAGCTCAGGTGAGCTAAAAATGTGTACAATGAATTTATCTTAGCCTAATTAAATGTTTAAAATGATTGAATTGATAACAAATTAAGTAATACACTGTAGATTTCAATTTATATTACTTTAAGATCTAATGGCAGATGACTCTAACCACATATAAAAATCACAGCAGTTGCAGTGTATGGACAGAGGATCCTTAATATGAAGAAAGATTACCATGCATTATATAGGTTTAATTACAAAGCATTTAGTTAGATTTCCATTGACAAATCTGAACATTTCCATTCACACACATAATGTTTTCTTTCTTTGATCTTTACCTTATTATAACTACCAGATCCTGCATGGATAAGTTGTTGTTGTGCCATGAGTAGCTTTTTTCTCTTGTGACTTTCTTTCTTAGTGTCTGCCAGTTCCTTCTTAACCTTCTCCAGCTGTGCTTTAGTTTCTGCATGATCCTTAATATAACAAAGGCATTTTCTTAATTCAAATTAAAATCAAAAGATGTTTATTTCTTCCCTTGAATTGTCTTTTCAATCTCCTATCATGAAGTATGAGCTATCATTGCAGAATAAAGCAAATGGATATTGTCCCTATTTAAAACATCTTACATAAATTATCATTTAGTGGCACTTGCAATTTGACCATCTAACGGTATTTGCAATCTAATTATAGACATGATACTTATATTGTAAGTAATACCTCTTCTTCTTTCTTGATTTTCTCCTCCATGTTGGAGACAACTCCAGTCATATATTCCTGGGAATGCTGTTAACATAAAGGGGAAATTAGTAATGCCATACTGACATGTACTGCTACTGTACAATTATACCTAAAATTTATAGGCATCAGCAATAAATAATTTTTTTTACATGTATATAGGACAATAAACTTAGATGAACTTTTTAATTTCTATGCTTGGGAAATGTGAACAAAATAGTAACACACAAAAAATCTAATATATCAAACACATACCAATAGTTCACATCATGTGGGTTTTTTTTTCAATATACACTAAATAAAATTTTTCGTGTTACTTACCAGTAAATACTCAATTGTTAACTGGGCCAATTTGAAGAGTTTGATGAAATTTGGGTCGACCATTCTCACATCCTATATATACAAATAACAACCTGAATTAACAATGTCATCATATATTAGTGATTACATACTGTTCATTCCATTTTATCCTTAACAGAATTGAATTATCTGGGCTTAATTGACCCTTTTTGGTACAAAGTCCTGTACCCTTTCCAATGGGAATTTTAAATCGGAAAAAGTGCCAAAATTTAGAAATATATACGTCTTATATTAACTTTTACTGAAGAATAAAGTGTTAGATAGAAGACTATATTTTCCTATTCACATCTAACGAATCATTAAAATTTCAAAATTCATTTCTTTTTACGAAAAGCACTAAAAATTTAATCTGCTTTTCATTTAGGAATTTTTACCTAAATCTTGGGGGAAAAGAAAGTGATTTTCAATTGGGACAGGATCCTTTTACCATAACTGGATGCAAGGGTTATTAAGCCCTGATTACCCTTACTGAAAATCATGACATTATGACAATAAGAATTTATTACTTCACGCAAAATACTAACTGTTCAATGTACATTAGCAAAATTGAATTTGAAATGTATAGACTTTAAATTTTATAACATAAAAAAAGATTGCAGTTAATCAACTTCACAGTTCACACTTAATCACAATAAAAGGATATTCATCAACAATACCAGTTCAGCTTCTATGTTGCAAAATGTCAAATTCATAATGTTGTCTTGTAGAGCATTAAAATCCAGTGTTCTCGCAACTTGATCCACATCGACTGATGCTATCCTCCTCCAGTCTATCCTCTCATATCTCTTCCGAAATGCAAAACTACGACCATTTGTATTTCTGTGCGCAAAAGCCGCTTGGTGACCCACTTTGTGGCTGGACTGTGGTCCTGCAGCAGCATGGGCATCATAATGTGGCATGAACTGTGTAGCCATCTGAAAAATTATAAAAATTCTTGATACCAATGCCTATATTAAAGTACATTTAATACCCAGGCCAAGTAATAAATAGTGTGTTTCCTATTCCATCCTAAGAAAAAATAGGGTAGGTAGGGGAAACATCTTATTTTATTTTAATATTTTATTGGTAAGCACGCTACCATTTTTCCCCGGGGAAATCGCTGTCAAACATTTTTGATTAATGTGTACAGAATATGCATTTTCTGAAACACAGAAGTGATTGAGATTAGGATTTCTAATAGTGAAACTGGAATAGTTTACTTCTGGAAAGATATCCGCGGTAGGAGTGAAACGGTTCACCGTGGTATCGATTCACCGCGGTATTTTTTCTCGGTTTGATACACGGTGCAAAATCTCTAATTTTCGGTTCGGTTCATTTTTCGGTCGGGATCGTTATTCAGTCGGGTTTGGCATAAGGTAAAACACGTTACTCGGTATAAATAAGTATAGAAAACGTAAATTTTTGATGACTGATAGCTTGTAAAATAATTTTTGACAGTCAAATAATTTTAATCAATTTCTTCTAGTCAATTTGCAAATAAAATTCGTAAAATATGTGACTAGATTTAGAAAAAGAAAGCATAAAACAACGTGGAATTTGTTTCCTTCTATCAAAATGTATCGTATCGAAAATAACCGAACCGAGACAAAATTATACAATACGTATCGAACCGTGAAGGAGGTGTATCGTTTCACCCCTAATCCGCGGATAATTTTTTTAGGGTCGGCTCATATATTTTAGGGTCAGTCGGGGAACCAGAAACACACAATTTATTTATCTAAGCCTCACCAGGGTTCTAATCATGCTAATTATGGTTATTTCTGCTGTTGTCTAAGATTTCAAATTTGTTTAGTTCAGAGAGTAAGAAAGAAGAATGGCAAAATATTTCAATCCTGTTTGTTATTGTACAGCAGAACGAATGGAATTCTTTTGATGTTAGAAGACCCTGAGGAAGAATAGTGCAACACATTAATCAGCCTACATTCTTTAAATAAAGTTTTATTACTTTACAATCACTTTTATTCGTGGGGACAAATTTTCGTGGTTTGTGGAAAAATTACTGGTTCGAGAGGATTTGATTTCATTGTTAAAGGAGAAACATCATACAACAGTATGAAAAGGATGACTGCACTTAAGGACACTTAAAAATTGCGATAAAATTAATTTTAAAAATGGGCATTTTTCTTTTAATTGTAGGAATGGCCAATGTCTTAACTGCAACTTTATGTAATTACATTAATTAAAAGTTCGTATTTACCAAGTTCGAAGTCGTTTTCATAGGAAGGGATCATTACATTTTCTCGAATCTCCATAGGATAATGAGGACGCCCACTTTTTTACAGACTTAATACATAGTCAGCGCATGTTTGTCTATTGTTCTCCATTTAATGGTAGTTGTATATTTATATAAATAAGTTTATATTGAAAGGAGATCAATAGACAAACATGCGCTCATGGTTAAAAAGAGAAAAAACTGTTTCTTCTTGTGTTCGCGTTCTCTATTGTAAACGGGACATTTTGACCACATTGTTACCTGTTGAATATTATAATTCACCACGTGATTTCTAACCCCAGGTAACTTTGTGAATACTAAAATTCCGTCACGAGACGTGTAAGGTAGCGCGCATTCTGGTGGGCGATATTGATTGTCCATATCTGTTTCAATCCATTCCCATCGATCGAGGGGCTCTTTTTTTCTCTTAGATATCTTTAAGAGGGATCGCATACTTATCTCAAAAGCGTTTTATTTTCATTATAATTATATATATTTGAGTGTATTCGGGTGGTTTTTCTTGATTGGTTGGGGTTAGGTAGTTTTGTATAGGCTATACGTATATCTCAGTTTGGTAAGTATTAGTCTGAAGATATCATAATAATACATATTTTAAATTAACTGGAAATTATGACGAAAGCATATGATTGTATAGTCTGCAACAAGAGAGCTGCTGCTCCACATCGCCGACTTTTCAAGGGGGTGAAATATGCTACATACAGGAAAGACTTGTCAATGTTGTTGGGTAGGAAAGTCACGGAAAATGATTGCATTTGTGGGAAGTGTCATAAGCGTTATTCTAGGGGGAATTTACTGAACAAGAATGTTGAAACTGAAACACATGTCCACGTGTCGACTTTTTATTCAGGCACAAAATCACGTAAATATTGTGCGATATGTGGTATGAAAAGAAAAATCTTAAAGAGAATTCCACAGGCAGCACGTACATACGTTTTTCTGACACACAATGTAATGTTTTATGACAATGCACGTGCATGTCCTTGCCATTTTGTAGATAGATCTAGGTTTAAAAATTCAGAACTTCTAAAATACTCTTTTAGGTTTAAACGAGGCACACATATAATAACTTCAAATGAACTAGTAGAGCAGCTGACAATATGTAGAGAGTTGCTCTTAAAAAAGGAGAATTCTCGAATTGAGTTTGACAATTCAGATTCTTTAAGCGAAGAAGATTACATGTCTCTTACAGGTCTGAATCCTACCCAATTTAATTCACTAGTCTCACAGGTGTATGGTTTACGACATAGGATAGTTTCAGGTAGAACTGCTTTAGCTATTTTGCTTACAAAACTCAGAACCGGGCTATCTAGCAGCATTTTGCGAACGTTATTCAATATAAAAAGTGAACGGTACTTAAGTAGAATAATCAAAAGAGCAAGAGAGGCTTTGGTGACTTATTTTGTCCCGAAATATCTGGGCTTTGAGAATATTTGTAGAGAAGATATCATTAAAAACCACACAACAGTTTTTGCAAGAGAGCTTCTAGCATCTGGCAGTCATGACACAGCTATTCTGTTGATAGATGGCACATATATCTACATTCAGAAAAGTTCCAAATATACCTTTCAGAGGAGATCATATAGTGTTTACAAAGGCCGTCCACTGGTCAAACCCCTTATGATCGTCGCTTCAGATGGATATATTGTTGATATTCTTGGACCGTATCTGGCAGATGGCAAAAATAATGACGCTGCAATCTTAAACAAACATCTTCTTGGGGAGGGCAATGGACTCTTTAATTGGGCAAAAAAAGATGATATTTTAGTTTTAGATAGGGGGTTTAGGGATTCTCTTGATTTGATAAAATCAGTCGGACTGCAGTCAGAATGTCCATATTTCTTGGGAAAGGGGGAAAAACAGCATACGGTCCAAGAAGCCAACTTGTCACGTCTTGTAACTAAAATAAGGTGGGCAGTTGAGTCTGCAAACGGCAGATTAAAAAGGTGGCAGTTTTTGGCAAACATAGTCACCAATACACAAATACCTTTTATTGGTGACTATGTTCGGATAGTAGCATCATTGATCAATGCTTTTAGACCTCCTTTGGCAAGCGATTCATCTACTGACGAAACAATAGCTAAACGTATGCTTGAACGATCTAAAATTACGGTTAATCCTTTAAAAGAACGTTTTATTAAAGAGACAGGTAGAAGAGTCGCTGTCAAAATGACAAGAATTGATGCTGATGATGCTCTGACTGATTTCCCGCGTCTTTCAGATGAGTATTTGCGTACATTAACTTTTGGTATATACCAGCTTAAGCAGGCGTCTTCTTATTCATTAGAACATATCGACGAAGACGGTAGTTACGACATTTTTGTGGGCAAAAATATGCCAGATATTATCCAAGCTAAAATTCATTCACGTCACGTGTCATCAAAGTCATATTATTTATGGATTCAGTTTGATGTTTTGGACAAGGAAGACCCTGTTAAAGTTTGGTATTGCCAATGCAGATCAGGAGCACGTTTAGTTGGTACATGTGCTCATGTTGCCTCTGTTCTTTGGTACATCGGCGTACAAAGACATAACAATTGTGCAGATAATTGTACTCAGATTATGCCAGATAATGTTCTAGACTGTGCGAACATAGTCGATACATCGGAATAAAAATTCTTTTTTCCATTTTAACAACTTCATGTTTAGAATATTATCAGTTAATGATTATCCCCCTGTTTGTTTCTAAGTATATTTTTGTGCGTATTTCACGTTATATAGTCCTTTACCTATTTCAGAAAGAGCAAAGTATTTTTCACACACATGAAAACAACATAAAGAAAACGTTTCTCACAAATAATGAACGTTTCCGCATGTGAACAGTTTATACGAAAGGTACATGTGGAATTTTTTTTACGATATTGTGATTAACTTTCACTTTCTATAATCAGTCTGTTTTTTAGTGTTATTTTGTATGCTGTATATGTATTCTACGAGATTATAGAGATCAATATCATATCATGCTTTTGAACCATTCTTTAACATACGTACGTCCAAAGACAGGATCCAGTAAATTAAGAATAAACCATACTACCCTAACCACGCTAATTTATAGGGAAAATTGGAAAAAAAAAAATAACCCCATCGCTTAAAAAAAAAAAAAAAAAAAAAAAAAAAAAACTAACTAAGATAACACTAAGATAACAAAAAACTAAGATAACACGCTCAATAAATTGACAAAGAAACCAAAGAAATTGTGATCGTTTTCAATTTTTTTAAAAGTAAAATTAAAAAAACTGAATATTACGGAAAATAAATTTGTAAATGTCCCATGCTTTACAGGATTCGATCCCGGGTCTCCGTATTATTGGTTCAGTGCGTTATCGACTGAGCTAATCGGTACTTATTTCCGAACACGTTAATTGTCGACATCAGCAACTGGTTTACGATTTTACCGGCCGATATTATAATTATGCTATATATTCTGCTTGAAACCTTTAAAAATAATGGTGACATGGCAAGAGAGAAAGAGACGATGTATGTGTTCAATACAACAGAATAAAAATACAGTAACTCTATTCTAATTTTAGACCACTCATTACAATATTAGCTCCACCTTTCATGCATATTTATAAAGCTTATCTTCAATCAAGGGCAGATAAGTCTAAATTCCAGATATTTGCAGAGCAGTAAGGGTGAAAAAACATCAAAGTATTTTATTGCAACGCAGTTCAAAACAATTATGACATTATATTTCAGTTGGAAATTGATCAAACTCTATAACAAATGACTCGAAGTAAAAATTAAGCAAGGAATAAACGTAAAAATAGTGACCGAAAAAGACCCAAAAACCACCGTTAAGTGCAGTCATCCTTTTCCATTTCATTGGGGATATGAATTTGTAGGTCTCTTCATGCCACGAAAACAATGAAAATTAACCCCCACAAAAAACCATGAATTTACAGTATTATTATTAATTTCAAAATTACAAATCAAAACTTCTGAATGGAAAAATCATCATTTTCAACCAAATAAATTACCCATTCAAGATACTTATACATTGTAACATTTTTATTAGTAAATAATTTTGTATAGTTTTCAATTGAATTAAAGTAAATTTGAAGATACATGCAGTCCTATCCTATGGTTATCATGACAGTCACACTGGTCTTGTGTATGGAACAGAAACCAGAGACATAAATGTCTCCGTAGAAACAAATTAAAAAAAACTACCTTTAGTCATACATATAACATGAGCATTTACCTTTTCTGAAATAAATAAGCCTACACCGTTCTCCTAATTGTATTTCTAGAGCACATCATTTCACACAAACATGTCCAAGCATGAATTTCCAAACGATTGTTTGGAAATTTATTCAATAGGACTAAAGGAGTTTTTAGTAAAATTCTCAGTAATTTTATATGCCTGAAAAAAGGTTTTTAAAAAATATATACTGTCATGGCATTCTTTGTTTTCAAACAATCGCAAATAAACAATCAATAGTATTGATTTGACAGGTGTGAGTCGAAATCTACATAGTATTTTATTGCTAATGGGCAGATGACAAAAGCTGAATCACTTACCTTGAGTCCAGTATATCAACAAATCGTACTCCTAACATAAATTTCTGTCGCAAATTTTATTTAAGTCATATTTGGGTCTTTTCTCTCGTTTAAAAATCTATCACCTGGAATTTTTCCCCAACCGCCATCACGAAATGCAAATTAACTCGTATTTAAACTTATTCGTATTTAAGGTAGAGTCCCTACATAGGGATTTCTTGTATTTGTTTGTTTGTTTTATATAGTTGGAATATTTCCTTGGAATAACATCTTATATAAAAGGCCTGGAAATATTCTTATTCGTTAATTCGGGACTGTTTTTCATCAGAATCTCCGGAAGATGTATATTTTACACCGCTAAACTGTCCACTTCCAACTTTTTACCCCTTTTAAATGTACATAGGTTTTTAAGGTATCACACCGGTAATTGACCAATCAAAATGTACTTAGTCAATTGTAGTTCCATACACAATAAAGAAATATTTTTTTTATTGTGAGAATTTTTTTAATTTCCCTTATTCTATTTTTACATTTTTGGTATCTGTGCTTAGGATATTTTATGTACTTTGTAAAATATTAAAGGTTTTTGACAGGAACTATTTCTTTCGGGGCATAGGAGGCCACTTCCTGGGGTGCACACAGGATGTTTATAAACACATTGAATACACGTGGTTTTGAGGGTATTCCTGTTTGCGGATGGAAAAAATCAGAAAATGCCGTGTAGGTACCCTATTTTTTGGTGTCAGCTGATGTGACTGGTAACGTTTAACACTTTCTGCTAAATATTTTTTCATGAATTCGAATACCTGATTTTTAATGATTTTTTATTCTATATAGAATTACATAGTGAAAACAATTACCGGTGTGATACCTTGAAGGTGATTGTGTAAAATCATCTACACCCATATTAAAGGCAATTTTAATTTTATAAAGGCATATTTCAACAAAATATGTCATTTTATTAACTTTCTGTGTGAAAGCACATATTTTTAGATTTAGAAGCAGGGTTGACATTAATTTATACAGATTTCTATGTAAAATACTAATAATATGTCATGTTTTACCCTCAAAACTCCAAATTATGACTTTCAAAGTAGGATTATGCATCTGACATGTAGAAAGAAGTTAGAAAATGTTGGTTTTTTATTTTAGATGACTTTAAACTCTGTGCACCACCTGACCGCAGTCAATTATAGTGTCTACAGACTTTGCCGTAAAAGCGCTTTAGGCTGATTTTTTCAAGAAAAGACTAATTCTGGGTTTGCGAATGAGTTTTCAACAAAAGCAACAACTGCGATAAAATGTGAAGAAGTAAAACATGTTTTTAAAAAGTGTTAAATTTTACAGAGACTGGGTTTACTTTCATTTTATTCACCTTAAGTGATTCATTTATTACTGGAATGGAGGCATAGAAATAATGAAATGAGTTAAATTTGTCTAATAAAAGTAAAGTACAAATAAAATTTATTAAGAATTTTTCAAAAATAAGAAGCTTATGACCAAAAATGCATAAATACTGTCAGGGCATGAGAGTGAATACTTATTCTGAGTCCCAACCATGCATCACACATATAGTGCAGAATGTCACTTAGCACCATGGTATGCCTGTTATGGTTCTCTAGACTTTTTCCATGCTTTCGCAGCTGACATTCAAGATTTTTCAGTTTGCCGGAGAATGTTTTTTGTCATTTTACCACTTTTATGTAGGTGTTGACCCTCTCTTTTAAATTAAGTCTCAGTCAGGATGTTTATTTTAGCATGATTTGTCAAGCACATTAATGTACTGAAATATTAATAAATTACAAATTAAAGTGATGAAGAAATTTGACATATTTACACAATCAAAATATCAGAATAACCATAATTCAGCTAATAAAGTGCCCTGTTCTTCTTTTGTCACTTCCTATAAATTTTATCAGCAGTTTTTGTACACCCACCCACCTCCAAGAATCATGGAGGATGGCCTGATATTAGTTTATTTGTTGCATTTATTCACATTTAAAAGTGTTAAGACCCATAAAAATGTTTAAGATTTATATTTTTGAATTTAAATGTTGAATTTTTATGTAAATTTGGTGAAACAAAAAGCTGTAATCTTGAATTAATCATGCAAATTCATCAAACATCTTTGAAATTCCTGAGTAATTGAATGAAAAGAGAATAATTATGTATGTTCAATTGGAATTTCATGGCTAATTTGTGTCTGCAGAGAAAGCCAGTTACATAAATCACAACAATAAATTACATCTGAATTGTTTTCTCCATTTTCTTATCATCAAAGCAAGTTTAATGGAGTGTCAGAGCTGTCCAGAACCTCCCCAGATGCTGATATCATTTGGACTGCCCTGTGTTACAACACAGCTTTTAGATAAACTTCTGCATAGCAGGTTGTAGACAAGTACCTAGGCTTTATTTGGAACATAAATTGACCAGATGCAGATTTTATTATCAGCCTAATATTTAAGAATTTCTGTAAATTCTGTCATTCTTGGGAGGGTAAAATGCAATTTTGTTATGTAATAATTGCATAATGGTCTCAGACTTGTGAATTATTTTTTGTTTGTTGTGAAGAACAGTGCATATACTCTCCATGGATACAAAATTGGTTGCCAGGCTTAGTTTATTAAGGATGAAATTCTGCTTCAAAATATGCACAAAAAACTTCTGTCAGAGTGCTCAGTGTGTATTCTTGACAGCTCTGGAGTAAGGGAGATAAATGCATCATATCTCCAGCAATAATGGGAATTAGATCCCCAGACTTCAGGATGTTAGTGACAGTTATTTAAGAAATCTCAGGTGCAAAAATGAAAAAAATCTGACAACTTCAAAGGTCCTTCAAGGTATCACACCGGTAATTGACCAATCAAAATGTACTTAGTCAATTGTAGTTCCATACACAATAAAGAAATATTTTTTTTATTGTGAGAATTTTTTTAATTTCCCTTATTCTATTTTTACATTTTTGGTATCTGTGCTTAGGATATTTTATGTACTTTGTAAAATATTAAAGGTTTTTGACAGGAACTATTTCTTTCGGGGCATAGGAGGCCACTTCCTGGGGTGCACACAGGATGTTTATAAACACATTGAATACACGTGGTTTTGAGGGTATTCCTGTTTGCGGATGGAAAAAATCAGAAAATGCCGTGTAGGTACCCTATTTTTTGGTGTCAGCTGATGTGACTGGTAACGTTTAACACTTTCTGCTAAATATTTTTTCATGAATTCGAATACCTGATTTTTAATGATTTTTTATTCTATATAGAATTACATAGTGAAAACAATTACCGGTGTGATACCTTGAAGGTGATTGTGTAAAATCATCTACACCCATATTAAAGGCAATTTTAATTTTATAAAGGCATATTTCAACAAAATATGTCATTTTATTAACTTTCTGTGTGAAAGCACATATTTTTAGATTTAGAAGCAGGGTTGACATTAATTTATACAGATTTCTATGTAAAATACTAATAATATGTCATGTTTTACCCTCAAAACTCCAAATTATGACTTTCAAAGTAGGATTATGCATCTGACATGTAGAAAGAAGTTAGAAAATGTTGGTTTTTTATTTTAGATGACTTTAAACTCTGTGCACCACCTGACCGCAGTCAATTATAGTGTCTACAGACTTTGCCGTAAAAGCGCTTTAGGCTGATTTTTTCAAGAAAAGACTAATTCTGGGTTTGCGAATGAGTTTTCAACAAAAGCAACAACTGCGATAAAATGTGAAGAAGTAAAACATGTTTTTAAAAAGTGTTAAATTTTACAGAGACTGGGTTTACTTTCATTTTATTCACCTTAAGTGATTCATTTATTACTGGAATGGAGGCATAGAAATAATGAAATGAGTTAAATTTGTCTAATAAAAGTAAAGTACAAATAAAATTTATTAAGAATTTTTCAAAAATAAGAAGCTTATGACCAAAAATGCATAAATACTGTCAGGGCATGAGAGTGAATACTTATTCTGAGTCCCAACCATGCATCACACATATAGTGCAGAATGTCACTTAGCACCATGGTATGCCTGTTATGGTTCTCTAGACTTTTTCCATGCTTTCGCAGCTGACATTCAAGATTTTTCAGTTTGCCGGAGAATGTTTTTTGTCATTTTACCACTTTTATGTAGGTGTTGACCCTCTCTTTTAAATTAAGTCTCAGTCAGGATGTTTATTTTAGCATGATTTGTCAAGCACATTAATGTACTGAAATATTAATAAATTACAAATTAAAGTGATGAAGAAATTTGACATATTTACACAATCAAAATATCAGAATAACCATAATTCAGCTAATAAAGTGCCCTGTTCTTCTTTTGTCACTTCCTATAAATTTTATCAGCAGTTTTTGTACACCCACCCACCTCCAAGAATCATGGAGGATGGCCTGATATTAGTTTATTTGTTGCATTTATTCACATTTAAAAGTGTTAAGACCCATAAAAATGTTTAAGATTTATATTTTTGAATTTAAATGTTGAATTTTTATGTAAATTTGGTGAAACAAAAAGCTGTAATCTTGAATTAATCATGCAAATTCATCAAACATCTTTGAAATTCCTGAGTAATTGAATGAAAAGAGAATAATTATGTATGTTCAATTGGAATTTCATGGCTAATTTGTGTCTGCAGAGAAAGCCAGTTACATAAATCACAACAATAAATTACATCTGAATTGTTTTCTCCATTTTCTTATCATCAAAGCAAGTTTAATGGAGTGTCAGAGCTGTCCAGAACCTCCCCAGATGCTGATATCATTTGGACTGCCCTGTGTTACAACACAGCTTTTAGATAAACTTCTGCATAGCAGGTTGTAGACAAGTACCTAGGCTTTATTTGGAACATAAATTGACCAGATGCAGATTTTATTATCAGCCTAATATTTAAGAATTTCTGTAAATTCTGTCATTCTTGGGAGGGTAAAATGCAATTTTGTTATGTAATAATTGCATAATGGTCTCAGACTTGTGAATTATTTTTTGTTTGTTGTGAAGAACAGTGCATATACTCTCCATGGATACAAAATTGGTTGCCAGGCTTAGTTTATTAAGGATGAAATTCTGCTTCAAAATATGCACAAAAAACTTCTGTCAGAGTGCTCAGTGTGTATTCTTGACA